AGGATTTGTTTTTGCAGGGATCACATTGTTTTTAATGGAAAGTGAGGGGGGGAATCAGTCGTCGCCAAAAGAGTACTAAGGGGGTCTATCGAAAAATTTCTACCGATTACCTGCCAATGAGGGGATCATAAGAATATCACTGTGCCTTATGGGGAGATCAAGTAAATTTAATAGTGACACAACAAAAATCCTCCAAACCCCCCCCCCTCCCCTTACTCCCGCTAACCAGGCGACAAAGAATGACCGGTCGCTAAGGGCGCACAGACCGTGGTTTACGAGAGACTACCTTAAGTTGGGCTAACGCTCGAAACAGTAGCTTCAGAAACTCTTAACGGTGGCCAATTTTCATTATCAACTCAGTTGATAAAACCAAATGAGCTTGTAATACCCCCCACCGACACAGCAACACATTTCTTTTAAAAACATATGCCAAGTGGTTCTGTCAAGACCAATGACGTTTAGGGAGGGGTGTGAAAGTGAGAGGAGTAACAACAAATGTTGATCGCAAAAGCCTGGGTAAGAAGGAGGGGCATTATTAAAAATGGCTTCCACGAAGGTGCTCGAACAGTGGGGAAGAATACCAGTGGTTTGTTTACATCTTTAATTGCGTCGTTAATTGCTCTCAAACTTTGCTCGGCTCTCAACAGGTATGAACAAAGCAGAGTTTGCCGTTTGTCGAATCAAAGAAAAGCTTCCTGGGAACCAGGGACTTGTACTAAAGGGAAGCGGTTGTGTTGTGCATTGTGAAAGACTCGCAACTTCGTGGGGTTGGAAATGCAATTACTTTATTGTTACCCCAAGTGTCGTGCTGAGTCGGGAAGACCTGGCGACGGACAAGATGTTTATCGCCGAATTTTTAAATAAGGATAAACGAGGGCTGGAAACCTTTGAGTTGAAGCAAATGGCCGAAGTTTGCAAAGATCTTCCAGGATGCATCTTTGATAATGATCTTGATCGAGGTCACTCTCTTAGTTTTATCTCTGTTGAACCACTAGATAAGCGCGGGTTTCTTAAGAAAATGGTGAAGAAAGGGAGTCTGCAAACATATCGTCCATTAGAATGCGCTGATTTCTTCAGTAAATCTCGACAAGAACTTGTTCTTGACGAAGGCCTGTACTGTCACGTCGTCCGAGATCTATTTAATGAGTCAACAAACTCTCCATTTTCGACCCAAACTTTTAAACTTGTTTGGGAGCCGCAGACGAGACTCTTCAGCATACAGGACTTTGCTGGATCAGCGATAGGATTTAATGAAGGGGCATTTCCAATTGGGGCCGTAATTTTCACTGGAAAGGGTGAATTTGCTGGTGTTTTAGAATTTGCCGACGGTTTCTTGTCTCCCGTATTTTTGCCGGACTCGTCGATGATAGGTAAGTAGAAAGTTTATCATAACATCAATTATTAAGTTGATGTGACCCCACGTATCAATTTATTTTGACAATCCTATGAAACAATAATGATATAATATATTAAAGTTATATTTAAAGTCCCCTGATGAAGGCACTAGACAGTTGTGTCGAAACATTGGGTCTATGAATTGTAACTTCTTCTGTTACATTCATTAAATCTGTAAACCAGAGTAGCATCAAACCATGTCTGAATAATTATATAGCCACACGTGCCACGCTAACCTACAAATTCATGGCTGATATTTCACCCTCCAACAATTTGAACTATTAAGTACAGGTATCTCGTGATGTTTCCGGTGGTTTTGTTCTGATGTTGATACTAGTATTAATTTCAAAAATTTGCGTGTTCATTAAACAATTAAACATGCGCCAAATTAGTTGTATTGCTTCATACGCCTGAGATTTGATATTCGAGAATCTACTACGCAGGTTACGCTTCTATTTAATTTTTCCACCTCGTTGATATCGATGCGGTGATTTGGCATTGTTATATTACTAATTCTTTTCTATTTGATTAAAATTAAGAAACGCCTCTCACTTTTAAGACTTGATCCCTTAATTAATATTTCATAAAATGTTTAATTCTACCTGCTGATTACTCAAAATCTTTATGATTATCTCTAGAGAATATTCAAAATGGTGATCCTGCTGTACCAAGTGAAGAAAAGAATGCTGCAGATGTGGAATTGGAGCATGAAATTGCTGGAAATGAAGTCTTGGTTGGTGAAATCAGTCAGGACTCAGAAGTTTCATCACATGGTTTATCATATGAATCACATGGTAATAACAATGAATCATTACCTTCATTGGAACCATTCAAACCTGGTACTGAATCATCAATTCCTGTCAAGGTGGATGCCCTTGACTCGAATAAGACAAAGGAAGTATTCCAACAAGATCAAGCATGTGCTTCTGTTAGTAAGAAAACAGAGGAGCTGGAAACTGGAATTATTTCAAATCCTTTAGATCACTCAAATGACAAGGGAGAAGATGAATCAAAATGTCAAGATACTCTCAGGGAAGGGTCCAGCAAAGTGAAAGATCTAGATGAAAGCAAAAATTTTAGTTCAGTAGAGAAACCATTCTCTGGGACTGAAGAAGCCAAAAGAGCTGATGTAACTGCAGAGGCTGTGGGGATTGTGAATGTGGTATCTTGCCATGGAAATGAGATTATTACAAGCCACAATGACAATTTAGTGACGGTCATTCAAGGTATTTTTTTTTTAATATAATTGTCTTTAAGATAGCAAAATTCTTCAGGTCTCAAATATTTACTACAAAGAAGTTGGGTCAATCTCAGAGCACTTATTTATCCTCAGTTTTTATACCATGTTCATAATATCTGAAGATATTTTTTGAATTGTTGCATTAATTATAACTGATGGTCCTCTAGTAGATTTATTGGAACCATTGCCTTAAAATGTGAGGAGATATAATTTAGAAAAATAAAAATTAGTGAAACATAATTCCTTGTGAACCAACAGACCAGTGAGAACTTGATTCATAGTGAATCAAGGCAATAACTTGTGTTATTATATAACAATATGATTTTTGTAGAAATTTATAATCTTAAAAAAATTTTTGAAGGATTTTAGTACATATTTGCTCTTTTTTTTTTTTTTTAATAAGTGGGTGGTGTCATCCCTGTAGAAAAAGGAACCACTCAACAAGAGGATACTTCTGATAAGATCATCACAGAGAGTGAATATTTCTTACCAGAGACCAGCCCTTCAGAAATGTCACCAGCTGAAAGCAAGGGTTTGTGTAATGGAGAGCTATCTGATATTCAAGAACCTATGACTGATTCTTCAGTAGAAAGCAAGGAAAGCTTTATGATAGACCAAGAACACTTTGAAACTTCAGATCCCAATGAACATGTCCATATAGAAAGTGACCATGTTGCTTTGGAAGGCTCAATACCTCTTGATACAAAGGTTAAAACTGAGTCAATTGAGAGGCAAGACTTGGAAATCAGTGATACAGAGGTGGAAACTCTTGATAATGAGGATTCCACTGTTTCATCTGAGAGTAAGAGTGATACACCCGACAGAAGTGAAATTTCCTCTCAGGTCATTGCACCAGTTGATCTTGTCACGAGTGAAACCAGGGATAGTGGTCATTTGAGAGAGTATGAAGCTGAGAACATCAATCAAGAAAATTCTTCCACTGAACATTCTCTGGTATCAGAAGTAATGGAAGGAACTGATGTCAAAGACATTAAAATGGTGCAGTTAGACACAGGTAGAGGTGATAAACATTCTGAGAATGCATGTACACCCAGTGATCATCTTGATGCCTCTTTGACTCTTCAAGGAACTGATCCAGAGGATAACACAGTTGTTGTTGGCAGTGATCATGATGAACAATCTGAAATAGAAATAAAAAAATTTTCTCCAGGCTTGGATGAAAATCAGGTAATTATAACACAGCAAGACTTTTTCAGTGTGACTGGTGAAGCAGTTATTGCTGAGGGAAATGAGTATCATTGTCATCACAGCAATAAGCATGAATTACTCTCAGAAACAATGTCAAAAGAGGAGTCTCCAGGGTACATTAGAGAAACAGAGGTTGATCAGCATTCTCAGGTAGAAAATCTGTCTTCAAATGTGGTTGCCATGGAGAAGAAAGCAGATGGACAGGGTGTGCAAGCTGTGCCACAACCATCCATCAATTTTGATCAAAAGGAGGGTGAAGATGAATCTGTGGAAAACTCTTTAGGAGAAGTTGCTGTTTTGCAAAGAGTTGATGCAGGTGAGAAGTTCTTTTCTTGTATACACCTTGCTTTTACACTGTCCTACAAATCAAAAACTTCTATCTCACACCAGCTGTCTAATTTCAAGTTCAAATGATACGTCGATGTTGAAGGTAAATGACTTGAATTAAAAATGACTTCCAACTATTGATCGATTTCCCTATGTAAGGACTCAGTTAAATGAAATGTCACAAGAACAAAATAAACTATTTCAATATGGTTTTTATCAGAAATTCTTTGTGAGTTACAACAGAGCTCTGTATCCAATGGTTGTCATTGCCTGTTACAGTTGATATGGATGAGCTTATTTCTGTTACAATAATGACTGTCATGTGACTTGTCAAGGTCATTCCTTTAACTTATAAGGGTGATTGGCATCCAATTTCTCCTTAAAGTATCACTGCTGAATCAAACAGCAAGGTCTTGAGAATAAAGGGAAATGATCACCAACTAGAGAAGTTCACGATAGGTTAACAAATTCTCCTTGTCAGCACCATAGGAAATGTAAAGAGAACAGTATGGAGAATATGGATACCCATGTAAGGTGCAAAGGATTAAGCTGTAAATTTGGTGTTTTTTTATGTTGAGTGGTCAAAGAAGACTGGTGCTGTAAAGTCTAATGACTGCCCTGTTGCCGAGAAGGCAATCCCAAGCTGGAAAACGGACCCACTTTGTTCCCTTGCAAGCAAATCAGAATAACCATTTTTTGCATCATATTTCCTGCTTAAAGAGGCAGCCAGACTTGTAATCAGAAAGTACTGACAATGCAAAAATAGGCTTTGTGGGTCAATGTTATAGCTGTCAAATTTAAGTGTCACCAAATTGTTACATTATATTGCAATCAATTTTTTATTTTAGATTCTCTCCTTACTGAGACCATCACAAATAATCCTCTTATTCTTGGAGACCTCGGTAAATGTCTGGATACAGAGTACCAATATGGGAAAGTTCCTTGTTGGAGAGACCTGGCTAAATTATTGGGTGTACCTCCAGAAGCCTACGAACACTGTGGTACCTTCTCAGCTACAAGTCCAACTGAGGACTTGTTTGTGTTCCTAACAGCAACAAAACCTCAACTTACTATTGACGATGTTAAGGAGGCTCTGAAAGAAATTGGCAGATGTGATGTGGCTCATTATCTAGACAGAAAAATTGCAGGTGTTTCAAGCAATTCAGTGAATTTGTTTCTTAGAAATGCAAAGAGCAATAGGCACAGAAAATACCTTGAGCTAGAGGGCCAAAATAGAGTCCTGATCCTGTCTCATGCATAAATTTTTAAAAAATTTATTTCACATGTACCTTAGACAGTATTTGAAAAGTCACAAATGTTGAAAGGAAAACTTCAAATCTCATTTCACCTTACCTTTCTGTAAAATTCACTCTAGGCTGAATCAGGCATCATGTATAAATGCTTTGCCAGCCTCTTCTAGTAATTTAACATTATTCTCATTTGTAATAATTTTTTCCTTTACCAAAAATGAATACATGACTGATTCTGTTAATAAACTTATTTAGTATGTTTATTTCTCAATCAGCTGGACTCATCAGTCAGGAAAGTGTAGTTGCCAGTCTTGTTGAAAAAGATGACACAGGAATTCTTGGTCATATGGCTCTGAAACTTGACATGAAAAGCAGAAAGGATTGGAAAGGTCTAGCACTACAACTGAATGTACCCCATTGTGTGTTACGAAACCTTGGATCTCACCAGAAGCATAATTCATCTTTAATGTTGTTAAAGTACATTCCCATATTTGATCCTGAGATGACATTAGCACATCTGAAAAACTGCTTGATATCCATTGGTAGACAGGATGTTGGTCTAATCTTTGACAAGGGTGGAATTCCAGGTAGCATAAGTTTGTTCATTATTTCAATTTGTGTTATTACATGGCTGGAAACTTATCTTTGGTAATGTTTGCAGTCAGGGCAGATTACATTTAGTTTGTACTTGTTTCCCAAGGTTGTCCAACTTGTCACATGAAGAAAAATCTCAGCCTTGTCTTTTCATGCTGTTTAAATTCTGCCTTTCTAAGGTTTTCTTTGATAACCTCCTTTTCTTTACAGTCAATTAAAAAACATTTAGTTTATTACTAACAGCAGTATCATGACTATGAGTAGTAGGTATCTCATGTAATTATTGTTACTTGAACAAGAGTCATTTTCTATTTATGGAGAGGGATCTTTAGGTGCAATTTGCACATCACAAGAGCTTTGAGAATTAATTTTTCATTTTTGAGATACTTTGTCTGTAACAGTGGGTGCTTTTTATTCACTAAATGATACATCTTTGTCTGTTTCAACATTATGTCACAAGGAAATTTTAAAAAAAACTTATTTGGGGACTGGCTGTTTATATTTCAACAAGGAGATTCTTTCTTTGTCTTTCAGGAGATGAGCTAGTTAAAAATATTCTGGATGACTCAGAGCTGCTTGATCAAATAACAGACCTGCTGAATGAAGACCCTCCTCATCCCCATTGGAGACACCTCGCAAAGGAGCTGAAAATTCCTCAGGAAAAATGTCAAATATTTGAACCCACAGAAGATGTCAACAGCCCAACTAAATTGCTGTTTAAAAGTATTGAGAGATGCGAGCCAGATTTGACATTTGAGGAGCTTGTTCTAGCACTTGTTGCAATGAAAAGACAGGATGTCTTAGATGTCCTCTTAACATATTTTTCAAGTGAGTTGATATTTTCCCCCACCAGATAGAATGAAGATAGTCAACCTTATTAAGTTATCTTATAATTTTACTTATAAGTAATATTTTTTTCATTGTTTGGGCCTGATCAGTAATTGATCATACATTATGTTGAAATCATGGTAAAGGTGAGGCCAATCAGCTCTGGGGTTAGATGTTTGCAGATTAACGCACCAGTTTGGATCTTGGGAAGCATATTCCAATTATTGTAACAGTCAGTTTTCTTTAACCATGAGTCTTTTTTTTTGTAGGTGATGATGTTGACCAGATACTGGAAGAAAACAATCTTCTTGAACCCCTAGAGGATATCCCAGAAGAAATTGAAAGTTAGAGAGAGAGATCAACTGTTTGTTAAGGAGGAAACAGTGGAGCAATGAAATTATTATAAAATATTGACTTGATTCTGTTAGTTTTCTCCTAAATCTCCCATTTCGAAATGAACCAAATGGATAAACATCTAAAGGCCCTACTCAAGGGATTAACAGTTTGGGGGGGCTCTAAGGTGAGAGGGTGGGTGTGGAGGGGGGGAAGAGAAGTCACAAGGTACTGTGCATTCACAGTCAGTTAAGATGTGTAATGCATGTACATGGTTAAGAGTGGGTTGAATCAGGGTTAACCAGTCATGAGTTATCTTTCCAATTTTTGGGTAATCGGGGACTGCACCGACTTTACTGTGCTATCGTCTGTGACAGGTTCACAGTTAAAATTGGCTTGATAATTGCATTATTCACATGTCATTTGATTGGGTTACTAGATTCCTAAGATATAATGTTAATATAAAGGCTCTGGTGACTTGAGGTATCTCTAGTTATAGGTACAAATGTAAAACCATTGTTTATACTTAAGACTGTGTATTTTTGTAGGATATGACATATTTTGATTAATATACTATTTATAAAGTTCTAATGTATACTGGTATCATGTCAGTTATCTTGTACATTAGATGGTAGCTTAGTGAGAATAGTTACTTTATGTTGACTGTGAGGTAAATCCCAGTTTTGCTGGGTGTATGAATATTCAGGTGTAATATTATTTATGTATCCTAAATGTGCAAAAAATACTTGCTTTAAAGTCATTTATACATTGATGACTTATCCATTTGAAGTGGCAGTAATTCACTCCACATTAATTGCATGTTTAGCTGAAAAGTTTAAGAGCAGATTGGCTTTTCATATATAATATTGGAAGAAATATATTGTCTTAATACTTTAGAGAAAAAATGTTTTGACTTTTGTTGGGGGAACATATTGTTCAGTTTAAATGAAAACTTAATTTGAATTATTTCCACCATCCAACTCCAAAGGATGAAAGCAAAAGAGTAGTTGTTGTTATTTTTGCCAACATGGCATGCAGTGAAGGTACTTAATTAATTATTTTTTTCTTTCAAGAACTATGATGTTTAGAATTGAACATTTTGAAAGCAAAGTTTCATTGGATCAAATACATGTGATTACAAGGGTAGCATTGGATGGATGCACCATGTAATTTGAATGAATTTTCTCTAACTATTCAGTATCTTCTGCTTCTATTGTAAAAGTGCGAATGCTTTTCCTTACAAGGGATCCAGAAATGGTTATGAAAACTTTGTTTCCCTTATAACCAAAGGTCTAAAATATTTTTAGAAACTAGCTTTTCTACCTCTTACAACAAATGCATTTTTTGTGGTGAGCTGTTCATGAGTGTAAATGATTAGTCTTTAATTTTCTGCTTATAGAAAAGTATATAATTCTTTAAAAATATTTTGTGAGGTAGCAATGTATCTTAGCATATACCATATATACAACATAAAAGGATTAGTTTTGATAATTAGTTAACGATCAGTTATTCCTGAATCAATAGCAAGCTTTTGTATAATCAGAACAGTGTACCAAGGCTGAAGCATGTCGTTCTTTTCAAAGAATGATCACTTATTAACATCTGCTAATGCAAATTCAGAAGGTGTAGCGTTATTTCTTATTCCTAACTGAAATTTCGTGTTCAAATTTGAAATAGATATAATCGCGCTATCTCAGTCTACGAGATACTAAGCATGTTCTCCATTTTTCACCTTTTTGACGACTCCAAGTGATTACTGCCATGAAGCAGAATCAATCAAAATTTAGCAGAGTCCAAAGTCGAAGTCATGTATTTAGTAAAGTTTCTTATTTTCTGCATTCTTTCTTTTCCTTCGTAAGAGACAGCCAAAGTCCAGGCTTGAGTTGTTAGCTTGGTAATCTCTGTTTCGCAGAGCAGAAATTGGTTTTACGTAAAACAGGGGTTTCATTTACAGAATTAACTTTTCCTCTTAAACTTCAAGGACTTCAGTGTTGAGTTGACATTTGTCAATTGACTTTTTTGTGGCATTTTCCACGAAATAACGGCCGAGTTTTCAAACTTAAACTAACTTTTATTGTGATCGATATTCTTTATTTGGTAGTTAATACCAAACGAATAGAAATTGTTACTTATTCCATTTACATGTAATATGTTAAGACGTGGAACTTGCATACTATGCTCGTAAATCTCGCTTTCGTAGCTAATGTTACTGTGAAGAACACACTTACAATATGTTCCGTAAGTAATAGGTACTTGTGTTTGGAAGCATAGTGGAAAACATAAAATCAAGTTAGCCTGGAGATTTTTCTTTTCAAATAAGTATGATAGTCAAATGTTTTTTCCTTAATGAAAATTTTCCAATTCATTAGTGGATTACCCCCCCTCCTCCCTTTCCCTCAATAGGGAGCTTAAGCATCGACGTCTTAGAGAGGCGGACGGCGGCTGGAAGGTTAAAGTTCTTAATTCTGGTCCTAATACGCCTTTTTGGTCGGAACAGTTTGGTTTAAAATGCGATAACGAAGACCTCGTGATCGATATATTAATGTTAAGGTGCATCAGAGTTAGTTTTATTCTTCTTCCGGTTACCGTCCGCGCTTTAAAGCGTCTCTTCACAAGTTCCCTTTTGCCTCACTGTAAGACCGAGATGTTTCATCCTGTGGTCTGATCGTCCAGGTGGGAGCAGTCCGAAAAAAGCATTCTTATCGACAACTTTTATTAGCCGAAGTGATAATCAGGGTCTGTGCTGTGACTATGACGTGCCTAAGGGTTGTCGAAGCGTCAATCACTATTACCGACCAGGGTACTTTTCAGGAGTACAATCATCTCGCTGCTGCCTTAAGTTATTCTTTACAGCTTTCGATCCCCCCCCCCCCCTTCCTCTCTGCCTCCTCCTACAACGATTGGTACTGATTCACCTTTGATCTTGACTGAAATCGTGCTCCACTGGAACAAGCAGATTTAGGTTGAGTATTAATTTCGTTTATTCAGTAGGCGAGAGGGACTGCCCTCTCTGGGAATTTTAATTGTGGAACAGAAAGAAAGAGGTGCCAAAAGGAAACGCTCAAACTCTTGTTGCAGACGCCGAGTGGTACAATGAAGACAAACTATGCTGGTCGTTAGTCCAAATGCTTTCCTCCAAATAAGTACATATTTCCTTTGCTTGTTGAGATATTTTTGTGTTAGTTGTTAGGTTATTGTTTTGTGTGGTTAGCATCTAAGTTTTGAACTCTTAACAAATCACTAAAGCCGACCTTTTCTAAATACTTTCGAGTTGGTCGTCGCTGATATCTTCCTGGTAGAGAAGAGGTCTCCATTCAGTCTCAATAGGAAGGTTGTCTATAGGTAAATTTCATTAAGTTTACCTTTTGTCAAATGGCAGATTTTTCAGGATTCAGCTGGTTCAGTTTGTAATCGTAGTTCAGTTTAAGACCGTTTTTACGTTTCTCCCACTTAAAAATTGGAACGCGGTGCACAACTAGTTTAACCAACACAACCAGTTTGACGTATTCGTCGTAAAAAGGAAAAACGGGGTTACATTCGATTTATTTGATTTTACTTAATCCGAATATTTCTTCCCACGGCATAATTAAACCGTCAGGGTAATGTCCAAAATCACTCATTCATGAAAGTTCTTTCACATACTGAACAGTAAAACTATACGAGGAACTGGGCAGGAGCCCATCTCTTTTATGATTGGCTATTATATAAACACCCGCGAAAAACCTCGTGGGAGGTGCTTCTAAAAGTCAAAAGATACGGGACAGGGTTGACTCAGAGGGTAAGTATCAAAGATGGAAGCTCCGGATAATGGGCTCCTCTCATGGGTTGAAATCCCGTACAGGCCTGACTCTTTTTCAGGCCTTATTTTCACTACTGCTTAAGAAATGTTCAATACTGCGAAGTTCGCTTTCATGTTCATACAGCACTTTATATGGTGCTCATTACAGGTGGGGGATAGCTCAGAGAAAATGAAAACTCACAAATTGGCTTGTTGTGCAAGATGATTGGCGTGGAAGAGAATCAGGATTACACGCGAGCGAGGATACACGCGAGATTCCCACGCTTGTCGTTGGGGTCTGGGTTCTAAAACAACAGTGGGTAGTCAAGCAGGCAGTCAAGTATGTGAAGTTTTCCCGTTTCCTCTAAGTTTGATTAATTTTTCCAGAGAGATGGATGAAGCTGACCGCAGGAAAGAAGCTCACTTGGCAAGAAAAATTGAACTTGAAAGACAGCGTGAAGAAATTCTTCGTGAAAGGGAGAGACTTCTTTCTCTGAAGAGTGAAATTGGTGCAAGAGATACGAACTCTTCAAGAAATAGCTCAACGCGTTCGTCTACATTGAGTGTACAGATTAAGAAAACGAAAAACAAAATTCCAGAGTTTGAAAGAAAAGTTCAAACGCTTAGAAAGGAAAACCAAGCTAGAACTGATTTATTGAGAAAACCTTACGATGGAGAAATGGGAATCGGTACGTACGAACCCTGGCAGTTGGAGGATTTCTATTTCGTTCGTGAGTTTGTACGATCATGGGTCGACGAGGTTTTGGATTTTATCGTTCCAGAACGCCCACGAGTAAAACCTGACTATGATACAGCAGGTATTGCTGAAGGGTTTTTCGAAGAACTTGATGTTGAAAGGAAACACGATGAAATTCTTCAGGTGAGCCTCGACATTGAACAGGGCATTTTGGCAGATGTCATTTACCAGATTGCCAAGGAAACAGCTGCTGAATTGGTGGCTTTTGAGGTTCAAACTAGGACCATGCTAGATAGAATCATACTGGATTCTTTTGATCCTCGCTCTCAATCAGCTGATCAGAGAAAGATTTCCCTACTGAACAATGCTTTGTCTCAGTTCAAAAAGGAAGCCCTGAAGAAAAGAGAGGTTTGGTCTCACAGTCAATCATTTCACAGAGATGAGAATGTAAATGATACTTCTGTGATAGTTGATGAAGAAGAAGATACTTTTGATGGAACTGTGCTACATTTTCATGACATCACACCTTTCAGTGATGTACCTGATGCTAATCTCCCTCCAGAGCAAGTTGACTTTCAAAATAAAGAATCAGAGTTTTGGATGGGGAACACTGTTGACCTGTGCACACTGCCTTTACCAAGACGTTATAGAGGTGTCTCTTGTACTGCATTGTCTCCTGATAACAGCCTTATTGCTCTGGGAACAGTTCAAGGAGACATTGTGATCTGGGATTTAGCTACCTTTCCACCACGCATATTGAGAAGCAGCCGTGGTAATAACTCTGCTGTTGTTCAACTTCACTGGAGTTTTGACTCTTCACAAGTGGTTAGTCTAAATGATTATGGTGCCATCACACTATGGTCGCTTGGCAACACGATATCCATACCTTACGAAGTGAAATCATTTGAGCCTTTGGAGGTTAATATTGGTTTTAAACCTTCTGCTCTAATTCCATTGTTGACTCTAGAGCGAAGAGACTTTCTGTTCACAAAAGGACCATTTTCAGATTCCAGAGATTTATCAAGTGAAGTAACGACAGTAGCTTTTCATCCTTCAGCAACACTTCTGGGAAGGCAAGCATTTTTGATGGTGGGGTTCAGTAATGGGAACATTTTGAAGCTTAGATTCAACAAAATGGTGTCAATCATGTCCTTTCCACAGGTTCAACCAGCCAATGGTATAACACATAAGATTGGTAAAGATGTTGATGCTGAACTATTTAAAGAACATTGTCACAAGATTGTGCTTATAACATTTGTGAACAACATTTTACCTATGGTAACTGTTGATGAAAAAGGATTTATGAACATATGGGAATACTCCAGTGAATGCTTAACTGGATTTGGCTGGTTTGTTCCCAGCACTAAGTACAGGCTGAACATGGTGGAGATGACATACGAGCCTGTTCTTGGAACACAGGAGAAAGAAGAATTCACAGATGAAGTGAAAGGTCCAAAGCATAAACACCATCGTTTGAGGTAAAAGTGTTTCCTGTCTCAGGCTGAAGTTTTTACTTTAAGCCTGTTTGTTCAAAGGATGGATAACACTATCCAATGGATGAATTGCTATCCAGCAGATAAATATTAACAAATGATACTGTGCTATCCAACCAGATAGAGAATTACTGGTATCCAGTGGATAGTGTTATTGACCCTCTCTTGATATAGACACATGTCTGGCATGTGTGTGCACCAAAAATTACAGGTGATTTGTTTGATATACCACTGAATACTTCTATAAAATGTTGTATGTTATCTACAATATAGTGATTGCCTGTAATACAGTCACTATTGGTGATGTGGGCTGAGTGAAAATGAAAAAGTACACCATGTTTTACTGAAAAATGAAGAAATGTTCATTTACTTAGCATAAATTTATTAGGACATTTTGGTTATTATCATTCAAATTTTTGAGCATGCCAAGTTTAAATAATTTTTAATTTTTTTTTTAGGCAGAAAATGGTTCAAAATCGTATAAAGACACAGAAGTACATCAATTCTCTTCGTCTGGAAAAACCATGGCAGACTCAAGAGAAGGACAACAAGGTTACCAAAATATTTGCACCAAAAAATGTTCCTGAATCAGGATCAACTTTCCACCATGTGACTTATTATCAGAGGTCAGGCCAGTTGGCATCTTATGTCACCAAGGTTTACAAGCCATTGCAAATTCCATGTTCAAAGTTCATCTTATCCAAACAAAACTTTGCAGGCACCAGACTTGTGTTCATGCTTCTGTTTCCAGTGGTAGAACCAAAGGAAGCCCATGTTTCTCTGGTTATCATCAATCTTGAACCAACAGTGTCTGTTAGTAAGAATTACATGCACATTGCTCTGGACAAAGATGATTATGAAAGATGTCTTTCTGGAAGTACCTGCTCTTTTGGAATCTCTCATGCTATAGATGCCACAGGAAGTGAGTACATTGTGGCAAATGTGAATGGAAATTTATTTGCAGTTTCCATGACAACAGGAAATGAAGTTATGGCAGAAACTCAGGAGGGATGGGTGGGTTGCCATCTTAGTCTCAAGAAAGGTCAAGTACCTCCAACTTCCAAGGTAGAAGTTGCTAGCACATCCAAAGGTCTCCAAGTGTTGTTGTATACCCACACACTAAATTCTGCAGTTTTACTGCAGGTGAGAGATGAGAACACCCAAGAGCAACGTAAACAAACATGGATTGCTTTCCAGCAGTGGATACATGTTGGCACTAAGAATACTGAATGTGTTCCAGTCACTTTGCACACAATAAGGAAACATGATTGGACCTTTGAGGGACACTCAGATGTGTACATTCAGTGTTTCATGGAGTCTTTGGTTCTTGACTTGATTGATGACGCAGTCCAAATAGCTGAGGGTTCATTTACCAGTGAACAACAACAAAGGTTTCATGCTGAAAACTTTCAGATTCCATTTTTGAGAAAGAGTTTTCAGGAAACACCACAAGATGCTGACCAAGGGAACATGTCTTCCTGGCATGACAGGCAGTCAGTGGTGTCAACACTGTGGGAATAGACTCAGTTTTAATAGCTGAAATTTAGATGTAGGAAGTAGTTTTGTAATATTCTTGCCATAATTCTCATATGTATAAATCTTGATTTCCTAAGTTTTGATCCGCATGTACAAAGCCAAGCAATTTGGTTGCATCCAATTTGTCAGAATGACCCATTTTACGATCTACATGTACATGAAAAAATGTATATGAATCTCATTTACTACAAAGGCTTCTGTGGCTGGTGCTGTAGAATTTTCAGCTATAATGAGTCCAAGCAAATAAAACCATGCCTGTTTTTTTTTTCATAAATGTTTGTTGTTTGTCTGTTGATGGCACCAAACAAATTGATGAAGATGACTGTAGATCTAGATTTTTTTAATAAATATTTGAAGAATAAAAGTGACTCAGCAATGTGCAAAATTTCAAAAACCCTTTTCAGGACAACACAAACAGGAGTCCTGTAAGCATTCACTTAAAACTGGTTAAACCAGTTGCACATAGCTGAGTCAATTTTATTCTCCAAATGTTCAAAGTAAATGGTGGGAAACTTTACAGTTAGGTTATTGGGTTAACAAAGAAACACTCAATACACACTTCAGCAAAATGAAAATGAATTAAAGTGATTAGATCAGTGTACAAATGTTGCTATTACTTGCTGAGTCTTTTGAACCCAGCCCCCCCCCCCCCTCCTCAAAAACTTTTCGGTCTTTCCTTCATTTCTTTTTTCCATTCTCTTACTTTATGTTGTCAGCAAGTTTAATCAGATTTTCTTGAAGGAGAAGTGGTGTAACGGAAGGGAAGGGGAAGAAAGAATAGAGTGTTCTGCCGTTGGCCGAGGCAAACTCCGGAGAGCCTGGAGCCAAAGGTTTCCCCAGTCTTTAAGAATCAGCTCAGCCAACATGGCGGAGAGCAACTCTCCAGGATTATCAAGTGTTCCTGATGTAGAGATTGATGCAAATGGACTTTTTAAATACGTTCTTATCAAAGTAATAGATCCTTCTAATGAGAATACTTACAAGTGCATAGTCAGAGGATTTGATTGGGCAAATTACCATGGTAAGCATGTCGACAGATCTTCACGTGTTTCATATCTTTCCATTCTTTTTGAAAGCCGCTTCATGACAGTCGATGAAAGGATAACTGGTCAAATCGCCCGAAAGTCATCACGTCCGAAGTCGAGTCGCCCGGAACCTGAGTCATGTCGCCCGAAATTCTAGTCATGTCGCCTGAAATAAAAAGTCAGGTCGCTCGAAGAAACAGATAACAGACTATAAATAGGTTATAAAGTTGAGAAATATATGACACTAAAGCGATGTTTGTTTGCGACAACACCAGTGAGGAAGATGATCAGAATAGAAATATGTTTGGTAAAATTCCCCTGCACAGCCCCATCCTACATTATGCATTCAGTTCTTGGATAGAAAAAACCAATGACAAAAACAATACATTGCCATTGGGAAAACAGATTTGTTTTACAGTATGGCGCTGTGCGGAAATTTTACCCACCATTTGAGTGACTACACAGAAATCGATCTTATTGTCAGAACTGAAATATGTTTGAGCAAATATGTTTGAGCAATGACTTAAACAACAAAAAAGCGTTGTTTGTTTCTATAACAACAAAATACAGCGTTGCCCATCTGTTTGATATCCACTCATACTGACCAATGTACACTGACTCATACCCACCAAAATAGCCACTCCTACCCACTGACGTTTCTTAAACTTGAGGAAATTTATCACTAAAGCAGTGTTGGTTTCATGGTGCACCATGAAGACTTAAACTACACAGAAAATGCAGTTGATCATATGGTCTGAATTGATATATGTTTAACTCAGGATTTTGGACGTGATGTTTATTTTGCTATTTATTTGTTATTTTGTCCCTTTTCCTCCTAATTGTTGTTAGTGATGTGACTGACCAGTGTATAAAAGCCTGTGTTACATTATTGAATATTTTTAATAATTTTGTTCCACATCTTTCTTTCAGCTGATATTTATGACAAAATAGAGGAGGAAATTGGAGAAATGAGAATGAAAACTGAATGTTTAGGTGGAGGCAGGATACAACATGACAGACTTGCCAAAAAAATCCTTGTGTATGGTTATTCTGTGGTAGGTTTCGTCTTCAGGAAAAATTAAGATGTTCGGCTATTTTCGTATTATTATTAGGTCATATTGCAGTGTGAGACCAAACTTGAGGAAAAGATCTAAACTATGAAAATATCTACACTGCAGTGATAAATTAGAAAAATATATTTGCAATAACTCTGGGACAGCTTCATAATGTTTGGAAGAACCCACAGTTTAATCTGAGGATGTTGTGTAGACTGTTTTAGAGGGTAGTTTCATACAGTGCGGTAACCTGGAGAGCCTCTTTGTTTTGCACCTGCATTTATGCCTTGGAAAAAATTTTATTGCAGATGCACAAGTGGCAGAACCAAAGCTTAATACATGGGCCATATAAGTTCTGGGCCTGTCATGTATTTTGTTATTAGTCGTTCAGTCAATCTCTGTATCTGAAAGATATAGTGGTACACATAATTTGTTGACTAAGTTGAATGCAGGGCCTTGAAATTGCCATTCAGTATGCTGTTAGTGTCCTTATTGTACTTTTTATGTTATAGAGAAAGGTGGATTGATGGGTTAATTTTGATCCTTTCATTTTTGTGTGTGCATGTTTAATTCCCTGTGTTCTTTATTCTAAAAACCATCTGGGTCTCATGCTGTGAGGGTAAAACAGGGTAGCAATTGCTCTGTAGCCAACTTTTGGGGCCCACATAACTAGACTTTTGGTTGTTTAACCCTTTGACCCCCTAAGAGTGACTAACATCTAATTTCTCCTCACAGTATCACCCCTGAATCACACATTGAGGTCATGAGAATAATGGAAATGATCAAAATTACAAATTGTTAAGGAAATTCTTCTTGTCAGCACCTTTAGGAAACATATGGCTAACAGTATGGAGAGAATGCATACCAATGTTGGTGTGTAAAGAGTTAAGGCCTGAATGAAGTTTGTCAGTTTGACATGTTGTTCCTGGGTGGAGAGAGGACTTGTGAGAGTGAAACAATCTGTTAAGGAACACTATACTATGGCTTGGGCAGGAATTCAACCTAGACCCCTAAATACACTGACCTTTAGGCAAGCATATGTCAGTCTGTTGGTAATAAATATTATTAATTATACATGGTTTTCTCCATTTTTATGACTGACTTTCTGAAATAATTATGTTTAATTTTTAGGGGTTTGGAAGAGCAGATCACTCCATCACAGTCGAGAAACTTAAAACAGCTTACCCAGATTATGAAAGTATTACCTTCTCCAATGAGGGTTATTAGAAACATGTTGAGATGTCTGAATTTATTTATTAAGTCATATTTTGTAGTAATCTTACTACCAAAAGATTAATTATTTGATACATTGTATAGGATAGGACACTTAAAAAAAAGTACAACTTGAGGTCTTTGTATTTGGCAGTGCTTTCAGTAAGACTTGGTGCATGTGAAAGCTCTTGCAAGATCAGTTATGTAGCAAAATACCTGAAAAAATCTTGACAGCTTTAATTTGGTAAAGAAAAAATAAAATTGATATGATACTTAAAAAGAGATGTGTTATAAACTGATAGACACCCCCCCCTAGTAATAGTCATTTGTCCCCAAACAGGCTGATGGGGCAGAGTTTACTTGTGTTCCGTTCCAGACTACCAGATTTGACAAACTTTTTCCATTTTTAAACCAGAACAATTTTAGTTTCTTAAGAATGCCATGTAGGGACAGTCCTATGCAACCTCAAATCTGAATAAAAGCACTGTTTATAAGTTGGCTAAGTATCCTCTATGCATGCTCATTTCTAACAGTTTTTTACATGGATTTTAAAGACTCTTTCCAAGTAATGAATTTATATAAAAATGCATCTAGAACTATGTAAACAAATCCAAACCTGTGTATGAGAAAAAAAATTATAAACTTCAAAAGGCACAAATATTATATACTTTGGTGGTAAATATTTTGCCAATCAGCTAGGGCTTCATTGGTACAAAGTTATGCAAACTAAAGCTACTTAAATTTATTCAATAGGTTGCTAAGGTTCGTTATCCAAAGCTGTTTTAGCACAAGATAAAAACTGAGATTATAATTTTTATAAACAGTGGTGTACTTCTTCAAATAGTTAGGTGTATAATGATTAGGATCTTAACTAATTATACCATTACCTTGAACTGTTATACAACATGTAAAATTTGTGATTAAGGAATAACTTCACCTTACAATATCATAACATTATCCAGCACTTAGGGAAAAAGGAAAAGATAAGTTTAGCCACAAGACTGGTTGCTATTTACATACAATACCAAATACTCTTCACTAATTTACCAGAAAATAAACAGTTGACGAAGGGACAATTATTACTCAGATGTTTAGAGTGGAGGAAACATTTTTCCATTTGTTTACATAATTATACAATGATATCCAAGTTTACACTGTAATGTTTCAAACATCTTGCTGCACAAGTGTTTCCATTTCTGTTCCACTGTGCTCTGGAACATGACCATTTTCTTGTGATGAGTTAGGAGCCGAAACAGGACCACTTTTGCAATCTGCAGATTTCTTACTTTTATTAACCCACCTCTTCCAATAGAGCCATGAAAAGAATATAGAGATTAAATACATCACTGCTTCTTTCAAAGCCTCATCAGCAGTTTGTCTTCCATTATATGACTGCCCAGCTAGAATTACAATAACAATAAGACCACAGACAGCTAGGAACCCAGCAAAACATGAAGAAAATGACTGACATTTTGAGGCGTCATTTGAAGACATGTAGGTATAAAATGCAAAGGTTGAGATACCAATAAAAAGGCAAAGTACGAGCAGAACAACAAGACCCCAGATAGGATTCAGCATTATACCGACTAAGAGCCAACAAAAATGGTGGGTTGCTAAATTTGCACAAATTATGAAAAGAAGTGACTTGACCTTTACACTGTAGTTATTCTGGTCGCTACCCCCACATTTCACCCATGTCACCAAAAAGACTATTGCCCCAGCAAGCACAATGACCGGTTGTATCAGTTCAATAATAAGGAACATATAATAAGGAACCATTTTCTTATCGCTGCTACTTGTATGGACTGTTACATATCTTGGTATAATTAAAACAGTGATTATTACAAACAAAAACGCACACAGGAAATCTATCGTATTTTTTCTATTGTTGTCCTTTTTTCCGAGCTCGTCCTGTTTTCTCGTTGTTGTAAAGGCCAACAATGGCCCAAACACTATTGAAAAGAGAAAGGAGAGGATTAAAATTAATTTTATTCGCCAACTGTGTTCTGTAACAGAGGAAATACTTGGTTGATCTCCCTCTGTGATACATTCAGCAGAATTCAGTTGGGGGTCTCTTCTTGCTGGCCTAACAGCCAGATCTTGGAGCTATGAAACATAAGAAAGAACTAAGTCAAATCAAACAAAAAGATGATTCTAAAAGAGTAAGCGAAAAAGAAGTGAAGATGAGCTATGGGATACTGGAAGGTTTGGAAAAATATTTAAAAACACAGAACAATGAATCCCTGTTGGTATGTCCAGCACCAAGTCATGGGTTCTTGGTCATAATAACAGTGTACATGCCCAGCATACATGCCAACTCTCTCGAATAAGCCGTAAGTCTTAGGGAAAAGACACGAATCTCCCTGACTCTGGCATAGTTTGCCAAACAACTCGAATAAAGGAAATATGAACCACTATCTCCGTAAAGATGGAGAGGCAAGAAAATTTTTTCTCCACTTTAGAGAATCGTCGCGTTTCTGTTCATGGACTTTAAAGACAATTCTTTTTAACGGATTTGAATTTGATATTTGCTTTCATTTAAGTAACTTCCAGTTTGTAGGAGATATCGGAACAAAGATGCTAATTAACAAATTTAGACGAGGAGAGGGGAGAGGGGTGGGGACGTGGTCCAAAATGGTACCTATCCGAATTTCTCATTTTCCAAGGGGTACTAACATTTTCAGTTCCATGGATGAAGTTATAATAACTGAGGTAACAACTCTACTTTCAATTCTTTTCGGAGAAGATGTTAACAAGGTTTAAGGTGCAATGTTTTTTCCTGATTGGTTTTTTAATGTTCAATTAGAATATTTTTGCTATTTCGGTACATAATCTAAATTGGTCAAAGTACTTACAGCAGCTAGAGCGTCTTCGATGTGTTTTTTTAGTTTCCCTTTCGTCACATCACAGCAGGAAAGTGAAATTGTTATGTTAAGCTCCTGTGTTCGACTGGTCACCATGATTGACCATAAAGACCAAAATTCAAGAACTTTAGCAGGAAGAGCAGCGTACAGGCAAGAAATACTCCACGTGTATTTGGCAGCAGGAGTTGAACTTTCCGTTTTGTTGGGGCCATAGACATTTACAAATACCCGCACTGAGGAAGGCCTCTTGGGTGGATAAAGAGCCGACTCGATGTTGAAACTGTTTTCTGATTTCGCCAAGATGTTGTAAACTTGTTCGTAAGTGATTTTGTTACAGGCATCAGTTGGACTGACTGCACTTGTACAGTTATTGGTAGCTGTTGCTTGGGACATGTGTTTTGGAAATAGGTGCATTATCACAACTTGAATTAAGACGAGAAATTTGAGATCGAATCGCAAAAATGCCATCCTTGAAAAACAGTGGAGATTCTAATAGCTTTGAATCCCTTAGCCAGTTCCAAAATTTCCTGCAAGAGAAGCCGAATGAATACAAACCAGCTTTGTTTGATGCACATTTACTTTTTGAGGCTGGTTATTTCCTGTTAGCTGTCAAAACACAATATTTTATGAGCGAAAATCGCTTAGATTACTGCTAGAGGTTATCACAGTTTCCATATAGCATGAAGTGTTGAGTTAGTATACTGCTACTCCCCGTGGACAAGAGGCAAGTCCATCGCAGAAAATCACCCAGCACATAAAAACGTTAGTCCTTGAGAGTGTTATGGTACCCATTTATATTCTTAGGTGAAACGAGGCTTTGAAACGAATACTGAGTGCTTTTCTGTCTACAGTGAATATATTCAAGAAGAATCGGTAGAGGATTTCTCGCGAGTTCACGTGGAGAAACTAGCTACAGTCTGGCTTAAATGATCGTAACGCTTGCAGAAAGGTTGTTGGCCATAGTTTATCTGCAGTAATTTGTGGTACAAGTCACTACGTTTTGGCTCGGCCAAATACTTAGTATATTGGCTGGATGTAAATAAAAGAACACGTTCACGATACTTCCGGTTTCCATGAAATAGCAATGTCTAACTCCAATAATCCGTGTCTGTAAGCTTCTATCGTTTGCCATTCTGAATAAAGCCTCTACTCATCAAAGTTTGAAATCAATTCCTTTTGATACAAACATTTAAGGGAAAAAAATCAGCGCCGGAAACAGCTTAACTTCTTACCGAGACCCTCCTAACGACTAATGGCTTATCGTAGGCTCAACCGTCCTAATTTCATCTCTCGTGGTTATCATAGATGACCACGGAATCACTAATTCTAGTCACTAAGACCTCGCAAAAACATTGAATTTTAGACATCGAAATCTCATATTGCGTCTAATAAATTTGAAAAGTAGGGCTTTTTCATCGCTAAACTTGTGTCAGCAAACCTTTCAGGTAATAAACAAACTCTCTTAACCCTGATCGTCTTTGATTTTTTGGTAGGCGGACGACAAGCTTACAACTAAAAGAAAAATCTTATGAAACAGGTGGAGAGTACCTTCCCTGTAAAGAAGACTTCCAAACCAAACGATCAAGTGAAACGACACCAAATTGAGATATTCAAATTTTCATTTAAGCCTCTGACCACGAGAGTCCAATAACCACAGATCGCGTGAATTTAAATAGGTCACGCTAGATTACTCGGAAAGAAAACGGAAGTTGTAAACTATAAACTCATATACTTATATTTATTAACTCTAACCGTTTAAATCAGTCATAAACCTGATCTTTTATGGCTATCTACTCGATAATTGAGCTCAAGGCTAATGGAGAAGGCTGATATCATGAGAAATTTACCTTACCGATAAATAGGCTGAATGCCTCCACATGATTTGACTTACATGTCAAGCGACATTTTTAGTATCTAGTGTTTACAAGTTGATAAGGGTGTTGTGGCTACTGGAGCCACAAGTCAGCTATTGTTTCGAGCAAATGCAAGCTGATTTATTTTCACGTCGACTTACTCAATTTGTTTTGAGTTTCACAAGTTTATTAGAGAGCAATATACCCAAACGTTATTTGATTAGATTTGCAATGTAATCAGGGTGATACAAAATTAAATCTATCATAACTGATCACATCAGTACGAAATAATTCCTGTCAGTGTAGTTTAGCTAAGTTATCTATCAATAGTAGAGAACTTGTGTGTTCCAGCGTATTTAGCCTCAAGAACAGTAACATCTGGGAAAAACCTCATATGAAGTGACTCCTTCTTAGACCCGCAGTTAGACTCAGTCTATATTTGTACAACAAAAAGTAGCACAACAGTACAGCCATTTCGCTCGTGTTCCTGAACAGAGTTTTTTTAAACATGAAAAAATCTTGCCTTTTCCCTCGTTGCTAAACCCCCGGTTTAAGGTCATGAGAATAATGAAAATGAACGAAAACTAAAAAGCCCTGGATTGTTTGGGAAATTCTTCTTGTCAGTACCTTAGGAAACATATAGCTAACAGTATGGAGAAAATGCATACCAATGTTGGTGTGTAAAGAGTTAAGGCCTGAATGAAGTTTGTCAGAACCTATTCTTGACATCTTGTTCCTGGGTGGAGAGAGGACTTGTGAGAGTGAAACAATCTGTTAAGGAACACTATACTATGGCTTGGGAATGAATTTAACTCAGACCCCTAAATACACTGACCTTTAGGCAAGCATATGTCAGTCTGTTGGTAATAAATAATCATTAGCGATAAAAGGTTCTCTCCACTGTTATGACTGAAACATTTATGTTTAATTTTCAGGGGTTTGGTAGAGCTGATGACTCCATCACAGTCAAGAAACTTAAAAAACTTAATACCCAGATTATGAAAGAATTACCTTCTCCAATGAGCGTTATTAGAAACATGTTGAGTGAATGTATTTATTGAGTCATATTTTGTAGTAATCATACTGCTAAAAGATTAATTATTTCATTGATACATTGTATAGGATAGGGCTCTTAAAAAAGGTACAACTTGAGGTCTTTGTATTTGGCAGTGCTTTCAGTAACACTTGATGCTTATAAGAGCTCTTCAAGATCAGTTGTGTAGCAAAATACCAGAATAAATCTTGACAGCTTTAATTTGGTAACGAAAAAATAAAAATGACACAAAACTTAAAAGAAGATGTTTTAAAAAGAGGCTGTTGGGGAAGAGTTCATCTGTGTTCCATTCCAAAACACCAGATATGATGAACTTTTCCATTTTTAAACCAGAACAATTTTAGCTTCTTAAGGGTGCCATGTAGGGACAGCCACCTATGTAACCTCAAATCTGAATGAAAGCACTGTTTACAAGTTGGCTAGTTATCCTCTATGCATGCACATTTACTGACAGTAAAATGTACCTAGAACTATGGTGCTACATTGGAGATGTAAACAAATCTAAACCTGTATATGAGAAAAAAAATTATAGAGTTCAAAAGGGACAAATATTATATACTTTGGTGGTAAACATTTCGCCGGTTAGGGCTTCATCAGTACAAAGTTATGCAAACTAAGGCTAGTTAAATTTCTATAATAGGCTGCTAAGGTTTGTTATCCAAACCTGTTTTAGCATGAAATTATAACTAAGATTATAATTGTAATAAACAGTGCTGTACTTCTTCTAGTAGTCAGGTGTATAATGATTAAGATCATAACAACATCATTAGCTTGATCAGTTGCACTGCATGTAAAATTTGTGATTAAGGAATCAACTTCACCTTACAATATCATGACATTATCAAGCACTTAGGAAAGGAAAAGATAAGTTTAGCCGCAAGACTGGTTGCTATTTTGATATAATACCAAATATTCTTCACTAATTTACCAGAAAATGAACAATTGATGAAGGGACAATTATTACTCAGATGTTTAGAGTGGAGGAAACATTTTTCCATTTGTTTACATAATTATACAATGATATCCAAGTTTACACTGTAATGATTTGAACATCTTGCCGCACAAGTGGTTTCATTTCTATTTCACTGTCCTCTGAAACATGACCATTTTCAGCAGATTTCTTACTTTTATTAACCCACCTCTTCCAATAGAGCCATGAAAAGAATATAGAGATTAAATACATTACTGCTTCTTTCAAAGCTTCATCAGCAGTTTGTCTCCCATTATATGACTGCCCAGCTAGAACTACAACAATAATAAGACCACAGATAGCTAGGGACCCAGCAAAACATGAGGAAAATGACTGACATTTTGTGTTGTTGTCATAAGTAATTGAATACATGCAGGTATAAAATGCAAAGGTTAAGACACCGATAACAAGACAAAGTAAGAGCAGAACAGCAAGACCCCAGATAGGATTTAGCATTATACCGACTAAGAGCCAACAAAAATGGTAGGTTGCTAAATTTGCACAAATTATGAAAAAGAATGACTTCCACTCTACTGTGTGCTCCCTTTGATGTCCTTGTTGATATCCTTGTTGATGTCCTTGTTGATGTCCTTGTTGATATCCTTGTTGATTTCCTTGTTGATATCCTTGTTGATGTCCTTGTTGATGTCCTTGTTGATATCCTTGTTGATGTCCTTGTTGATATCCTTGTTGATATCCTTGTTGATGTCCTTGTTGATGTCCTTGTTGATGTCCTTGTTGATGTCCTTGTTGATATCCTTGTTGATATCCTTGTTGATGTCCTTGTTGATGTCCTTGTTGATATCCTTGTTGATGTCCTTGTTGATATCCTTGTTGATATCCTTGTTGATGTCCTTGTTGATGTCCTTGTTGATGTCCTTGTTGATGTCCTTGTTGATGTCCTTGTTGATGTCCTTGTTGATGTCCTTGTTGATGTCCTTGTTGATATCCTTGTTGATGTCCTTGTTGATGTCCTTGTTGATGTCTTCTCTGGCCGCAACTCCCACAGACTATACATGTCACCACGAAGACCATAACCCCAACACCCATAATGAACGGTTGTATCGCTTCAACGTGCCAAGGAACAACTTCTTTATCATTTCTCTTATTTCTATCAATTTCTTTATCGCTGCTAATTTTATGGACTGTTACCTCTTTTGCTATATATAAACCAACGAGTATTACTAATAAAATCAAACAAAGGAAATCTATTGTATTTTTCTTAATTTTTGACTTCCTTCCTTTTTTGTTTTTGAGCTCGTCCCGTTTTATCGTTGTTTTAAAGGCCAACAATGGCCCAAACAGTGTTGAAAAGAGAACAGAGAGGAATAACATTGCTATTATACGCCAACTGTGTTCTGCAACAGAAGAAATATTTGGTTGATGTCCCTCTGTAATACACTCAGCAGAATTCAGTTGGGGGTCTCTTATTGCTGGACTAACAGCCAGATCTTGAAGCTATGAAACATAAGTCAACTGAGTTAAATCAAACAAAAAGATGATTTTAAATGAGTATGCAGAAAAGAAGTGAGCTATGGCGTCTTGGAAGGTTTTGAAAAATATTTAAAAACACAGAACAAACCTGTTAGTATGACCAGTACCAAGTCACGGGTTCTCGGTCATAATAACAGTGTACATACCCAGCAAACATGCCAACTCTCCCGAATAGGCCACAAGTCTCAAGGAAAAGACATGAATCTCCCTGACTCTGGCACAATTTGCCAAATAACTCTAGGAAGGAAATATGAACTACTCCCCCCGCAGAGATGGAAAGGCAGGAACATTTCATCTCCACTATGGAGAATCGTCACGTTTCTGTTCATGGACTTCAAGGACAATTCTTTTAACTGTTTTTCGATTTTTGATATTTGCGTTCATTTAAGTGACTTCCAGTTTGTGGGAGAGATTAGAGCAAAGATGTCAATTAAGCAAATTTAGACGAGGGCGGGGGAGAGGGGTGGGGACTTGGTTTAAAATCGTATATTTCCAGATTTCTCATTTTGCAGAGGATACTAACATTTTCAATTTCTTATTGATTGATCCATGGATGAAGTTACAGTAACTGAAGTAAAAACTCTACTTTCAATTCTTTTCAGTCTAAAAAAAAGTGTTCATGATAACCAGATGTTTTCTATTTTTAAAGTGCAATGTTTTTTCCTGATTGGTTTTTAATGTTCAATTATACCTTTTTTTTTGCTATGTTGATACATGATCTAAGTTGGTCAAAGTACTTACAGCAGCTAGAGCGTCTTCGATGTGTTTTTTTAGTTTCCCTTTCGTCACATCACAGCAGGAAAGTGAAATTGTTATGTTAAGCTCCTGTGTTCGACTGGTCACCATGATTGACCATAAAGACCAAAATTCAAGAACTTTAGCAGGAAGAGCAGCGTACAGGCAAGACATACTCCACGTGTATTTGGCAGCAGGAGTTGAATTTTTAACTTTGTTGTGGCCGTAGACATTAACAAACACACGAACTGAGGAAGGCCTCTTGGGTGGATAAAGAGCCGACTCGATGTTGAAACTGTTTTCTGATTTTGCCAAGATGTTGTAAACTTGTTCGTAGGTGATTTTGTCACAGGCATCAATAGGATTGACAGCACTTGTACAGTTATTGATAGCTGTTGTTTGAGACATGTGTTTTGGGAATAAGTGTATTATAACTTGGATGAGGACGAGAAATTTAAGCTCGAGTCGAAAAAATGCCATCCTTGACAAACAGTGGAGGATCTAATAGCTAATAGAAAAATTTCCTGCAAGAGAACCGGAATGAATACAAATCAGCTTTGTTTGATCCACGTATACTTTTTGAGGCTGATTATTCCGTGTTAGCTACCAAAACACAATATTTTACGCGCGAAACTCGCTTAGATTATTGCTAGAGTTCATCACAGTTTCCATATAGCATGAAGTGTCGAGTTAGTGTATTGCTACTCGCAAAATCATCCAGCACATAAAAAGGCTGTCCCCGAGAGTTATATGGTACCCATTTATATTCCAAGGTGAATAGAGGCTTTAAAACAAATACTGAATGCTTTTTTTCCAACGGTGAATATATTCAAGAAGAATCGGTAGAAGATTTATCGCCAATTAATGTGGAGAAACTAGCTATAATGTGGCTTAAGTGATCGTTACGTTTGCGAAAAGGTAGTTAGCAACAGTTTATCTGTAGTAATTTGTGGTACAAGTCCCTAAATTTTGGCTTGGCGGAGAAATACTTAGTAAATCGGCTGGATGTAAATAATAGGACACGTTCATACTTCCGGTTTCCATGAAATAACAATGTCTAACTCCAATAATTCGTGTCTGTAAGCTTCTATCGTTTGCCATTCTGAATAAAGCCTTTGCTCATCAAAATTTGAAATAAATTCATTTTGATATAAATATTTAAGGGAAAAAATCAGCGCCGAAAACAGCTTAACTTCTTACCTAAACCCTCCTAATTTAACGACTAATGGCTTATCGTAAGCTCGACTGTCCTAATTTTATCTCTCGTGGTTATCACAGATGACAACGGAATTACTAGTTCTAGTAACTAAGACCTAGCAAAAACATTAAATTTTAGACATCAAAATCTCATATTGCGTCTGATAAATTTGAAATGTAAGGCTTTTTCATGGCTAAACTTGTGTCAGCAAACCTTTCAGGTAAAAAACAAACTCTCTTAACCCTGATCGTCGTTGATTTTTTGGTAGGCGGACGACAAGCTTACAACTAAAAGAAAAATGGTATGAAACAGGTGGAGAGTACCTTCCCTGTGAAGTAGACTTCCAAACCAAACGAACAAGAGAAACGACACCAAAATAAGATATCCAAAATTTGAATTTAAGCCTGTGACGACAGAAGTCGAACGACTACAGATCACTTACTAGGGTGTGAATTTTAATAAGTCACGCTAGATTACTCGGAAAAAAAACGGAAGTTGTAAACTATAAACTCATATACTTATATTTATTTATAAGGTCTAAATAAGTAATATGCCTGATCTTTTATGGCTATCCAGTCGATAATTGATCTCAAGGGCAACGGAGAAGGCTGATATCATGAGAAATTTACCTTACCGATAAATAGGCTGAATGCCTCCATATGATTTGACTTATTAATCAAGAGATATTTTTAGAATTCAGTGTTTACAAGTTTATGATGGTGTTATGACAACTGTAGCCACAGATCAGCTATTGCGAATAACTTTAAGTACATTTTCGAGCAAATGCAAGCTGACTGATTTTCACTTCGAATTAAAGACGAATACTTAATTTGTTTTGAGTTTTACAAGTTTATTAGAGGGAAATATATCCAAACGTTATTTAATTAGATTTCCAAAGTAACCAATATATCAGATATAAAATTAAATTTACCATAACTGATCACATCAGAACAAATTAATTCCTGTCAGTGTAGTTTAGCTAAGTCACCTATCAATAGTAGAGAGCTTCTGTGTTCTAGCGTATTTAGCCCAAAGAATAGTAACATCCTGGAAAAAGTTCATATGAAAAACTTCCTCAACGAAGAAAATGACTCCTTAGATCCGCCGCTAGACTCAGTCTATATTTGAACAACAAAAAGTAACACAACATTACAGCCATTTCGCTCGTGTTCCTGAACAGAGTTATCTTAAACATGAAAAAATCTTGCCTCTTCCCTTGTTACTGAACATCTCCCCGACAGATTGTTCTTCCAGTAACAACCCCACTGTTGGAAAAAATATCTACGTCATACATTTCCTTAATGATGGCATATTTCTTACACACAACCGCCATTGCCACTTATGTCACTGTGCTTAGTTTCTCGTGATGCAATTGATTTCACTGAAGTCTCGCGGAAATCTTTCTACCTTTTGTTAAATGTATGAGTTTCCAGACAAGTGGTTACTCAACGTATGTCATAAGATAGGCAGTAGGCAATAGTTTTTTCTGCCATTTCACAACTATTTTGACATTTCAAACTCTGCAAACCGATTCAAATCTCTTCTTTGAGCCTACAAATCCTAACTTAAGAGGACTATTGCAAATAAAAGTGGTGTTCCATATGGAGACCGAGTTTTAAGCCGACGAATTCAGATTTTGCTACACTTTGCTCTCTAGGTCATTCCTTTGTTTCTCGTTAAATTCGATATTTTCACCACTTAGCACCGTTGTGCAACATGCTTGGCTTTTTTCTATAAATGAACCATCGTTTGAGGGCTGGCTTTCCGCCGTATTGTGATCGTTTACCGGTGGATGACATAGGCAAGGACATGTATGATATAAAGAATTCTGACTTGAGGTGTAATCAGTTGATGAATCGCTGAATGAAGATTGCCTTAAGTAAGTATCCATCGGGAGGACGCCGGGAGGTGTCCGCCTTGGGTCACTGGATGGGAGTTGGGTTTGTTTCTCTTCTGACTTTTGGCTTTTTTCCAGAAGCCTCTTCCAAGACAACCACGAAATGAAGGAACCAAGAGCAGTCATAAGTATGGTCTTCAATGTTTCATCCGCAGTTTCTCTTCCATTAAATGACTGGCCGGCGAACACAATTACTGGAATTAAGACAATAACAGCAAGGAAACCCAACAGGCCAGGTAATAGAGCATGCAGTTTATCGGGTTTCACTCCATCTTGTTTACAGCTAACTAAAGTAAGATATTCGTAGACAGCATACGTGAAGGAGGCAAAAGTAAAGCATATTATAAGCGTAACAGTCAAACCCCAAGTCGGGTTAAGCATTATGCCAATTAGCATCCAACAGGAACAGAAACTAGTGGTGGCTGCACATGTAAAGGCGACCGGTTTAGAAAAACAGCTCATACCTTCTCCCCTGTCAGCCGAGTCTATCTCCAGCCATGGAAAATAATTTTCTAATTTATTACGGATATGTGGTATTAGGCCAATCACTGTATTGAATGCCATTGCAAACCAGATAGAGACTAAAATAGGTACAATGTCCATGTAAAGGAGAACTTCTTCCTGGTAAAAATTTACAAAAAGGAAAAGGAGCACCAATTGTTGACTTAAACCAAGAATCGACAACAAAACACCTAGATAGAAGATAGCCTTAGCAGTATTTTTTATCCTGATCTTTTGCCTGTCTCGGCCGGTTGTATTCGTGTGTTCCCTCCCTGTGGTTTTCTCTGACCAACCTTCTTTTCTACAATGTTCAATAAATGAAGTTAACAAATAGAAAACTGCCAAAGTGAAAAGAAATGAACACCAATTGATTACTTTGATGTACACACTGCGTCCTGTAGCCTCTATGTCTATTCCATGGCCTTCTATAACACATTCCGCTGTGTTCATCCTTGGATCCCGTATCCCTGGTGATACGGCCAGATCTTGAAGCTGAAATGTAACAGCAATCCTGTATCAAAATTGTATAAACTTCAAAGGATGAAATTAAGAGATCCTCGCAGCTAAGAACACTACTGAAACGAGTAGTTGTAAATAGGACCTGAAAAAAATTCAGGCCCGTACGGGAAAGGATGGTCAGTAGCTGAGAGACGGTTGTTAGTGAGTTAAGCAATGCCTTTTTTCCGCCAAGGAATATTGATGAGTACCGGCCCGCAAACTTTCTGGGAAACTTGACAAGGTGCTAATTATAAATCATGCGATTAACTCGCAACCAGTCTTCAATATGTGGAAAGTGTGGGTTGCTTGGCTCAAAAGACTTAGCCTTTTTAGCAGTAGACTTCAGCTAAGACAATTACTAACGTTGCGTACTCGAAACACCTTTAGAATAATTCAGGACCAAAAGCTGTTTAAATTTACAATTCTCGTTTAGGGGAACTTCTGTGTATCTTATTGCCAACCAAATAATAGCGTTTATTTTCTTTTCATTTCTGCATACTTGCTAACTAACGGAGGAATAAGAGTACTGAAGGCAGCTCTTTTAATCAGTTTCCTGTTGTTTCCAAATTAAGGGAGAAAACAATACACTTACCGATGCAAGAGCTCTTTTAATTCTTTCTTTAATGATTATCCTTCTTTCATCCTCCTTCTTTGACACATTGCAGCAGAAATATGGAATAGTTATATTCAGTGTTTGAGTCCGAGGCGTCACAAGGATGGATCCGAGGGACAAAACTTCCAGCATGAGTGGTGGAACAGCAACATACAAACAGGAAAGGCTCCAAGTGTATGGCACGATGAGGTTTTCTGCCTCGTTAGGACCATGTAAATTTACAAACACACGGACAGAAGAAGGCCTCCTGGATGGATATATAGCTGACTCAATGTTAAAATTGTTCTCTGACTCTGCCAAGCTGTTATAAAGCTCTTCATACGTGTGGATGCATGAGAGGGAATTAGGCGAGTTGTCACAGTTATCGCTGAAATCTGCTCCAACATTATGTCGACCAAAAACCAGCACCAATTTGATAAGAGTAACCACAGCAAACCTGAACCACTGAGGGAACATGCTTGAATATCTTGATGCTTCTTCTTTTCTATCTGATCAGTTTGTGAAAGCATATGACAATATTTAGCCGATAAATAGAATAACGAGATAATTTCACGTTTCATGCATCATTAAATCTGCGTTCTATCATTGAATTACGCCAGTTTAGCCATTTTTCGCGGAAAATGATCAGCTTTGCTCGATATGACATTTTTTGTTGTATTTTTGATACCTTGTTTAAACTTCTTTCTTTCGTAATGGGGAAAACTTCAGTAACACGATAGAAATTTCGATGGTTTATCGACACAAAGTTCACAGTTATCAGTGATGCAAAGAGTGCAATCCACAATAAAGGGGGTAAGTTTCCAAAGACACTGTGGTGCTGCGGTGGGAGAGTATAGCAGGTAATTTAGTGTTAACAACTGAGTTGAAAACGTGAATTAGCCACCGTAAAGGGTAAAAAAGCTGACATTTCGTGCGTTAGCCCTTCGTGAGTGTGAATGACAGGCTTTCCCTCTGACGATCCCATAGCATATCGGCGCCAATCATGGCGGCCACGTTTAGAGTAGCTCTAGTTTCTATCACTATTCTATCCTGTTTAAGCGCTGCATTTCTAAACCATTTATTATCCTTCGAGGCTACCTTTAAATCAAGGTGGGAACCCCTGCACACTGCTGTTCAACTCAAGAAGAAATGCACTTGTATCGTCAAAGATGGTTTTCATCGATCAAGAGTTCCAATACAGAAGCACACTAAACACGGGTTTGTCTCCTTAGTCATCCCTGGCCACGACCCTCCATTGGACATCACGGTATACGTTGATATTTCGACCAACCCCGGTCCTGCTCAATCTATTATCGCCATTGGTAGCCGGCAGAGAGCCACTAGAGATTTAATTCGGCAGCTTGATTCTCCAATTCGCCAAACAACGACCCTACAGTACTCTCGGCGCGAACTGGTGTCGCTCCGGAAAAATTACAGCCTTCAGGAGAGACGGTCAGTTCTATTTAAGAACATTCGAGCGGATGGAATTTTTAAGTACCGAGGGAAACGGTCCGGAAGACTTACTAAAACACAATTAAATACAGGCCGAAGCAAAACGAATGAATTTTCAACCTTGAATAATTATTCACAGTCGAACAATCACACCTTACCGGGGCTTTCAGTAATTCCCGTGAGAACAACCACACGCGCCATCTCCAGTAGTTACACAAGACCAAGAACTGTTAATTGCTATAACTCTTCCATCTTGAATGAATCTTTACGGTTCAATAATCACGCTTTACCGAGACTTTCAACAATTCCCGTGAGAGTAACTACGCGTGTTTCCTCCAGCCGTTACACAGAAGAAAGAGCCGTCAATTTCAATAATCTGGCTATTATCAAGCCTAAGAGAAACATCGACGCCAGGAAAAACACCTTGCAGTTCGTACCGCCAATAGCTGTGTCTAATGTAATGAGTTTGGCACCAAAAATAGACGAACTTCGTATTTTTTTGAACACCCACGAGTTTGATCTTTGTTGTATAACGGAGACATGGCTGAAAGATTCTATTGATGACAGCGTAGTTGACATTAGTGGCTACAACATCATACGCAAAGATAGGACCCACAAGCTACATGGGGGTGTGGCTCTATATGTAAAAGATTCCATCAAATTCTCAATTCTACGGGACTATGAGTTTCCTGACCCCGAGGGCCCTGAGGTTTTGTGGGCCAAAATCACGCCCAACCGATTGCCCCAGGGGTTATAGCTGCCTTATCATTGGTACAGTATACCATCCTCCACCGCCTGCCAAAGATGAGCCCCTCCTTGATTACATGATGGATTCTCTCTCTAGGATAGAGAGTGATATCCCTGGCGCAGGTATAATTCTCGCTGGCGACTGGAACAGGGCAAATGTTTCACCAGTTATTAAGCAGTTCCGCCTCACGCAAGTCGTCCACTTTCCAACAAGAGGGGATCGTACACTCGACAAAGTGCTAACTAATCTTACAGAACACTACGAGAAACCTTCTCCATTCCCGCCCTTCGGACTATCCGATCATTGTACTGTTGGTTTGTTTCCAAAAATTAGATCGAAGGCCAACATTCCTGCAAACAGAACGGTTACTACACGTGCTGTTAACGCTGAGTCCAAACGGGCTTTTGGTCGTTATATGACGGGGGTCGACTGGTCATTAATCGACACTATAGATAGCGTCCAAGAACAGTATGCTCACTTCAGTGACCTAATTCACATAGGGTTAGATTCTATCCTTCCCAAAAAGCGAGTTAAGTTCCACCGAAACGACGCACCATGGATTTCACCCAAACTCAAGGCACTTATAGCACACCGTCAAAGAGCATATTACCAAGACAACAAACCATTGTTCCACTACTACCGGAACAAAGTAAACAGGGAACGGAAGCTCTGCAAACGCTCTTATTACAACACTAAAGTCAGCGTTTTGACCGAAAACAATCCTAAAATGTGGTGGTCCGAATGTAGGCGGTTATGTGGAATGAACAAAACATCTACAAGTGTCGCAAATCAGCTCCTAGCAAGTAAACCAGCTACCTCAATCAACCTTAAGATCTTGGCTAATGAAATCAACACAGCTCTGCTAGAACCTCAAGCTTCGTTTGACCCACTTTTAGATAATATCGAAACTGTGAGCACTGAGGGTTTTAAAACTCCCATTATTTCACTGGAAGCTACCTTCAAATGCCTTAGTACGGTCAGCTCCTCCAAAGCTGGGGGCCCAGATAATATCCCAAACTGGGTCTTGCGTGACTTCGCTCCTGAGCTCGCTCAACCTCTTCGTTGTATCATCAATTCCTCGATTAGTCAAGGGACTTTACCGGACATTTGGAAATGTGCAAACATCACCCCTCTTCCCAAAACAAAGATAGTTGAGGATGCGGCGAAAGATTTGAGACCTATTTCACTGACACCAACGTTGTCCAAAATTGCCGAGCACTACGTCGTCCATGAACATGTGAAACCAGCACTTCTGAAACGCCTGGAACCCGATCAATTTGGGTGTATTCCAGGATCCTCCACTGCGCATGCATTGATAAACCTGATGCACAATTGGGCGCAAGCAACAGACGGAACGGGGAACACCGTGCGGATCTTTGCGTTGGACTATAGAAAAGCCTTCGATCTGATAGATCACAGCCTCTTGCTATCGAAACTCTCGACCTACAATATCAACCCTTACATCATTAATTGGATAATAGCCTTTCTTAAAGATAGGAAACAAAGGGTCAAACTTGCACATGATTGTCTCTCAGAGTGGGGATCGGTCCGAGCAGGAGTACCGCAGGGAACAAAATTGGGACCGTGGCTATTCTTGGTTATGATAAATGATTTGAAAGTACCATCAGCCAGTGATTGTATAAAATATGTAGATGACACGACAGTGTATGAAATCATAAGCAAGGGTGGTCCTAGCAATGCTCAGTCTATGATAAACGAAGTAGCTACCTGGTCAACACTTAACTCGTTTCAACTTCATCCGAAAAAAATGTAATGAGCTAAGAGTTTCCTTCGTGCGCTCCCCTCCTTCCTACGATCTCATAGAAATTAATGGCTCTAAGGTTAGCGCCGTTAGTGTCGTGAAATTACTGGGTGTGTATTTTCAAGACAACCTCAAGTGGAACACTCACGTTACTGAGATGATTAAAAAGGCCGCTAAGCGCCTTTACTTTTTAACTCAGTTAAAGCGAGCCAAGGTACCATCACCAGAATTAGTGAATTTTTATGTTGCTTGCATTCAATCCGTCTTACTTTATGGATGTCAGGTCTACCATTATAGTCTCCCCGATTATTTGAGCTTAAGTTTAGAGCGTGTCCAAAAGAGAGCCTTGAAAATTATATACGGTTATGATACTCATTATAGAGAAGTGCTTCAGATGGCAGAGCTGAAAACCCTTAGGGATCGGAGGGAAGACCTTTGCTTAAAATTCTTTAACAACATCGTCTCCAATCCCTTGGATTGTTTGTACCACTTACTGCCTTTCGACAACCGAGATCAACTTATGGAGTTACGACGACGCAGACCATTTAGAGTTTCCTTCAAAACAAATCGGTTCAGAGATACTTTCATTCCAGCAAGCGCAAGACATTTTAATTGACATCTATTACAATTGTATATGGGCCCATATGTAAATTAGTTCCCTTTTAGGTTTGATTTTATTGTATAGTTCTATTATATAATTTGTACACCTTTGTAATTCAGCTTCCAGCTGCTATTAAGGTATTCTTAATAAACGTCTATCTATCTATCCACGAAGGGCTAACGCTCGAAAAGTCAGCTTATAAACTCTTTACGGTGGCCAATTTACATTATCAACTCAGTTAATAAAAAAAATGATCTTGTTAAATCAAATTTTATTTGGTATTTCCCCTTCCCTCTCACGAAGGCTTCACTTTCGAAATGTCAGCTTTAGAAACTCTTTACGCTGGCCAATTTGCATTATTATTTCAGTTGATAAAATCAAATTTTTTCTTTATGCATGTTTTCAAAGCGTTGTTGTGTTCGTCTTATAAGGCTGCGTGCGGTGGACCTAAGTTAAAAAAGTGTTTTAAGACCTACCTATTCTCGCGGATTATTGAAATGAGATGCCATAGTTGATAATGATTTGTCCTTGAAATTTCTCAAATGCGCACAAAGTGTGCGAAGAACTTTTTCTGTTGATTACTAAAAGAAAATTAAAAGAACTTATGACTTCCGATCTTCCCTTTAAGGTTATTACGCAAATTAAAAGAACTTCGATTGTTATTACACTTCATGATCATCATTTTTATCAAGAATGTTGCTGTCATTCATTAATCGTTTCATTCATTTCTTTTTCCCTTTCGATTTCATTCCCGAGGACTACCCCGTTAATTGGCCACGCTACTTGATTTCATTTGAATACTTTGGGTTATGTACGCATTTAAAGAAATGCCTACGCAAGCTATTCTTGCTCAAAGTGGGTAATGAACTTTCCCTTTCAAAATAGCGTTAACTAAATTATTATTTATATTTAAAGAATAACACATAGTTACACTTGCCTGCGCCCTCCTTTACCTAATGAAGCTGCATGAATTGTAAACGGTAATGCCTGATTTGCGCGTCCTTATTTGTGCTTGTCTTAATCGTGACAGACGTTCGCTATTACGGACTTTGCTGCCCCTGATATCAATTCCATTCTTAAGAGAATTTTGACCCCAAGAAATGGCAGAAATCGTTATCTCTATTTATTTTCACATTTCTTATGTTTAGCAGTTACTGATTTTAAATCAAACTCGCGCATACATGATATCCTGCATCGCTGGGCAAACAAAGAGGTTGCCAATCGTCTATGTTATATTGTCGCTATTTGAGCTCCAAGGCAAGCATACTCACTTAACAAAAATCATGATATAAGGAGGAAAATACCTTTGTGTGAATTACGCAGTAGGTTTGATTTACGACTCAGCGATGTGCTCGATAAAACTGACAAGAAACGCAGAATACAATATTCCCACTTTGATGGCTGCGACCATCGGAGTTGAACAGATGGAGTGCATTTGAATAATTAGTCACGGTTGATTTCTAGAAAACGGAAGTCATAGAGTGAACTCCCTGCTTTGGCGTGTGTAAATATGATTAGATTTAAGAGTAACAAAGAGAAGTATAGCTACTCTATTCTCACCATTCAGGAGCTTTGCAGCCTGGGTCTCTTAACTGTACCCGGTAAACTCGTATAAACACTGATTATAGTTCACACTGCCGCCACGGAAGTGCCTTGAGAAGTAACTGAGTTTTATTCCTGCATGTCTTTTCTGAACTGCAGCGGAAACAGTTTAAAAATATATATTCTCCTCTTTGTTTTGTACCTACTTTTTTCTGCTCATGCATTCTTATCCTGAGATCACAATATTTCTGACAGAATTTAAGATGCTTAGATAATCCTCGATTAAATGTGTGTCAGCGCTCATTGCAAACGTGGCCTTGCTAATGAGTCCAGAGTTTATACGTAACGGAGATAAAATTTTTCTCAAATTTTGAAGATTGATTTCTAATAACCCATTTCTCGAGACCGTGGTGTATTTGGTCAAGATGGCACAAACCTTTCCCTTCTCCTAGCCGCAGCCAACAATCGATGGATCCTCGCTGACAATATGAAGTTTTTTTTAAACAATTTCAGGAATTAAATTTTATGATTTAAGCGGCAATATGTCGGTAGCAACCCGATCAGAAGTCGAGGCCTCAATTACATCAGCAAATTTGTGTCGATGTTTATATGACGCCAAAGTTAAAGTTAGAACGGTGTCTGGCGACTGATCCAGAAAATACTGTATGTTCTTTCAACCTCAACCCAACTATAAATTTTGGTTTTAAAAAGGTGAAATAGGCATGTTGAGCTTTCGAGTCTGAGGCGTTGCAAGGATAGAAGGACAAGTCTTCCAGTATGAATGGCGGAAGAGCGACAGGAATAGCACTTAGCGGTGCAATGTATGGGGTTTTAAGTTTTTCGGGGCCATGTAAACACACAAACGCGGACAGAAGAAGGCTTCGTGCGTGAAAAACTGATAATGGGACAGTTTCCACGAAATAAAAATGAAGATATATTACTCGATACTAAACTCTAGGGTCTTCTGGCGTATCGGAATTATTGAATTAAAGCCGGAATAACCAGTTTTCTGGTTTTCTATTTCGCAGGCTATTCGGCTTTGTGAGCTTAGCAACGTCGCATGGCACAAGAAACTAAGTTAATTTCTGTTTTGTGACAAGCAGTGAGCAACCGAAGGCCAATTGTTGCCAGTTCAGTGTATCATCGATACTTGCCCACTGAAAACCTGCACCAAACTGTAAGTATGAAGACTAATTCAGTAAGACTAATTTGTGCTCAAAAATGCTATTGTGAGCTCCGACTTCTCCTGATGCACTTGATGAGAAACAATAAGAGTGGTTTTCAAACATTAAAGCAAATTTATTCGTTAACATATCCAACTGACATTTTATAAGAAAGTAGGAATGCCAAGAGCTATTTATCTAACTAACTTATGAGCTTCTATTAATTTGAGTAATTTCGATTCATTTATTGCAAATTAATCCTTAAAAGTCTTCCGATATATGAAGTTTAGTTAATTCCAGGAACATTTTTCTCCACCTGTCAACACTAGTTAACTAGCTACATACTAGAAGGTGGGTAGACTCCACGCAAATATCATGCAAAACGAGAAAAATATCTTTCGATACTGAAAGGTTATAGGCTGTAATTTACAGCCGATTCAAATGCTGAGGGAGGAGGAGGGGGGGGGGGGGGTGACAGCCGTTTAGATAGCAAATATTCCATTTGGTATTCTGTCCAGTGTTAAACGAGCGACAAACATCTATTTTTATCTCTGTATCTCTGTCCCTTTTTATCCAGTTTAACGGCGTAAATACTAAAAAAAATATCATCGACGGATACGTTGTCCTTGGTTCCGCACGTATACAATCGACGTTTATGCATGCAGTTATCATGTCAGTTCGTCTAAGCATAAGTTCATTCCTGTCCCTCTTCATCTACTATTTCAAGATCAAAGTGCTAAAATTCTTTGTTAGTCGTCGAGAGGGGGTTCAGGTATAGACATAGGCGACATTTGACGACCGATTGTAAATTACGCGAGATGGATGATTTCTTCTGCGAGAGATGTTCCGAAGTATGTCCACGATAGCGTGTCGAATGTGTCTCATCTTCCAGCAGTAAATGACAGGGTTCAAAGATGAATTAAGATACATGATAGTCAGAGAGAATGGATAAAAATCTGTAAAAAGGAAACTCATATCACTGGTTCTAAAACCAGCAATGCCGATGGTAAAGGGCAAATAACAAACTAAAAACACCAGATATACATAAAATACACCAACTGTGGATTTAACGAGGGCAGCAAAATTTGTCATTTCCCCAGTTTGAGCAACTTCTTTTACTTGCTCGGACTGAATCTGATTCTTGTGCCGTCGAACAATTAAATATATTTTGACGTACACCACAAATGTGAGAATAAAGCCAATAGCTGAAAAAACTACAGTAATGAGCTTCCTTATAAAAAACGATCCCCACAATATTATTAACGAAAAAAATACACTGGACACCCATTGGGAGGTCACAACAATTACAACACGCTTGTGAGTCACAAGCTCCTGGTATCTGAGATGAAGATGAACTGCTAAAAACCTGTCTACACTTACAGCCACAACACCAAGGAACGAAGCAGATGAAAACAAAAGACATGAAATAATCCAAGCTCGGTAAACGTTGCAGCTTGGATTGTCCAGTTGAAGCCACTTGCTTAGAGAGAAAGTGTAAAATGGTTGAACAAATAAACCGACTCCAATATCAGAAACTGCAAGACTTAGCAGCAAAGTTTTCAAAGTCCTTTGCAAAGATGAAGTTTTTCGCATGGCATACAGTGTTACAATGTTGAACATGATAGTGGTATAATTTGAAAAATTATTGAAGACACAGTTAACAATGAAAGTTGTGCGAAGCTCTCTCAAGTCAGAATGAGCGAGGCGAGACTGCAGAAGGCCGGCACAAAACGATTCGTTCATCATGATTAACCCATGAAAGATGCCTCACGATCGTTTATCGGCAATTTCCATTTCACTTTTTTGCGTCAGTTCGATGGTTCATTTGTCTCTCTTCTTACTTCACAAAAGTTATACTGTTAATCATATAAACTGGCCTTTCCATATGTTTATGGAGTTGTTTTATGAAGCTTTAAGATATTCCTGTCTCACTGTCCAGCTGTGTCCATCTTGCAAGATGCGGACCCAGCGATCAGGGTTTTGAGGTAGTTTTGTTTATTTTCAATCTCCCAAGAAAAGATTGCACGATATATCTCAGATAATTAACAGAAGAGGGGTTTTTTACAAAAGAAAAATAATTTAGAAATTAATTTCAACTGAATACTGGCAGTACTGGCATCGTCTTTCTTTCTTTTTGTCAAGAGAATAAATGACAAATTGACTATTTTTAGTTGCCTTCTGGTGCAGAAACCCTCAGTTATGAGGATTCTAATTTACCAGCAGTGATAAAGAAAATAATATTCTTCCTCACCTGACTGGCACGAAATTGAAAATTGAAAACCAGAGCGTTCGCGTCATCAATCTGTCTTCTCTAAGTGAAACGAAGATGTATTTATTTCAGTTTATAAATGCTTCTGAAGAAGTGATTAAGAAAAACATTTAACTGTAAAAAATTGCGATAAAACTTTTCTTAAAAACATTGTAAGATTGCTAAAAAACGACGACATTTCGACGTTTGCTAAACGTCATTATTAAGTCAAAAAAATATTTGTAAGTTGCAGTCTATATATACCAAAATAACAACGGGTGATAAAAAGCTATGCCGTAAGAAAAGAACAATTGTAATTTAAAAAAAAGTTTGGCACGTATGGAGTCCGTCTGGATATCTAAATTAGGCTTGAGATTCTTGATAAACAGCATTTCAAAGACTAAACAATCAAATTTTCTCTGGCACTTTCTTAAAACCCTAAATTGGTTTTCTTTCAAGAGGTGGTTGCTACCGTGAGCTTCCACGAAATTTCGACCGATTGCCGAATATTTGTGCTCAGCAATGCGTTAATGACGGTGTCGGGCTGTGTACCCGACATAATCTGCATCGCACAGATCACAAGAGAAACGATAAACAACCGCACATTGTCGATTCACAATTGACAGCTTGATTTCTTTGGGTTTAAGATCTTTCCCCAATTTCTTGCTCACAAAAACAGGCTGCAATATAGGGAGAATCTTATAGCCGAGATCGAGCAACTGCTTCTTAACCGCATTAGGGGCTACTTGATCTTTGAATGGGAGACTAATTCTTACTGTACTTCTATCATCGGTGTTCCTTTCTACTGTGCCTGCCGGCGCATTTCTAAAACGAAAATTATTGATGGCGGAATCAATAAGGCCCATGGGGTAGTTAAGACGACTGAAAATAGAGCGCAATTTGACACATTCTGCATTAAAAGCCTCTGTGGTAGACGGTAGGGCATAGGTCGGTGCATCATTGTCTCTAATAAAGAGTTTCTAGAGCGTTTATCGGTGTGACTGTAGAAGTGTAAGAGCAAACCAGTGTTTGCTTGTTTTCGGTAAACTTGAGTTTCAAGGACTCCATACGTGCCAAAATTTTTTTTAAAATTACTATTGTTCTTTTCTTACGGCATAGCTTTTTATCACCCGTTGTTATTTTGGTATATATAGACTGCAACTTACAAATATTTTTTTGACTCGATAATGGCGTTTAGCCAACGTCGAAATGTCGTCGTTTTTTAGCAATCTTAAAATGTTTTTAAGTAATGTTTTATCGCACTTTTTATAGTTAAATATAAATAGTTTATAACCCTTTCCGTGTCGATAAGTGTCAGAGCATGCATAAGCTGCGAACTAATCTGCAACAATTTGCCGGGAGGGGGAAGTCATAAATGTGTTCATCAATTAACTTCTGTACTCCACAACCACGCACCCAGACTCTCAACTCTGAAAGAAGGAAGAAGCTTAAAAGGAGCGAGAAAAGGTAATTAAACTCGTTTATTTCTCTTTCCTGGCGTATTTAACCAACTTTATTGTGACGATTAATAATGAATATATTTCCATTTTCTTTAACGCGCCTTGGAAACAGACAAACAATCAAACTTAAAATTTTTAAATATTCGTCCGCGCTTACCCACCGCCAGTGAATTTTTGTCAATTATTAGTCCAACATAATTTCTCTTTGGTTACAAGGCTTATAGCTGACAGCTGAATTTCAGTGGGACTTTTTGATGTTCCTTTCGTCTGAAGAATTATCTCGCTCTTGCCGGTGGATGGGGGTGGAGTCAACCGAATCGTCGAATTATATCGATTTCAAAGGGGGTAATTTTTGATGGCGCAAGACCTACCTGATGGTGCATGACGCCTGGCCATGTGTGCACAACATGACGTTTGCAGCACAGTATCATTTCAGCTGCAAAGTTCCTAACGAGTCTAGCCGCGTGGTTTCAAACTCTTCATGATTATTTTTCCGGTACGTCCCGATTGAAATGAACCTTTTGCAACTCAAACGAAACAGTAAATATGCTAAAATAAAACTCGAATCAAAAGACAATGAACATGTAGCCCTGTCAAGCGACGCCGGAAACTGATTAGCTTTGGAGCACACGATACTTGTGATACAACCTTGAGTTGCTCTCTGCTGCGCCTTGAGAAACTCTTACGCTTCTCTCGTGCTCTCAAAAATTCCCACCAGCACCTATAACTCATACTAAACATGAACCAAATCTCAGATAACGGGAAGAGAAATAGACTTCAATAATCGCTCAGAGTGTGCTTTAGAGAAGGAACGGAAATCGTAAATCGATAACGATGTATTAATACTAGGATATTGACTCTGCGTTGTTGTTTTCGGCAAAGCTATGTTTGAATATCGCTAGTGAACACAAATTTCTTTTCTTTTCCCTTTTTAATCACAGACGATAAAGTTAAATTACCAGTTAACAGTCAAGTTAATTTTCCATAGACATCTGTTGGGTCTCTGTATATTCTAATGAGGTGTTCCTGTCATCTGTCGTACTTTTAGCTTTCCTCTTTCCCTGCAAATTGGTTCAAAGATGAATTTTTTTTTCTTTTTTTTTTTCTATGCAATTTCATAATTCACGTTGTGAAACTACAAGTGAAATTATTGATGAACACACTTTGGAAAAAGATTAAACATAGTTCCTTTACGACAGAACACGTACTTGTCTGTGAAAGACTTTTACTCTTCCTGACAATGCAAGTCTTCGTTTTGTTTCCCTCCGTTTGAGAATCCTCAAAGCCTGCCGAGGGTTGGCGTACACTGGTTTTGAGCATCCGTCCTGTAGTTCTGCTGGGGGCAGCAGAATTTTGCCCCGCGAATCAACAACAGGAAACTGATATAAAAAAAAAGCATATTTACAAAAATACTTGACATTTAGATTCCCATCTTTAAGTGTTTTTTTTCTAGGAGGATTCTTCTACGAATGCTCGTTAATAAAGGAGCGTAAATTAGTCCATACAGTGAGCAGAAAAGTGAAACATTAGCTGAACTTAAATAACACCGATTTGAAATATCCCATATGTGGAAGACGTAGACACTTTCGACTCTGAATCACTGAGCAGGCCGGGCTTATTTGCGCAGACTCCCATGGAACGTTAGTAAGCTTTACGTGTACAGAAAATTGCCGCCATCTTTATGGTGCAAAGTTGGTCAAATACGAGGTACTAAAGAAATTATAACCTACGGTTTTTTAAATGCAATATTTTTAATTTATCAACATTTACCATCGTTGAAATGAAACCGTTTCCCTCAAACAGCATGAGGGTTGAAATTCCCGATATATGGATGGTGACAAATCTCTCTCTTTCTAAAGGGGGGTAAGTTTCTAAAGAAACTGTGGTGCTGCGTCGGTGGGAGAGTATAACAGGTAATTTAGTGTTAACAACTGAGTTGCGAACGTACATTGACCACCGTAAAGAGTTTAAAGGGTGACGTTTCGGGCGTTAGCTCTTCCTCAAAGCGATTCTTTCTAACCTGACTGTGCTCTACTGGTTAACTCTACCTTTGTTTCCAAAGTTTGCACTTGGCTTTCAGTTTTCATCAAATTGGCTCTCTTGACATTAGACTCTGAAAAATACACAAACCGAATTTGATTTCCGGTTCGCATCAACGAATTTCAGATTTTTGAAAGCTTTACAAAGGGCAGCTTGAGGTACAGTGCAAATAATACTAAATAATAAAATAAAGAACAATGGTCCGAATTGAGGAAACAACAAATGATTTCACGCATTAGACAAACCTTTGTTTTCCATGCTGATAAGGTGATTAATATATTATACAATCATTGTGTCATAGAGGGTGAGCGCGCGCACACTTGAAATCTCAAGCCCCGCGGCTGAAAAAATTGAAAACACAATTTTATTTCCACGGTTTGCCCACCGTTCTCTCTAATCCGTATAAATTGTTTACTTCACCGGAAAACGCTGGTTTGCTGTTTTTGTGCGGAGATACTGAGAACGGAGCTATTTCAAAGCTGGAGTGAAATAAGTGGTAAGGTAAGAACTCTTACGCTTTTTGAACAACTTGATATTTTTTTGTAACAGCTCTATAATTTCATAAATGAAGTTCTGCATCGATTGTTGGAATGGCTAGTTTTACCACGGAATCCACCTCAAATCCTAACAAACATTTCTTAACATAAAAAGACACATCATGTTATTTTCTCGGTAAGCATATTTTATCGTGACTGGTAAATGCTATACGAAAATCTACACGATGGCAGCACATGAGAAAGACTTGGAAATCACCTTTGCACACAGGTTGCAGACGTTAAAATTGTCAATCTTCCTGGTTATTACTTTGACAACAACGTAAGAAACACTAATATTCGCAACAAAAGTTAGGAAAAAAAAATCTACCCTCAATCTATCCTTGGGCGGTTTCCCATAAAATCAAACAACGCCTCTTTCAGTATTACTCAGTTTTATCAATTTGCTCATACATCATCCGTTACCATCTGATGCTTAACGCTGCACCAATATATTCCATTTTGCCATGCGTATGTTCAGTTAAAGGTTATGGGTGACGGCAAAATGCGACAAGAACATAGTTCGGCTCCTGTGCTAATGATGTTCTAACCACTTTAGAGTCTTCCATGTTCATTTTCCACTACAGTGTATGGGCCACACTCATAGATTAGATAATAATATTCCACTACACAAGTTCCCTTATGAACCTGAACACTTTATAATATTAAACACATCTTAACAGTTTTTTTTAAATAAGTGCATTATTAAGGGCTGCTTGTGGGAGGCACCACTGACACAGGGACAGGAGAATGATGAAGACAATAGTCACTAACACTTCCTAACAGTGTCCGCCGCACGGTGCCCAATCCTCGACTTCCCATCACTATGTGGCTTGCATTTTCTTTATTGGCTGTGTGACAAATAACCTCTCCAGCTTTGCCAATTTCTGAAATCAGCTTGAAGTTATACTACAAACAGAGAGCAAACTATGATTAGGAAACAAACAAATAAAGCTAGGGCATAAGTATAAAAGTATAAATATTTCTTAAAGTATGAGAAAAAGAGTCTATGACTTTAGTTGAAGGATTTGATGAGGAGTTGATCACAGACACATTTAACTGAATGAAATATTAGCCAGATATACTTCACTGCCCAAAGAGACTTACTCTACCCCCCCCTCCCTTAAAAGAATCAAATGACATTTAAAAAAAAAACAATAGTCCTAGTCCTACTCCTTGCCCCATCACTGAGAGTTTCTTTCTGGGACTAAGGGTGTTAATTTTTGCAGCATTTTCAGTTAAATATGAGATTTCTTTCCACAGCAACGTATTTCTGAATATTAAGAACAATCCAATAAATCAGCAAGAATTAGAACCTGTCAAATTTTAAAGCTAAATGAAAAATTCTTTTACTGAAACATTCAGGTTCTGTTGTTACTGCTTGCTTGTAAATCCTTTCTGTACCCTTTTTAAAGGGTACAGTCTGTTACATTAAAAAATTCTTTCTATACCAACAATATGAAAAAAAAAAAACAAAAGACATATGAAAATTTAAAACAGCAACTTACAAGTTATTTGGAAACTCAACTATCGAGAAGTACTTGCTGTAGTCAATTTGTAAGGAATTGATGGCAGACTTATGGATAGCCCTCTCAAAGCTTCTGTAACTGTTATTTGAATACATGTGGAGCAATATCAGCAATCTGAAGTGTTTGTAAAGATTGTTTCATATCACCTTCCTGTTTCTGCATGTATTGGCAAATGATTCCAAAATCTCTGTTGTCTCATTTTGACTTTTCCCAAGCCATGACTTGTAATTGTTTCGAAATGCCATCCCATCTGCAGTTAAAGGGTGTATATAGTAATCATGAATCACATAAAAAGATATATTAGGAGACTATGAATATAGAATACATTAGTTTTTTCTATTTGTGCTAATGTCATCAAGACATTGCCTAACAAGTAAAAGAGATGGATTTTAAACTTACAAGGATGCATAACAACAGGTCTTTTCTCCATTTCAATAGCATGTGTAAAAACAAGTTTGTCACCAGGCTTGTGCAAATTGTCACAGTACCCTAAAACAAATTGGGTTGAATTTAGGATTAAATTAATAAATCAATGATAAAATTGTTAAAAAAAGCTATTTTAGTGAGATCACAAAATTCTTAATTAAATCAACTTCATATACATGGTTACATACATGCTGAAAAAAAATAATCAAAAACATATTTCACGCCACTCTAAGTGCAAAAAAAATGTAGACTTAAGTATTTAAGAGAAAAAAACTAGAAGAACCTCAACCTTAAATATGTCATCCATATTCTTGTTTGAAGACTACTCTCCTTAAAGAACCCTGTTGAAGACCATTTTCTCCACCATATCTTTTGGAATGGAGATTTTTGCCCTTAGGTAAGGAAAACACAGTAATCAAATCCTCTCCACGAAAAACCAACATATTCTCATCAGAGTGGCCATTGAAAGATCTTCCAAATGCTAAACTTCTCTATTCAACATCAACTGAGAGGGTTAAAACTGTCTCACCTTTTGTTGACATTCATAAACATTTTACGATACCCTCATTTTTTCCGACTCCTACATTTTTTCGCGTTTTTCAGAAAGTTGTGATGGGAAACGTCGTCCCACTAACTAACGAAAGGTCTTCTAAAACTTGTCAAAAAGGCGTGGGCCCAGTATCCCGTGACCAAGAAAAACATGCCCCTTTTTTGGCCATCTTCAACCTTTGACCACAAAAATTGAAATTCGCGGTAAATTTATAACAAACAAGTACAAATAATTTCTTTTCAACTCACAATCGAAAGCTTTTTTGCAGTGCTCACTTCCGTCCACCGCAATAACTACCGTGTTCTGTTCAGCCTCTGACATGTTTACAAGTAATGCAAAGATGGCGGCAGTCCGGTGAATTAACCGGGTAGTACTGGAACAAAGTTTAGTTCCCAGGTCTCGACTAAATTCGGCTAGTCCGCTTAACATAGGGAGTGCCCAGTACACTTTCAAAGATTTAAAAAACGTTTATTTCCCGCTAAAAATGCTTGTTCACCTGACTGGGGAGGAAATCCGATCCACACATAAGACCATTTCGAAAACCAGAATCACTTAGGCAGTATTGGGTGCTACGACACCATGCATGCAAGATGAAATGCGACTTATCCTGAAACGTTACCCAGCATGCAGGGGACGGGCTTTAAATGATGCATTTATTTCTGAAAAAGTAAAAAATGCTTATTGTACCATGGTAGTGTTTTTGCAAACTTTTCTTCGCTTGGTTTTCCTTTAAAAACCATTTGAACGTTAGATGCTTGAAATTTGTTTATTCGTGATCTTCTTATCATTCACAAGTATATAATTTAGTTTACATATTTATACACCACTAGAAAAATAATTTCCCTAACGTTTTTATACCGTCTTTAAAATGAGAGCCACATAGAAACCTACAGTCCACGGTCTTTAAATATGACAACAATATCTTTACACCTTATTTGAGATTATTTTCCGTCTACGGACAGCAATTCCTGTGGATTTTGAAACGTGAAGACAACAAGTAGAGAGAAGTGACCGCATTTCGAGCTACCTAAAAGTGAATCCTGAGCGTTTATTGCCCCAAAGATAGAAATCGCATCGCGGAATGGAAAAAAATGGAAAATGACGAGGTTAAAAAGTTGACAACTCGGCAAAAAATCATAAAGAACAAGAAATGAAAAGTAAACTCGAAAGCCGGTGCTTTTTCTAAACGCTTCCCTTGAAGTAACAAAATTTTCATCTCAAGTGAGTGAGGATTCCTTAAACGGGCGGAAATTGACTTCACGCCACCGATTATCAATGCGCTTTACAATGAAGTTTACTAAGCAAACCAATCACGGTCTGAGACCAAACAGAAAGAAATAAGAAATATAAAGAACACAAGAGAAATACACTGGGTAATTTCTTTCACACTGGAAGAGGAAATCTTCACAAAAACTAGATCAGTAAACGATAAAAAAGATGTCAACTTAATTGACTGCATTGGTTAAAAACACCTCCTTAACTTGAAATTACATCGGAATTGTTTTACATTTTCTATCATTCATCAATTTATGTAGATTTATTAAAACTATCAGTTATCCTCTCAATCCCCACTGAGACACTTTTCTTTGGGCCCAGCTCATGGCAATCATAGATGTTCCGTTGGACATAAAACTCCTTATGGAGCCAGGTACGATACCACGATACAGCCCGAAGAATCCACCCTTTTCTTTTATCACCAGTCTCATACGAGCCACAACTGGAAGGTCCCTTCAAATGAAACACACATAGTGAACCTATTACAACTGCAAACAGAAGAAACATCCTATAAAATTCAACTTGAGTTTATTTGAAAGAAATGAATTGTGTCGAGATAGCGAGCTGGTTTTTTCTGGAGATTCGGTGATACATCATATGACTTAGCGTGCCTTCCAAGGAGTTTTCCATTCATTGTTTTAGTTTGTACTGGACTCTGAGTGATCTCCTTTTTTCTTCTTCTTCTTCTTTCTTCTCTTTTTCCTTCCAGACCTCCCTAAGTTCTAGATGTCACATCGTTTGTGATTGTGACTGGGCTTTAGAGAGTTTCGGTGACCTTTTTTACCTATTATTGTTCGTGAGTTACATCGACATTGTTAATACTAGTCAAACAAGCCTCTCTCGTGATCAGTGTTCTTCCGTTTTCACGAGAAGTAATGGGAATTAATATTTCCTACTGATCATGGGCACAGAATTAGAAACTTGTCGATTAAACGAAATAACTCCTTTGTACATACTTGCCGTAGTTTCCTTGTACTTGAGACTTCATGTTCTCCAATGGCCACACAACCCACCAAGCAAAACCACCAAACGTCAAGGTTAAATGAATGGTTAAAAAAAAACACCCCACGCCCTTTTTCAACATGACTAACTCACTTACAAGCGTTCTCAGAATTGTTTTTTTAATTCTTATGAAAACTCAATGTCTGCATGTAAAAAACTTTGAAGAAAAACATCCAATTGTAAGAAGTTTTAGTTTCAGTTAACTGTTTCTGTCTTCCATTCATACAGACACAAAAATCATGACCATTCAAAATACATTCATGTGGCAAGGAAACCTAAGAAAACCCAGTGGCGGATCCAAACCTTGAGCTTCCACCACTGACACCTATACGGCAAAGCAACATGGATGCTATAAGAGGATCAACAAAGGATACGTTGCTGCTAAACCTGATGATAGAAATGGTCCTAGGATTGGTCTTTTAAAAAGTTCAGGAAAGTGTCGTCTTCCAGAATCCAAAAGTATAAAGTAAGTACACATCAGTCCCATTGTACGACACCATGTTACACCAAATCCCTAAAGCAAAGATAATTGAATTTAAAGATCCTAAGATCTTAAAGCTAATTCTCCAAACTATAAATGATATATTTCCTGAGAATGTAAAGTTTGTCCCAGCAACATTGTAGGCTTGATCACTTTCTCAATTCTCACTACTATCACAATCAGCCAAAATTGGAAGGAGATTAACCAATTGATCAAGTGGTTAACACAACCAGGGAGTTAAGTATTATTAACCAAGTTGATAACATAAATTGGCCACCATGAAGAGTTTTAAATCTCTAAACTTAAAAAGTTTTCATTCATTTAAACTTTAAACTCTAAGTTTAACTCTAAACTTTAGAAGTTTTAAAACTCTCTATGGTGGCCAATTTATGTCATCAACTCAATTGATAATACTTAATCAACCAATTAATTGATCAAACGGAGAGTGAACAAGTCAACCCTTTAAACCCCAAGAGTAGCATCTAATTTCTCCCAACAATATCACCCTGAATCACATGTTAAGGTCATGAGAATAAAGGAAATGATCACGAATGAAAGAAGCTTTTGATTGGTAAACAAATTCTCCTTAATATACAGAAACTTTGGCTTTTGATGGTAGATTTCAGTCCATCATCAAACAAACTTCATGTTAACATCTACAAGTATAAAAAAAAAACCAAACCATTCAACCTTACCCTGTAGAGTCCTCTGAACTGCCATGTTTGACCAGTTTGTCTCCGCACCTAAAGTGTTAATTAACATGAATTGTAATTTATTATTCTTGACTGTGAATACTTAAAAAAAATAATGTAACCAAAGAATAACTAATTAGTGAATGTTGTAGCTGTGTTGTGGACCAATCATTACCTTTGCCAGTTCAAGGGGAGTCTCAATTATGGCTCTTGTTGTTGAGGCTGCTGCTCCTGCAATCAACACTCTTCTGCAATATTCAAAGCCAAAAATTTTCTTCTTTTTGTAGTCAGAGTTTATCCCAGTTTCTGTAGCCTGAAGCATTATTTGAAACTCTTCCTGGAAAGGATGCTGGTTGACCTCTGGTACTTCCCAGCAATTTATCAAGTTTCCAAAACAGTCATTTGGCTGGGCCTACCCCTATTTAATGTTGTCCTGAGTGTAGAGTAGCAAGCAAGTCTAACATAGATCTCCACCACAGCTAGTACTAAAAAATTATCCAAATGAGCTAAAAACCTGGACCACCCAATTTGGAGTTCACCATCCCATCCATTAAATGTAGTTTTAAAGCATGCACGTCTCCTAGAAACTAGTGGCCCGTAGCTTACCAACAAAATTGACTCTACTCACATTTGTAATCCACCAGTAAAGGGGATTTCTCTTCTTCCAAATCCATTGAAATATGTGTAGCTTTGAGGAAAAGTGAAAAAGTAACAATTAACTTAGAAGTGAAACCCTAACCCTAACCCTAAGCATATGAAATGAAAGTTGAAAATAAAGTAACTCAACCTTCAAAAATCATTTAATATGCCATGATGTACTCACAGGGCTTCAAAAACAGCAAACTGACTTGATCTATAAATTCCAGATCCCCAAAGAGGTGGAATACATCCTCTGAAAGTTTTTAAAACAACCAGTGGGTTATTTCCAGTTTCTCTCTGCAACACATGCTGGACCAATAAGTTAGCAGTTTGAAAAAACTGCTACTTCAAACAACAACAGAGATTATGCTGGATGTGATACAGGGAAAAAGGACAAGCCAACTATTAGCAACTATTAGAGTAGCACACCATGTAAACCGCGTCTCCATCACTGGATACTCATATAACATATCAATCCCTTTTGAACAAATGACCATAATGATTAATAGCTTTAAACTAAATTCTCAAAATAATTGCTAATGGGGTATAGTTTTTGTATCCTGCACAAGAAAAATGGCCATGAATATGGAAGCAATCTTTGTAGTTAATTGGACACTAATTAAGCAGTGGTGAAAATAATGCCTGAAAAAGATTCAGGGATTCCATGCACGCCTGAATTTTTTCAGGCATTATTTTCAGTACTGCTTGAGTAGTGTCCACAACTGCAAAGATTGCTTCCATATTCATTTATTTATCTGCAGTTCACATTTATGATTTCCAAATATTTACAGTCAAGAAATTTTAGCCACGTAGGGGCAACTTTTCTTGCTTACAAACCAGTACACTGACATGAGCTATGCTTTTATTGAAGGGAGCTAACTATTTCTGCTTTTGTTTATCAGTATAACTGGCCATCAAATGATCCATGGTACACTTTCAATTGATCAATAACAACACAAGAAAGGATTTGTACATAATATACCTATAGAGCCCTCTGATTCCCTGTGTCTTGACTGTCTTTGCAAATGATCTGAACATTCCTTCTGTTTCGAATCCACGTTGTGCTTGCATCTTTGTCTTGATTGTATCAAATGGATGCCCCACTGCCACACTTGTAGTTCCATAGAGGACGCCAACTAATTTAAAAATTTTTTTTTCAACACATTTTCCAAAATAATGTACCAATGTCATAATCATCACAGGAAACTTAAAAATGTTTAACCATTTTTTTGACATCTATCCGTCAAAATGATTGTTTAAACTAAAACTATATGGGTTAATTAGCTGATCAGGACAGCACAATTCCAGCTTATCGAGGTCACTCCTGTTACGAGCTGTAGTTGAAAGATTGAAGGACATATTCTGATCGGTTCCGCAGTAGTTCTTTGATGTTAAGGAACATTTCAACCGAATTTTCCTGTGTACATTAATATAAGTCGGCCGTTTTATAATGAGAGGTACTCTTTAGATACGAGTGTGTACGTAAGATTTTATTTGTATACTCTTGTTAAGTGATCATCGGGAATTTCTTTGAATTTTACGCTCGCACTAAACCCACCGTAAAAAATTACTTCAACCCGATGGCCATAACTCTAGTTGTCGACGAAGACTATTGTAAAATTTAAAGGATAGAAAATTAACACATGCAGATTTAATTTACTACACACGTGCAACACAAGCTCGTTTTAACGATCATGTTCCTGGATTAGTTTCATCACGTACCACCAAGACCTATCAAACCCTCCTGTATCCAGTTGATTCTCTTCTCATTGTGAGTCATACCCTCTTTTAAATTTTATCAGCGTGAATTGTGCGCTCCTTTTGTAATCCACAACTAACTCTGCACTTGTTTTGATCTGGGAAGTCTTTGGTTACGTTATGTATGCTAACATAAGAAGTCGACTTGCAGCAAGTGGGAGCTAAGGCCAAGTACACACGGTATAAGAGGCAACGTAATTTCTCGTGTAATTTAATTATTTGGAGTTCACAAGCCGGAGTAAATTTTCAAAGACAACAAAATGGCACGAGCCCATGAACAGGGCAAGTGCAATTTGTAGCCTTTGAAAAATTTACAAATCCTCATTAACACCAAATTGCAGGAGAAATCATGTTGTTACTTGCACAATTACGTGAAAAACGCATCACTGAAAGTCAAGACGGACGAAATTTTGGCAGCGCGTGCTATTTGTAATTTGCACATGAGCTACAACTTTGAACCCGTATTACATGAATATGCACTCGTTTTCGGCCAGTCACACGCGCGTGATTTTTTTTCATGTATACCGTAAAATTCCGGTTATAAGCCCCCCTGGTTATAGGCTCATCTACTGGTACTTGGAAACAAAAATATTCATCCGGTTATGAGCCCCCCCCCCCCGGATATTAGCCCCCTCTACTTTTCCTTGTTTTCTTAATATAAAGTAGTACTTTTGCAGAACCCTGTACTACTTCGAACACAAAATTTGCAGCTGTATACTGAAGGCAAACTGACTGCATCAGACATGGGAGTTCTTCTGACCAAGTGGGTGGGTAGAGCGTGGCAGGAAGTGACTTAGAACAAAGATGTCATCGTAAGAAGCTTCAAGAAGTGCGGAATTTCTTTGGATCTTAGTTGATCGGAAAATAATGAAATTAACATCGAAGGAATTTCCGACTACAAGATGCCTTCACTTGATGAAGTCCTTGAAGATGATGTAGAGTTTCATCTCGAGAGTAATGGCTCAGACAATGATGTTCATGATGATGATGGCGCTGAGTTCGAAGCATAAAGCCAGATCACTCGGTAAACTAAGATGACGTCAAATTAACTGAGAGAATTAAGTGCAGGAGGCCTCGCCGCCGTGAACTGGACATTAGAATTTTTAACTTCCGGTTTGTTGCGTTCCGGTTACGTTCACGTTGTTAAGTTTTGATTTTGTTCCAAAAATTTAAATGCCTTCGATATACAACGTGGCTTGAAAGTTTAATTAAAAATTAGTTTCTTGAAAAGGTATTTTCATCAACACTGCCGTGGCTCATTTCGAAACGTTTTTTTTAATCCGCTTATAATGTCAGAAATGTAAAATAAAGAAAGAGAGAAAAGATTCATGAGCACAGCCGTCAGCCGTAATGTTATGCTAAACATAATCTACATGTTTGTCGCCTGACGCAAATCAGCAACGTTAGTGAGGGAAGATTCTACGCCAATAACTAACGGCGTAATTCTATTCAGTCGGTAACGTATATATGTTAGATTTTACGCCAGTAACTAACGGCGCAATTTCTTCCAGTCAGTAGCGTATATATGTAGGATTTTACGCCAGTAACTAACGGCGTAAATTTAGAGATTTTACATTGTTAGTTAACGGCCGTGATATTGCAGGGAGAAATTAGATGCTAGTCACTTCTAAGGGTTAAGACCTCATACTTTCGCGCAGGTGAAGAAATGCTTATGTTCTTTGTCCACAAAGGCAGAAGGAATTCGAAATCCTAAAGTCAGTGTTATAGCATGGCGCAAAAGATCTTTCACATCCATTTCAGTGGTACGTCCTGGTATAAAATTGACCGTTTTAGTGGCTGGGGAAGAACAAAGGTTAATTACATTCGATTTCATTTGAATGTCAGGAAGAACACATTCTTGGATGTGTCGCAGTCTTTGGTACCATGCATCGACGTGTTTCAGTGTGTAACCTTTGAAAGGGTTTTGCGCAAAGATTTCCGAGTAAATTTTGCGGGCAAATTCACTTTTTTTTTGCTTTACGCGGTTCTTAGACTCTCCTTACTAAATGCCGTTTAATCCTACTGAACTCAATATCAAAATTCTACTGGTCGATCTTTTTTAGACCAGAAATCCACAGTGTTCAGAGATGTGACTCAACTGAGTCTCCAGCAAGTTCATTAATCCTTTTAAAATCCACCACTGGTAAGCACTGTCCATGAGGAAGTTGCACATTAATCATCATGTTGCATGGAACACCGGACTCGAGGCACAATCGATTAAAATTTGTTCCCTTTGCATTTAACTGCACTAGTGTCTCTGATTGATTAAAAAGTGAAATTTGTCCCGTTGTACTTTTGGTTAATTCTTCCATGACTCTCTTTTTCAAAGATGGATAAAGATCATCATGTGGAAATACAACCTGAAATGGTAAAATAATCCGTTTGAAAGTGATCAAGTTTATTTTTATCTAGTTAAATTACTGTGCATCACCAGCGAGAAAGTAAAATTTAGCTCCAGACAGGAATGATGCTCAAAATGTCAGCTTTTTAATCAAACTTATCACCTTAAGTAGTTGATGAACAACGGAAAAGGTAATTCAAATGAACTTTGACTTAGACTGGGGTTTTAGACAATCAACGAACTTTGAAATTTTGATACAAGTGGGTTGCTTGAAGTTTTTCAGCATTACCTATGAGTGTTCATGATACTGTTTCCAAAAAACAAACCTGGGACAGTATGCTTGAACAAAGTGATGCAGATCCACCTGAACAAACTTCGTTTTGAAACGATGCACATTTTTTTACACATATTCCTAAACGAATCCAACTATACATTTGAGTGGATAGACACATTTAAAAAGTGCAATGCGCAAATATTCAGACTATTAAACCTCATACTTGGAGCTGGTTTAATGTGGGTACCACCTGGCACTCAAAAATATGATTTTCTTTAGTTTAATTAAAAAGGAAAAAAGGAAAACAGATTTCCCTCACCAGAGTGCCATCAACACACTGCGTTATGATAGGAAGCCATTGTTCACATCCATCTGAAGCACGGTTTTGCTGAAAAGATTGAAAGTCCTCCCACTTTGGAAATCTGCATAAAGTTATTTTGTGTTTGGTTTGAGTTATTTGCTGATGGTCATGAAGTTGACAATGGGGTCAATTTAAAAGGCCATTGAAAGATCAATATTTTTCTGACAAACTACACTTACCGACAAAACCTTAACAGCTCATAAACTTGAGGGAATCCAATCTTAATCTTGCGTGCCATAAACTTTGCAGCAGCTTCAGCTGGAATCATCCACTGTTAAAAAAATATATATTGTTTGCTAAAAACATTAAGAAAAATAACAACATCATGTCAACATTTTATCTTGAGCTTTCAATGGTAATGTAAAGAGATAAGGCACCTTAAACACCACATTTTCAGTGCATCATCTCTGAGCATTTATTTTGCTTGCAGATTTTGACCAACAAACATCCTAGTGGGTGTATCCTATGCAAGACTTAATCATACTTAATCATATCATCATCATTGCTTCTTAATTATTATCAGTCTTTTATCTTTATTCAATTTTTTCTTTGTTCTGCTTTTTCAATCACCCTGAGTCAGAGTAGTATTGTGGTTTCACAGTTGTATGTGAAGACAACACACTATGATCCTTTTACAAGGTCAAGAGTTCTTATAAAAACAGAAAATTTCAAGACGTTTAAGTAAGGAGACAATTCAATCGTATCAATTTGTGTGTGGAAAGGTTGGCAGAGAGGTCTCACATGTAAATCACCTTTGAGTGAGTCATCTCCTTGTCATCATGGAGTGCTAATGGTTCCTCATCAAGAAAGGCAATATAGAACATTGTGTCGTATCGTCTGGGTAAATGAGCAGGTGTCAGCCAGTTTGACCACTCACTTAGGGCCCACACATCAGGAACACATTTAAATTTCCTGATGGGATTAATAGATAACAGAGTGATAATTTAGGAAAAAAGAGAACCTAAACATTTTAAGGAGAAGAGAGATAGAGATAAGAGAATTTAAAGAAAGTGAGCAGAGAGAGAGACAAATGGGAAAATCCTGGAAAGGGGAAAATTTCCAACAGTGGTCCTAAGCATGACACCAGTTCAAACTTAGAGGAATTTACCCATCTAAATCTTGCCAGAAATTTACAAGAAATTTTTTAACCTGAAACGTTTACGCAGTTTCATTTCTTCACAATCCTCACCTACACATAGTGAAAAACATGGAGGCATCTGCATGCACTTCTTTCCTCCAATTCCGAACGTTATCTATTTCAAGATTTTCGTATTGTTTATCAGAAGAGAAGCTCTTTAATAAAAGAACGCCAGACTCTTCAAATGTCTCTCGGATGGCACAAATTCTTAACGCGATATCACTTGGTAAACCTGTAGGTCCAGATGTCTTCACCACAGGTGGGCGTGGTCCTTGAATATCAACAAGGGATGTGAAGTTTGTGCCAAACTTAGTGAAGGACTCTTTAAATAGTTCCATCCAGTCATTAGAAAAGTCAGCTTTGTCGATTACACCACCAGGGAAAACATACATACTAGGCTTTAGATGAAGGAGAAGAAAAAATGAGTACAGAGCTGCATAAATTCAGCTTATAGTAGATACAACTGAGACAAAAATTAGCACTAGTCACAGGGGCTACGGGGTTATACCCTGTACAAGCTTACCATAAATGCACTTTTAGCAGCTCTTTCCAGTAACAAGACCCTCCAGTCAAAGGCGCTCTTAAGTTTTCTGTTTCTAGCAGCTAAAATTAATGTGGCCGAATTTCGTATTAAGGGTCTAGCTGCACTCATTTTGTTTGTACGTTCCTCTAATCGTCACCCGTTATTACGACCTCTTCGGCGGACATATTGAATTTGTTGACCAGGCTACTAAGCTCTCGATCCAGGTTCGCTCTTCCAAAAACATGGCGGCCTTCTAGAATGAGTATGGCACCCTCGATCGCTCGTTGCAGGAGAATATTTTTACGAGATTTGCCTCTGAATTTTAAATCAATATGAGTGTGAAATACGTAAGAAAAATGGCTCTATTGAGAGCTAGGATTTTTGGTGAATTGACTCGTCAAGTAACTCCAAAGTAAGTTAAGTTTGTCCCAACATACTTTTGCATCGTTTGCATTTGAAAGAGGCTGAAATACAACCGTTGCTTTTTTCTGTTTAGATCCTACAAAATTGTGGAACATTTTGCCCAGAAGCCCTTGGCAGATAGCCTTACTACTTATTATCCCCCTATAAAGAAGTTCCAAAGTCTCCTTTTTAGACTCAGACATTATGGATTTTATAGCGATCAATATCTGGTAAGTTTAAAATCAAGATCTACCCTTCCTTGTGAAGATTATTTACAGCATCATGAATAGTGAACTTCAATGGAAAATGTTCTAAATATTTGTCATTATTGAGGCCGATGGAGGGAGATAGTTGAGGTGGTGCTAAAATCCTACAAGAGAAATTCGCTTTTGTCTGATCAAAAAGCTAGCTAGGTTTGAAGATCGTGTTGATTGATATTTTGCTAGAATTTCCAAGAAGAAATGGCAGCAAAACGAAAAGCAAGAGGAAAAGGTCCTCCTAAAAAGGGTGAGTAGTACTTCTAGGGGATTCAAAAAATAAATGCATCAAGTTTCTCTTGACACCTCTCACTTTGTATTTATGTTTGATGGAATTTTTAAGTAATGACCATTAACTGAAATGTGTTTTGGCTTCAGCTCAATTTTATACATGATATCATAACCGGCATTTTTTTTTGTCATTGTTTTTGATGTTTGCAGGTGAAGGCAAAAGGGCAAAAAAGAAGAGATAACAAAACCCCTCGAGTTCTTTTACAAGTGCTGAAGGCAAATCTATCAGTGCTTATGACTAAGTGGGATTTGATCTGCCTGGAATACCCTCCATTGTCTGGAAATATCCCTGAAGTCATGATATTTAGTCATCAAACATGATCAGCGCGAAGGATGTTTAACTAAAGTGGTTTTTTCTTTTCTCTTTTAAAAAGCTGTATTGTAATAGGAGAATAAAAACTTGTTACTTTAGAGTGAAATGTCTTATGTTTTATGAGTGTGCTTTCAGTTGCTGTTGTCGGTTTTTTGTTTATTTATGTGAATATTGGTTTATGGCAAGCTTGCTACTGTATTTATTAAAAGTGAACATTGACAAGCCTTGAGAAAAAAATAAACCACTGCCCTTCCCTGTTGGAATGATGTATATCAGAATGGTCCTGAAAAAAAAAACTGTCCAAAATTTGATCTCTATCGTCCTTTGTTTGATTATTATTAATTATAATTATTATTTTAATTTCAACTTCGGATGGCGACTTATCTCCCTTCCCCTCCCTAGACAGGATTGTCTCAGTCTACCGCTGCCCATCGACGCTTGTTAGCGATCCCTTAGATACAAATTGGTCCTTTTGAAAGGTAAAATGGATTGATAAGCTGTATTCTGGCATAAAACAGTACTGGATCGTGAAGATCAAGAAATTTGTATTTTAATGATATTTGAAAAACCCGCGCAGCGCATTGGATAGTTGATGCTCACTTGACACTCCGCGGATGAATATTTCATTTTGTTGACAACTACTTGGCGTTGTTTCGCCGCGATCTTCAGCTGTTTAGCTAGAAGATTTTGAAAACCACTTCTCTCTCATACAAGTACATGGCAGCAAATCGATGACTTCTGTGTCGAAAAGAGATAACCAACCGCTTGATTCTTGACAGCCCCTTGACAACGTGCTCTGTTTCGGCGTCGCTTTCCATGAAAACTCTGGAAAGTATGGATTCTACTCCAAAGTCATCTAAAGGTCGCAAGCTACCATCTCCTAATGGACAAAACCCAAAAATGACCGTGAATAGTGGAAGAAGTTACACAAGGCATGACAAACAAGAGGAAGCGGTGGGTGAGATGGACGTGCTTAGTGCATATGTACCAGGTGAGGGGCTCTTTTATGCACCATGTAGTAAAAGATTTGTATTTACTTTACATCTCAACTTGTGTGTTTTTACTTATTATCCACCCGTTTATAAGTAATCACGAGAAGTGTTCACTATCATACTGTGTATTATTTTGCTATGAAGTCTTCGGCTGCGTATGGAATTTGCACAGCGGCGAACACTATTTTCCTGTGATATAATTATCCTACATTTGTATTTTGAGTTAAGTTATTATTTAAGTGAAGCTAAGGGATTTATCTTAGTGAGAATGTCGTAGAAGATAAATCATCAAGAGTGGATCAAACGTGGTTAAGTGGTCGCCTAGATATTGAAAACTCCTTTTAAAACTACCAGTCCGTTTTTTCTTAGCTTGCTAATTACTGCTGTTGATTTTTATAGTGGCTTCTGAGAAAAAAATGACACTAAATTAATTACATTGTTACTATGCTCCTTTAGGCATGTATTGAAAGTATAAAAAAATCAATGGCAAAAAATTAGAATAGTACGTGGGAAATGGGAATGAAAAGAAATAAAACCTGCACACACACAAACAGTGCTTAATACTTTAGCAGACATTTCAATAAATGCTGGTTGCCGGCAGTTTATTGTCACTTATGAGACCTCTAATCACCGTTTGTTTTGGCTTGTAAGCAGGATCTTGTGTGAGGGTTTTTCCCTGCACAGCTGCCCACTATTTCACCAATGGCAGCCCTGTATGAAAAAAGTTATTGAAACCCCTGGCTTAAGCAGTATCTCCAGGAGATCCAATCTTTAAGAGGTGTTGTCAAATTTATGCCCCTTCAGAAGAAATAATTGAGCATCTAAAAATCCAATTAGACTTAACTTTTTGAAGCCGGTTGACTTTCCCTACAGATTGTGTGATTTATTTCTTGTATAGGTTGTTGGTTGGCTGGTTTAATTGACTGATTGATCATGTGTTTTTGCAGACTGATTTCCCAGTTTGTATTTTTGTTTATTGTTGGACAGGATAAGGGCAAACAACTGCACTTATCCTTTATTTTTAGTGGGTCTGTATGAAGGAATAAAAATGTATTAAAAATTTTTTATCACTTCTATTTCAGATCCTGAGGAGCCTCCAACCAGGGATGTGACGAGCCAATCCAAATCTGGTGTGGCTTATTTAACAGAGAACCTGATCAAGAGATTAACAAAAGAAGAGAATGTTTCCCAAGTAACATCTTTACATGTAACGTTAGGAAAGGACCTCAACAAGAAAATTAAGGTACATATCTGAAAAAATCATATGTAAAAAAATCAGCATACTAGAGCACTTTCAATCTTCTTAACATCCTTTCTACCTTTTGATATGCTTTAATCCTTTACACCCTAACATCAGTATCTATATTCTCCATACTGTTCTCTATACATTTTCTAAGGTGCTGACAGGGAGAATTTGTTAAGCAATCAAGAGCTTCTTTTGCTGCATGGTGTTAATTTCCTTTGTTTCCATGACCTTAATGTGCATTTTGTAAGGAAAAACTAGATGCCAGTCACCCTTAGAGGTTGAAGGGTTTAGATATTCTGAGTGTCTCAGTGTACGTGTATGTGTTAACATGTGCTTGTGGTAGTACAGTGTCTCTTGAATTAAAGATCTTCTAAATGAGGTCCTAGCTGATAGAATATCACAAAGATCCCAAAAGACACATGAGTTTTTATGCAGTTTTTTTCCTAGAGATAACCTAATGCAGAACTTTAATTGAAATAGTGACTTGACAGAATACAACAAAACTAGTAAAAAGTATGAAATAATTAGCTGTATACCTTTTTGTTTCTATTCAGTACATTGAAAACTTGGAAAGTCTTAGGAAACTTATTTATTTGAACCTGAACAACCACATGATTGAGAAGATAGAAAAGCTGGATCATTTAACACCGCTCAGAGAACTTCACTTGGCAAACAACCGTATTTCAAAGATAGAAGGTGTTGACTGTCTGGTACATCTGACTGTTTTGAACCTAAATGGGAACTTGATTGAAACTTTACCAGCTCCTGTTTTCAAGAAGCTTAGAGAACTACAGGCTTTTCACATTGCAAATAACAGACTTGCAAGTGTAAGTAGTAATGGACCCTTCATTAACTTGATGTTGAGACTATATGTATTTCTCCTTATTATTGTCTGGAATTTCTCACAGAATATGATTCTACTAATTGGAAATCAGGCTTCATAAGAAATATTGAAAACTCTGCTCACACTGGGTGACTAGTCTGCCCGATAACCCAGACCAGGACTGGGGAACCACTAGTGTCTCAATCATTATGCAATGCTGTACCTCAAAATGTGTTTAGTTTATCAAGTTTAGTCACAGGCAGTAACTGTTCACTTCCAAAATAAATGTGGTGTAAGTAAAACTACATTATGACCCTCTCAGGTTATCTCTCCAGTTCTCCATTTCCATTCTAGATAATGTCCAGATATCACCAATTGTTCTAACATAAGACAAAGAGAGTATTCAGGAAAATTTCCTATGCACCTCCATGAAGTAAGAGGATAGCACAAGTCTAGGGTTTGATCAACACCAATATCTCCCTCCCCCCCTCTTCCCACATAAATTTCTACTGAGAGTATGTATTCACCCTCTAGGATTTACTTCTAGAGTGCTTGATCCAGAGATACAGTAGGTAGTGCCTACACCCAGCAATTGCCTTATTATTTCAACTAACTTTTTGCCCTGTTTTATCCTACTGTATAGCATGTTGAGGTTACCAAACTGAGGCCTCTTCAAGATCTGAACAATTTTTCAATGGAAGGCAATCCAATGGTAGACATGGAACACAGTCATTTGTTTGTGATTTTTCAGCTGAGGTCTCTGAATTATTTAGATGGAAAGAAGGTTTCTGATGAAGACAGACAAATGGCTGACAAACGATATGCTCAAGGTAATTCTGTTTACTTATAAATTGTTTACTTGATTGCAATAAGCAATAAGTGCCCATCTTGGAAAGACATATGAGTTAGAGGATTAAATTGATTTCAAGGGTTCAAAGTGCTGGGACTGACACAAAGTTTCTGTTTGTGGGAGGTTTCGTTTGATTATGGCTGGTCAACTTTTATCATATAATCCTGTACAGTGTATAATTTCATGTGGTGAGTGATGGTCTGACTTCAAGGGTTTGTTTTTAGAACATAACCTGCAAATGTATTCTAAAAAGTTTTATTTTACACGTGAAACTAACTTGTCTTGTGCCATGCAACTGAAATAATTGCTCCCCTTTTTAATGGAATATTACTTGTACAGTGTATGAATTTTTTCCATCTTACACTCAAGTTATGTTTTTTGGGTTCATGTTTATACTCCAGGGTGGTGTGAGGCACTGTGTATTGTCTTGTTCAAGGAACTGTTACCTTTCTGTTTTGAGTCCAGTCCACTGGTGACAAGGCAACCTCTCTGGCAATACTGCTGATACTTACTTGCCTATAGTTTGTATAAGTTAGAGTTTTTCTTTTGTCTTTCTTATAAATGGATTCTTCGTTTTTTTTGGTACTTTCCTAGAGGAGGTTAGAAGACTGGAGGGTGAAATAAACAGGCACAAAAAAGAATATGAAGTACTCTTGGAAGAAAATTGCCAAGCCCTTGAGGAGTTACAACAGCTGAAGAAGTTGAACTCTGAACAGAAAACTTACAACTTGGATCAATCACAGAAAATTAAAGAGTATCAAAGACAGCTTGAAGCCAAGGAAGAATTGGTTTGTTATTGTCCATTTGTCACTGAGAGACACAATTCAAATAAATCTCACATTCTGAAAGAGTTTACACCAAATATCTAGCATATATAATTTTGATTCAAGGTTTTATTTGGAGAGAACAAGCTTCTTTGGTTTTCTTACCTGTTTTGTCTGTCCTCTTTTGTTTTTAGTTAGCCAGCAAGACCTCTGAACTTTCAAAAGCTTGTGAAAAGCAGTTCAAGTTGGAACAGGAACTTGCATTTTATAAGTTGGATGCCAAGTTTGAACACCTTGGGATGCTGCCACTCCCAGAGGGAGTTGAGGTATGGCAGGCCGGAAAGGTCTTGTGGCCCAAGCACTGTCTTTGTTTACAAAGTTATTCCAAGGTGACAGTTTCTGATTAATTTCTCAATTTTTCCCCTTAAGTTTGGAGATGGTGAAGAAGATGAAAGCCCATACATTGGGAAAGCTCGGTTTAAACCAAACAAATTTGCCAGGAAAACCGATATTATGAGTGGTGAACAGCATGCCCAGATGACAACGCTACACTCAAGACCAAGTGATAAGTATGATGACCAGAATAAGCAGGTTCAGCAAGAAATACATGATGCTTTGGTGCAAGATTTGGAAGACAAAGAGAGAGCAATAAAACAAGGTTTATATTTTAAACCTGACAGACATGTTGACAGTTCAATTAATGCAAACCCAGGGAACTGGATTTGTACTAGATTTATATCCTGAAATTATCATCATAAACAGCCACAGTCAGCCCCACCTTCTAGAAACACCTCTATTTGTACTTTAGATGCTGTGGTACTTAAGGGACAGGTGCAAGATATCTCAGTGTAGAAGAATTTTAAGGGAACAAGTATTTCTTGCTAACACAGACACACTCGTACAAAATTTCAGATGCATAGTTTATGTGCCCCCAGAGAAGTACCTGTTGCCTATGAACCAAGTCTACTGGTTGGTTAATGTCGATGAGTTGGTAGCGACATTAGGATTAGGTTCGAATCCCCAGGGCGCACTTCTCTGGCAAATGAGTAAACTCGTCTTGTGATAGTCTTATAAAACTTACTGTATCTACAACAGCTCTTTGAATATCACACCTTTTCACGGATAACAGCTTTATTCACTTTACCAAAAATGGAACTTATATCAAGAAATGCAAAGAGCAAGGAAATGACACGTGAAATTGGGTGATATTGATTACGCCCCATTAGTTCATCAAATGTTGATTACTTTGACAGCCGAGGATGTTCTTGTGCAGTTGACTGATCAGCTAAACAGGAGAAAAGCTCAGCTAAGGGATGCAGGAGATAAGCTTACAATGCTTCAACAGGCCATCAATGATCAGGTTTGACTCTTAGTAGATAGCTGCTGCTAAGCAGTACAAAGAAAATCAACCAAAAAAGTAAAGTGGACTTTCTATCTCCTCTCTGATCTCTCCAGGCACATTTGTTAGGAGATGAAGAAAGAAAACTTATCGATGCTATTGCAGATAAGAAAAACTATGTAAGTGAACAATTGTTTACTTCAGGCCTTTCTTTGAACTTCTTTACTACGAGAACGTCCTTTGCGAGGTATTCTTACTTTTACAGATACGACAACTTCAAGAAGTCGCGAAAGAGTTGGAGGAGCGCTTGAAAAACATATCAGATGAATTGAAACAGAGAGAGGCTGAGACCGAGAAGCTGAGACAGACCATCAGAAATACGCCCCCCAGTGACCCTGCATACGTACGTACATATATATGAAAACACTTGTTTGATTTGCCTTACGAGTGTGCATTGGATACGACGTGAAGAGCAACATCAAAATGTTTTTATTAAGAGCAGTAAAAAGGCCTAAGGGAGGGACGGGAGGACGTTGGTGAACGATTCACGAGTGACTTTTCACTTGTATCTGATTGGTCAAGAGGATGGTACGAGTTTCTTAGACAAATCGCAGAGCACAGTCATGCAAAAGTGAGCCAGTGAAGTCCACTGAATTGTTCAAGATTCTGTTTTGACAGATATATAAACTTCTAAATAAACCCGTTTTTTTTTCTCTCTCTAGTCTCACCTTCAGGCTCGTTTGGCGGCAAAAGAGAAGCAGTTACTTGAGTTGAAAGATGAATATAGCAAACTGAAACAAGACAATGACAGAGCGAGGGAAAGATTACAGGAAGAGATAGCTGCTGTCAAACAGCTAGAAGCACAGTTGGCTGCACTGAGTAAGAGCGTTGTATAGATATGTATTATGTTCATATCCAAGACGTGTTATGATGAGATTTTAAATCATTACAGAAATTGTGGACCATGTTCACGCGTTTGGCAAACAAGAATAATCGATCTTTCCAGCTATTTACCTTTCAGATGCTTTATAGATGAAACAAAGCTAGATGAATCAATCGATGTTCGGAAAAATTTATCCTTTTTTGTTTTTTTTTGCGGAATTTTTGACGCGCGTGAAGATACTGCAGTACGCGTGAACAGTAGACGTACAGAAGTTCCCAATTATCTTAACTCACTTGTTCACGGGCAAGTGAAGCTTACATCATGAAATGGAGAAGAAACTCGAAAATGCCTTTCATGCTCAGTCAGTCGTTTTGATTCCTTGAAAGTGGAACACATTGGCAAAAGTAGCAGTTATTTTTATAACTGCCTTAATTTCATGGGATTTACAGCAGACTGTTTGACATTGTGAATAAAGGGGGTAAGTTTCTAAAGAAACTGTGGTGCTGCGTCGGTGGGAGAGCATAGCAGGTAATTTAGTGGTAACAACCGAGTTGAAAACGTAAACTAGCCACCTTAAAGAGTAAAAAAGCTGACGTTTCGAGCGTGAGCCCTTTGATCAATCGCTCTGACGAAGGGCTAACGCTCGAAACGTCAGCTTTTTTTACTCTTTAAGGTGGCTAGTTTACGTTTTCAACTCAGTTGTCAACACTAAATTACCTGTTTGACATTGTAACTGGCATTCATATCGTTTCCATCACATGCTCTCTTTGTTATCACAGGAAGAGAGAATGGTGACCAAGGTAAGCTAAAAGAAGAACTGAAGAACATCATCGATGATTTGAATGACAACTTGAACTCTATGAAGCAGCAAGTCGCTCAGCAAGCGAAACAGATCAGTCAACTTCAACGTGAGAAGGATGCACTGGGACAGCGATTGAGGGACATGCAAGGACACGCGGCTAACAACAAACAACTGAAAGATAACCTGGCTAAACTACAGCAACAACTGAAATGTGAGCGTTAAAGCACCGTAAACTCTTTGATCTACGTACTTGTTTCCTTGAGCAATTTTCAACTGGGCATTGAACGTACTTCAGGATTCATTCTGCTTTTGTCTACACGTTTTCTGTTAGCCTACACAGGAAGTTCGCGCCATTCTTGCAGCCAATTAGATGCATAACTAAAACCCATCGGGACTTGGTCTCTGCAGCTTTTCTCCTTTGAATAGTTAATGTTGTCTTAAGTTGAGCCTTACTGACTCCCTGTGTTACATTCGTAAAGATGTCGGTTGTTTTTGTTTTTTTTTGTCTGTCTGTTAGATTTGTTAATTTATTTTTTGCCGGACGAGTGCAGTTCTGCCTTGTTTGAATTAACTGAAGAGGAATCTCAATTGTAGTGTTGATAAACCTTGAAGGCGGAGCCTGTAAGAAAACATATTAGAGTTTCTGATTTTCTTAACATTCTCGATATTGGGATACTACTGAAATATTGATACCACATACCTCTTGGTAATACATCATACACAGATATCACCATTGTGTTCTTTTCTTTTCTCCCTCAAGTGACTGAAGATGCATTGGAACGAGAGAGAAAGAACTGTGAGGCTTTGCGCCGGCGATTATCCAGTGCTGAATCACAGGCAGCCCAAGGATCTACTCTGGAGCCAATGTTCACTGAAACAAAAAACAGACTGCAGCAAGCAGAAGCGGAAGTCGCCCGGCTACAGAATGCACTAAATAAGCTAAAACAACAACTACAGGTGCAAAAAAATTGCTCATTTTTATTTGAAGATCACTTTGTCTTAGCTATCTACTAAATTCAATTGCGTTAGCTCATTTTCATGAAATATGAAGCAGTCGTTTAATGTTTTAATCTTACTATTTTTGCCGAACAAAATTTTTACCGGGTAATCCATTTCTATACCACTGAAATAACATTTTTTAATTTTAAAGTGAACAGGAATGAGCTATGTCACTTTTTTTTGTTTTGCCCCGTGCCAATTAGGGATCGAATAACTTAATGACGCTTATAACACTGAATCTATTTTGCCGGGTAGTGAAGGATTGATTGCTTTTTTTGTTCGGTTATTTTGAAGGATGATCGCAGAGCTGCAGACGATAGGTTAAAGAAAGAACAAGAGAAGGTTGACAGAGCTTTACAAGCTGCGAGGAATGCCGGAGATAAGGACAGACAAGTGAAAGATTTGGCTGCACAAATTGAAAATCTATCGGTGTGTATGTGGGAACGATTTTATACTGCGTTAAGTTTTTCCTTGCAATGTATAACACAAGTGCAGCAGATGTGACTTGTCAGTTAGACAGCCCGAATTGTGTCAAATTGTCGATCGTGTGCCTGCCTGTGTGCGCGACATGCTTTTAGGGCAAATGATCCTAATTTCGTGTAAGTGGCAGGCGAATGTGTATGACTGTCGAATTCTAGAAAGTCTCAAAATGCAACGGAAGCCACGGAACGGAAACCAAAGCAAATGGAGTAAACCAAAACCTTCGTAAATACTCGTTTTACTTTCGTCAGTGAATTGAAAATTGCTCCATTATATTTATCCAAAGGTTTGTTTCACGGTCGGTGTATATTATTCTTACCAGGCGGACAATGCGTCTCTTGCCCAGCGCTTGAGAGACGCAGAAGATGAACTGAGCGGTCTTGACAACTTACTTGACAAAGAAGAAGTATTGGAGAGGCTCGGTGAACTAAGAAATGATATCAACAGGGGACGAAGTGCTGTCCGTGAACCGTTCAGTGATCAGGATGACCTGGGGCGAGCTCTAGCAGAACTCCATAGTAAATACCTGGACCTTAAGAGGGATCTGGAGCGAGAGCGACGAAAACAGGTTTGTACCTGTTAGCATTATCCTAAAATAAAGGGATCAGATGAGGTATATTAGATAAATTCGTGCGTATCTCCCGCACATCACGTTGGAAACCCAATGAGAAATCCACAAGATGCAAGGGCGTGCGCGTCTGTATAACCTTTTGTAGAGACGGAAGTCACTTCCTGCTAGAATTTTTCCGTTAAGAGGGAGGAAACTTTGTAGGGAAAGACAAACACTAAAGCCAAAAGGAACAATGATTGTCATATATAAAGGAGATTAACAATTGCAAACGGAGTCCTTTTAAAAGTCGGGCTGCAATTTTAAAGATTTACTTACTGTGACCGTGACTCTGATTTGTCCAGATCATGATTGAATTGTTTCTTTCGGTAGCCTGATGGAGAGGTTGAAGGTTTACAGGCTAGACTACAAGATGCCGAAAGAGCTCTGAAGCAAGCAAGGGACAAAGCTTCACAGGTAAACATGAATATGCGCGCTTACTGTTGAGTGATTCTCAACAGTTTGCAGTTCGTTTTTACGATGACGAGAAGTACATGACCACAAACAATTGATGGAGAATGGCCACAGTTGTTTGAACGTAGCCCAACAGAGTGCGTTGTTCGTTCAGTTTGTACCAGCAGTATCGCTTGTCATGTCGTCACCAATTTTTAAAATACACGGACTGTTCGTAGTCAAAATTGGATCTAGACTATGTTGGGTCTCTCATGTTACGCACTCCTATGGATGAAATGAGGAACAAAACATCTGTTTTGATTGCTCAGCTTGCAGGAGACAAAGAAGATAGAGACAACAAGTTAAGAAGAATGTCAGACGAACTAAAGAAACTGAAAGACAAACTTGCAAGACAAGAGAGAATGGAGGATGAGGTTTGTTTCAATATTCCTAAGACAGGATCATGAATGGAAAATGTGATCAGCATGCCTTTGGCCAGAATTTACTGAATTGTTACAGTAAAAGAGGATCGAACTGAGACATTCAATGTTCTTCCCAGAAAAATTTTCTCGAGGTTTTGTTTTTACATGGAGAGCACTCCCACTTTCTGAGTTCACGAGAGGATCGTAAAACAACCAGTTTCAATACGAAGTTCGCTCACGGAGAGAAATAATTGGTGAGAGGTAATTGAAGAGAGATAATTCAACCAAGCCGCACGCGTTTTGCGTGTAAAATTATTCCCTGAGATCCGATGCTGGAGTCTACAAAGAACTTGACGAGGAGGATTACTTTTGAATCAGGCCCTTAATTCTCCAGGTTGATTTTCTCTTGACCACACTCAAGTATTGTTGAGCTGCATGAACAAGACCAGTTTAAACACGTGCGCGTCAACTTATGTTGAAAATCACTTTGATTCTGGAAATAAAAATTGAGCAACAACAAATGCTGTATTTTAGTATAGCGAGGCTTCCGATCTTGAATGCTGATGAACATTTGCAAACGATAACCCGTCCTTACCAGAAAGTGGTTTTGTTGGTAGAGGCGCGAAGCTCATATCTTCAAGTCACAGGTTCAGCCCCATTTATTTTTAAGATTTTGCAACTGATTTGGTTACATCTATCTTTTTTTCGGTGCGGAACAATTCTTCGTGCGACCAACATTTAGAGCTACTCAAACCTGATTTAATTATTTTTGTATTTATTATCAAGTTGACAAAGGGTAAAATGTTCTGTAATGCTTATCCAGGTTCTTTTCTTGTACAGATTGAAAGAGAGAAAGCAAAACACGCTAAAGAGATGTCTGGACTGGAGAAACAAATAGCTCAGTTAAAGGATCAGCTTGACAAAGCTAGACATGGCTTGCAGGATCATGTAATCTTCTATTTTCTCTTGGTGCATGAGTTTATGAGGGATCTTCCTCTGTTTAAAGCCATTTTTAATTCACGCCAACATTTTTTTGATAACCCTTTAGTTCTTTTGATTGCATTGTGGTCAACTCTTCTTCTAAGTGATATCTTAACACGTGAATCTTATCTTCAGTTGGCCAGCGCCAGAGCTCCACTTCAAGCCAAGATAGCAGACATGGAAGACGACATGGAACATCTACAGGACAAATTTAACAAAGTGAAAGCAGAAAATGAGCGGGTATGATGCTTGTCTGATTCAGAGGTTATCAGAGTACCTTTAGTCTCCTGTAAGTCGTTTTACGGAAATGAAAGGATACGTTTAGGAATGTGTAAAAATTTGCTGTGGATTTTATACCTTTAGCTGAAAGGAGCCATCGCAGAAGCTGAACAAGGTAGAATGGAGTTAGAGGACAGACTGGCAGAAATGATGAACAAACTAAGGGAGGCCCGGGCACAAGCTGAGGCAACGGTGAGTGTTCACGTGACTGTTTATGCATAATTCTGTGAATTGCAAGTATGTGATCATTTAGAAGTTAAAGGGTAGTAACTTTCATCAGTTGTAAACTATATTATTCAGAGGTACGCATACACAGAGGAGACTTTTAATTAATATCCGAACTGTTAGTCATTATTTTCGCTGGTTGTTCTTTTGTTTCGGTTTTACGCTAAATAAAAGTAAGCGATAATTTACCTCCACTTATGCGAGGTTTTTGATAAAATTAAGTAATACGCTATTTCTCCACAGAATGAGAGATGCGAGCGGCAAAAACAAGCTTTAGAAGCTAAAGTGAAAGCTCTTGAGAACGAACTCGAAAGAGCCCGGAGTCGGTTGAATTCACTGCGAGCTCAAGCGGATGAAAAGGTTGGCGTTTTAATTTTTTCTAAATTCTTCTATTTGGGTAGGTTTGGTCAAGAAAACCCGAGTAACGCGACCAATAAGGCTGAATTATTTCGTTTACCTTTGTTCTGATTGATCGTTGTCGATGATTTGGTTCTGTTGTGACGACACTTGAATGCAAAGAGCTGTAATCCTTTACTTCAAAATTTTGTTAAGGGAACCACGATCATGAGTGATTCATACATTAGCATGATATCATGGCATTAATTCTTATATTTTTATTCTTTTCGTTTATACTACAGCTGCAAGCAGAAAAAAAGAAAGCGGCTGCAAAGATCGGCGGTTTAGAGGACGAAATAGACGATTTAAAGGAACGACTTAAAAATCTGAAGCACAAGGCTGGACGTGAGGTAATGCTTCTATGGAATTCATTCCAAAAATAAATCAAGCCATCCATTTTTTAAGTTCGTTATGAAAGTTATGAATGATGAGGAAACAGAAAATAATGTTTAATTGTTGACAATTGGACTCAAAAGAGCAGGGTAACGGTACTTTCTTATCAGGGGATCGATTCATTTCATTTCGCAAACTACACGGAGAAACTATAGTGCCATCATTTTTGCCGGCAGTTGGACGAAATAAGAGATGCTGGAGAAAGGAAGATTCATCATCTGGAAAAAAAGATGGCTGATTTGCGACATCAGCTAGAAGACGATCGGGCTCGAGCTGACGAACAGGTAATGAAGTCTTCAAGTGAATTTTATTGTTTAATTTGATGATCGTACCACTATAACTTTGTAGAAATCCAAGCTGGGACTATTCTGCTCGTCGGGGCAAGAAGAGAAGATGTTGGCGATCTAGTTTACAGAGAAAGTCGCTTATGAGGCGACTTTTGTCGACCTCACAGATAACGCATAATAAAGAGCACGCCTGATACAGGCAGATGCTTGTTACCACCTATGTCGCTAATTTCAGATATGAAAGCAGCTTTTTAAAGATAGAATTTGTGTTCTTGGAACCTTGACCGTGAATAACATAAATAAAATCGAAAAAAACCTCTGTACTTTATTACCCGCCTTTATTAATTGCGCATGTGAATGCCTGACTAGAGGTAAGTAATGGAGTTGATTACTGTGAAGGAATTTGAGTTCTCGCGAACTTGAACATAAATCACTTTGATTCTGGAAATAAAAATTGAGCAACAACAAATACTGTACTTTGGAATACCGAGGCTTCCGATCTTGAATGCTGATGAACATTTGCAAAATCTTACATGTTCCCTCGTGAAACGCCGCTTTAGAGTGTATTTCAGTAGAAGTAAAGAGTGTGGTGGAAACAACGCAAAACAAGAATTTTGTGCATGTGTTCATTGCAAAGCACAAATAAGACTGTACTTAGTCGGCTAAATTATAATGGCGTTTCGATTTCTGAAAGCGATATAACACGTGTAGGATGCCGAAAATACTGAGGCTTATCCTTGCATTTTTATTTCGTCTTGAAATTTAGTATTGATTTAAGTATCCTCTATAATGTTTAAAGTAGTTAATGTTTTTGTGCTTTGGTTTTATAGTTTAGAAGAGCTGAAAGTAAAGAAGCAGGGCTACAGAGTCTGCTGGGAGAAACTGAAGCTAAGTTGAAGGTATTTGGCTGACTAATACAGGGCACCCTAATACGATGTAGCTATGTTTAGTTTAACTCGCAGGCTTGCTGTATTATGATGATAAAAATACGAGAGATCATTTATACTGTCCTATATTGAGAATTTTATCGATCAGCACTGAATTAAATTATGACCCGATGATGGCCTGTAAGTGACGGCAAACTGCGGCTCCTTTTCCCCGTGGTCAAATGTAAACACGATAAATTATAATCATCATACTTATCATGTGATCCATGGCTATGACAGCACCAACCATCACTGGTATAAAATCCCTTAAGTTATAAGTCTGCCTAAATGCCCTTTTCTGGCGTGATCCTCAACTGTTGTTTGTTTTTTCGTTGTTTGTTTCTAGAGATCCAATGACCAAAGTCAGGAACAACAAGCCAGGCTTTGGGACTTGGAGAACCAGATTGAGGGTCTGAGAAACACTCTGAAAGATGCCGAAACAAAGGCATTAAAGGTAACAAACGATTGAAACAAAAATCATTATTTTTTACGTCAAAAATTCTGCATTTGTCAAATTTTGACGAAATATTTATATCAACTGGTAAAAGCTCGAAATTAAGATTTTGCTCCAATTACCAGATAGAACAATTCGGTCGCAAATTCTTAGAACTATTAGAAACCTGCCCGTGAAAAAAGAACAAAGTCTGAAAGATGGTTCTCCGTTAAAAACGCACTCCGGCTCAAGAACGAGCGCTGGTTTACATGGAGATACAGCCGGTGATTAGCGTTAAAATTCTAGTTGGCAACAGTCTACCAACTGTGACATTGGCGACCAGTTCGCAATTTGGGACTCGTCAGAATGCACATCCATTGTGCAACACGGCTGTGCAAACAGATTGTTATGGCGCTCAGTCAAAGTTTGTTATTCGTAGTTTCAGTTCTCTCCTTTTCCCCTCACTGGATTTGTTTTGCTCTGATTTATTTCTCTTCCTCATCTCTGTAATAAATTGTTATCAGCAATTTTTATTTATTGGCCCATCGATGTACATATAACGAAACAAACATGCCTATCTGTATTTTTCTGGTCATTTTTTCTTCAGGATAAGTTAGACAAGGAACTTGAAGCTGTTAAAGCGGAGCGAATGAGAGCTGCGATACAAGCAGCGGCTGATAAACAGCTGGCTGATGCACAACAACAGGTTTGCCCGCCAATCAACTTGTTTGTACTTATATTCAAATCATTAAAGTCAAGAAATTGCTGATGTTACTCAGTGAAATTTTCATGCAACGTTTATTTTTCGTGTAGCGACGTTAATGTAAATTACGCTGATGATTAATAAGTTTGACTTTGTCTCGCAATTTCGAAGACAGCTTAATGGCCGCAAAGACACAAATCGTCTCGTTTGACACCAGTTGCGTCTGAGATGACTTTGTTTTTAGAAGCGATGAAACTGTTGGTTTTATTTTGTCGTGCAATTTTTCACAAATTTAAAAAAAAAAACGTTTAAAAAAAAATTAATATTGATAAAAAACATGGTGGAAATATTGATTATATTTTACTGATATGTCTCTCATAAGCGATTTGGTCTTCCTTCGTCGTTAGTTTTGTCGCAATCTTTGTTTAGAACACAGCATTTAAAGAACAACGAGAAGATTTCTTCTTGGTTTTTGTAGGTTGCTTCACTTCAATCTATGCTCGATTCGAAAGACAGGCAGCTTCAAGAGGAACTGAAACGTGGGACGCAAAATTCAGCCGACATAGGTGAGCATTCGTAGATTCATCTATTTTCTAGAGAGAACACTTAAAGGATGCTAAAATAATATAAAACCAATCGATACAACTCAGTCGCATTTTGACGCGCTTGAGTCAGATTACTTGCCTTAACTTCGACTTCTGTACGTAGAAGAGACATGTGAAAGTCGTTTCTTAAGCCTCTTTTTTTCACTTTTTACTGTGGAACTGTGGAACAAAGTTTCGAACAGAGTAAATTTTTCCTTGTGTAGGGGGTGAAAATTCTTTCTAAATGTTGAACTCTGTTTTATTTGTTTTATCGTGCTAACAGCTGCTCAGCGAGCAGCGATTAAAAACTTGGCATCAGCTTTGGCCGAACAGAACCAGGAACTAGAACGACTGAAGGACGATTTGTTGGAGATGTCACGTGCCCCAGTCCAACTGCAATACTATCCTCATCCGGGTTAGTTTTTCTCAGAAAATACTCACTTTCCTTCTTTCAAATGAATTTTATGATAAGTGCCATTTAAATTTGTGAACTCGCAAGTGACCGCAAGTCGTGGGGTTTTAAATCGTTTCCAGGCTCGTGTTGTTTCTCAGTGTTGCGTTATTTATTTGAGTCTTCAAACTTTTCTCGACTGATTTTACCAGTTTGCTTCCTATATCTTCAGATCTCAGCCTTTCCGCCTTAGCAAACGAAGTCGAGGCTCTGCGAGCAGCTTTGTTACAAAGAGAGCAACAAGTACAGAGCCTCACTCGACCAATACCACTTCCGGCGAGTCCACCCTTCACCACGTCCGGCTTGGTTACCACGCCTGGGCACATGAATCCACCGTTTACCACTTCCGGCTTGATAACCACATCTGGGTTAGCAACAACGCAGACGTACTTACCAGTGAGCGGGGTGGCCCCAGCTGTTGTTGAGGGACCATCAAATGTAGTAACTATCTCTCGATCAGCACCCGTCATGACTCCCATGGTTACAACCACTAGTGGCCTGGGTACAAACAGCTATGCGGCCTATCCCGGACAAGTTCATCACCATCATTATTTTTCACAGTCAACTGGTCGAGGTACAAATGCATTCTGCACTATAAGTGCCCAGTCGGAATATTACATAGAAAAAGCTTCTTTGTCTGGCCTGACATCTTGTCTGTTTTTTTATTGGGGTTTTCTATTACTATAAAATAATTCTAATGAACCTGTTGGGTACAGTTTATTGTAGCTTCCTTTAGTTTGGCAGTATTTTTTTTCGTGCAATTAAGCAATTGTTCACATTGTATCTAGCTGTTTTAGTAATACAATCAGTGTTGTAATTTCCACTGCTTTAATATGCATATCTACATTATTCAGCAGGTAGGGTAAAACCATTGACAGTGACAACTTCCTCACACCTCTCCCCTGAGGTGGTAACAGCTAGCACAGTAGCAGACCCTGTCACATCACCTGTCCACCATCATCATTACAATGACGTCACTGGGGAAAATGGTGACGCGAAGAAGAAAAAGAAAAGGAAAACCAAAAAACCACAAGATGAAGTATTATTTTGTAATTTTCCAAATCACGAAGGCCTGGTGAGTTGTTCACTATTGCACCTACTCTACTAACATAAGTCTGTTTTCACGTACTTAAACACAAACACAACCTGCTATCTTCTCCTTTGCACGTATATTTCTTTTTTTTTTTTACATTTTACTGGTCGCCATTTTCTTAGCAGAAGTTTCGTTAAATGTTTAGTCAGCGTCAATGTGTAGCACGTTTCTGTATGTTTTTTTAGAACACACATCATTGTTTTCGTGAAATTATTCGTTCGGTTAGATTTAGAAAAAAAACGAAAAAACGCGAGAGAGGAAATGAAAAAGGTAAGAACGGACATGAAGGGAGAAGATGAACACAAATTGCAAAGGAAGACTTTCAAAATTCTCGCTAAATTGATGAAGATGTGGAAACATTGACATTGCCCCTTCGAGTTAGAATCCCGTTATTAAGAGGAAATGGAAGCTTATACAAGTTGTATTTTTCAGTGCGTTTTGCTTACGTGATGTTTTCGGTTTTTCAAGCACGAGAATCCTTGTGATCAAATTAAAAAAAAGGATTGTTATTGTACGGAAATCTATACTTACAGTGAGTTACTAGTTGCGTTTGATTGAAGGACTTAAAACTACAACTTTCATATATGTTTTTTTTTTGCTTCAGTTGTATACAGAACTTGCTTTTTGTTAGTTTGTCATGGTTTTGATCGCTCTTTCATTTTCCCTGTAGGAGTACGAATGTGGGAGATTGGAAGGTCTTTTGACTTCGTCGCAGCAGGCGCAGAAACTTCAGGTATAGTAGTTTGAATTAAGCTCGTTTTTCTCAAATTTTTCGTCTCTTTTTGAGCTTCCATATACGCCGTGTATTACGTTTTGTATTAAGTATTGATTCCTCCCTGTTGAGGGATGGAATTTTTCTACCTTAAATTTCCTCTACAAATATCCCTCATCAATTTCTCGTTTGCTAGCATCCTTTGTAGAGACAATCTACGAATTTAACGTCTTTGTTCTGCCATAAAATATGTGGACAACAGTCATTTTGTGGAGACGATTCAGTATTCTGTTCCCACCTTGTAACAAAGAAAAGACGAAATCTCACCTTCATACTTCAGCCTTGTGCCAAAGAAGAGCTGTAATTATCCTTTCTATTATTAATTCTTGTGGCCAATTGTTTTTCATGTTTTAGAACATCAAGAACCGTTTAAAGTGTAAGAATCAAGTACCGAAAACAATTAAAATCATCTCTATTCTTAATTACCCATTCCCTACTGAAGATTTAACGGCCCATACGTTTTCATCATTTAAGTGACAAAGGTCCCTAGCTTTCAGTGATAGCTTGGAGAGAATGGCATTTAGAAAAAATATTGATTTAACCCACGTGCTGTGATTGGAACAGAATGATTAATTATATGCAGTGTAAATCAACTCAAATTACCTTTTTTTTTAGCAGTAACTGTCACTTCATATGTTTCGGTAGTGAGTCCGTGAACTGCTTCCACCATTTATTAGCGATTTAGTGCTGTAGAGTCCAAATCGTTCGCCTTTGGAAAAATGTCGTGACTTTCAGTGAAAACTTTCGTTAGATTTCAATATTTCAAACGTTAGCGGCTTTATAAATGAAGGTATTTCAACCGTAAAAGTTGTTTCAATAGAATGTCAAAGGCAGCTTATGGCGCAGACAATCAATTGAACGTCCGATTTCCAGTGAGAAAAAGAAAGGTATTTTCGCTGGGGAACTGTATTTGTTTAGGGCTTACTTTTGTATAATTAAGGAGAGAGTAATTACAGTATAAATGATTTCTTTTTCAATTCAGGATCAACGGGACTCGCTTCGAATGGATTTGAAAGAATTGGAACACGAGGTGGGTTGATGGTTTCATTGTTTTACTGAACTGCAATTGAATAACGCGGTAATTTGTCCCATAGGATGAAAAATGTGTGTTTAATATGAATCGCGTGTAAATCCTTGCTTTGTTTATGCTGCTTTAAACGAAGCCTTTAGTTCTACATTTAACAAACGACCTCCCTGTTCATTGTTTTACTACGTTAAAAAATTCGAAACGACTCTTCAACACGAGAACCCGTAACCGCCATTTGCAGACTTCCACAGATGATTCAAGTTTGACTCACTCGCAGAAATCCAGAAAGATGCTCAAGTCGTCAGTTTTGTTCATTACATCCAACTCTAAAAACACATTTGTTTTCTTGTTGAAAGGTGGAAGATTCCTTAAAACGACGAGCGACTGCTAGACAATCACAACGACATTCATTAGATGCGAACCTAGCGGTAAGTCGATTTTTGTCATAATTTACAATATAAGTGGAATATTTTCTTCAATTATCCTCGAAACTAGTCGCTCAATTTTTGCCACTCTTTAAGAGGACAATTTTCGCAGTCTTTTATCTTTCTGTTTTATTTAGGAGAAATTTTAGGCGGGAAGTGTTCAATGAAAATTCCTGTGTTGTTACATGTTTTAAATTCGATTCTTTTAAATTTAGGGTTCAATTTCTCTTTGTATTATGTAACCGCTGGCAAGAATTAATGATAATTTTGCTACTTGAACTTAACACCATGATACGGACCATTATTACGATTTGTTCGTTGTTTATATCTTAATTTTTACATGATCTGTCCTTGAATATTTTCCAAAGCTTTGCATTTATAAAATAAAAAAAATGTGTATCGTAAAGGCCATGGCAGCCTTACTTTTCTTGATTACAGTAAAATAGTTGAGTTCTTAATCGAGTTATGTTAAAAATACACTAACTGTTTGTCATTGTGGACGTCTGTGTTTCTCATTTTAGAGACTCCAGGATCATCTTTTGACTGTTGTTGATCACAGATCTCGTTTATCTTCGTCATCTAACGTAAACTAATTTTAAGGACAGTTAGCTGTTAAGAAGTACGTCCAGCCGATTTAACAGATTTAATTTTTTTGTTGAAAATTTTTGTTTTATAAATTTCTTTTAATGTCCTGCTCACAATGAAAAAGAGAGTTTTTAAAATTTGCTCAATGATATCAACAGCTCGTCGCTTTTCAAACTGGTAAAATTTCAAAACTACCTCTGTTTACTTTGGGTGACAGTAACACATTTCTTAATTATACAAAAGCAAACACGATATGTTTGAAAAGGGATTTTTAGAATGTTCATTGGCGGCCGGGAGCCAAGGCGGCAGTTTAGTTTTCGGAATATTTATTTAAACTTGCTGCCGTTTGTTGAAACTCAAAGAAAGCATTAAACAACTCAACAGGAGGTATCGTGTTTGCGGTTATTAACACAAGCACAACCTTTAGCGTTATTTATACTTGTTTAATATAATTTTTAGACGCTTTCAAGTCTTTTGCGAGTGTGAAAGGAGATTCCAACGACCCAAAATTTTATGTTCAGACAAAAAAGGCGAAACAAATAAATCCTATGCTATAAATGCTAGTTGTAAACAGTTCTAATGCAAGAAAAGGTTGGCTCTGACATTCATCAATGACACACAGAAATTAGTTGAATAACGTTCCACTAAAGTTTTTTTCATGGCGTGACCACTCGATGTTCTGTCTTTTTTATGCAATTTGTTCTTTTGCAGCTTTTTTCCACGTGACCTTGTTAATCTTCGAGGCATATTGAATCATGTTCTTTTTTTTGGCATGGATTCTCACTTATCAGTTTGCACGTGATAGCAGTTTATTTACGCTTCATTGCAGGGTTGATGAAAATGCAGTGTATGGCAAGAAATAAAATCAGAAAGCCAGCCTTTTCTTAGTTGCTTGAACAGTTATATTTTGTTTGTATTCAAATAATTTTGCTTGCGTGTTCCCCAGTGTTGAAAGCAACACAGTAATATTTATATTGTTGTACATATCAGTCGAAAATGTAATTTTTTTAGGATATCCAAATAAATTGCCTTTCGTATGGAAAATGTTGTGTCTGACCTTATTTTGGTTTTGACAACAAGCTTCTAAGTTAGGGCTGGCCCTCTGGTATATCTCAAAAAGGAGCTTCTTCCTAAATTAGGTCAAGATTTTTACATTTCAAGTTTTGTGTCCTAACAATCAAACAGGTCAGCAATCATAGGGTAGTAAGAGGATATCTGACCCTCGACCATGTCCCCGTGTGTCTACCTTTGTGAGTTGGGTATTTCGTCATTTTTTATCCTCATGAAGAGAACACACCTTTCCCAAATGCAAGATGCAACCATAACCATGATGAACTCCTTCCACTGTCAGTGACCGAATGTGACCAAGAAATAGCCTGCGATTTCCACGTTGCACCCAAAGTGCCGTTATTTATGACAAAACACTTCCCAAAATTAAATTGAATGAGGACACTTGCTTTCCCTTAACGCAACTAAAAAAGTGTATTCAAGCAAATATTGCAAAGTCCGATAGTATTAATTTGCGTTTATTTAAAACAAAAAATACACTGACATATAGACAATTGGTTCATAAACTTTACCTTATAAACCGCTGGATGGACAGAATTAAATTGTTTATTGCACTTTTATTTGGGTTCCTTTACATTTCCCGTGATAAATGTCAATGGTAAGCTTCAAATGCGAAAGAGTATATTCTTGCAAATTTAATTTGGATTCCTTTAACTTTCCAGTGATTAATATCAATTATAAGCTTCAAATGCGAAAGTTAAATGTAGCTGTAGTAGGAATGAAGACGGTTTTTCCATGTTCCTAATAATTTATTTCATCCGACTTAAACACTTCTCCCAGGCAGGAACTAGGAGAGTTTACATTATGAGAACTGTGGACGAAGAAGATGAAGAAAACTTCCCACTAAAATATCTTCAGCAAAGGCAAGTGTTATTTACAAGTGATCTATTCGAGAAAGACGTTTTTTCGTCTTGCCATCTCTCCTATTTCTATCCACAAGTGATCTATTAATTTCGAAGTTGCTGGAAATAAAAGATTAATGGGAGCTCTCTGAAATACACACCATGTCTATGCAGCTCCAGCATCTGTTTCTCTGGTTCAGAAACACGAAATTATTACATTGTCCTCAAGGTAACGCCAGGATTGGAGATGCGTTTTGGCGTAGGGGTCCAGAGTAGAGAGTTCAATAGTACGTTGCCTAAAAGTTTCTCCTGATTAATCTCTAACATGGAGGTTCGATTGGCTGTCGTGCAATCAAGAACGCACCTTGTCATGAAATCTGCTTTTCAAGAGTGGAAAATAAACTTGTGACGTTCCCAACTTTCCATGTTATTCTTATCAACCTGATTTGTCAATTATTCGTAATTCAGCTCTAGCGTTGAAATGGAGCCTGTTCAGTTGTCGTCCGTTAATCAAATGGATGATAACACCCAAGAGGCATCCTGGGAAAAGCGGCTGAGTGACCTGGCTCGATTTGAAGGTCTGCTGGAGAAAAGGAAAACAGAACTACAACAGATGGACGCTGTACTGATGGAGCGAAGGCGCGAACTGGACGACGTTGTGCAAAAAGTGTGTCAGTTGTTTTGTATTGCTTTTGCCGTCGTTGTTTGTTTGCCTTTTTTATTGTCTTTGCAAAGTTCGCCAGCCGACCGTCTTCATTTCTCCGTTAGCGTAAGATGGCCGAGGGACGCCTGAGGCGGGCAGAAGAGGATGCTGGTATTATTGAGCAACGCGCAGCGGAGACCTCGGTCGAGTTAATCCGCGCAGGAAATCAGCTGATTAACTTGGAGATTAAAGAAAAGGCTCTGAATGAACAACAAAAACAAATAAACAAAGTGAGATACAGCCACGAATATTTCGTTCAACTTTATCAATGATATACAGTATTCTACGTTTATGCATTCAAGATAAATTCGTTTTAATAGAAGGTTTTATTTCTGTAATCACCTTACAAAAGTGGACGATATATAAAGATTTCATTCTTGACGGTCTTTTAGAGTTGTAATACCTCACCGTAACGCGGTCATTTTAACACTGCTATATAAATTTCTATGAGTTGCTGCACGGTACTGTCCAATTAATGATGTTATGTGTATACTATCTTAAAGTTGATTACTAATGTTTCATCTTCTTTTCGAAGGCTATCGAAGCCAAAGAACGAGAGTTAAAGGAAACTGAGAACTCGTGCGCTGTTGTTCGACACAATATCGATAAACTGAACAAGGAACTAGCAAGTAAAATGGAAGATCTTGAAAAGAAAGAGAGTGTGTTGAAAGATGTGGAAACAAGAACTCAACTTTCACTCAGGTTTGATCTTAACCTGTCGATAAAACAAATCGCTTGATGAAACACCAGCAGTGTTGAGCGCATGGCTCATTTCACAACCAGCGAGTGCCTTTTTTGAGCCCTTACGTAACTTGATTTTCATTTGGAGTTTCAAATTTGAGCGCTTTTCGATTGAGTTTCGTAGAGCTAGAACCAAAGTGAACACAACGGCTATGCAATCGGATGAAAGGAAAATACCTTTAAGAGCCAATGATGACTCAAAGTAAAACCGACCAAACTGCCTAAGGCGCGGGAAAAAGCGAAAGACTAAGTCGTGATTGGTTTTAGTATCTGATTGGTTGAAAGAGTAGTGCGAGCGAAGTAATTAAAAAAACAAAGCAGTCTCACATTACTATCGACTGTCTATTAAAAATTGCTCTAACAGACAACTAAAATGTTTGAGTAGCTTAAAATTTCGTTACTGAATTTTGATATTCTTCTGAATAATGAAACAAATGTGAATACTACAAAAGTAAGGAATTAATCATCTTTTGTATGTGAATTTATGTTTGATCAATCGACAGGATAGAGGAACTACAGAAGCTGATAGCGCAAACAGAAACAGAAGAGAGACATCAGTCAGATAAGTACGTCAGAGCGTTAAAGGAGGGTGAAAAAGCTTTGGAAGAAAAAACCACGCAGCTTGCCAGAACAAGGAATGAACTTCAAACTCAAATGATACAATTCCATGAACTGAACAGTAAGATAAACAAACTCAGGACAGAACTAAAAGAAATTGAAGAAAACATCAAGAAAGGAAAACTTGAAGCTGAGAGGCTTTCACAGAGAAAAGAAGAAGAGAGAAGAATCCAGGATCTTAATGTTCAGGTCAGAGCTTGAGTTTGTGCATTCGTGATAAAAAAAGTTGCTAACTCCCTTTAATGTTTAAAAGATACTAAAGTACATTTCAAAAGAATTAATTATAAGATTTTCTTTTAAACTTTTTTACTTTTTCACAAATACTGGTAACGTAGAAAGCATTCATATGGTATTCTAAGGTATAGTCGACGACTATTGAAATCAAACCCGCCTTAACTCTGTTACTGTGGTCGGATAAGAATTGATTTATTGTGTTAAGACAAACTTTATTTGCAATAACTGTTTAGGAGAAGTTTCTCTTGAAGACATAAGTGTAAGGGGCGATTTGAATGAAGTGACGCTTGAGGAAGATTCGTTGCCTTTTTACACAGGAAGCCGAGGAAAAACTTGTAGAAGTTAACAACGCAAGAAATGAATCGATGGAAGCTCTTAAAAGCCATCGGGAGGAGTTTGGTCTGTTGAGAAACAAAATTCACCAGAGTATGAGCAAGATTAAAGAATACGAAGAATTGAAGAAACAGAAAGAAGCTGAGTATAAAAAGATTTCATCCACGATCAGTAAAGACAAAGTAAAACTAGAAAATGAGCTCGCTAAGTTGAAAAGGTGATTAGAACTACATGATATTTATCACTTTTACTAACTGATTCATAGTGATCTCCATGTTCCGTGTGCGTTGTAACTTGATCAGCGGCATTGTATAACAAACCCATGCGTGATTGTTCAGATGAGGAATTCTACCCATCAGATACTCCGAGATCTCATCGTCTCTTTGTGTTTGTTTCGTTCGCTGTGATTGGTTGCTATAATCATTATATTCAAAACTTTTTAAACTACTTTAAACGAATCCCACCTCTTCCAATTTTTAGGCCTCACGACTTGTTTTCATCTGCGCATACTATTGGGAAAGCGTTAATGGGTCTATCAAGTCTGCCCTGTAAGACGTATCTAATACAAAGTCAAATCCTTTGAATTTTACTTCATCTTTCAGTGAGACGCAAGAAACAGAGGAATGTTTAGGTCATACAAATGCTGCTTTAAAGCAAGTCACGGTTGAACTCCAGTCTGCCAAACAAGAACTGGAGGAGGTGATGAACACCAAAAACTCGGTTATGAAGGAGTTGAGTGAACTCCAGCTCACACTCGCAGGTAAACTAAAATAAGTATATTCCTGAAATAACGGACAAAACCTTTTTAAGCAATATTTTTTTCAAAAGAAATGATGCCCGACATCGAAAAACACCCCTTTGTCCCCCTCTATCCCTTAGCTTCGTCACGAAAACATGTATTTTAGGACCTGGATTTGAATTCACTGTAAATTTTAATTTGGCTTATATGACGGAGCGGTTTTGCCAGCGATTTTAGTGTAGGACTTACCTCGAGAACGAGTCTTCTATAACTTAGTAAGTCACTGAAGATTCTGACCGCAAATTTGAATGTGGCTGGGAATCTTATTCTTACGAGGTGTGGGTTGGGGGAAGGGTAAAGATTTGTTTTGTTCCACCCTAATGACAAATGCGTAGCATGTTTCCTTACTATCACATAACTTGCAAGTTTTTCTTCTCGGTCGCTTTCAAAGTGTAGAAATCAAGCAGTTATATTATGTAGAGAAACAAAACGTAGACCCACGAGATAAATTATTTGAGGATGTCTGTATCTTTTCCGTAAACAGAGAAAGGGAATGAAATTATGAAAGTCAATCAGGAAATTCAGGATGGTAGCAAAGAACTGGAAAAAGTTAAAGAGGTAAATATCAAAAGTTTCAGGTCGGTTAATAAGGGTGTAATCTATAACAAAATAGTTGACATATTGTTATTCATTTCAGAGATATTCTTAAACCGCATGCCAATTTTAGTATTTATCAAATGCCTTTCTTTTATCCCCAGCTCCTTCCAATCAATGAAGTGCTTTATTTTCTGTAAATGCACAATATATACTGAATGTGGAAGGGTATTTTTATAATATTTAGTGGATTTTAAACTCCAATACGGCCTTGAAAGTGGTTACATCTACATGCACTAAATCTTGTCTTATTTTGTCGCAGATGACAATCTGAAACACTTATTTACACTGAGGCCAAAACTTTTCCCATTATTGGTCCAAAGCCAAGGTGCTTGCATCAGATATTTGAAATAAACTTTATACGGAGAACAGGCAAATTTCCAAGAAATTTGAAGAAATCATGATGGCGGGGTAAATTAATTAGCATGAAGTGGACTATCCTTACATACTAAGGTCCCTTGTAAAAACTTGGAAAACATTCGCTATATGTCCCTATTCTACAAAACCCCATAGTCAAAATTTTAAGAATGATATGTTGCTTTGGAGTGCAAAAGGGAATGCTGGATACAGTCATCAATTACTGACTATCTTGAAAACATGGCCGCTTTCTACATTGCAGACGATCGCAGATTTCCGAAAAAGGCAGACAGAGTTGATTGAAAACTTAGAGGAAGAAACTGTAAGACGTGACAGTGCTCGAAAGGGCAGTTTGCCTCAGGGCTGTTCAACGCCTAAAGACAACGAGAAACAAAATGGTAATTTATATTCAAGTTTAAACTATTTTTCTCCAGGACGCTCTGGACATTACTGATTTTATCTGTATACACAACGCTTTTCAGGTTCATGACAACTTAGATGTTTCCCATTAATGAGCGCCCTGCAGCTCAGTTTTTAGAGCATACAACCACAGCATCGATCGGAATTTGTTGGTGCTCGAATTCTTTCGCTTTTATTAATCTTGAAATTGCTTCACGGACGAGAAATTCTCCAATTCTATTCAAGACTATTCCTTGTGAAAACTGATTCACTTTCCACAGAGCTCCTTGTTACCAGACTGCGCCAAACTATCAACAACCTCTCGGATGTAAACAAGAAGCAACATAGAGCTCTTCAAGAAGAGCGAGGTGAAGTTAAAGAGTTACAAGAACTTCTGAAATCAGTGAGTAGCTAAGACCACTATAACTTCTAAGAAGAGTGTGACTATAGGAGTTCGAAATTTCCCTTTTGTGAAACAGTGTGCGCGAACCTGCTTCATTTTGGCGGTAAAACGCAACAGCCTTCAATACAAAAAGAGGAATTTTTTTGTTTTGTTTTTAACTTTTATAGTTATCATTATTTTTAATGGCGTTGTGGAAAAAAGGCATGTTAGGGCCCATTCAAATTATTTTTTCTCATAAAGACAGCAATAGAGCTCCATGAAGAGTGTATTGTTTAACTCTTCCTACTATCAACAAATTTAATTAATTCGTTCGTGAAAAAGAAACCTTGTAATCTTAATTGAGTTGGATTAATGTAGCTAAAACCATTCCTTTAATAAATGTTTTAAAACTATATGCAACGGGTCTTCAGGCGAGCAAACCAAAAGCTGGGTAGACTCTGACAATCCTGCATTATAACCTGTGAAGGCCCAAGACTCCACAAAAAATACCGTTGTGATAACAAACAAGTGATATACGTGTACAAACATGCGTTCAGACTAGAAGAAGCTAGTTAGTTAAGGCGAAAACAGCTGTCTTTCTCTTAGAGGACTCTTTCCAGCTTCACGATAACAGATATGGGTTTCATTTGTCGAGGTTAAAATGACCTTTCTTGAGGAGAAGTAATTTTCATTCCCTGCTATGGTACAATGATCAATTTATGACACTCAATTTTACAGTCTCCGATTGGCTTGAAAATTGCAACTCAACTTTGAAATGGGTTCAAAGTTTTCTTGCTCATAAATGTTCTAGTAGTTCTTTAGGAATCAATGATCGCCCTTTCCATTTGCATCGTTCCAAAGGTGTTACTGATTTTTTTTAACCATCTATCTATTTGGATCTTTTCAGGCTATTTAAAGGAAACTTTTTTATTGCAAATTCTTAGTTGCACGCTACGTTTCGAAACGATTACAGCGAATTAAACTTTAACTCGTTGTGCTTCTCAATTCACTGTAGAAAAGACAAAAATGGAAAGAAAGAAAAAAATGCACTGTGTTGTAGAATGTGAGTCGATTCTCAAACTTAATTTATGTTCGGATGATAAAAACTTCCGTGCCGTGCCAGAAGCGAAATAAACTTTAACTCGGTGTGCTTCTTAATTCACCTGTTCACTTTACCCACGTCTTACTTTACAGAGGAAACTGTTACAATTTTGTCATCATGCTTTAGAAAATAAAAAGATGGAAAGAAAGAAAAAAATACACTGTGTTGTAGAATGTGAGTCGATTCTCAGACTCAACTTATGTTCGGATGAAAAAAACTTCCGTGCCGTGCCAGAAGCCGTGCTTTGCATATTTAATTTATGTCTCTTAAAAACTTTAAGCTTTTATCTTTCCTAATTCTTTTTTCTTGATTCATAACAAACGTTCATTAAGAAATTGATACGTCTTTAATTTAAATCTATCAAATTAATAAGCGAACCCTTTTGACAAAAGTGGTTACAAGAAATTTGTTTTTCATTAAAGAAACTATGGAGATGTGAAATAGCATAAGAAGCAATTTTAAAAAAAAATACACGGTGTAAATTAACCCTCAGAATGTTTTTATGTAAACATGAATTTTGTTTCCTTGGACGGCACTCAATCGCACTGTTAAAACTACTTTTACCGTAAAGATTTTTATTAACGCGGGTCACATTAATTCTGGATTTTTCCTCCGCTTGTCACTTTGCAACACAAATGTAGATCGCTGCGAAGCAGATTATGTGCTAATGTTAGAGGCTCAGCCATGTGGAGCAATTTCGTTCTTTCTTCTACAGAAAGTCAAAACACGCAAGAATTCTGCTCTGAACGCTCTATTCATAACACCATATATAACAGGGTTAATGGTACAACTTCCAAAGCCAAGATATATGTATAACATGAAAACCTGTCGTGGAATAACAAGTTTATGTGCAGAGATGGAATCAACCATGTCAATAATAGCTATAGGTCCCCAACAGAGGATAAAGCCCAGCACAGCTGCGAATAGTGACTTTGTTATTTTCACTTCCTCCACATTCAATCGAAGATTCGCCTCTTTTCTAGTAATGTTCATCTCCTGATTGTGTTGTTTGATGGTTATAAAAATCTTGTAATACGCGAAGGTGATGATTCCAATAGGAACAAAAATGTAGATAACATCCAAATACGCCGTGTAAGCCATGTCCAGGTGCGGTGTCTCAAATTCCATAAAACAAATAACTTTACCGTAATGCACGGTAAATGTGGCCCATTGAGTCATCGATGAAAGTCCTGCACCAAGAGCTGCGAAAAGTGTCAAGGCAACCACAGAAATAAACGTTGATTTTACTTTAAAACGCTGACGATAAAGGGTGGGTTTCACCACGCGAAAATATCGGTTCACCGCCGTTGCAGTCATAAGCAACAAAGAGTTCAGCGCGCAGAAGAAACAAAAGAATCCTTGGAAATGACAAACAGCACTGTTAAATGGCCACTGTCCTGTTGTGAGAAGAACCACAGACATAGGCATACAGAGGGCTGCCATCAGAGCATCTGATATGGCCAGAGTCACGACGTAGATGTTCGGTATGATGCGAAGTCTTTGATTACGATACACTGCCAAGCAGACCAGCATGTTACCAGTAAAGGCCAGTATGTTAATGAGTATCATAAGAGCACTTTCCAAGACTACCAAACCAACTGCACGTTGGTGCAGCTCTTGGGAAAGATTCGTAAGTCCTTCTGTCACCATTTTAAGAGGAATAATAGGAAAACTTTAGAAGCCGTATGAATACATAAAACTTCAGGCTACTGGTAATTTTCTTCGTGACATCTTTTCAATGGGACACCTGTTCTATTTGAATTATGAGGGGGGTGTTAGAGCTGTCCAGATAAAACCGTTCTCACCCAAATGCAACACCAAAGCGACCACTGTTTGGCACTTCTTGGATAAAATATTTGATGCTGTTAATCTTTGGTACGGCAGGTGTGATTTTGTTCATTTTGAGCGGTTAATGAATAAAATGAAATGCAAACCTTCATTGTTTATTTAGTAAAGTCTTGTTGAAATTAGGTCTTTTAAAGTCTTGAATTATCATATTAGCCTCAAGTTTGGCGGATAGTATGTGATTGACACTTCCCAATACGGTCATGCTACGTGCTTCAATGATCGCTTCGTGAATGTGAGTGAATCGGTAGAAGGAAACCCGAAAATAAACCTTAACAAAACCTTACGGATAGTGGTTTACTTATCAATTTAAGACGCGCTACCCTGGAATCAACAGCTTACATGTACTTCATTTGGTTTCTTATTTTTGCTTTTCAATTCCCTATTTAATGTCACCCTGAAAGAAAATACAACGACATCGCAGTCTAAATTTACGCCAAAAGTAGGTACAGAGTTATTCTAGAAAATTTTGTTGTTTATCGTGGTTTATATAGATAAATGAACGTTTGTCTCACGATGTAAGAGCCAGGACAGTCAATTGTGTAATGATGGAGACGTTTCGACCTCTATACTACTGGTCCTCGTCAGGCGACCAGGTGGAAAGGTGACTTATAGCACCTTTGTTTAGGAGGAGGAAGTTTTATGTGGATGGCTTCTTTAGACCATACGTGTGTTCCAGTCAGTCGTGATCAATAAACCTCACCTGGTCCCAAACAGGAACGTGCCCTGTTTCATTTGCGTGCTCTGAAATCGCCGACTATTGAGTGCGAGTCGTACATCTCTTTCACCTGTCTTAATTCTGTCTTCTATCGCACTCCCTGTTTCACCGATGATACTTTGCCACATTCACACGTGATCTTGTAAACAACGCCGTCCCGTTAAGCTAACTCGGTGGGAAGTTGAAGTTGCTGCAGATGAAGTGATAGTAACTTCTTCTTTTCATGTTTAGTTTGGACATAGGAAAGCAGATCTCTTTTTCCCGTACTGTTTTTGTGGTTAAATAAAAAGAAAAAGGGCCGGTAATGAATATTGTTGTTTAAATTTTTGGAAATTTACTTTACTTTGTTCATTTATTTCCTATTTTTAGGAGAAAGATAACTTTCAGAAGCATCTGATGCAAGTTGAGTCCAAATCTGAGGCTTATCAAATACACCTTGAACGGCTTCACGTAGTGAGTTATTCATGTATTCTGCGATTCGCTTACACCCACATTACAGACGTAATCGGCAGAGAAGTCATTGGCTGCGATGTCGCACAGTCCTTTCCCTCCCTCAAACCCTCAAACCACCCTCCCCAATCAAATTTCCATTGCCTTTTAAATTTCTTGGGATACAAAGAAACCCTTTAAAATCGATGATGTCAATCATTTCGTTTTAAAACCTAAGGATAACAACTATTAACTTTCTACTTGAACACGCTTACGTGTTGTCGCTCAATAAACCCCTTTATTTTGTTGTCTTCTATCTTATAAAGATATAATTCTACTCTTGTTTTTCGCCGACTTTTTCTTTTCACGTTTTGTTTTGGTTCGATTTCCAGGAGTTCGACGCTGAGAAACAAAAATATTCTAGAGAAAAAGACTTGCTGTTGAATAAAGCAGAAGAACATCGCGTTAAAGCTAAGAAGTTTGCCGAAGAACTGAGCAATCTAAAACAGAACCATATGCAAACAAAACAAGAAGTGGGTGAAGTTTGTGCAGAGATGAGAAGGAGTCGATTTTGTTTTCAGGATCACGTTTTTAGGTTTATTTATTCATATATCTATTCATTTATTTATTTGATTTTAGCTAAATTTGCTCAGAGAAACTCTCGTAACAGATATTAAAGAGTTAAAGGAACATATCGAAGGAATGACGACTGAGATGAAATCAGTAAGTGAATTATTTTCCTGGGAGATGCTGAGTCGGAAATATGTGAATCCTTAGATCGACTCAGTACGGAGTATTAATTAAGATTATCTCCTTTGGTGTTTTCGGGCCTTTTGTGTGATACAACTGCCTCTCTCTCTTAACTTCTTTACTTAAATGTATTGGATCCAGATTTCTATAAGATATGAGGAATAATTCTGAAAAAGTCATAAGTTTAGATTGTTTGCAAAGGAGTAGGTGGCTGACAGACGTTCCTGATATTGCTTTGTTCAAAGTCCTTTTTTAAACGAATATTTTGGCTTTCTTCGTTTCACATTGGGGAAAGCTTGAGTTTTCTTTCTCGGAACACCACAGAATTAAGCGGATGACAAACACATTTCATTTGCAGGAATTGACTAGAAGCTTGAAGCAGGTTGAAAATTCAAAAGAAGAAGCAACTGATGAATTTGAACGGCTCCGAGACAAAAAAGAAGAAATGGAAGCTCAGTTTGCCGCATTACAACAACTGATCAACTCAGTGAGGACTTTTTAGATTCAGAATGAAAGTTTGATAGCATATGAATATACTCTTAATTAATAGAGAATAATACATGGGCGCGCGTAGATATGGAATTTCCCCTCGAGTGTTTAACTCGATAGCTCACGAGTGAGCGCGGCGAACGAGTGAGATGTCGAGTTGAACACGTGCTATATCAACAGACGTGAAAAAATACGAAATTTTTTCACGTGTGTTGTTACGGCTTTTCTCAGGGCCGGAAATCCTTGTATAACACCGCAGTTTATGTGATAAGATTTAGTTATTACAACCGATGGATCTAGACTTCAGATTTTGCTAGCGGAGGAATTTTTAATTAACTGAAAAATGGGAATCACTTTTTGCGTAGGCTAGTCTAAACTTAAAAATTTTAATTTCATATTTCACGAAGATGTATAGGGTTTTTCATACAGGCCACATACATAGAATTTGTGTAAGCGTATCTGGTAGTCATGTCATGAGTGAAATCACTCTAAAATATTTATTTTGTTTCAGGCCAGGAAATTGGTATTGAAGGAGGAGAAACAAAAATCCGAAAATTCCAAAAGAGAGGTAAGGTGTATAACTGTAGTATTTGAATTGTGTCTACAGTAATCTTTGTCTCTTGTTTCTGTGGTAAGAAATATCAAGTGATGAATATTAACTGACCCGTGCATACGAGACTTATCCAAACACGGCAAATTCCCCCGCGCTACAACAAACTTGACCTGAGTATAGTAAAAAATATGAATGTGGATTTTAGAAGCTGATGCCGTAATTAGTGTGTTACAGAAGAGACTGGGATTTTTGTAGTTTTTGTATATCCACGTCAATAACTCTTTTTTGTGTTTTTCAGAAAGAAGACGCACTAATCAAAGAGAAGAGAGCATTACTTAAGCAGCAACAGAGTTTTCTACGAGTAAGTTTTGATTGATTGTCACATTTTGCAGACCCTTCTAAGTTACAGGACCGAGAAATAAATGGATTGAGAAGTTATTGACTTTCATTCTCAGGCTCAAATTAGAAAACAGATGTCAACTAGGGCGGACATTCTTGACGAGGAAAGAAAAAGGGCAGAAGCTTCCCTTGAAGGACTAAAAAGCAAGTTAAAGAATCTGGAAGAGGTATATTGAATGATACTAGTGAAATCATTAGAAAGTATCTCTCTTAGCTAGACTACTCTTTTTTTACCCAGTCTAGTTTTAATCTTTAATCACAGACCGTTAGTTTATGGGACTACTACCACTTTGAGCTCGAGTTGTCCCAAACGTGTAGTAGAGGGCGCGTGCGACCTGCATTATCCGTGCGGGAAAAACTGAAAAACCGCCAACATTACAAGATGAGTTTATTTCTATTGATTGAGGTATTAACATATCAGTAGTTTTATCAATTTTCGTTCAGTGAGATTCATTTATGTTCGATAAAAACAGTGGTTCAAACTTTGCTGCTCACAAAGAGTTCAATAAAGCTTTACGAGGCACATGTTTTGTTAGCTTTCCGTATAAAACCTGAATGGTAGTTCAACTTGTTCTGGAATTTAAGATCTCTATTGCATTTCTTTCATTCTCTCTGGCAGAGGCATGTATTGAGAGTAACTTTTTACTTTGAGTTGATGGAGAGCATGCTTGTATGTTTTATTTTAATTCTTCAGGTTATATCAAGGAAAGATGTCAGTGTCCAGGACTTCCGTTATAAAGTAAGAACATACCGATATATGAACCTTTCCGTAACTTTCACTGAGTTTCACTGTTTGAAACACTTCTAAAGTGTTTCAAACATAAAACATTTCATGTATATACTCAATAACTGTTGCCACTTCCTCTTTATTTTATGTAGCTCTTGAGAGATAGAGTTGAAGCAGAGAAAGTTGCAGACTCTAACAAACAAATTGACGAACTAAGAAGACGATTACGTCAACTGGAAGACGAAAAGGATTTAATCACAAGTCAAAGGAATCATTTGGTTGCGTTGAATGAAGGCGCTAATGTACAAAGTTCTCCACTTAACTTAAAAGAATATGTGACTGAAAGAAATACGAAGTTGATTTCTGTCAGACCCAGACGCTCCCTTGACTCTCTCACCGATGATAAATTGTATGCAAGATCTGTGAAACATGACGAGGAAGTTCCATGCCGTGATGAGGTGGGTCAAACCACAAGTTTGCCTCTTCATTTTCATGGCAAAACCTCACTTGATAAACTCGAACCCAACTCTGTGTCACATGACGTAGAGGTTAAAAAAGAAGTTGGCTTGGACTACGGGATGAGAAACACAAGGATCGTGACCAAGCGAAACCTGGGTTTGGAGCCGAACGAAAATCCTCCAGATCATTCATACGAACAAATTGCGATAAACTCGTCCTTACCAATGTTGAGAGAAGATCTTTCAGAAGATTTTGTTGAAAAAGATTTACCTCTCTCTGCAATTTCCAAAGAAAGCGAAACGAATAAGCTTTATCCGACTACCGTTGGTCCAACATCTGACCGTCGGAGACTGGTACAAGGGATGAAGGAGCAGCAGTGGAAACCTGACAGGAACGCAGTTCGTTCAAGAGGTGAGGATTAAGCTTAGAGACTCTTTGTGCCAAGTACACGAGGTATACGTGTGCTTTAAGAAGAGTTCTTTATTTCACCACGGTCGTCAATTTTAAGATAACGTTTTCTCTTGTTGAATCTTTTAGATATATCTTCATCTACTTTCGCTGATGACAAAAAAAGCGAGGTAAGAAAAACAGAGAGAATTAATGTCACTCCTTACATAAATGAGTATTTTGTTTTTGCCATGTTAATTTTCAGTCAAGCGGTGAAGGTGAATCCTATAATGGACCACTTTGATGATATAGGGCTTTAAAACATTTTGTGAAACGCAGCAATCGATGTCGCTGATTGGTAGATAAGATCGAATTTAGCAAATGTGACACTGTAATATCATGAGGGCCCGTCCCTGAAGTGACAAACTTTTGAAAAGCTGGGAATACCAGGAGGTAAAAAGCTATCATACTTTCATAAGTTTGCAACGGATTCCGCCAAAAATTTCCGAATTTTCAAACTCGGCGTGATGAATTGATAATGACTTTTGCATTTCTCAAATGAAAAATGTGAAAGGTGATATTATGGGGAATTTTTTGTTGAAGTCTTCAGTGGTAAGTTATCTTTCTTCGATTGTGACAAGGAAAATAGTGACTTTGAACAGTTTACAGCCACCTATACTAATACGACACTCACCTTCTTGTATCCTTTAGTTTCTGTCTTCAGTTCATCGTATAAAGAATGAAAAGGTCAAAGAGCTTGAACTCAGTTTGCGGAGGCTCTTCTTTACGTGACTTCAGGAAAGCTTCAAAGACTTAACTTGAAAGGAGTCTTAACGTTTCTACGACGATGAAGAAAACCACTCCTTACAACATCTTCAAGGGACGAAAGGTTTTCATCTTTCATGGTCTTTCGAGTGGCGATGTGTCCTAATAACAGAAGTAAAGGAAAACCAAAGATGCATTTTTCAGCCTAGAAGGAGGACCAGGAAATGAAGGGGAAAAGTATTGTTCACTTTGAAAAAACTGTGGCTCGATTAATAGGACAGTTTACGTGTATATAAATAACAGACTACGAAGCTGAAAGAACGAAATAACAGACTGCGAAGCTGAATGATTTCTTGTAATACTTTGGCTCGGAGTTATTTTTGAGCACAATGACAAATTTAAAGTTGTTTCAAAAGAAATTTAAGAAAAGTGGAATATTTTCAGAGCAGATATATGGTGTTCTTTTGACTTATATTTTTATGTCTTAATTTGCATTTTTCAAAAACTTAATGCAAAATAGCGAGTTAACTTCTGTCTTTTGTAACTGATCGAGTCGTTTAAGGACAAAACCAATGCAGACTACCCCAACCTTTTTTCAAAAATGTGTTTTGAATTTCTCAGCGCTTTTCCCCCTAACTTCAAAAAATCTTTTATCAAAAATCACTTGGCATAAACAGTTTATTCTTATTATGGAATTTTCTGTCAGCAATGAAATGGAACATCCATGATATGTTACTAAGGATTTTTTTAATTTGCCACAAATAATTCAAATAATACTCTTTAAAACGCCTTAGTATAAAAGGTTACCATCGTTGTTGAACTTCTAGATCACTGATAGATCTCAACTGAAAACGCGATAGTAATTTGAACCTTTTCAACGCGTTCATATAATGACCATTACATGAACTCATTTGTCTCTTTCGTCCTTCGCCTTCACTAACTGTTATCCATAGCCTACAACCCCTGCCATTTTCCCCGTCTGAGTTTGTGACTGAGTGAAACAAATTCTACTCTACTTCCCGGCGTCAGGCGGGACTATCCAGTTTGATCAAATGATCCGGCGATTAACAAGTTTGTGACCAGTGTCGACAATATTCGGGCACCCAAGGATGTAAGGGATAGCATCAGCTGATTCCGTTAAAGAGGACAATGATAACCAGAAAAAAAGGCTTTCTTATTTTGCGTTCCTCAGTCGAGCAGAGGCAAACCTGTGGGTTAAGACACACGCTAAAGGTGGAGGGCGAAAAAAAAACACGTTCGCCATGAGTTAGCCTACGCTCACCAAAATAAGCCTGTTTGCCATGGTAGTCAAATTCAAAATCTGTGCCCCAATAATAAAGTTCAAATTAACCGACGCATCTTTCTGAGGAAGAAGATAGGTGTTTTCTTCTTCTGAAAGGAGAAGAAGCCGCGGTTATCTGGTTATTTAAGGAATCAGTGCGGCGTTGAGTATGACGGGTAAACGGCACTCAACTCTAACGCATAACGAACAAAAATAATTTACGAATGACGAGGCATCTTGAGGGACATAGATTACACTTGTCATTTGATAACAAATTATTCTCCGTTTAGAACAAAAAAAGGAATTCTTACATCAATAGACAAGCACGATCGTTACTCTATTTTTATTTATAATGACGTAAAACTAACGTGTGAATGAATGAATGAATTTAACCGGGACTATTAACTTTTCCAATTCATCTCTTTTTTATTCATTCGTAATATTTTTTTTTGTGAGACCAATAAGGGCGCGTGTGTGGGTGTGTACACGTGTGTTCATTGACGTCAAAATTCTATACTTCGTCCAATTATCAGTTTTCTGTTGGCAACACATGCTCACAAGTAGTAAACAAACCAAAGGTGTTATCGCCCCCCACGAAGTTCCTTAAGAGTGCCGATACTGCATCGCATGATTTTGAAAAAACTTTATGCCCACCTTGACTTGTAACAAAACCTTGAGGCACTTTAGTTACCTCGGCAATAGACATTGGAGAAAGAAAGGACAAACTCCGATCAACATACTTTTCAAACAAAGACGATACAGTGCTGTTGACGGGAGAAAAATCATTTAGCCAACATTTCTATAGCGAACATGAAGCTCTCTTATCGTAGAAATGTCTAAAGAACCAAAGCAAAGAACAAGATTGTTTTAACGAATTGCAATGGGTAAATTTGAATTCAAGACGTGCAGGCGTGCGGCGGTCATTTTAGTATTGTTAGGCAGATTAGATCTAAAAGCAGCTGGAGGTGTTTTTAATCGGACGGGAAGATGCTGGGATTCTTTGGTTCCTAAAATTGCCTTAAGATTCTCCTAAAGATAAAGCTTAGAAGGAACGTGATTAAAGCTTTTTAAATCGTTATCTTTCCCGCTTAAATCGAACATTATTCGGTAAGCGCATTTCGCAAGTTATGCAGTGTTAACATTTTTGTTAAACAAAGTAGTACAGCCATTCTTTCATCAGACATAGGGAAGTGTTTGTTTCCAACGAAGACCACGAGGATTTTTACACGGAATATTTGCACATAAGCAATTCATTTCTATTTCGTATTGTAGGTACTCGCTTGCGCGAACTGGACGCTTCCGAAATCAAACAGAGTCAGCAGCTGTGTAAACACGGGTTTAGATAATTTGTATATGTGAGTGGTTAAACCTCGTGTTTGTATCAACAGAATCAATCTTTGTTTAACATGAATTACAGGAGGTTGCGAATAATACGATCGACCCACTTGCCCTTGCCTGAATTCCATCAAATCTTTTTGTTATCATGATGTGTTCCTCATTGTTGCACCTGTTGATATTCACAATCGAACTGCGCATCAAATGTTTATCTTCACAAACACATGTCATCAATGAAGGAAGACGGTCTCAAACTAGCACTTACCGGCCGTGTGGGGGTAATAAGATATAAGAGAGCAGATCTTCATATCGGTTTACGAGCCTCTCTGTACAAAACATTTGCCTAATTGATTTGTGGTTTGAGTGTTTGAAAGTACGTGGTTGTTCCTACTCTAATTTCTATCAATGGAATAAATCGGCCTTGTTGACGAAAGAGATGCATGGAGCATATATACAGACCGGTTTGACGGTTATTTAAAATATGAATTTTAAATATTTTTGGGTAGTTTCGTGTGGCTTTTAATAAAAAAAAAAGGAGAACTCAACAAACGCATTATACTTGACGCCTTTATTTCCTTTAGCACAAACTTTTCTAAAAAGTAATGATGATAACTAACTAGTGCTAAGAATTCTTTTTGTTCATCTCTTGAATGTTAACAGAGAGTAAGCCAAGGATACATTTTTTTGAGAGCTAAAGAAAAGGAAAACAATCCAAGTCTTAAACCAGGAAGAACTTTCAGATTCACTGTCGCATTTCGTGATACCGAGTCACAGAAAATTGGTTGTCTACATACATTTCACATAACCACGTATCTGGCTACGAGTTCTCCGTAGCTTGATGAAAGAGCATCTTACAGCAAAATTATAAGGCCTGTGGTGGAAATCTTTTAGGACTCATATCTTGTCTCTAGATGCAAAGTTCGAGTTCTATTTTCGTTAGAAGATATCTTCAGTCATACTCAGTCCTCTTTCAATTGCACTCTTCTTTGTGATATGTCAGAAAAGCGGGAATTTGAGGGGTTCGTACTACAAATAATTTTTAATATTTCTCATGTTTCCAAAAAACGAATGAACCACATCTGTAATAAATCACAGATCGTCATTAACTTGGCTTATTATTTGTCATGAAAGACATTAGAAAACAATCCAGCTTTTCTTAAAATAATTAATTGTATGTGATTGAAGGGTTGATTGCGGGCGTTAGGAGAAAGATCTAAATTCGATACTTTAGTCGCTTCAATAATGACCATAATTACAATTTTCGCAAGGGAAAACAGCTGTACTGACCCTCTGGGTTCGCCCGTGAGACAAATTTTGAGAATAATGATATCCGGTCAGTTCACGACTAAAAACTCATTTCAAAGCACATGGATACCGAGACACCGCCTCTTATTTTGAAAAAAATAAGTGCTGATTTATTCTCTTATAAATACGATGGGAAAATATTTGTGGAGGACTGATTTTTGAATCCGGATGTTTCAAGGCAGAACAATTGGGAAGTCGTGTTTGCATGGGGTCACCCACATATTTATGAGGCGTTCAAAATATTGACACTAGAAGGGAAGCATTGTTTGCAAGCAATTATTAGTTTGCTGTTAGCAAGCTGGAATCCTGTTCAAAGAGAACCATCACTTCTGTTTCATTAAATGACATTCAAAACAATATGTTAGACAAAACTCCCTCGTATTCAAAATCAACATGTGACGACGCTGTTAGTGTTCAGTAGCTGCAATATCAGAAGTAAGAAAGGCAAAATAGATCGTGTTGGCTCGATGCAAACGAACACAAATAAATACAATTTAGACTCATTAAGAGATTTTAAGTCCCTTTTTGCAACTTCGTAAGAGTCATTTAATACTGTCTTTTTATTGTCTTCTGTTCAACGTCCAGTACATGACATTGTACCAGCAGGTTACGGTTTTTGAAACGCATTTTATGGTTCTGGCTGTGCAATTGATTTCACTGAATTGCGACTTGATCTTATACTGAATACACCGTCGGGAAAAGTTTTAAGAATTCACAACGCCTCTTCTCATTTTAAGGCTATTATGAGGTAATAGCCAGAGGGATTTCTTATCAAAACGGCTGTCTTTCTCTCTATTGTTTGAAGGTAAGATTCCAACATTTGTGATCACGAAACTGGGATGTCTTCCTCGCGAAATAATAGCAGGTGGTAGCCCATGTAAATTGCATTCCGCTGGGACGTGTTCTTGTCACTAGGAAACGAGTGTTTTTCAAGGAGTTGTTCTGTTGCAGAATATCACCGTCAGCGGGTGCCAGAAATTTTTTTTAGATTTAAGCGAAGTTTTCGGTGAGGATCTCAGTCTTTTGATGATAGTCTAGGTGTTTCTCCTTCATTTGTATTTCAATGTCGCCGCATCTTTATGGGTTGTTTTGTTTAATACATTTGCAAAATAGGGTGTTTAATTTACAAGATTTTTATCTAAACCTAATGCTAACCCTGGCTTCACAGAGTAAGATATATCCTTCTTCTAGAACAGGAATCACGCTATTTTTGGTCTCAAATACCCGTCGCAACTCAGAAAGAAAAAAAAAAGAAAAAACCGAACAAAACAAAACAAAATAATAACCAAAGAACAAAGAAATTCTCAATATAATGTACATGTGACTTGAATACTTTGAATAAACGTCGGCGTACAGCTTTAATTTGTTGACTTTTTTAATAATTCCGTTCTTGGTGGTAAGAAAACCAACGCTATGCTGTCTCAGGGTGATAAATATCATGACGGGAAATATAACAAATAAGAATCTGCATTACCGCATTTTTCTATTGGCCTGGGTTAACTCGATTTTATGAACATTTTGCTTCTGTTTAGAAAATTCAAAGCAAGGCATGATTATTCAAAGAGATAAAAACACGTTTGAAAGGGAATTTAATATTAACGCAGGTCGCGTGAAGTGTTTTCAAGTGCCTTTGGTTTCGTAGGAACCGCTTTTATTTCTTTACTTTTCAGTCAGTTTAGGAAACAAATATTTCTGCGTGATGAGGGCTTTTTGTGTACAGGACCGGCAGGGGACTGTCATCCAAAATTTCTCTCACATTTTGGTAGAAGAACTGATTCACTTTCTCTCTAGTGACAACTTCAAAAATAATTGATAGGTAATTGGCATTTTCTAGCCACGATGAATACAATAAATCAATAGATATCTCCATTTTCTAAAAAGGGATTGAAAAGAGCATGGATTTTCTTTGTTTAATCATATTATTCAGGTTATACAGCCGAACATATTCAAGAGAGACAGAACCATGTGAAAAGAAAGGGTACCTGTATCCCAGCTTACGGCATACTGTAAACGATACTTTTAGAATCAAGTTATTTTCGATGTTATGATAGCAAGTTCGAATTTTGCTTTATGTCGAGCGATAGAAGCAACCTCAATTTACCTGGCACTCCAACCCACCTGTTATGTGAGCGATACTATCATTTGTCATTATGTTTGTTTACAGAATAGTACTCATCTTCTCTCTGCGGACAAACAACCCTTTTGTAAAATTTTACTGCACGCTACATTTCCCTGAAAAAACTGCCCAGTTACTGCCCGCTTCAAACAAAGATAATATCTTTTCAAGCCATTATAAAATGTTGTCGTCGGCGGTTTTGTTCAGAAAATATCAATAACTGATCTTAATTCTTATTTCTGGCGAAATTTACATTTAGTCAACGTGTTACCTGCTAGTTATGCTCAAAAGAATAGTTTCAATTCAAATTAATTGTTACTACTGCTTAGAAAAAAAATCAAGGCATAATAAATTTTTATGGTATATTATTTTGCTTTGACCTCACCATTACGTACGATCAAGACTCTTTAGGCGCAGTTAGAGGCTTGGAAGTTCTCCCTAAAGTTCCTGTTTACTCATTGTAAGATAAATAGAAATAAAAAGGGACTGAAATATTTCGTTTCGTTTCGCTTATAAAGATGGATGACAGTGACGCTAGGTACTGTGTGGAAAACGAAACACCCGTCTGGGAGAAGTTGAATACAGTATACCCAAATAAGTTTGATTTTTTTAATTGTTCTTAGTTTCTTGCTAAAACTATTGAGGCTTCTTAAAAATAAGGTTCGGAATAAGTGTTCTATTTTCTATAAAGGTGATAAGTTTCTCAAGGGTTTTTTTCTCTTTACAATACAATACGAAGATGGTCTAAAATACATATTTAGAAGAGCATATTTGAAATCAAGTTTGATTTTATGGCTTTTCGTTCGTAAAGTTTGTGGCTAGCAAATTGTTTATATGCAGACAATCCCTAGTTTCTAAACAACTCGATGTATTTTCTAGGAGTTTCCTATGGCTGCTTGAAGGAGTTCACTTAGTGTTTCCGTCTTCCAAACTTGATCTATACTCGTGCCTCATAGTGTGCCGACGAACATCAACTTTCCTGTAGAACCTTCTGCCGCAAATTTTACAGGGGAAGGGTTTAATTCCGGTATGCCGCCTCATGTGAGTAAGCATGTTAGAGGATTGACTGAAAACCTTCCCGCACTGCTTACACTGAAATGGTTTCACCCCAGTGTGCATCAACGTGTGCTTTTTCATGTCGGATTTGCGGAGGAAATTTTTTCCGCAGTAACTGCACGAATAAGGCTTGTGATCGGAATGAATAAGTTTGTGTGTTGAGAGACTTGACGGCCTCTTAAATTCTTTCCCACATTCTTGGCATTTATATACCTTCGTTTTCAAGGAGGTTGGCTCTCCTGAGGTGAGATCCTCGCTGTCCACACTTTCTTGACGCCCAAAAAATTCGCCTAAATTCGAAATAGGATCGCGGCACTCTGTTACTCTTGCCGGAGCAAAGAAGGACTCTTGACCAGTGAAGCCTCTTTGAAGGAAGGGCGACTGTTGAGCGAAATGACGATAAGCAAACGGGTCTGGGCTGACGGTGAGACTTGGGCAGCTGTAAGGAAATGATAGTCCACCATAGCGCGGCACAGGCCTCAAAACCAAAGGTGACGGTGGAGCGGGAGGAAACGGAAGCGCTCTTGGAAGAGCAAACGGGAACTTTGAATCAAAGTATTCTACACCATGTCGTCGGGGAAGCGTCGGCAAAGGGATGCGTGGGGTATAAGTTTCCTGAGCGAGGTTTAAAGATGAATTTTTAGCAGAAGAAGTGACACTGGATCCTGTTTCGAATGCTTTGTCTTCAACGGAAGGTCCCTTCTCCGTTTTAACTTCTGTAAGAAAAAGTGATTTGATATGATTATTATAATAAAAGCTATGAGCTTTTTGAATAGATGGGTATTTTTCATTAAAGAAGAATTTTGTAAAGTGGTATCAATTCTCATGAAAGCAACACCAAACTCTTCGCACATAGCTGTTGGGGTAATGGGCTACCAAGTAACCGCAGATATGGCGCATTTGAAAGACACTTTTATATTGCATCAAATGTTCTCACGTACGCCCAAGAGTTTTTTTTTCCAGATCAAAGGTACACTGATGAAAAATGTGTTTTTGGCTTTCAAGCGTCGGAGTAAAATTCATATTTCCGAAAAAAAAAAAAAAAAAGAATACGAGAATGATAAAGAGGTTCGCTCAGGGATTGAGCCTCGAATTAGCCAAGGTTGGCTTTATTAAGGAAATCTCTCCACAGATCGCTAAATCTTGTATTATTTGCACTTTTCCGAATTTCTCGCACTAATGTTCCATACGCTAATATTCAAACAGGTTTACATTGCCATCATTAATCTTTCAGTCCTTGCTGCAAAATCTTTTACCTCGACCGGTTTTAACCCTGCGGGTTTGGCGGTCAAGGTCGTCAAAATCGGTTGAAAATTAGTCACTTATAGACAACATGTAAAAGATTCGTGAAAAGATTCCCTCCGCACAATCTGTTCAGAACCTACAAAAACTACCTTGGTGACTAAAAATGCGCAGAGTTCTTTGCAATAACGAGTAGTCCTTGATAAGGCGTGTTTATTTTCGTAGATTTTGAAAGTCATTTCACTGGATAAGCGAATTAAATGGATGGGCGAACAGATTAGCGCGCTAAGAAAATAATGGCTGTATTTAACGCACATAAATGGTCTCATTTTTACCAATATTCAAAGAGTAAGCAAACATTATCTCTTCCAAAAACAGCGCGTTGCAGTTTTTATTTGATTGCGTAAGTCTCTTTTCGAAACTCGTGGGTAATAAGATTTGCGGATTAAAGATATCTTAAACAACTTTTCGTGACTTGGAAACATCGACCCTCGCTAAAGGCGTAAACCAGCAAGTAAGACTGTTAAAAGAACTCGAACACTGCAATGCTTTGTACAGTTCTATTTAAAACAGTTGGCGGTCAGAGCTCTCCAACGAGAGATCGTTTTTTGTGAGGATCCTAATCTCGCTTGGAAGAGTAATCCTAGGAGTTGAGAGTTCTTCCTACGTGATTTGCAACTCCTCTTTCCTAGTGGTGGAAGTTTATGCAACTCGATTCATCCCGCTCAATTTAATATCTCGAGGCTGGTCTTTAAACATCGCAGCCTCTTGCGAACAATCAATTATGTTCAAGTCATATTTTCTCTTCTCTTTGATCATTTCAGGATTAAAAAAAAGCCAAATTGGACAAAAAGGGCCAATTTTATGCTGGCCGCGTGAAAAACTCGACTCGCTCACCTGGAAGTTTTGGCTGATTTGAATCTGGACATTTCTCCAAGGAAGGAGAGTTAGTTTGCCTTGCTCTGACTAGGAATGACCGCGGCATGCTGCCCCTCTGATCCTGAACACCGACTTGGAAATGACAGACAATTACAGGGGCCGCTTTTAAAAGTCCTCTGCAAATATGTAAATTGGAGTTTAATTAGTTTCTTTTCATTTGGATACCTTTTTATGACGGGTTGCTCTGGATGTCTCGAAGTATTCTGCATTAATTTGTTACGAACCCATTCAGTGGCATATCGAATATTCATTGACAAATAATTACTCTTTCTCAAACTTTCTTGCGAAATATTTGTTTCTGAGATGGGAAAAAACTTGTTCTTACGTCGCGGAGAATATGCATACATATCCATTTTCTTGCAAATTTTGAAATTAGCCATTTGTTTTGTTTAAGCGATTATCATAACTATCCTGAGACAAACCAGTGGTAAACAGATGGAGAAAGCGAACAATAGCTATTTAAACACAATTTCGTAGGACCCTTCTCACCTTCATTCCATAAGCGTTCGATTTTCTCGCAGAAGACTCTACAACAATGTTATTTTGATGCTTAAAAGCTTTCTTTCTCAGTCGAAAATTAGAGACTTATGAGAAGGTAGTGAGCTGTTGAGATTTTCGCATCTTTTTTACTGCTATTATTAGATTCAGATTAGATAAAGCCTTATCGGCATGTAGTTTGTTTCTGTACTTTTAGCACGAGGAATAATTTCTTCCTCTTCATTTTGAAAATGAACATTTTCGTCGCCAATAACTTGAAATAATTTGTTTCTTTTGTGTGTGTCAGTAAAAAAACTGCGTATCCCATACAGTTTGCTCACATGCATCTTGCTCTGTGATTTGGCAGGTGGAATTGTTTTCGAGTCTGGAAAAAGTAAACCACTTTAAAAGCCTTATCGAGATCATAATAATCTATCTGACCAGAATTTCAGTTTCTTTCTTACATAAATTAAACAACAGCAGCGTTTAATTGCAAAGGCATATTCGCAGGAAGTGAAATCGATCTATTGTTAGCACTGAGCATTTCTGCTTGTAACAAACCAGTGGCAAAGTATTCAATCCATTTTGTCCAAGATCACTTAGTTACCGCATTCTTTTGGTTCCTGCTTGCTGTACAAGTTTTCTCGATCGGCTCTCTTGCTTCTGTGGTGGTCAAAACATATGTTTAGAAGTTTGTTCATGGAATTTTTTTTCTGAAAAGGCTTAGTTCTTCTTTTAGTGCTAATTTAGAAGCGGCGGTGAGCTTTGCTTTGAAGCTTTCAGCAAGTATACCAGTCTTTGTGTTTTAGCATCGCTAAGTAACCAACAAATGCCCGTGAATCACTCTCTGTAATCAGACACACTTTCAAAGAGTACAGTGTATAGATAAATAACTCTCTAAGTTGCGTGTGTGGGAAATGCAACTTCCCTTTTGTTCAGACAGACTGCTTGTGGCTCATTGTGCCTTCTATCACAAACTCAAGGGTCGCCGAAGAAACTCTGACCCTCCTAAATATTGTCATATAAACAGGCGAATTTTGGAGCCCGGAGTGATGTTCAAAGGCGTTTTTCTATTGCGATCTATGTTTAATGATTCTTATCATCTGGAAATCGGTGGAATTGCGATGCATACTGTGTGCCGCTGATCTTCGCCATAAACAGTGAATCGTGCTTTAGCTCTTAGGGCGGTTTTGGTTTTTTATCTCCATTTTCGTGCTAAAGCTCATTGGAAAAGAGTCCTCTCCAAATTTTTTCCATTTTTTATCGCAAAGTCAAAATGCATGTCTCACTTTCCACCCCGTGCGTGGGTGCACAGTTCGTTTCAAGCACAAAAACCATCGCTTGCTGTAATTAAGAAGCTGTTTAACTCAAAGGTTAAATCGCAAATACTAGTTTTTTTTTTTTGAAAGGGCGGAATCTGGTACAAAACAAAATTAGCTGATAAATTTTGTCGAAAATGAAGAAAAGCACCGCGGGGAACCATTGTGGTCTAGAAAAATAAAATCATGTCTTGTTTTTTTTTTGTTCAAGCTTTAACCACTTCTCATAGACGGTGAAGTTTCCAGTAAGACAATTTGACTAAAAGGAATACAGGTAGCTCTCTAATGAACACAAGGTACAGCCACCTTAAAAGCACACAACACAGCACTGCGCGTTCTTAATATAGTAAGGAGTATTTCACAATCAGCCTATATAGTTTGCGTCAATTGATGTCTGTATAACGTAACCTCTAACGAATTGTACGTCGGTTTGTAATTCTACACAGTTTTTTTATAAACTTACAAAACAAATATCATAGCGATATATTTTTTTGTTTTGTTTTGTGAGTAGGCATTGAAAGATGTCATTTCAATTAAAGGATGTTTTTACGACTGAATGGGTTTTTTTTCAGCAGTTCAACTCTTGATTAAACAAAGCCATGTTCTCCACGTGTGTTTCTTATGTGGTCTTCTAATTTAAATGAGAATACGTCGTGAAAATTTGAATGGAATCTCCTTCTCCCCTTTTTTCGAGTGATCTTGCTTCTCACTCAGTAAAAAACCTGTAAAAAAAACAGTACTGTGACAATGATTAATCGCTTCGGAAAAAAAAGTTTTTCTGAACGAGAAGTAAAATACTAGCTGTCCTCCTATGAACGTGAAGGTGGCTTTATGATCAATTGGGTGTTAAATGCTCTGTCTGTAGGCTGTGCGAGACAGCCAGAAGTGTTAACATATTGTCCCAAATAAGTGAATATGGCCGTCTCATAGAATAAATGCTTAAATTTCGGTGCATTTATTTTCTTTTGAATTTTGATTCTTCCGGAGGTAAGAAATTTTTAAGGAGGTTTTTGTCAGTTCAATAACAACTTCAAGAAAATTTTTACAAGCAATTTTAAACAAATTTTATTTATAGATTCTTTGACAGAGAATTAGTTTTTTTCAATAATGTTTTCTTATTATTTAACATTTTAGTGCTTTGTATTGGAATTAGGAATTTACACATGAAATGGGAACACTTTTGCTCTAACCGCTGAAAAACAAATAATAGATGTGCAGAAAATGGCCTGTTTTTCCAAGCGACAGTACCAGCTTCACCCAAGATTAAGAGACTGTCAATGTTTTAATTAGAACTAATTTTCCAAAACGTTTTTAACACACTATTCAGTTTAGTCAATCTCTTGACCCTAAGGATAGATAATTGTTTGAACATAATTTAGATGTACTCTACTTTCCCTTTTTGCCACATGAACTCTTGACAAACATTTCATCTAGTTGCTCTCCTCAAAGAAGCTTTCCTCAAAAAAAAAATTTGTTTCTGGGTTTCGTTTCATCGATAAGACTGAAATAAGGCTGGCAAAAAATATATATATATATATATATATGATAAATGTTAAGTTCCCTCTCATTAGAAAATTTGTGCGAAAAGGGTGTCGGCAGTTGTTCCTAAAACTTGGCCGCACAAATCATTTGTATAATTTTCTATATCCCACCAGTATCGTTTTCTCTTTAAAAAAATAGTTAATATTATTGGTCACGTACGGAAAAAACAGAATGGTTTTCTTTGTTTTACGGTAGTCGGCACAGTTGTTATTATCAGATCAAATCATTCAGAAGAACTTTACTCAGCTCTGAATCTCGCTTCGGATCTTCTCTGAAGATATCAAATTCTTTATTGCTTATGTTCAGAAATTGTACAAACAAAATTCACAGATTTTTATCATTTTCAATTCAATAGCAAGTACTCTTTTAGAATTTGAAAGATCTCTCTATTTACAATGAAATGGTACATGAGTTGGGAGAACCTTTCGCTCATGTGTGCAGCGGGTGCAGCGGGTGCAGCGGGTGTAACAGATTCAGCGGGTGGTCTATTCAGTTTTCAAATATTCATATATTTACCGGGCGCTTTCAGTCAGCACTGATCAGCCCATACGGATGAAAAAAAAAATTACGCTTGATGTGTAATTACAAACGATTTTCATTTGGGCTGATTTGCTACGGAAAATTTGTTTCCATAGAGTTGACAAAATCGGAAGTTGGTATGTTCACTAAAGAGTGTTTTGATGACTTCGCTGTAATTGCGTAGCTCCGCTGAGGAAATCCACCACGTTTTAATTCACCATAGAAACGATACCAAAAAGGTGGTTCACCAGATGAAATGAGGTCCGCCCCTAAAACCACTTAAATTATCAGACCTTTTGTTAAACGCTGGAGGTGCGATACAAAAAAAAAAGAAGATATGGGGAGGTAAGCAACGCTTTTGTAGGCATCTGAAGCACGTTTGGTCAATATGTTTTTATGATTGCCGATGTTTTTTTCATCACTCGCGTATGTTTTAGTTCCATATGTATTAGTGTGAGCAGACATCACTGTTAGCGACACGTGTTATGATATCAAAAGAACGCCCACATTGCAGCCTATCACATTTCATTGTACAGTTCAGTTGCTACAGAATTTCAAACGACTCGCCCACTCAACTCACGCGTCTTTTTATTGGCAGGTATACTGTAGAAAGCACCACTCTTCGAATAACGTTTTAATGGTTTTCTATTGGCAAGTTCATTGTATGGCGAGACTCCATTATATCCACAAAACGAAAAGACCTCTATGTTGGGGATGCTAATGTAACACAATCTGTCGCTTTAATTACCACATGTGCATCAAAAATAACTGTTGTCTTAATTCCAAGAACTATACTTTTCCAGAACCTTTTTTCTTTAATAGTCTAACTTTATTGCTGTCCCAATGAATAAATAACTTAATGTTTTAATCCAGATTCCTAGCCATGGTAACATATTGAAAGAGCTAGCGGCTTACATGTTTCATTGCCACACTGAGGAGAATGATGGGGAACTGCATATAAGCAATTAACAGATAACATATTTCGCTATCAAATGTTAATTAAGTCAACAGCAAATTGTCTGCTCCGGGAAGGAGGGGCTGAAGGTGGCTGAACCGATAAAGAAATATAAGTGCCTCGTGTGTGTACTGCTTCATTGTTCTTTCTCTTTTGAGAAATGAGAAACACCCACATACGTGGGTGGTATCGCCAGCGGTCAAACATTGCAAGTTGCTGGTGGAAGCCATTCCATTTGTGTTTGCGTGTAATGTAAGATGAGCCTATGAATACGTTTCTGGTAGAGACTTTAGGCGTATACCCACCATGCGCGATATTTGAGGGATCTGATCGCATTTAATCAAAGGAAGCTTCTGGAAGATTTCATCCAAATATTGCAATCCACGCACTTCAGTATGCTGGTGAGATTTGGGATTTTCGTACACGCACGTAGTTTGAATACTTAAAAGAATGCATAGTGAAAGTTTAACTTATCAAAATATGCAAGAGTAATAGACAAGAAACATTATAACTAATAGTTTTTTAGTTTATTTAGACCCAAGCTTACAGACTGAACTCAAAGAGAACCTCACAGCACCTAACTGGTCTACACCTATGAGAAACGTAAACAACCTCTCGAATGAAGATTGTTCCTTGCAAAGAGCCTTAAGTTAATATTTACAGTGGTCATCCCTTGGAAAATTAATTTCATTAATAAGAGGTTACATCGCGCGTTTCTTTCAATAGTACTTAACAAGGGTGTTTGAGAATTAAAGTAGCTCGTTTTCAGCGATCAAAAAGATATCCCTGAATAAATCACCGGGAAGCCCTAAATAACAGTAGAAATACCACAAGGAAAGTTAGGCTTAAAAAGAAAAATCTTAATTGAGACAAAAAGTTTAACTCTGTTACCGTGTTTGCTTCTCAGTTGTAACAAAAGTTTAAGTCAAACTATTGTAAATACACTTCTTACATGTAGTTTTAAACTAATGCACTCCTCATGAGGACTAGTGGTTTTAAAAGAAGTCTCAAAACAGGAAAGCAATATATCATTCATTTAAAATTTACGACTCAGAGAAGGGGGAAAAAACAGTTTAAACGACGATTAACCAAAGTCCGTCTCGTTAACTTTATCTAATAATTGTGGCGGTTATCGGAGAAAGAAAATCCTTTCTATAGAGCATTCATCTTAGCCTTTTCAATGAGTTCTCTTCCAATGATCAATCTTTGAATCTGCGCTGTACCTTCATAAATCTGAAAGAGAAGAGAAGGTCGTTTGGGCAAGTGCGACCTTACGGCATCTTTGACATCTAAATTTGAATTCGTCCCAATCAGGCTCAAGTGCGACCTCACGGCATCTTTGACATCTAAATTTGAATTCGTCCCAATCAGGCTCAAGTGCGACCTTACCGCATCTTTGACATCTAAATTTGAATTCGTCCCAATCAGGCTTGGCGATCTTTGAGATTGTAAACTTTCAGCGCAGTTCCGCCAACCTTGGCTGCAAAGTGCTTTTTTTTTTTTTTTTTTTTTTTAACCACTGCTTAATTAGAGAACTCGTTACTGTAAAGATCGCTTTCATATTCATTTCTTAATCCGCAGTTCACATACACTTGTATATGATTTCCATATATTCACAGTCATCGAAAAGTGCTTTATCCTAAAGGGATCTCTAAAGGGATCTTAGAAACAAGGTGGTCGCAGTTCAGTCAGTTATTTCGTTATTTTTTGTACCCACTTTCAATTCCAGTAGCTTTAGCCGAAACGGACGAGGAATGGAAGATGTTATAAATTAACTGATGTAAAAATTTCAGCACTAAAAGTAAAAGGGGAAAAAGCGAAAGTGAAAAAACTCACTTGAAAGATTTTAGCATCTCTCATCAGCTTTTCAACAGGATACTCGGTGTTGAATCCAGCGCCACCAAAAATCTGCGACAAAGAAAATTAAATATACTGCTTCATTAATGGATGACAGCAAGCTGGGCCATTACGGAAAAAACTAAAACAACTACTCTGATGTTGATGTGAGAAGTTTACGAAACGGGTTTCTTTGGCTCAGTCCGATACCACGTGATAATTCGATTCAAGTGTGCGTTGATGGCGTTTTCTGTCATAAGATGTTGCGATGTGATTCTTGCGCTTAAATGCGCGCTACAACCTCGGTGTATTCACCCAAAACTGTATGACTGAACTTTTTTAATTCGGAAGACAAGCATGGATATGTCGAAAAAGTTTGTATTACTCGCAGTAAAGATCGATATAAACTTATTTTTATTAGAAATGTTTCAAATTGTCTTTGTTGTAACGGAAATGGGCAACTTAGAGCGATTTTAGAAGTTAGGTCTTTGACTTTTGCCACAAACCTTCAAACCGTTGAAATTCAGCAAAAAGAACAATTTCAACGAAAATTAACTTTGATTTTGAAATCAAATATTTTGTCATTCCGGAATATTAAAAAGTAGGAATTGTCACTTAGTTTATGTGGGTTTCCTGTGCCATAAACTGCACTAAAAAGTACCATTAGGAAATAAATGTCCTCAATATTACCTGAACGGCATCTGCAGCACATTTGTTGGCAACATCTCCTGCTAAACACTTAGCGACGGAGGCGTAGTAAGTGTTACGGCGGCCCTGACAGACATGAAGGATACATAGTTTTGATGCACAATCACCCATGTGAATCAAACCTTTCTTAAGACACAAACAGGTGATAAAAAGCAAACGTATTCACGAGATGGATTACCTCGATAGAACAACAGATTACCTAACTGTTGTACAATGCATAAAGAGGGAAAAGCTTCTAATATAACTGTGGTGCTGTGTCGGTGGAGTGTGTTGCAAGATAAGTTGATTTTGTCAACCGAATTAACAATTAACAATTGGTCCATATGTCAGCGTGCGTTCATCTAGATGCGTAAGAGTTGCTCGAGGCTACGCCTCGAGCAACTCTTACGCATCTTTCGTACTCTCCAAACTTCCCGCGTGCTTCATATCTCGATGAACGCACAGCTGACGTATGAACCAATTGTTTTATAACATTTTCAACCCGATGGAAAATCTTTTTCTCGAGGGATTTGTTTGATGACGTCATGAACGTGCACAATAGGAATATGAAACACGCTTGCGCAATTGAATTTGATTAGACAAATTTACTAGCTATGTTATAATGTAAATTGGCCACTGCAGAGAGTTTCTACAGCTGATGGTTTAAGCGTTAACCCCACGTCCGAGACTCGCTCTGACGAAGGGCGAAATGCTCGAAACTTCAGCTTAAGAAACTCTACGGTAGCTAATTTACATTTCCAACTCGGTCGATAACATCAAATTTCCTTATTAGACAATAAAATGTATGGTAGCTTAAATCATCTTTAGGAGATAGGGATTTAAATTAAATGTCAATGACCGCATCTTATCAAAATTTAGAACAGAAAAAGTAAAATATTTCTTCGTCCTACAAACTTTTGTTAGCGACTTCTTGTTTACGAAAACTGCGTTTGTCTATATCTTAGTTACTGAGTAGACTCAAATAAGCCGATTTAAAAAAACAAAAAGGTCCAAAGCAGAACACAACATAGGCAGCAAACTTTATAAAGGTTAGGTTTTATCTCTCTTTCCTCCAAAAAATACAGCGGATGTTTGGACTCGACTTTCGTCGAGTATTCAGACCGCTGTCCATCAAATACTCCTAACAGACTAAATCTGGTTTAGTAATGCACTGACAGTGAACAAACCTGGTCTACTTCCCAAGCTGCGCGCCGCGTTGCCAGTCGGGCTGTTTCGATACCAATGGCCATGTCAGCTAACATGAAACTCACAGCTTGATGCTAAAGATCAAAATAAAAGAGAACAGTTAAAAAAACTGGGCACTAATTAACCGTTCATAAAGGTAACAAGTAATTGTTTGAGATAAATTTGGCTTATTTTCTTTATCTCTTGAAAAGTTTTCATGTTTTCATTTGTTTAAGGAGGCATCATGGATATCCGATGAAAACAAAAAAGCATGGCCAAATGTTTGGGTATTTGTGTTTCGAATTCTGCATATCATCGTCTTTTCGCTCCTGTCTCCTTCACACTCATGATAAAGAGGGACCCTGGGAATCAACATACCTGAGCGATGGGTCTGCCCATAGTTTTCCGTTCCAGTGAGTATTTTAGAGCCTCTTCCATGGCTCGCTGTGCAAGACCAACAGCGCTAGAAGCGACCTTGAAAACGGAAAACAAGCGTAAGTTAATCGTCCTTTTCTTGATAAGTTGTTGCTTATTATGGTAGAGACTAGAGACTTGCTTTGAAACTGTGGATCCTGCTTAAATACTTAATAACACATACAGAGCTTACTAATTCATCCAAATGTAATGCATGTAACTCTCAGACTATTTTTAAAGAACCCAAGACGACTAATCAAATAAGGAAAACCCTATTTTATTTCAATCAACTGTTACACAAAAACCACGCTAGAATGAAAAAAAATACTTCGACTAGTAAGCCGGGAAAACAATATTACCGGAGGGCGTGTCTTATCAAATGCTCCCATGGCAATCTTGAAACCAATACCTTCTCCACCAAGAACGTTCTAACAAATTAATAAAAAAACAGAAATACATTATAAGTCAGTAATCAGTGGAACTTGGTTAAAGCACTAGAAGGAAGCATTGGAGAAATATAACATTCATTGTCCCTCTGTGAGTGGTCTACAAAACATGCGCCTCTAGGCAATGCCAAACCAAACTCAATCGCGACTTCTCATGCACTCATTTTCCCGCGTGCGGTGACATCAGTTTGAGTCCTCAGCGGCTTCTTTTTTTTATTAATTTTTTTCGTGTTTTGATTGGTCATTGTGATAATTCAGGATTTTCATTTACTTTTGAAGTAGACGGGCACTGCCTTGTGAGTAGGCAGGTACACTGTATAATTGAGGGCCGAGGGCCTGAACCCCTAGGGGGAGTCTGGGGGCATGCTCCCCCGGAAACTTTCAAAACTTAACTCTCCCAGAAACGCATTTTCCTGCAATCTGGCGAAGAAATCTACCTAGAGTGATGCATACTTAATCTGATTACAGTTAAAATAATGGTAATCTGAGAGAATTTGTTTATTTCTCTACACAGCTATAGCTACATCAAAACACTGCTGTTGTTGTCAGAGCTTCCTTTCTTCTTACCATTACAAGTTAACTTTAACTTATAAACTGATGAAGAGTGAAACTGACGACACTTTTTGTAGTTTATGAAAACTCAAAGTCAGAGCCGTAATCATTTACGTTAATTCCTTTTGTCACCATATATCACCCAACAGTTAAAAATTTAAAACAGATATTGATGGAACATGGGAGTCTGATAAAAAACAATTTTTACAAAACCTCCGATGGGCTTTATCTTGAATAAAAATTAAATTGGAACAAAGTTTCTTTCAATTTCTCGGAATATTTGAGCTTTAAAGCCAACAAATGTTGGCTTACAAAGAAGCCGTAACGACATTCGTCTCCTGTTGTTTATTTTAAATTCTGAATTGTATTTCAGAAAAATAAAAAGTGTCTTATGAACAGTTTAAATAATGGAAAGCATAGAAAGCGTACGTAATTTTTCGAAAAACCTTTTCACCGGCTGTAATCCAATTAAAACCCGAAAACACAAATTTAATTTTTCTGGTCATCGCACTTGACTTTTCATGTGCAAACGAGTGCTTGCGTGAGTTTTACTTTTGTTTGCCATGATTACTCTGCAGAACGCACTTGCTTTTATGACGTCACGTTTAAGAGTTGTATAATAGCTAATTAGGCACTCTAGAAGGAGACAGTTCTAAGAACGCTATTAGGGACCTTAAGCAGTCAGGACGGCAACGCCAAGGAAGACTTCGACTAAAAAACGAATTTCTGCCTATAATTAGAATTTCAACAATGGCTGCATGTGTTTACCGTCTCGTCCGGCGCCACTCCTCAACTTCAGCATAACGTATCAAAGAAGCGTCGAGTTCCAGTAGAAATTAAAATAATTTGCCGTCGCGGTTTCGGTTCGCAGACGACGCAAATTGTGGTGATTTCACGTTGTTGTTTTGCATAGGACGGCTCAGAAATGTACAAACGCATGAGCTGAGCTATTGTTCTGACCATTATATCTTTTGTTTTTCCATGTCCTCGTTGCCGTCGCGTGGTTTGCTTAAGGTCCCTATGATCGCGCAGCGCCTTACTCGTCAGAGTAAATTTTATTTCCACAATCTGATGGCAAGTAATTGATAAATAAGTGCAAAAAAGTGTTTTACTTACAGGGAAGAGTTAATATTTAGCTGAAGTTGATGATTTTTTCCATGACAATTTTCTTTCCTTAATTTCGCACTTTAAGTAGCCGGGTACTCTGTTCAAAGTAGACGGGTGCTGCTACCCGGGACCCGGCTCCCAACAAAAACCCTGGATAATTTCGTTTTGAATCCGCATGCGCTCTGTAACGTCAAAAAACAAGGCTCACCTCCTTAGGAACAACAACATCTTCAAATGTGATTCCACGAGTATCAGAGGCTTTCTGACCCATGTTCCATTCCTACAGGAAAGTAATGACAAAAAGAACTGTTACAAAGACGCATACTACAATCATAGGGACTAAAAGAGTGGAGTGTATTGGACGTGACCAAGGATCATGACTATCATGACTAACGCTCTGACGAATGGCTAACGCTCGAACTGTCAGCCTTTAAACTCTTTACGGTGGCCAAATTACGTTTTCAACTCAGTTGTCAACACTAAATGACCAGTCCTAAATGACCTCTCCCACTGACGCACCTCCACACTTTCTTTAAAAACTAACACCCTTCATTCATGATTGAGGAAAGCCAGCCACACCAAAAGGAATGTTTAAGAATTAAGGATGGTTAAATTAAGAAAGCTTCCAGGGTGCAACAAAGCTTGCAAAAACAAGTTACATTTACAGTCGGCTCTTTGAAAGCTAAGAGTATTGTTTATATTATACTAGCATATTTGTTAGAACAGTTAAATGTGTAATTTTCCTTGTGGTTATATTTCGTACAGCAATACTGATACAAGCATTTGGGTAAAAGGAAATTGTTTGCCAAAGTTGTGCATCAAATTGCACATCCTTTACCAGTTGTACATGAGCTTAACAATAATGAACTAACAATGAGCTATCTGAGTGGACAGTCCATACTAAATGATCTACACAAGTAATGCTGTGGTTACAGCTTCAGTTTGAAGCTTCCACCAGTGATGTGGAGTAAAGCTTTCAATTCACCTTCCTTCCTACAATGACTCCAGGAGAGTCCCTCTCCACAATAAAGCCTGTGAATGCTTTACCAGCTCCAGCATTTGGATCAGTTCGTGCCAGAACAAAATACCTGAAATAGCATGAAGAGTGTGGACCACCTTATAATTCCTCCATAGCCAATCAGAATAGATTGAAGTATCTTAAAATATATGTACCAAATGTGTGTAATTTTACTTCTAAGTGTTTGAAGGCGAGTAACTGTGACTCGTGTATAGTAATGGCCCATGCAACAGGAGACCTGAAGAGGATTGTTACTAATGGCATTGACTGACTTGGCAACAACCTCAGCAAAGTTGTGTGAGAGAGTTAAGGAGTTGTTTTCAATTACCATCTGTTGATTTTCTCACAAATTTTTATTAAGGAAAACAATACTGGCACATTAAAACCCAAAGTTCTTAATAGTGCTCTATCAAACCATCATCCACCTAAGATGTCAAAGTATTGTTTGTTACATTGCTGTATCTGCTACACCATAATAATCAAGGGTTCTAATGAATTTGATAAAGAAATGTAAAGCTGGTGTAGGGTTGAATTACTCCATGGAGAATGAGTTCTTACCAATTGGCAACACCTCCATTGGTAATCCACATCTTCTGACCATTAATTACATACTAAGGAAAAAAATTTTAAAAAGAAGAAGTTATAACAGAATATGAGAATCATAAATCATATGTATACAATAAGTAACACAGCAACACTGTTTAAGCAGTCCTTTACATTGTATCCTGAATACTGCTGTTGATGTACATGTTGAATGTTCCAGACATTGAATCTAAGATAAAAATAACCACATATATTATAAATGCTAAGAGCAGAAGCATTTATTTACTTCATCTCCTTTCTTAACGGCTTTGGTCCCAATTGCGGCCACGTCAGATCCTGCACCAGGCTCAGACACGCAATATGCCTAAAGAGAAGAGTAAATATATAATCACGAGCACCAATTGTGGTTCAGTTACCTTAATTTGGTGCTTATTGATGAGTGTGAGGCAACACACATCACCAGTAACTTACATTGCTGGCTAAAATCATTACCATAATCATCAACAGTTATTCACCAAAGTGGAGGTGAATATTGATGGATATTTACTGGACCGTGATGAAGAAAGTAAATATCCACCACTTTCATGGGCACTGAGGTGAAAGTTGTTTCCAATATACCACACAGATACCAAACCATATTCTTTCACTATACTAAAAAATGGTTGGAAATATAAATCTTGACATGCAATTTTGTCTAATCAGCTGCTCAAATCTGAGTAGTACTTGCTATCCACTTCCAAACTTACCAAACAGTGCTATTTACTTGTGTGGTATATAACAAAACTACATATAATTCCACAGTGAGTTTAATTTACATGTGGACTTAACATATTTAAAAGTTATGAATACATGTAAGTGAAAGTTGATATACATACAGCCATCAGAGGTTCTTCCATCATACGACCAAGGTATTTTGCTTTTTGTTCTTTATTTCCAGCTAGGATGACAGGCATTTCCTGTGTGAGATGGCAGAGAGTAAGGAAAAATCATCACATTGAAGTGCTTGTGATTACCAATAAAATTGGATAATCCCTGATAACATGATTTTATCTCATGCACTCATTTGAAAAAATTTTCACTCCAAACAAAGCACCAGACACTTTATGTTTCTGAGATAAAAGTTACTTCTCGCCTGTGTTAGGACAAGAATAATTTTTTTCTAATACCGTAAAATTCCGAAAATAAGCCCCTCCATGTATAAGCCCCTCTGTATAGAAGCCCCTCTAATCTGAAATGCAAAAATACCTCCGATAATAAGCCCCTCTGAATATAAGCCCCCATGGGCTTGGATTTGGAAATTATCCACAATTATACAAACCAAAGCAAACTACACATAATCACCATTATCAGGAAGCCCTTTATAGTCATAAAATAATGATTCTATGCACTAAAGCAATGTGGTCAACAAGTGTTGAAGTTTATTGTCTTTTATGCAGTTCGCTCTTCACTTGCGCTTTGAATTCCTTCAGTCTGTAGACAAAGTATTTGCAAGGAAGTTTAATCCCACCAGCCTGAACCCAAACTCCCTCTGGTACTCCTCAAGCAATATGAGCTTTCATAGTTATCATGAACTTTGAGCCTGAACTATGTTACTGTTTTTACTGAATTTCCATTCTAATAAAGTTTATTGCCATTGTGTTTTAACTTGGCATTTTCAGTGTGATTAAATTGTTACAAATTTTTTAGCCAAAACTCTAGTATTACCAGTTGCACATTCAAAAATTTTGACACAAATTTCCCTCCAATTATAAGCTTAGCTGATTGTGAAATGTAAATTTCCCTCCTATAATAAGCCCCTCTGAATAAAAAAAAATAAGCCCCTCAAAAGGTCCTTTGAAAAATGTAAGCCCCTGGGCTTATTTTCAGAATTTTACGGTATATGAAAAATATACATTTAGAAAAAGTATGAATAAAAATGCTTTAAATAAAATAATTTAAGTCAGGATTATTTTTTCAGTAAAAAGCCACCACTTACTGCCAAAGAGTTTGCTTCAATAGCAGTTTGAATTCCAGTACATCCATATGAGAGCTCCTCTGTAACTACGCAACCATCAAGAACACCAAGTCCAGGACCCCCTTATAAGAATTAAAACATGCATTGTAAGTAAGTCAACAATTCCTGCACACAATGATATTGCAAAGCTATGATAAGAAGTTAAAAGTACAGCTTAAAAAACACAATAAACTAAAGTTTGAATCCAACAGGCACTCACCATACTCCTCTGGAATATGACCATTTATGAGTCCCAAAGCATGAGCTTTCTTGATAATCTCCCAGGGATACTGAGGAATACAAAATGAATGTCATGTACCATCCCTAATAGATGTACAGCAGTCATAAAAGTCATGTTATTTGCAATATCTAATGTGCTCAAGCAACAATTAGCGGGGAATTTTGATCTGATGTGTAATAGATTGTACTATTGATGCACAACAAGTATATGTATTCAGCTTTAGTGTATTTTAGCTTTAGTTTATGTATTCAGCTTAAGCGTATTTCTATATGGAGTGTAATATATCAATGTACTATTGACGTATGACAAGTACATGTATTCAGCTTTCGTGAACATCCTTACAAACTGTACCATCCAGATACATGTACAGTTGTATGTGTTTCAAGGTATCTTACCTCACCAGTCTGATCATGATGGGCAGCAACTGGTACGATTTCCTCACGGGAGAACTTTCTTGCCATTTCTTGAAGTTGCTGTAACTCTTCAGAAAGTTCTAATGGAAAAAGAATGATGGATGTGTTAATGACTTTGAGATGAGTTTGCAAACTTTTTTCATAAAATAGTATGGTAAAATAAGAGGGGAAAAACATTAATATTATGTGTCTCTTCACAGATTAAACTTCACTATTATCATAATTGGAGCAGTTTTCAAATCAGGGTGACAATAATCTGTCAATGTACTGTTTTTACCTCTATATGCTCTGTGAGAGTTCAAGAAAACTTTTGCCTCCTTTCTACTCTGCTATATAAATCTCATTAACAACAATTTGGGATGCAATTTTTCAATTTTATGATATTTCATTAATTACTTGTAAATCATTGCGTATTATTTTTCTGATAATTTTTCACTAATTGTCCCTCTACCGACAGACCTAACCTGTGAGCACATCTATATACAGAGTTCAACAACCATATTGAAGACATATATGCATCACAATTATTTTCTGTTAGTACTGTGTTTATCCAGTACAAAATGTTCAAAACAAAACAATAATAACTCACCAAATGAAAGGCCAGAATTGAATGTTGATGCCTCCAACTTGATGGCTGGTGCCTCTGTACTAAGCTTTGCTCTCTTTCAAAAAAAAAAAAAAAAAAAATCAGGACATCATTAAGTTGAAGTCCAACTCCAATAAGCTTTAAGGACCAAAGATTGCAACAAATTTGGCCCTGGTCCTAGTTTAGCAAAGCTGTTTTCTAAAGCATCTTTAAATTCCCCAAGGATATCAAAATCAGTCTTACTGTTAAAACTAGAAAAATAGATTCGAATAAATTTACATGAACTTTATTAAACCCATAAACAGCTGTGTTCATTGTATGTCTAAGATATAGCTTAGGTTAGCCTTACTTTAATCAACTCGCTTCAAGGTTCCAACCCACAGTCATGAAAAGTGATCATGCAGTGGACTGGTTTGTTATCGACTTTAATCCTCTTCACGACATGTCCGCTTCCATCTCAGGCAAGAATATTTGCTCTAAAAAAAAATTTAATGTAAAGTCGAAAGCCAAAATTCTTACCAGAGCAGTGACTCCAGAAGAAATAATTCCCCTCTGAAAGATAAAAAGCCATGGAACATTGAAACAAAAATTATGACTTCTATCTCAAAAATGCAGACAGCTGAGCCCTTGAACTAAATGCATGTCAGCCCTAAACTTAACCAAGAAATATGGTAACCCATCAAGCCAAGAGGACTTGGTTGGCTGTTCATTCCTTGTTTGAAGTAGGCTAAAGCTCGGAGAATTTGTCCACTTAAAAGCCAAATTGATTTTTGGAATCTCTTGACATTTCTAAACAAACATCTGATTTTCTTAGGAAGTTTGAGAGAACCTTTTGGTGGAAGTCATGTGAAAATTTCTGACTGACAGGCATTTCGTCACAGCGTTTTGGGAAAATCAAATCAAATGAAGGTAACTGTTAAATTGTTTCCTCAGAAATTTGGGCTTCTACTCCGACGATCTTACCAAAGTCTTTGAAACTGAACCATTCATAACGACTTTCGTAGTTAACTTACGTAATCGATTGATTTCGTAAAGAGATTTCTCTACTTATCTGACGATCGCGGGTCATTTCATCGATAACTACCCACCCTGAGTTAAGTCTGATTTATTTAGTTTATTCTATGCCACTGGATGTCTTACCTGTAGTCCAAAACCACCATTCCGTCGGAGAAAACTCAGGGAAGCCATGTTCACTTGTATTCACGAAGACAGCGTACAAAGTTCAGTACAGATCGAGGTCATAAAGGAAAAACGATAGAGAGAAGACTGGTACCTAACAGACGGTAAGACCACCACAGGGGACGAGGGGTGAGTGGGGATACTTCCCAATTATTTATTGCGCGCCTTCCTCCGAAGAAAAAAGTCATCGAATAATTTTTTGTAGACTTTCATTAAATGCCTAATGTCTGTTTCGAAAAATGCAATAAAAATATAGATCACCGTACTTGACTGAGAGATACGGGCCAAACTTACCCCGTTTATGCCTGAACTTGCACTCATCACGTGCGTCATTTAATCGGTTCACGGTAATATTTTGCGGTAGCGGGAAGCAAGGGTTATGACAGTAAAAGTTAAAATAACTTGATTGGTAGTAAGTCTCGACGTATAGGATAATTTGATGCATAGTTTGTGGAAAAATCACGCAGTTTTAAACAACATTGACTCAAAACGTTCCTCGAGTCATTGCTTTCAAGGCCATAATTTGTGTCTTCAAGTAATGGCCTTCGTGCACGCTTTTAACCATATCTTTCTCTCGCCTTCGATGATTTTTTAAAAATTTTTCCAATTTAAAGGGGGAAATTTGTATACCAAAATTATGCAATAAAAGAATACCGCGCTTGTTCAAGAGCTTAAGACCATGGTACCTCATTACCTCGTCTATTGATTGAAAAACAATCCCATGTTGTCGGAATGCACAAGCGCTTATTCGCCTTTGACCACTTAGCAAATGTGTGACCATCGTTTCTCGGTCCCAGACCTCGTCGCTTCCCCCCAAAAACGCCAAACGCTCTCGAGAACTGAGCTTGGGATGTCTGTGCAGACACTGTGTCGCTTAAACAAAGATGGCGGAGAAAGTGGCCGATACGAAGGAAACGAAATCAGCCGTAGGATCAGGTGAAGGCCATCAAGACGCTTTCAGGGAGGGCATTCTGCAAATGTTTCGACCGGCAGTTGAAGAACTGGACAGTAAAGCTCTAAGTGTGAGGTACTAATGGCATTGAGAGGGGTTCAACATCTTTCCTTTCCTTTATCTTTGCAAGCCATACTTACATTAAAAAAAAAAAAAAAAAAGGAAAACAGACCCAAAAGCGAAGATAGACTCAGAAAGAGAGAGAGAGGGGGGGGGGGGATCGATCCTACTATGATCAAAGAATTTTATCTTTTAAATGTTACAGACAATCTGTTCGTACTAAATTATGGTACAATGGCCAAATTAAATAATAGGATTTCTGTAACGTCAAGATTTTAACGTTTCTCGGAAAGAAATATCACACAGTCAAAAATCGTTAAATGTGCTACTCTGAGTGCCTTAACACGAAAATCCGCGTTAGTAATAGGTGAAGGGGCAGAGTTTTGCCGGAATTAGTAATTTTAATATACTGGGCAATATGGTTCCAAGATTAATTGGTATAAATCTACTAACGTACTATCAATAATAGAGCAAACTGATTGGCCACACTACGTGCTATCTATTTAACAAATAGATTCTAGGTTTTGGTGCATCTGTTCAGTAATACAACACAGATGACATCAAAATGCAGTAAGAAAAAAAAAAGTGGCACACAAGTTACAGCTTTATTTAGCCCAGGATAGCCATCCAAGTGATCAATTTTTATTTTCAGAAAAAGTCAAGTTGAGTTACGGGAACAAATCGACAAGTTAGCACAAGGTTAGTGTAAGTTTTAAATGTTGTTGAATAAATTATTTTGATCGGATGGTGTAATTGCACCTCATCTTTCATTATTTAAGTTGTGTCTGGTAATCTTTTGTCTAGATCTGCATAGATTGTCTGAGCTTCAAGAGTTCCCAATCGACCTCGAACCATATGTAAAGAAACTGATGAATTCAAGAAGAAGAGTCATGTTGGTAAACAACATACTACAAAATGCTCAGGTACTGGAATCGACACACTCTTGCATGACTTTGCACATAAACACAGATTTTGAATTAATTTAGCAAAAGTTTGTCTTATGCTTGTGAAATGTAGTTCATGGCCATTATGACACTGTATCTGATGCCTCATGCAAACTTGTGCCAAGTGGCTTCTTGGTAAATGCAGTAATCAAATTTTAGCAGAGCCACTGAGCTATTGATAACATACTGTATTTATTTGGCTATAAGCCAAGACCCCAAACTTTGTACGTGTAGACTCTGCATAATGAGATCCAAAAATAAATCGAAAACACCTGGCTACAAGCTGAGACCCATTCATTATCATTGAAAAAAATCACATCAATTGTCATAAATGAGGCTTAAACAATGGTGATTTAATATGTAAAGGACAAAAAAGCTAACTATTCAATTGAAAAGCAATGAATCAAAACTCAGATGAATTAATGTGATCCAAAATATCAATTTAAAACTAACTGTGTTGACACACGTATGCGGTTTGAACTACCATCCAGTCGCACTCTCGAATTGGAATTAAAAGTTAATAACCAATGATTGCATATTGTAGGTAATTTAGTGTTAACAACTGGGTTGAAAACGTAAATTAGCCACCGTAAAGGGTAAAAAGCTGACGTTTCGAGCGTTAGTTCTTCATCAGAGCGATTAGAGGAATTGTGGGTTGTGTGGATGGATTTATTCCTCTAATCGCTCTGACGAAGGGCTAACGCTCGAAACGTCAGCTTTTTTACCCTTTATGGTGGCTAATTTACATTTTCAACCCAGTTGTTAACACTAAATTACCTGCTATACTCTCCCACCGACGCAGCACCACAGTTTCTTTAGAAACTTACCCCTTTATTCGATTACATATTGTGTTTCTTTACTTTAGCTTGGCTTATAAGTAAATACATCCTGATTTAGTAGAGTTTCCATGCACTGAAAAAATTTTTTTCAAAAACTTTCAGCTATAAGCTGAGACCCCCTCTAGAGCCTAAATTTTAATTCACTTCAGTTTTAATCTGTGTGAAAATCGCTCGGTTTATAGTTGAATAATTATGGTACTAAAAAAAGTTGCAAGGTTCATAGTTAACTTGGAGTAACTTCTTTTGTGTAATTATTGCCCATTCTTATTGAAGAGAGAAGATTAAGGTCCAAGAGCTCACTTAAATCTGTTTAAGAATTACATCCTTAGTACTAGTATCCATTTTTATGAATGGAAAGGACTTGGTTGGCTCAATTTCATTTTTGCCTTCAAGTCTAGTCTTCATTCCTCCTTGACAAGAGACATTTTGGCAAGGCTGTTGATAACTTTGAAATTAGAAGGCATACAAGAAATAGTAGGTGGCTAGGTTGTCATGGAGGCCATATTGTTTTGTCAGTCAACATGCAAGCCTGAGAACTGTTCACATAAAATGTCCTAGGCATTCAGTAAATTTTGTGCGTACATTCTAAGAAATCGTGAAGGTGGAATTGATTGACACAATAATCTTAACCTGTTACCAGTACACCGTGCATGCTGTTTGACTCAAAACTGGGAAATGGTTACTGTCAGTACAAATATCTTTGTTTTACATATTATGCTAATGTGAAGTTTACGTGGCTAACACTTGACCATCACTGATCCTTTCTGATAAAAAGTCACCTATGTGGTGTTTTTATACCATTATGATAGGAAATTATTATTTCAAGATTTAACAGAGAGAGTTATGGGGTTTAGTGGATTTCTTTGGTGCCTCACACTTCAATTGATAACAATTTGAATTTTAACATTTTATCTAGGAAAGACTTGGAAGGCTTCATCAAAGTGTCACAAGAGAGACTGCAAGGAGAAAAGCTCTGCTGGAACCATCTGAGTTTTCATGATAGTGTCAACTAAAATATACAGTACAAGGGTATTAATGGACAAATATTGGATGGTATACTTTTATGAATAGTTGTAGATATGATTATTGAAATTTCTTTAAAAACAAAAAATAATCATGAATGCTTAATTGCATTATTTGTGAACCATAAATTCTGAAGAAGCTTTTTTTATGTCAGTAGGACCCTGCTAACATGAACTTGCAGAAGATACAATTTTCCTCTACCCCAATTTTTGAGTCATTTACTCTCAGCCAAGCCGAAACCCCTATGAACTTGAACTTTACTTGTTTCCCTTGGAAGTTCAGGCAGGATTCTACCCCTGAGAATAGAGGAAGTTAAAATATGAAGGGTTTTCAGTTGGACAGTCTCTATATCATGGACACTTTTAAGATGCATGGTTGAATTAAAGGTACATGTGAATTTTTTCTGTGGCTTTCATTGTGCGAAGCTGTTTGGATATACGTCACGACATGTTTCAGTGTGTACGAATTTTGCAATAGATCGTAAGTTTGTGAATAAGACATAACAGTGAATATGAAAGCAGTCTTAGTAATGATACTTAATACTTAATTGCAACTTTGTTTACTGATGAAAATTTTTTCTAATGCTCCACATGCATCATGTACACTACCTTTGGACTGTCAGATTTCAAATGGAAACTGGAAACTTGTAGTACTGTTACTAGTAGAACAGAGATCAGACACATATTAGATAAACATGCCCACACAAAGTATGAAGAAATCCCATTTTGTGGAGTCTGTCACATTCATCCTTTGACCCTTTTGAGAGTGACTAGCATCTAAAATCTCCTTACAATATCACACATTTAGGTTACAAGAATAAAGGAAATGATCATTAACTAAAGAACCTCTTGATTTACACACAACTTCTCTTGACAGCACTGTAGGAAATTTATATAAAACAGTATGGAAAATATGTACACTGATGTTGAGGGGTTGTATTGTCCGTTGTAGATTTTCTTTAGTGGCACAATTCACTTGGCAGCTTAAACCATGCTTTGTTTTTGTGAAGTTTAGAACTCTCGGCAGAAAGACGTAACATTATATAATGCGTTTCACTCCATTTATAACTAGGCCTGGTGCTACATGATATAATCAGGAAAGAAGAAAAGTGTTAACCAATAAAACAAGTTGAAGGTAAAGAATACAAACGAAAACAGCTTGAGAGAAAACTCATCGACGCCAACGATAAAAGCTTCGCGATAAATATATTCCTGAACACCGTTCCAACATTTCCCACAATTACTTTGCGTCTCGGTTTGTGGAACATGCATCCCCAGGTTCTCGTCCGAGCAGCATTTTAAACACTTTCCATTTGTGAGGCTAGCAGATTTTGCTCGTCCGTTCCTGAATGCATGGATCACGTTTTCTTCGAGTGTCACCGCTGACTGCTTGCGTCTTCTACTACCATTACCTTGTCTCACACTTTCAGCGCACTGCAGAAAAAAGAGCGCACCCGTAAGAATTACATATAACCATGATGTATGGTTGAATTGGACTAAGGAAACAGGTTAAAGTACATCAATCGGGAAATAGAAACTGAAATTTCAAGTAATAATGAACGAGAGAGAGTTAACGTTTTGAAGTGCGTATCTGTTTGATGTATATATAAAGTTTTTGTCTCTCGTTTGTGAAATCGTAGGATAGTTGTAGAACATTTGGAGAGGTATTTTTTATGCGCAACCTGTAACCTACGATTGACCTTTTTGCTTTAAAGTACTTCTGATCGGTTTCACTTCAAAACGGTTTGACTGACAGGAAATTCACGAGACCATACTAACATTCATTTTTCCGATGTATTTTAGAACGAATGTGTGAATTAAGCCTTGTTAGAAACCGTTTCTTAAGTTTTCCCAAACTTTCAAGATTCTTTGTTATGTTTCGACTGTGCAATGTTGTTACTCTGATTTGGCCGGTCACGTGACGCGTTTGATTCGTCCTCAGTTATGTTCTTTCCTAGGTTTTACCTTGTCTGTGAAGTTCCCGACTTCCTTCTTTCTTAGCTCAAACTTTCGTTTTCCTCGATCAAGAAGAAGCACAATGGCATATTCCACCAGAGAACAGAACACGAACAGGAATGATACAATCAAGTACTTGTCAATAGCTTTCACATAATTTACCTCAGAGGTAACATAAAATGGCTTTGTTAGTAAAGCTGAAAACAATTTGAGCTTCCAATTACTTCCGCTACAATTTCCTCAAATGAGATTGGTGTATTTAGCTGCTTTATTTTTGACTACTTATTCTGTAGAGTTGTAATCGTACACTGGAGTCGATCACACAGTTGGCCGTAAGTGGACACCTGTAATCAGAAAGTCAAAGCAGCCAATCATACTAAGTCCACTAAGCTAAATCCACCAATCATAGAACTGATTACAATAGCCACAGTAACAACCACTTGCTCACAAAACTGGGGAATTTCCAAAATATAGGAATTTTTCACCTCATATAATAAATATTGAAAGCCCTCTCTAATAAATGTAATGTATTTTTTCGGAAATTGTAATGGTTATAATTAATTGGAACAGGAATTCGTGCCATTCAATTTAGTCACTAACAAGCGAATATGAACAGTTGATATTCTCTTGGTCTGTAATTATACTGGTGATTGACAAATCAGACTTCCGCTTCGCGGTCGTTCGATTTTGTAAACACTCGTATGACTTATACAGACCGAATTAAATTCCACTCGGACCTGTTACCATTACATAACGCTAAAACTGAGATTTAGTGAATTTTGCAGGAATTTTCAGCCGGTTTTCGATAGAGCTGAACAAGCTGTGACAAGGCTTTATAGTTGCATCTATGGGTGTCCACATGGATTTTATTCTATTCTTGTCATCACTTACTGGTTAACCTTCTCAGAAAACCCTCCCCAATCCTCCACTTCTCTAGCTGCTTTTGTTATATTTCAAAGCCATACCTTGGGCATGGCGTTGTTAGACATTGTAAGAATGGTTACTATAGTGAGCACTGACGTCACTCCCAGGGTGACTCGGGCAGGAGACTGGTTCCGAGGCAGTAAAAAGGTAAGCCAAGAGAGTGTGACAATAAGGGCACTGGGTCCATACAGGTGAATCACTTGGTAACTGTACAGACGCTGTAAGGTGAATGAAGCTTTCACTCCCGACCAGTTACCTTGAAAAAATATCAACAGCTCAAGCTTTGTAGTGGCAAATATTAGGGAGAAAATATGTCCAGAGGGGTTCAGGGTAATTTAGAGACAAGTGTCTACCGTAAACCTACCCACACCGACAAATACCTCGCTTTCGATTCTCACCACCCTATTTGCCATAAAAAGTCTGTAGCCAAAACTTTACTTAGGAGGGCTGAATGTCTACCATCTTCACTCGATTCGAAGGCTGAGGAGAGGAAATATGTTTCCAATGTCCTAAAGGCAAATGACTATACAAAAACTTTTCTCCGTAACTGCCAAAAACCAGTTACAAATAGTAACGCTCTCGATGAAAGGGAACCAGCGACTGGTTTTGCTGTTATTCCTTGCATAAATGAATGCATGTGAATAGCCACAACGTTAAAGTTGCTCAAAAACCTTTTCAGACTTTGGGGCATATTTTCGCCAAACCTAAGGATCCTGTCACGAAAGAACAACGAACCGACGCCATTTATTCTATTCCTTGCAATGACTGTGACAACGAATACATCAGACAGACCAAACGTCAGTTTGGTACATGGTTGAAAGAGCACCAAAAAGCGGTTTTTCTTTGCAAAAAGGAAAATTCAGCTTTATCGGAGCATACATGCCTAACTAACCATACAATTGGGTGGGATAATTCTAAAATTGTCACCACTAATCGGTGTTACCACCAGCGCCTATGTTTGGAGGCTTGGTATATTAACTCCGCCCACTCTCCTTTATATTGTGACGATGGCGGTTTGCTTCCTGATGCCTATTTACACCTCGTCAGAAAAAAAGGCCGCTAATTGGCGATCATATAAAAGGACCTCTTGTTGCAGCGTTTAGATCACCCCTGATGAAGGCACTAGACAGGAGTGTCGAAACGTTGGGTCTATGAATTGTGACTTCTTCAGTTACATTCATTAAATCTGCAAACCAGAGTAGCATCAAACTATGTCTGAGAAAAAGTTTGCTAACTTAAGGTGGGTTGAAATAATATTTCTTGGCGGTGTAGCACTGGTTGTGAAAACTTTTTAAACATTATTAGCAACATCATGAAAAAGAACGGTTAGCATTAGCAGTTGCACAACGAGAAATACCTCATTTATTATTGAAACGTTACAGCTGATGATATCATAAATACTCACCAATAACATAGGTGGTGTATAACGAGGACAACTGCAACTTGGTGAGTTTGAACTGAGGTAACATCTTCATGTCGCTCGGTACAAAAGACATGCCATCCTCGCTGTCGATTTCCCACTTGTAAGCAATATTGTTCATATCATAACCATCTTCCGAGATAAAACACAGGGAAATGGTATCTTTTGCTTTAATTAGTAAGTGACCAGTGTAAAACGGTATGTTCAACCTTTGAAATATTTATCAGGGCACTTACTGTTTAAAATTTGATTTTCAAAAGAGGAGAAGGGTAACTCAGGGGTGAGTTTCTAAAGAAACTGTGGTGCTTCGTCGGTGGGAGAGTATAGCGGGTAATTTAGTGTTAACAACTGAGTTGAAAACGTAAATTGGCCACCGTAAAGGGCAAAAAAGCTGACGTTTCAGGCGTTAGCTCTTCGTCAGAGCGTCAGAATTACCAAGTAATTCACTTATCAAAGGGTAACTCAGCTTGTTATAAACTTCTTCCTCTGTGCCGTGTTTTAATTAACTCAGTTGCATAAAGTTTGCTCAAGTCATAGTCGCCTGGTAGTTAGTGCGTCCTTATTTACTCTTTAGCGCGAGTCCTCAGTGGTCAGAACATTGTGAACAATTTGTAAAAATTAATATCGGTCAACCTTTTGGAAAAATTGACGACTTTCGCAGTTGGAACTTTAAGTGGAACAGCGTCCCATCAGGACTCAAATGTTCTCAGATACTAATAAATGATATTCTAAATAGCAACAGATTATTAGCGTAGGAGATAAACAAATACAAAGAGTTAATCTTACAGCTTTCGATTATCAGAGGACAGTGCTGAACATCCATGGGGTAAAGTCTGAGATCCATTGGACAAGAAGCTTTTAAGGTCACTCTGAAAGAATGTAATGATAAAAAGCAAAAGAAATGCCTTCCTTCTTCTCTTTCATCTTTAATTCCGGATGATTTGTTCAGTTTCTCTCGTACAGTTCCCTAAAGAGGCCACTACTAACTATTAATTTCCTTCATTACTTTAGTAAAGTGATGCACAATAGCGGATCCTACGTCACTCGAAAGGAATCGCTCAAAAATGCCATTTTTAAAATTGTAAGGATGTGAAACCGTTTTAACAAAATATTCCCACATCCTGACGATTTTGATGTGCTTTCATTCAGAAGCGCTTCTCTCTAGCTCTGGCTCTTTTGTAATTTTACAAGGCTAAGCTTATTTGAAGGGAATGAAATCTTATCGGATTTAACAGCTATCTTCATCTTGGAGCGAAGAGATATCAAGTTCGTAGCCACGGACACTGGTCACTCATTACCTGGCGTTATAATCCACCAACCCACCCGGGCCAATGGTGATCATCATATTTTGAGTGGTGACGTCATGAAAGCTTGCATCCTTAGCATTTTTAAAGTAGCTATCAGGCAGCCATATGTGGGAGATAACAGTGTTGCTAAGAGACAATGTATCACGGAGACCATGGTCAAGCCTCGGATCTGTCCACCTTTGACGGAGAAAAATGTCTAAACCAAAATCCTGAGAAAAATTCAAGAAAAGAACAATTGGATCATTGTGGTCAAGCATGCATCCCGAGTTGATTGATGTAATCTTTTTAAAAAAATCTTAGAATTTAGTTCACACCTAGTATTCCCTCTACCAGAATGTTACTGATTACAGTTGTTCTTCAGGCCATCCAACTGTTCTGGCTACAAACAAGGCAAATAAAAATGGCAAGTTGCCCTACTTACCATGTCCATTACGTTAATTGCGTCAATTGCTACTACCCAGAATCCCACTTTAACAGTCACTGGCTTTTCTACAAACAAGATATTTATCAATGATTATCAGTTAAAGCTGAGTAATAAAAAGTTCCAAGTGCATTAAGCCTCTGCACAATGGCCCACTCTCACTTACCTACCACGGTGCCCCTCCACCTCCCCTCTCCGTCCGCCTCTTAATCCTCAGTGTAATAGTGAGTGAGAGTCCTTAACAATCGTAAAAACTTGGTAACACCGTGTGCTTATTAAAACATATACCAAACACAATTAATCAGCATTTATTATGCATTTTGGGAGTAAACCGTCTGTCTCGCAAAGTACTTAGTGTGAAACACAGGTTGTGTAAACATAGTGTTGCAAAATGAAACAAATAAAAAAATTAAGCAAACAAATACAGTCGAACCTCCCTTTGCGACCACCTCTCGTTAGAGACCACTTTTTCAGAATACTTAAAGTTTCCGAGTCAAATCATTAGAAGTAGATCCCAAAGTGAGCGACCACCTCTCGTAAGCGGCCACCTCTCATAAGCGACCAATTGAGATGGTTGTCACTGTTTTCAATTGTTTTAAACCTCATTCGATCATTTGGCTGACCATCACCTTTATCTCTCACGAGCGGAAACTGAAAATTGTTTCGACAGATGTCGTAAAAAAGGAGCCATCGGAAGTGTTTCCTGAAATAGCTTTAGGTCGTGAATTTGTGCATGTGCTCCGTTCCCGGAAAAATTTGGACAACAACAACACCGGCCACTTAGATTAACAAACGATCCAAGTTTCTTTCAGGTGAATTGTCCCAAACGCTGTGTTCAATAATTTCCGAGAAAAAAAATAATCATCATGAGTCCTAAGATTTGATTTTCACTGAATAAGCCGCTAAAAGTTATTACAGAAGGTTTTGATAAGCGCTGACGAAGGGGTCCGATCACCATATGCAAATTACCCGAAATATAGACCCCCGGTGGCCCAGACATGGTAGGTGAGCACCACCTAACGACCATATTACGAACAGTCAATTAAGGGAGGTTTGACTGTATTAAGATGTTATTACAAAAACTTACCGTTGAAGTAGGGACGGAGTCTGGGATCATAACGAGGACGTTTGAATAGTGAATCCAGCCTCTGTGTCATAGTGAGGTTTGATAGCTGATATTTGCTGTATATTGTTTAGAATAAAGGAACATAATGAAATGATATATAAGTTTAAAGCGGTGTAATTGAGGGGACGGGCGCGTAAATTATTCCACGATAGAAATATTGACTAAATATTTGGAAAGAAAGGTAAGTTGATTTGTTAATGAAGTTTTGTTTACTAGTTTACGAAAGAACTGCAAGTTTCTATAAATTCGCCACATCGGGTCCCAGAAGAAAGTTACCGTCCAATTTCGTTCTATTTAAAGGCAATTGTACCGTCTATCATTAAAAACACAAAAATGCCCATGCAATTAACCATGAGTTGATTTGTTTCATTCATGACGTTCATGTAGGTTTAAAACTTTTTTTAAACCTATAGTGAAATCTAACTATTTACAATAAGTTTTCAAGTACGCCGTTTTTCTTTCGTTCTCAAAAATTTGGATCGTAAAACGTACTTGTTCACTAATCGTATGACTTTAATTTATTTCGTCATGCTTATTTCAGGTCGCCTCAGCGCTAAAAGGCAGTATAGATAATTTTGAAATGAGTTCAAATCCGATTTATTAATATTTCAAACATGTGGATCAGGTCGTATGAAATTGGTTATATATCATTTCAACTAAGAAAATGAATTTTCGTAATACAAATTCACACAGATGAAACCAACTATTATTGGCATTGCACCCCTTAGAGCAAACACAACATTAATTTCTGCTACAAACCTCAACCATTTCAAAAAAAATCGTGAAGTTACCTTTCCATCGCATCCGAAAACATCATCAGTAAAAATAGTAGACAAAATGTTATGTGGATACCCATGGCGCAACCTTCCAATTCACCTGCTTGATTCTTAATGAAGAGAAACTATCGCTTCTGTTTTAAATGACCTATTTAATGTTCCGCTAAAATCAAGAGTGATAAATAATTCATTGTCGTAGCTTCTCTGCCAAGACAATTGATCACCGTGATAATATCAGCACCTGAAAAGGACTCTTAATCAAGCAATGTACATGTAGTGTAATGATCATCGGAAAGCAATGGGGAACATATTTAAATGAAAGGAGTTTTGAAGAATTTCTGTGTTCACTAGCCAATTAGCGCGTTTTCACATGGATAAACTCGTCGGGAATTTTCTCAAAATCTTTTTCATTGGAAAGATATAGAAAACGCTTTTGGAAAAAAATTAATGAGCTTCATTGTAAGGCGAGGTTAGATCTTTTGGTTTGTTTTCATTCCAGTAGGGAAGTTCTAACAATCATGGGGCGATTTAGATTGTAACTTGATTCGATATTTTTTTTCTTTTAATTTTTAAAGGGGAGGGGTCAGGGAGTGAATAAAAGAAAATCTTGAAAAAGAAAAAGAAAACCAAGAAGAAACTATACCTTGAGGATGTTACCATTTTTCGCCTGTGAAACCTTCGAAGCCTTTGGGGGAGTTGAAACAAACGATAGGAGATCAAAAGACGTTTCTTGGCAACTTTGATTAAATACCTCTTGTATTTCAGCAGCGCTTCTGAAAGTATTTGCCTCGCGGTGAACAAACGCTGGTTGCCTTGCACTAAAAAAAAAGGCTTAACCTTAAGGGTAGAATGAAAGGTGTCGCTAATATCCTTGATCAAGTAGTTCGATAGAATCCCTAGTCATATGGTGACCGAGTTCTTATAACGTTATTTATTAGCTTCTCAATCCACGCACACTCTTAGTCTCCCTGCATTGTTCTTGACTTTAATTCTAGTGCTATGTTGCAGCTTGTTTTCCAACAGCCGCTTGTCTCGCTGTGCCCTTTCTTAAAAACCAATTCAACAGTTAGTTCCGCCGAGTAATTTGGCGGCTCCAGCGACAAATACCTAATAAGGAGCTAAGGTTAATTGATTATCGGGTATCATGAAAACATCTAGTTGCTAACCAAATATAAATTCATCCTTAGATTAATCTTATGTAAATCTTCATGCTCGAAAGAATAACAAAACTAAAGCATTATGTCTTAAAATAAAAACATCTCTTTAAAACTAAACACTGTAAGAAATAAATGCCAAATCTTTAATTTATGTAACTTTCTTTAAAAAATCCTACACTAAGTGAAAGATTATTTTTTGATTAATTCACTCAACAGCTATGATAGGCTTAAAGAGAAAAGTCCGTGACAAAATAAAAGAAATGTAAACAACTGAATACTACTCCTGAGTGAAAATACTGGACTTTTGCAAGTATTTATGCGCAGACACTTATGTTCTGTAGGTACAAGGCATTTCGATAAAAAACGATTCAGAACCTGAAACTTACATTGGTCGATAATAGCAAATATTAAAGAGGGATCAGTTAAAAGCTTTAAATATTCAGTAACCTCTTACAGTATTCTTAAGTTAAGGGAATGGGGCCCTATGGGAAATGGGGAATAATTACAGGAGGACTGGGGAATGGGGAAACCCTGGGAAATGGGGATTTAAATGGGGAATGGGGAAAGGGGAATTTAAGGGAATTATCAATTTTCTTTTTTTTTTTTAATTACGAATGGGAATGGGAATGGGGAAAAAGGAATGGGGAATGGGGTATAAATAAATCCAATATCACTAATGGGAATGAATGAAATGGGGAAATAATGGGGAATGGGGAATGGGGAATGGGGAATGGGGAATGGGGAATGGGGAATGGGGAATGGGGAATGGGGAATGGAATGGGGAATGGGGAATGGGAATGGGGAATGGGGAATGGGGAATGGGGAATGGGGAATGGGGAATGGGGAATGGGAATGGGGAATGGAGAATGGGAATGGAATGAATGGAGAATGGGGAATGGGGAATGGGGAATGGGGAATGGGGAATGGAGAATGGAGAATGAGGAATGGGAAATGGAGAATGAAGAAATGAGAATGAGGAATAGAGAATGGGCAATGGAGAATGAGGAATGGAGAATAAAGAAATGAGAATGAGGAATGGAGAATTAGGAATGGAAATGTTGAATGGGAATGGGGTATGGGAAAATGAAATGGGAAATTGAAAATGGGAAATTAAAAATGGGAAATTAAAAATGGGAAATTAATCTTTTTCTTGAAATTTTATGTTTATTATGCAGAATAGAAATTTGTCCAAGTGGCGATCATCGATATGCACGCTTTCTTTCAAAATCGTTAAGAGGCAAAATTTAAGGAACGGTATTAATTGATGATAACGAAAGAAATGATGCATGACACCTAAAGAGTGTTGTAAAAGCAAATTTTACTCGTTTCATGAACAAGTGATAGGTTAAATCAATTTTTCTTAGATTAGTTAAAGAGCTATTTGAGTGTTTGACGCAGAAAGTAAAAATAACTTGCTGATCCTTTCAACCTTAGTCAAAAGAGCAATCATAAGGCCAAAACAAGAGTAGCAATTAAAGATGATTGGTGCAAATGTTTTGCGCAATTTTTACCTCCGTCGGCAAAACTAGCCATTCTGAAATAAACGCTCTGGTGGTAAATTCGTGATAGGCCTTTAGCTAGCGGTGTGTGCGTTGTTAGTGAAGGAGCGGTACACAAAACATGTTTTAACTTCTAAATGGTAGAAAAATTCCCTGACGACCTCTCTAGCCTCGACAGACGATAGCGACGAAGTCCTCACGGAGGACATGAACCAATAAACTTGCTAGACGAGCTCACAATACTTTGTTTGGACGGTGCGTCAATGGCGGGTTGATTCCATCGCAACATATTGCGATACCCTAGTTTTATGACATGATTAGCACAAAATAATTAAGTTAACTTTTCTCTTTTTTGATGCACGACATAAATAGCGCAACCCAAACAACCAAACTGCCCAAAGCGCCAGAAAAAACGAGCGAGCCAGGTTGCGATTTTTAAATTTCGCGCCATTCCATCCAATTAAAATTAGATGGAATGAGGCGAGTTTTCTTATAAAATTAAATAGATTTTAGCCTATTTTGAAGCCGTTTTCAGTCAATATGTTATTTCTAATGCTTGTATCTTCAGCTAGACAAGTATCACAAAAATATCTCGACTTCTCTTCTTTGTTTAAATAAAAGTGTTAAGCTAAAAGTTCATACTACTGTAAACATTAAACGCATTTATCTCGTGCCTCTGAAACACGACGGTTGCTAATTCATCCGATTCCCATTCCCCATATTATCATAGGGTTTTTCCTCCATGTTCAGTGGATGTCTCAGGCAGTAATGGCTTTATCACTTCCTCTTCCTCCTTAGCTCGTCTCATATCGCGTTTCAACGAGGACAAAGTCAACAGAAAGAACACAGAGCTGAGAAGGTATAGACCAGGATAGAGAATGTACAGAGCGGTCCGCAGACTGGTGACTTCCTTCAGAGGTGGGACGAGAAGTGGCACATTACCACCAATGATGCTGATGATGAACAAATAACCTGCTACTGCCGGTGAACGGATGGTGTTTGGTACAAGTTCAACTACAACAGTGAGTGTTACCCCCACCCACATCTCACCAATGATATTTGAGGGAATGAGACTAATGAAGGCCCAGGGAGGCTTTAAGAATAAGGCTCCTGCAGCAAATGGGGCAGCGATTATCTGAAAGAAAAAGATGAAAAAGTCAAACATTGAAAAGGAGTGAGGAAACATGACATCTCTGAGAGGATGGGGGAGGGGGGGCTTTCAAGGCTATCGAACGATGGTAGCAGATTGACCCCTGCCCTTGGCGTGTTCACCTTCCCTTTGAATGTTGGAGAAACGGGAGGTTTCATTGTTAGCACATTGTACTCCAGATGTGGGGCCTGGCAGGGTCAATGTGAAGCATTCTTGAATAGAACATTTCACTCTTACCATGACTCTCTCCCTCTCCATTAGGACAGACAAATGGGTACCAGCTAACGGTTGTTGAAATTCAAGAGGAGGCTGGGAGGCTACCATGATAGTCTTTCATCCAATTCTTATTCGCTGAATCCTTCAACTCCCAGAAGTGATTAACATCTAACCTTTCCCTCTAATATCCATACATTATACAGCAAACAGTCCATGAGAATACTCAAACTCACTAGGTAGGAGTTGTTTCCTTGATCAGACACCAAACTCTCATAACCAATTTACAATGAAATGTGCAGCAATTAAAGGGGAGAATGTTCTATTGGATCTTGAGAGTTAAAGGGCCAGTAATGCCACAGAACCAGGGATAAGGTCTGGTAACCACTAACTATAAGTTTGCATTCAGATTAAACTCTGTCTCCCCTGTCTTGTTCCTTCATAATCTGTATCCTTCCCACTCACCTGGCTGAATAACAGGACCCAAACTCTGGCATAAAAGCCTCGGTTTTTAATCACACGATCAGAGATGAATCCACCCAGGACTACTCCAAAGCTTCCTCCTACAAGAGGGATCCAGCTCATATATTCTCCCACGTTAGTGTTAGGGTAATACTTGTTGAAGTAAGGCTGTGTGTTGTATGCCCAAACATAGCCTCCGGCATTCCTTATAGAGCCAGCAACAAACAAGATGAGCAGGGAGGGACGCATAAATGTTCTGCATAACAGAAGGAACTTCTCTCTGAGTAACTCTCGCTGTGGGTGAGTGACAATTGCCTGGAAAGAGTCAAATACATACCAGTCCAACGCATCTCTCAAATAAGCAATAATTGCTTATTTGAGAGATTATTATGCAATATACTTTCTCTATCTATTCCCATGTACACCTTGCACTTGATGTCTGTTGCTCAGTTAAGTTCAGTTTTCATTCCCCCAAATAGTGGTGTATGATTATCAAGTCTGCCTTATGTGCCAATGTCATGTACCAATAAATTTCATACAGTAAATGGTTTGAACCCGGGGGTTACATGTAATATTGTAGTTTGATTGTCCAGGTGAGTGTAGTCCTGAGAAGGACTGTTGTTGGTATGATGGATGAGGTGGATGAATCCACGACATTAGTATTAACATTACAAATGAACTGAACAGAACGACCTAACTTCACTAACGGATCCAAACCAACCAATCACGACTGACCTATGCCACTGGAGTCAGTGTACACAAACTGGACTGAGTACATTTGACTAACAACAACCTTTCACTTGTCTCTGATGATGACTTCTGCTCAGGTTGTCAAAATGTCAGTCACCACTACTGACAACAGTCCTTCCCAGGACTACACTCACCTGGACGATCACACTACACTATTAAATAAATTTCATCTTTCACCTTAACATTACAATACCTGTGTGTTTGACGTCTCACTTCTTTTAGGCTCCTTCATTGTTAGCAGCATGAGAAATCCAAGCACAAACCCAGGTGCAGCTGCAATCCAGAATACCCACCTCCACCCTTTGCCATCAATATTAGCTTGTGTAATGAAGTTACCAAAGGCATATGCCATGCTGTAACCAATGTAGATTCCCCAGTTATATACACCAAAAGCAGATCCTCGTAATGTCTAAAATATCAATACAGGACATATTAATTTATGTTTGTTTAATTGATTTGATCAAAAATTCAAACTTTTATAAAGGTCTGTGTCCAAGTGACTTAGAAAACTGGCAAAACAAACAAAAACTTCTTACAAAATATGGCGATGAAGGGAAAGAAAGAATGGCACCATGAATTGTGTTGCTTATTCCTAAAGAGTAGTGGTACCCCTCACCATGGGACCTTAGATGTGGGCAGGAAGAATACAGGCTGTCAGACTTGCATACATACTTAACAGAAAAATACACGAAGTTTTTACATCATAATAAATGTTTTGATAAGCTATTTGGGACTCATGAGGCACAGCTGAGTAGGTCCACAACATTTTGACCACTGTGATGATGAACATTGTTGTTGATAAAGTACGGACCACACCAAACCACTATCTGTTTGTGAAATATACCAACCTCAGGAAAATAATCAGCAATCAAACTGGTGGCAAATGGAGTGCATCCAGCCTCTCTGTAAAATACAAAAAATTAAAAAACTTGTGGTGTGCATTAGAACAAAAATAAAGGGAAAGTTAAAAGGAGACTATTCAAGACTTTAAATTCTGAAGTGAACAAGAGCCATTTTTATAGCCATGCAGTATCTAAAAAGGATTGCTCATATGTGTAGAGAAAAAATATAACACCCATGAAAAGGGTCTTATTCACATTGCCGACAGAAAATTATGCTGAGACATTTGGGCAAGGGTCAGTAACCTGTTGGGGATCATGACCCTATAGGCAAAGAGGAAGAGATACAGTCTACTTTTTCTTTTATTCTACTCACCCAATGCCAAGAATAAATCTTAGCACAACTAAGTGCCAATATTTGGTGGCAAAACCTGTCAGTAATGTCATGGTGCTCCACAGTAAAAGACAGAAAACAATGAGGTTTCTTCTGTGAAAAACTCCTGCACAAAATCCAAGTGGAACCCCACTGATTGTGTACACCAGGATAAAAACTGGACCTGCAAGGATCTGATAGTCACTTCCTGTTCCATCATAATCCCAAGTGCACACATGTTGGGTGGAATTGTGAGGGGTTTTTGATTCACATCTGAAAAACAAATGGCAAATGAAAGTATTTCAGAAAAATTGTGAATGCACCAGAATAGTGTTCCACTGCAGAAAACTTTAACTTGAGTAAACTTATCATTTATTTGATTTCAAGGGATTTACTTTGTCTGTTTTCTTATTTGCCAAGAAATTCTTGCAGCACCCTACAAACCAATCAAATAAAAAACTGTAACCAATAACATGTCCATTTGAGTTTGTGTTAGCTTTTTCTGATGTTTTCCTTCCCTTGGGTCTGCCATTGTGATTACTTTGACCTTGGCCTTGAGAGACTGAATTAAAAAGTGCTCAAATGGAAAGAAAGGTGTTTGCCTTCTGCTCAACAGACTAAAATTGGAATACCATTTAATAAATATTTTTTTCCATTTCTTAAGGATAGCGTAGACCTTTGCCTGAAAAAAAATTAATGTGCTATTTGAAGCATAACCATTGTAAACTATATATATTTATATAATAAGCTCAGTTATGCATGCATTCTGATTGGTTCTCACTTATGATCTATTGGAGGACAGACATATAGATGATGTCATCATTAAAACTTTTTTTAAATTCTTTATTATATAAAACAAATAGATTCCAAGTTGCCTTGTGTCTGTTCAGTAATGGATCACAGAGGATGTCAAAATGTGGTTAGAACATCAGTGACATTCTTACCGCATTTTGACGTCATCTGTGATCTATTACTGAACAGACGCACGGCAACTTAGAATCTATTTGTTAAATACAAATGAGAAGATTATGAAATGCTCCATTCGGCAAAAATTATATCGCTTAAGCTTCATATAAACGTAATGGACGATGTTTCTGTGAGCGAATCAATCGCATATCAAATCTGACCGCACAAATAAGACTTTGCGCCCTACACTCTTGCCTATATGCATTTTCAAACTAAAATGGGACATGACAGCTCTACTATTCTGAATTACGAAACACATACATTAAGATTACGTAACTTTATCGGGTGATATTTAAAATGAGAAAAAGAACCATTCTCTGGGTCTCTGGGTCGAGCACTGCTTGTTTCCATCATAATAGGACTTACCACATAGTCACTCATACTAAAAAATTTTCATTAACCTAAAGCTTCTCTGACAGTCTAAGAATGATTCATTCTGAGGAGACTTGCTAACCTATTTCAGATATGGCACGACTCCAACCAAATATTTGAATTAGGAAGATAACTTACGTCGTTTTGTTTCTCTCTGGTTCACCGCTGCCCTTTTCACTTTTCACACAGAAGTCTTTGTATTCCGAGGAAAATGTGGAGTTGTAAGGCAAGCATCCTTTATCACCGAAGTGTATGTCTTGCGCCATAGGTTGTGAAGAAACTGCAAGAGTGTATCGATCCAGTTGGTTCAGCAAATAGGTACCGAGGAGAAGAAATAAAACATAAACAGCATAACCATCAGCCTTGAAAACCGATAAGCAACTTCCCGAGGCCATTCTTTCAAGTTGGTTTGAGGTTAGCCGCCGTTGGAGCGAGACAAACCTTCGACAAGCGTGGAAACGGAAATGACTAATACAGAATGTTGGCATGAGAAATATCGTGAGAGTCACGAGGCTACAAACAGGTCAGCGGTCAGGAAAGACGTCATGCCATTTGTTTTCACGTGACGTATATTTTGTAAGTTTTGACAATCAAAAAGCGAAGGATCTCAAGAAATATCACTACTTTCGCAAGTTTTTTGCACGATCGGGCTTTCCCTGTCGAAGACTGATCCACTTGCTCGACCTCTGATTTCTTTATGTCACGTGACATAGAAGTTGGCAGCTGAGAAAAATCCATGATCGAAAAACTATCGAAGAATCAAAGTATCACTCTGTCGGCCGATGGACGGTGAGTAGCTGATCTTTTTTTTGCATGGTAGAAAGAGATACTAGATGTCCAAGTTACTCCCAGGTGCCATTATGCTTTTTGGAAAGATACGCATGCCACGGTTGACGCGATACTTTAGCTTATAACTTATCAGCTCATCAATTCACAGACTTCAAGACTTTGGCAGGTCGTCAACTTTAACATTGTCACAAATATTACGAATGCAGGTCGACTTTTTAGCAGGGTTTTTTTTCACGATACGTGATAAAATTTGTTGTAAAAATTAGCATTATAGCAACTAGCATCATTCCTAGTAACATTGAGGGCCTGTCAAATCGAATCCCCCGTGAAGCAGGGGAATGACCACTTACAAATATCGAAGGTTCGACATATCCCTGGGTAAGATATGTTTGTACAGTCACATGTTTTAACCCGGAAACACAACATGAATGTTAAACTGAGCGGCACTCAACTGAAAATCAATGATGATTCCAACTGTGAGCTTAGACTAGGGGTTATTGAAATAGCAATCACAAAGCACACAAAGCAGATCACGGCTATTTTTATTAAAAAAAAAAAATATTGCAAAAGTTACCCTTGATTCATCTTTCATTCAAATCAATATAAAGTCTAAAATAGGTAATTAATTAAACTCAACTTCGCGTCACGCATATATATACACAGTTGATTGCTTTAAATAAAATTCTGGTATACAACTACCAGTGTTCTTGGTAAACTTATTTCATACAACACCCCATGATAAGCTACCGGAGAAAGCTACCTAATGTTTCATTGTTTAAAATAAGGCTAATTCTTACATACAGACAAACTGTACATTATATTCTGACCATATATGAGAGACTGACAAAACATCAAGGAGATACGAAAACAAATGCGTAAGGGAAATAAAATTGACGATGGTTAGGTAAATACCTTTTGGCAGTTCCTCGCCATTAAAAAAAAACTATAAATGTTTATAGAATTAATTCTAGCTGCCCGAAGAAAGAGCTCGAGAAAGAGGTTAACATTTTTCTTCGTGAACTACAAAGGTTTTCTGAGATATTCTCGTTACTGCTGCACGTCCCCGAACAATCTTAAGGGAAAACGAGATATACTCGCTCCGTTCAAAACCTAAGGAATTCGAACAAACAAAAACAAAACGAAAAAAGAAAAAAATAGCCAAAAAAACCCCACACAATTCCGGTAAATTTCTCCGAAAGTTCGAAAAATGAGAAAACCTTACAAAGGAAAGCATCGCCGAGTAAAAAAGAAGTTTACAAAAATCTGCGCGGAATATTTCTGCGAAACTTCGGTAGCAATTTCACGTATGGTGCGCAAAATAAAATATACTTCTACTCTTAGCATATTCTGCAAAACGCCTTAAAAAATTACCTTTGTCCTATTACATTTTGATCCCAATGTGTAGTTTTGGATAGTTGGTTGAAGGTTGTTGGGCAACACAACCACTGAAGGAATTGTTTCCCAAGTGTGGTCGTTATCAACGCAAGGAAGGTGGTCAATTAAACCAATTCTTCTTTGAAGCAGAGACCGGAGGGAGCAGAGTGGTCTTCAGCAGATGACCTCAGGGTTGATTACTCTTTACTAATCATCTTGGAGCGACACAAAATTTCATATGAGTCTTTCCGGAGGAGGCGGTTTCAACATGGAATCCAGTTCAACACGCCCAGCCTCTAATTCTTCCTTACTAGGATTATATGTGCCATTTGAAGTTCTCTTCTTCAGAACAATTACCAATAAAACGAACAACAACATGGCGATAATACAAGCCGCTATACTTCCACCGATTAGTATAGCTTGACTGCCGCCGGACCTTTCGGAGGGATCGGTTGGTTCTTGCGAAATTTCACACCTTGTACCTATGAAATAATCCCGACAAAGACACGAAAAATTCCCAGCCTGATCAGTGGATTTGCAAGTTGCACCGTTCTCGCACGGACTACTGTTACACGGATGTACATACTGACATGTTTCGCCCACCCAACCAGACTCACACTCGCAGCGAAATGAGCCGTCAGTAGAGGTACACGTGCCACCGTTAAGACAAGGATTCGAATCACATTTGTTAATGAGCTCAATGCAATTTTTTCCTGTATAACCTGGGTTACACTCGCACTGAAAAGTGTCCATTAGAGGAGTACAATTTCCATTAATGCATGGGTCGGGATCGCAAAATGTTAACAAGCCACTACAGTTTATATTACCAAATCCTTCAGTACAGTTGCAGAAATACTTTCCTTCTCTGTTCAAATTCACGCAAGTCGCGTTATTTCTACAAGGGTCTGGTGAACAGTAATCTATGACTTTTTCGCAGTTTCGTCCGTAGAACCCCAATGGGCATGAGCAGGAATAGTTATTTGGGTTGTAGGATTCGTTACAAGTAGCTCCATTCTGGCATGGTCTGCTGTAACAGGCTCTGAAAATAGAGCAGTTTTCTCCCTTATACTCAGGTGTGCAGTTACACTGATACTTGTTATAAGCCAACCTTTCACACGTGGCATTGTTCTTGCAAGGTTCAGATTCACACAGGTCTATTTTCTTTTCACATCGCTGTCCTTCAAAATCATTAGTGCAGTTGCACTTGTAGCCTGGGAACATACGACTTGTGGAGTTCACATGGCTATCAATGCATGTTCCGTTGTTCATACATGGCTCGTCTTCGCATTCGTGAATATCATTCTGACAAAATGTCCCATTATACCCCTCAGGACAAGAGCAGCTAACAGCTGTTGCGTTATCTGAACAATTACCACCATTTTGGCAAGGGTTATCCAATTCGCATTTCATGCTAAAGTCATACTGACACAGCTCCCCGAAGAATCCTTGTTTACAGACACACTTGTATCCGCCCACCAAGTTAGAGCAGTTATGTGTTCCTGATACGTTACAAGGACCGAGCGGCATCGTAACTTCACATTCATTAATATCTTGCTCACAGAAGGTTCCATTAAAACCAGTCACGCAAGAACAACTATACAAGCCGATTCCGTCGACACAAGTAGAATAGTTAGTGCAGTTATTATTCACACATTCGTCGATGTTCGTTGAACAGTTTTTTCCAGCGTAACCTCTGGGACAAGTACAGTTATAGTCAAGATGAAGATCAGTGCAGTTTGCGCCATTTTCACATGGATCAGGGACGCATTCGTTCGTGGCATTTTCACAAAGCTTTCCTTCAAATCCTTGAGTACACTTGCACTCAAACATATCAAATCCTACGTCACTTACTTGTTTCTGATTGGTTGCCTTGCCAACGTCAGTCAGATTAGAACACGTGCCATTGACGCACGGGGAATGTGCGCATGTCATGTTGGCAGTTAGTGTACAGATACGCCCTGCCCATCCTTCTGGACATGCGCAATTGAACAGGTTCCATTCGTCACTGCACGTGCCCCGCACACAAGGTGCCGGACCACAAACGTCATCACTGTGGCAACCGAACTTCAGTTCTGTCTTGTTAACTTGGAAGTGAGGCTCTAAAGGAGTCACGTGACTAACATTCAAGGTGCTGTTGTAGTAATCAACAAAAGGCAGCAGCAGATCACCGATACGCACGTTATCTATGCATCCTTTGAATGCTGACCCACCCACCACAACTAAAGTGTTGTTTAATAAGCTTGTTATTTCATTGATTGAATATTTCGAGGAATCAATTGTGGTGGAGCCATCTACGGTCAAATAACTCTGGTTATCAGTCATCTTGAACATGATTTTGTGCCAATGGCCGTCATTTACTTGATTATCTAAAAAGAAGGATACAAAGTTTGATAAATAACCGGAAAGTGGAAAATATGACGGAGGTAAATGTCACTTGTGACCATTTTACAAAAACGACATAAAATTAACTCCTCAAAATTCAATGAAATACCGCATATGAAAATTGTCAGACGACAAAACGACTGTCGAAATATTTTACACGAACTAGACTTGTCGTGTCTTGAACAACGAAAAACACATTTCTACGGAAAGTGCACCTTTTCATTATTTTCACTTTGGGTTTTACCTGGCTACTTCTTGTGAGTCCTTGTGCTGAGCTTATCATTTATATAAACGATGGACATTTCATACAAAGAAAACTGTTCTTTTGTTTCCCGATATTGATATTGACCATCTTGTCGGTATGCAATTAACATATTTATTGAATTCAGTAGAGCCTTATCCTACCTAAGGATATTCCTCCTTTGTCTCCATTCAGAGCAAAACTGATGTTAATCTGTCCATCGTCAAGTGCCATCTTGAAAAATCTGTCGTAGCCTTGACGAATGTGAATCAGCACAGCTGAGGACTCCCTTGTTCGTACTCGTAAAGACACATCCATGCTGACATTAACGCTGGAGACTAAAGTGAATTCTGCACGACTTGCACTGCCATTGAAAGTAAAGGGATGTACACCTAACACAGAGATAAATAACTTAGCAAAACATGTGAAGTAAACTAAAAAATTCACGTGTACAATTCCATTCCACAATCGCGTTTACTAACAGTAAAAAAAGTCATCGTTTCAGCAACAAGAAATTATCAGAGCAAAACAATTTGACTCTCGCGGACAGCCCTGTGGTCACACATACATGGACCGCGATGGTGGCGTCAAGAACAGGCGATCCAACTTAAAGTGGGCATACAAGCGACCTACACGGGAAATCGTTGAAAGCTGATTAAAAAGATAGCTGTTATAAAATGTAACGTTCACTACGGGACATTTCAGCACAAAATTTTCATACGAAAACTTTACCTCGTGAATATAGTTTATTATTTCATAAGCGCTTACATTCATAATTTTCTCCGATATCCAAGCAGGTGGTGTTGTGAGGGCACAGGTTAACCAAGGAGCAACCGTACAGTGCACAGTCCGGGCCACCGTAGCGAGGTTTACACTCACACTGATATTTGTTCCACAAGTCTTTACAATAGCCTCCATCACCACAAGGTAATGATCGACACACATTCATTCCCTTACAGCCTTCACCCAGACCACCTGAATCAAGTAACGTGTAACGATCCGTGGATATTAACGACGCATCATTAAACCCGAAGTCAAACAGTTTTTTGTTCAGTTGAATGTCCTGCAAACAGCCTCGAAATGGAGTTCGAATGATGTCAGCTTCTGGGTAAAGAGAGAAGTCATCAAGTCCTCCAAGGTAGGTCCAAGTCAATTTGATATCTTTGTTAACAATGGGTCCCGTGACCATAGTGAGGTTGTCAAAGCGTGACATGTTGTTTCGGATTTCAACAAAGTGCCAATGTCCATCACTAACCCTTCCATTTATGGTATTATTGGAGGTGTGTCCATTTGAAGTGGTTTGTACAAACAACATTCCTTGGTCAATCACAACACTAATGTGATGATCCTGATTGTCTGTCATCAGTATTATTAATCCTCTCAGTTCTCGAGTTCGGATGAAAAATGACAACTCTGCAGCTGAGTCAAAACGGGTGCCATTAGTGAGGAATTTAGCAAAGGAAACGTTATGCATACTGTCAGCATTACGTCGGCGTCTGCTGCTACCTGTGTTCAACGGCTCTGTTGCACCAAACGTTCCCGGTGTTACCGCTAAAAAGAAAAAGAGAGGAAAAGGTTTTAACAAATTGCAAAAACTTTTCCGATGATCGATCTAAAAAACCCGTTGTCTCCATCTTTCTGGAGAGCAAAGAAAATTATTCGTGATAATCGGTGTATAAGTGTTATACAGCGTAAAATCGCAGTTCACACTCGGAGGGAAGCGAAATAAAGTTAAAAAGGTCAGAAAGTTATCCTTGATGTTAGATAACGGCTTTCTGTCCAACTTGGTTTTATTTTGTGGAATGTTAAATACGAGAATCGCTTCCACTTCAAAGTAAAATACATGTAATAAAATTTTCCAAGAAATAAGTGCCTCCCACAAAATTCCGGTAAAAACCAATTGGTGTGTTTACCATGTGACTTTAGTTTGAGCAACATTAATATATCTTAAAGGCGCCAACTTCAATTTTCGGCCGCCAGCTGTGTTAATATTTTCAATCTTAACTACATTGGTTGTGAAAATATGAAAGTCATACATTTGAACTGCGGTAAAAGACATGAATATGAGAGTGATCTTCGCAGTAATGAACACTACTTAAGTAGTAGTGAAAAGAAGGCCTGAAAAAATTCAGGCCCGTACGGGATTTGAACCTATGACCTCTGCGATACCAGTGCATTGCTCTACCAACTGAGCTAACAAGCCAACTGGGAGCTGGTCACTGTTTTGGTTCCAAATAAACCCGTGAAGTGGTGATTAAACGGTTGTGAACATATGGAAGTCATGTATTTGAACTGCGGTATCGCAGTGGTCATGGGTTCAAATCCCGTACAGGCCTGAATTTTTTCAGGCCTTCTTTTCACTATTACTTAAGTAGTGTTCATTACTGCGAAGATCACTTTCATATTCACGTCTTAACTACATTCGTAACTTTTAGAATAATTCCTCCCATTTATTTCGTGTCTCAGTAAAATTTCATTAATCTTTTGTGGTACTGATCGAGACCTAGTTAGCTAAAAAAATCATAGTTAAACTCACTAGTATTGCAGCGCGAGCCGATCCAAGGTCGTGTGCAATCACAGCTGAATTTGATCCATTCGTCAATACATTGGCCATTTGCACAGGGGTTGGATAAACACACCTCTTCTCGTGGACACCCAGTAACAGTGTTATGTAATTCCACTACTGCACTTGTGGGGATCACTGTCTCCATATCAATCGTTACATCTTGAATACAACCAGTGAAATTATACAGCGTGTTGTGAAGATAGTTAACAGGAGATGAAGATCCACCTATGTAGAATTTTGAAACGTTAGCCTGTGCTCGTAGAGGTGAAGACGTCTGGCAAAGCTCGCCACAAGATGAGTTATCTACAATGAGAATTATGGAGTCTGCAGATATGTTGATAAAAACAGTGTGCCAGAGTCCATTGCTGAGAGAAGCCTTTTTGCCAGCTGAGAGTTTCTTCGTGTTATTGTACAATACGTGTACTTCATTTTTATCAAGAAAAACAAGAAAATTGCTTCCTGAATCAGTGCCTAATAAGCCGTGATTCAGAGTTGTTCTAAACTGAAAAGAGAGTTCAAACATTTGTTTTCCGACGTGGAAATCCATGAACGAGGAGCCATTTAATCCAACTGTGGTTATATTTTCACAATGTACACCTCCGAAGCCAGCTGCGCAAGTACAAGTGAAGTTGTTGTTTTGTAAATCACAGGTGCCATTATTCTTGCACGGATTAGGAATGCAAGAAGATAACTCAAGCTCACAGTACTTCCCCGTGAAGTTGGCTGTGCAAGTGCAGTTGACATCAGCTATGGCGTCGATACATGTTGCATTGTTCTGGCATGGATTAGACCCGCATTCATCAATGTCGTTGGAGCAATTTTTACCTGTGTGCCAAGAGATCAAAGATTTCAGAAAAGAATGTAGTCTTTCTGCGAATCGGCTGCCATCAATGCTTAAGTGAGCTGCTAACCAGGGCCCAGTTTTATAAAGTACGGATACTGCTATCCAATGGATAAATCGTTATCCAGCGGGTAAGTAATGGCAAATCGTATAGCGTTGTCCACTGGATAGAGATTTATCCTGTGGATAGTGTTGTCCGACCTTGGAACAACCGGGGCCAGGTGTACAAGAGTCAACGGGCGGTAAATTTTCAAAAGGAAAAAAAAAAAAAATGATCGGTGATTTAGGACATGGAGAGAATACAGAATACACATCAGCTAAGTGGTATTTAGGCGCAAAGAAATACTCCGTTCTTGGCTTACACGTGTGGTTTGGGTAAGATGTTAAAGGCTGTCAGTCCTTGGAACACTTTTATGTTAATGAGCCATTTGATGCCACAAAACCATACACATTATACGAAACGAATTTTCCAGGAAACCTTTTCTTCTAAGGTTAAGAAAACACTAATCGAACGAACTTTATAACAATTTCATTAACAGTAGCCCTGTTGGTACTTTTTGCTATATACTTCGTCTCGGTCCATAAAATGCAAAAAAAGAGAGCAAGAAAGTTAAAAATATATATTCACTCTAACAAAACAAACAAGTTTGTCGAAAAAAGACGCAAATCAAGAGAAAATGAAGAACAGAGAGGAACAATTGGGAATAGACGTGTTGATTTCATTGATCAATCTTTCGTCCGCACGGACAGCTTGGCTTTCTTACGAACGTCTCTGGAAACTAACTTCCGTTTGGGAGGACTATCTATAAATAACTAGTGAAATTGACATATCTAAAGAGCTCAACGGGGAACTTCACTCTCTGTCCCTTCATATCTCTTGCGTATTCATGTATATTACCGTCATATCCTGGCTGACATGCACAGGTGAAGCCATTTATTAGATCTGTACAGTTTCCACCATTTTCACATGGGTCTGGTTGGCAGTCATTAATATTTGTGGAACAGTTGTGGTCTGTGAAGCCAGGTAAGCAAGCACATGCGTAGTTACCTAAAGTATTATTACAAGTTGCATTATTCTGACAGTATCCAAGCTGACACTCATCAATGTCCACATCGCAGTTTCGTCCAGTCCAGCCGGATGCACAGGTACAACTGTACTCGTTAACTTCCTTTCCATCGGTGCAATTTGCCTGATTTTGACAAGGTGCATATTGCAGGCAGTAATCCACATTATCCTGGCAGTTTGCACCTGGAATAACAACAACAAAGATATTCTTCAAACTAAATTAAGCAATGACGTAATCAAGGGGGTGTATGCTTACCGTAATGATACGACTTAGCGCATTCCTTCCAATAAGCGCCCCCTCTCTAAAAAGCGCCCCCATTCTCGAATTTGTTTTTGTGATAAGCGCCCCTATTGAGTAAGCACCCTCATTCCAATGAGCGCTTCATAACAATAAGCGTCCTTATTCCAATAAACACCAATACCCTGTTTCAAACATACTTACAATAAGCTCTGATACAACAACTCCTTGGAGAGGGGGTTCCATCAGATGTGAAGAACATTACTTCCAGAAATAATAACCTTAGTTCCTTTCCACAGCAACAGACGCATTTTACACGTCCTCTGGTATCTTTTTACTGTACTTTTGGGCGTGGAATTTTAGTGTTTACAGTATATTTCCAAATTGCTCTTTACATTAACAAAATCTTCCCTAAAAGGCTTTTGATCAAAGAAATAAAGAGACCTGGATTAAAATTTAACCCTAGGTTAGTGCTAATCGGCCTCCGAACAACTGAGCCCTGATCTAAAGAATCTAAAGCATACTACAATACCTGTAAAACCTGGGGTACAGTAGCATTCAGCTCCTTTCTTGCGGTTATCACAAGTTTCTTTGGTGATGTTGATGTTTTGACAAATACCTTGACGTTTATCCACACTGCACTGACTTTTATTAGCACATTCATCGATGTCAGTCTCACAGTACCGGCCTGTAGTCCATGGATCACAGTCACAACGGAATGCTCCAATAAGATCAGTGCAACTCCCACAGTTACATGAAACACCTGACAAAATATGTCACACTCAGAGACTGTACACAGCAGATACAGGTGTATGAACTATTACGAAATACCAAGACACCAAGTATGATGTATGAAATTTCAGCTCAAAATGCAGCAAGAGATGCAGTCGCCTTGCTTTTTTCCCCTAGTTAGATTTGATTATAATATTCATGTCCATCGTGGCCATGGTCATTTAATCTATATGTTCTCAGAATTGAAACTTACCTTCACACTCATTGATTTCATTCTCACAGTAGGTACCATTGAATCCAGGAAAGCACTCACATCGGAAACTGCTGTTACCACTTTTACAAGTTCCATTGTTACAGTTAACGGACCAGCAGTGGTCGTTAAGATCGTTCTCACATTGACTGCCATTAAATCCTGCATGGAAATGAAATAGAAGATTTATCATGATCAGATGAATTAAGTGAGTTTTAGATTGCGTAAAATTTTTTAAATTCATCATGAAAGTATGGATATTGGTCCACAAAGAGAAGAACACATCAAATATTGAGTTGATTCCTCTAAGCAATGTAATGTCAATAACATGCAAGAGGTGTTACCTAGTACTTAAATCACCTTTCAATAAAAACGATTAGCCCTATCATGTGAAGTTTTGAGCAGCCAGTTTAACACAACATCCTTCTCTCTTAATTGCTATTGTGTAATGGTTGAAGAGGGTCATGCTAATGTAAGCTATTGTGCAATATAAATTTTGCATGCATACAGTAATTCTATTGTCCAAAAACTGCCTGGTTGAGCTGATTACAGCCTTTACCTATGTGTTTCTAGTGGTGAGATTCTTGAATGTGTTATTTTGATTTCTGCTTTTCATTTGTATTGCTGTGTACAAATTTAAAATTATAACTTGCATCTGCACCTGGCATAAAACAACTTATAAAATGTTTTATGTGACCAACCCTTTACTAACTGTGCACAGACTCACCAGGTTTACAAACACAAGTGTAATTATTGACACCATCATCACATATTGAGTTGTTGTTACAGTTGTGATTCAAACAGTCATCAATGTTAATCTCACACAGGGTTCCAGTAAATCCATCCATACATTTGCATCTGTAGCTGTTTACTTCATCAATACAAGTTCCTTTAATGAAAATAAAAACTTGACAAGGTTAGTGAGAGGACATATTGCCAGACAATAGGCCATTTTACAGCTGTGCTAAGTTGCCAAGCCTTTGATTTGGAGTGAGGCTGAAGGTGACCATGTTGTGATAAAGACCAACATCTAGTTAGCATGATAACAAAATAATTTGCATTTGAAAAGCAGCAACATTTGTATCATTAAAAGGTCATCTTTAGCCTCACTTCCATTCAAAGGCTTGGCAACCAAGCAGGCAACTGTAAAATGGACTATTAAGGGATTTTAGTGTTACATATGTTGGCTAAAGGTTGCCATTACAAATCCTCAATCTTCATTCTCCGATGGGTATCCATTAAATATAGAACATGTAAAGCAACATCAGTCTGAGTACATGGCAACTAATTCAAAACTTATTACCATCAGAATTACATACTAAAGAATAAGTCTTAAAGTCAAACCAAAAATAAGGTACTATCACTCTGTGTATCACAATGGAATCACTTCCAAAGTGCAAGACTAACTCATGGGCCCAATGATTATACTTCAGTAATAAATCTGTTGACCACAATAAATGACCATGTAACCTTTTTTACGATGAAATGATTATTTTTCTTAAATGGTGACTACAATAACAGATTTTTATCAAAGACATTAGTTTCAATTTGAAATACTAAACAAATACAGTAAATTGCAGTTTTTTAGAACACTCATAACACCACAACAGACATTACATAAATTAATATAATTTGACAATAGCACTCTAAAATTATACAACTACATGTAGCACTGAATATGAGAGTCACCTACCTCCATTTTGGCAGGGATCACTACGACAGTCATTTAAATCTTCATAACAATTCTTGCCATTAAATCCTTGCTTACAAACACATTGATAAAATCCATCATGATTAATGCACTGGGCAGTATTAATAGGATGACAGGGTTTGTTCGTAGAATTACATTCATTAATGTCTTCCTGACATGATGGCCCAGTGAAGCCAGACCCAGTGCAGTTACAAGTGTAGTTGTTGATTCCATCAATACATGTACCAGCATGACCACAAGGGAATGCTGCACAATCATTTATATCTTCCTGACACTGCTTTCCTTTAAAACCTTTATGAAAAAATAATGTATAATCATTCAAGGGACCAAGCATTAAATATAATTATTGTTGTTTACTGTTTGGGAGATTAGTTTAAGAAAAAAGAGTGCTTGAGGTCATAATTGCAGATCACAGCCAAAGCCAAAGGCAAAGGGCTGTACTCAAGGTCATGGCAAAGGCACAGTTTTTATCCCCCCCAGACTAACCTAGACTAATAAATAATGTGTTTGTTTCTTTCTGTTGGTTTATCATTTTCCACCTCGCCATGAATGGTACAGAAAAGATACTGGAGCCTGACTGTATGGTAAAATACTAGACAGGTTACTAGTGCAGAATTAGCCAATTGGATTCAAAGATTTAAGAACTCGGCCAACTGAGATGCTTCAGAATATAATCACTGTGTATATTGTTCAATAAATGCTTCGATCCCAGAAGTTACATTGGATCATATGATCTGATCATCTGAGCGATAGCAGTCCTGAAAAAGACTGAACAATCACTGCTACCATTTAATGATCCTTTTCTCTGTGACTATGCTAACCCAGAAGATTAGACCACATGATCAATTGTGTAAATTCTATTTCAAAATAAAAAAATTATTTAATGAACTTACCTGATGGACAATCACATTTGAAGTCATCTGCACTAAGCTTGGAGCATGTCCCTCCTTGCTTGCATGGATAACTTTTACAAGGATCAAATTCATTCTCACAGTTGCGTCCAGTGTAGCCAGGCTTACATGTGCATGTGTAGTTGTTTTTGTCTGAAGTATCACGACAAACACCTCCATTCTTACACACATCAGTGTTGTTGTTGTTAGTCTTATTACACAGGGATCCCAGGAAGATGTCACATAATTGGCCTGTCCACCTTGGTCCACAACTACAGCTGAAGTTATTGACAAGGTCAACACATGTGCTGTAGTGATGACACTTGGCACTTGCACAGTCATCAATGTTTAGTTCACAATAGTATCCAGTAAAACCAGCTGGACAAACTAAAAGTCAAAATAAACATATAAACAATTAATTCCTTTCTTTGATTTATCACCATAGGATTGAAAATGTCTGAACACAAGCACAATGGGCTCATCTTGCCACAACTTGTATTGGTTTCTGTTGCAGTAAGTGACCAAGAATATTGCTGCTCCCACTGAATGACCTGCCACCTGGCCCATGGGAAATTACTCCAACTGCATTTGGTCAGGTTTTCCCTAGCTTGGACTCAGACCTTTTCCCCCCTTGAGACATAATCACTTAGTATTTAACAAGTACATGAAATGATAAAAAAGAGAAAACTGACATGCCAGCTAACTGTTATATAAACTCCACATACTTCTATGTACACTCCAGTGCTCACAATGTTAAAATCTAGACTTCACTTTACTTCACATGCAAATTTCCTACTCAGGGTGTATTAAAGCCACATGAAAACCATTAGGAAATTATTTGAACAATTTTATCCCTTTCACAGCATCTTTTCACAATTCTTTTTAATTTAGTTCTTTCAGCCTATGCACATAAAAAACTTGCACTGACTCATACTTGCAGTTGAGAATCTGGATAGTGATTTGTGACTGAAAAGGCCCTGAAATTTAAAATCAGGCCTGCCGTAGATGCCCTGAGTGAATACCAATTTCATAATAATAAGATTAGGTGGATGGGTAAAATTCATAATATGAAATCAAACCAACCTTTGGCTGGACATCCAGATTGGCCCAGTGGGCAGTTTGCATTGACATTCACAGAGATACTATTTGGCAGTGGAATATTTTGTCCACTTGTTATACATCCAACGAAACCTTCACCTCCAGATATATGGCTCCCAGCATAAAGGGGACCTGAACTTACAAATTCTAAAATAGTGTTTGGCATTTGGACAAACTGGGTTGTTAAACCACTCAGGGTGAGAGTTGAATTTACTTGTCCACTGCCAGGAGTGAACTGTACTTGATGAAGAATATTTTTATCCAGGTCTTTCCCTATGGTAACAGACTCTTCAGTACCATTAACTTTCCATGTCATTCTAAGGTGGCTTGGAATAAATAAAACAGGTATCCTAGTGTAATTCACCGTGGTGCGCACCACTTCAATACGCACAAAACCATTACTTGACCCCTTTTGATCAAGTAACACTCCACCGCTGCAAGTTCTAAAACTGAAATCAAAGCCATTTTTGAGTGGAATACTTGCTGATGACACTTGCATTGATGAGGTGGCATTGAAAAAGAATGTGCTACTTCTTGTGCAAGGTGATAAGTGAAGAAGTAGAACTCCTGCAAAATAAAGAAAAAAAAGGATTTCTGTAGAACTGCCACTACACAACTGAAATTTAAGGGGATTATATTGTTGCTATCAAATAGAGACATTCACTTGTTATGTGTACTTTACTTTTGAATCAATTACATTAATTGGAATACTACATTTGTGATCTAGTCATTCTTTTTTTAATGCACTATGTTCTTAATTAGTTGTTAACTTATGCATAATTTGTGTGTCTTTTGAATCCCAAGCACCACAACTGTACGTGTTTCTTATAAAATATTACTTCAAACTTTCTGTATATGAATTGATGCAAGCTTGGGGCTCAAATAGACACTTACAAGAGTCTCTGAACATAGGATTTGGTTGAGCCTCTGCCAATCAAACTATTTGCCAGATATGGGAAGGAAAACATGTCAAAAGCCCTAATAGTAGACTGTCTCTAAATCCATTTATACTAATTTCTCCGTAACAAACCACAAAACTGAGTTCAAGTTGATAGCAAAGTTCCTTATTTATAAGTTTTTTCCTTGGCAATTGCCCTCCCTATCACAAAACTGGAGGTCAGTACTTTGGCAAGAGGACTTTCTTTAGGAAAACTTGTAACATTTTTTCACCAACACCGCAGAGGGTTGATTTTCATGGAAATCTTACTTGATTAACGGCAGCTTTGTTTACTATCAGTTTTTCTTACAGTTACGTCTACTCAACACAATTCAATTCCTTCTCTAATTCAAATCCCAAACAATCTCTGGATTTCAAAAAACTCGAGACACAAAACTTAAAATATGTTCAGTCCTCAAAAGGAAAAAACTTGAGCAATTTTTGTTGTGCACTCGCGTTTTGACAGATCTGTAATCTAAATAATAACATGCACGCTTTCCTTTGTAGCCTACGAAGTGTCGACAGCTCACGAGATATTGCTGTATGACAAGCTTCGAATGTAAAAGCAATACCGAAATTTGCGCGTTATATTCAAATAAGAGCTTTCTGATGGACGTATTTTTCCATCCACTTACAGACAAAATTTAAAATGAAGAATTTATGCGCCGTCACTCATTTCAAATGAAGATCCAAGCGTGAAATTATGTGAACGATCGCCGACATACTGCAACATTCGTGCAGCTACTTCTCTTTTTTTCAGTTACGGCGATTTCAAACCAAAAAAATACTGCCAAAAAAAAGACGAAATAGCCGCGACAAAGAATTCGTGATTGATTATTTAGATTTGCACTTGACGACAAAAGTGGTATTTTATAGTAGCATCTCGCACGAGTATTGAAACGGACTCTCGTTTTGTTTAATAATTTTCAAGAAGCGTATCAATTCATCGAATTTAATGAGTAGGGCGGGAAATATTTATGAGAGCAAAAGAGTTCGTTACTTAAAAATACTACTTCGAGCGAACAGAGAAGAAAGAAAATCAGCTTGTATGAAAACTTCACGCAAGTTTCCGTAAAGTGACGGGCACCCACAGAGGAAACCATGTAAATGTCGTAAACTAAACAAAAACGATCGCTCACCTTGTATAAAGAGGCGAAATAAAATCTTTGTTGTCATTACTGCTCAGTGTGCACTGTTAAAATAGATGTTCCAGATGCTGAATAGTGCATACACCGGTTGCTGTAATCACTTTTCGTCGCCATGTTGAATCGTTTCGCTATAGTTAGGCTTGATATGTTCGTAAGCTATCCAGCGAACGCCAGACACTTGAAATCTGACTGAGAGAATATGGCATTTGATCATAGGCACTGGTGCTCATCTTTTTATCATTCAAGTTCTCGCATTTCCCTCTGCTATCTTGTTTACAACCTGTTAAGGAGAATTATTTTCTCTTAATGGTCTGTTAATGTGATATAAGAAATCCTTGTGTGGCAAAATTTTGTAGAGCACGTTTTCCTTTGGAACTTAAAGTGATTAAAATATTAATTCTTATCTCAATATAGGAATGGTAAATATTCGGTCTGATATGGTCTACCAAACGTCATTCTGTTTGAAGAACAAACAGGATAGTCAAAACTGACAGAAACTAATTTAAAAGATGAATTTTGTCAAAGACGGAGAATTAGGGATGTTAGAATTCTGTGAAACTTTGAATAAGGATAATTCTAAGAAAAGTTAAAACATTTGGATTCCCCATTTAAATGTTGTTGTCAGGAAGTGAAGAAATCATCATTTCCCGAAAAGAGAGAGAGGAATTTTTCAAGCAAAGAATTTATTTTACAAGTCAGAATAATTGCGGTAACACCCACTTAGTGAAAGTTGTCGATTTCCGGTCACGCACTCAATCCAGCAGTCCTGTCCAAGTTCATCATCTTTACAAATCTAACGTGACTACTGGTTCTGCTGTCCAGTGTACATAGCGTATAGGGGTTTATAGAAGCAAATGGGCTCAGAAATAGACTGAAAATTGCGAGTCAAAGGCGAGCGGTTTATAAGCCTTTTTGGAGAGGTCTATCGAAACCCCAAGTACAGTTACGTAATTTGCTGAACCGATCACGGAAAAGCTTTTAAATGTTCATTTGTTAGTTTTTGTTTTCTGTGCCTCTTTAGAATAACCAATTTCTGACCAATCAGAGCACTACTGTGCAAGCAGGCCCAAGTTTTAATGAGGTGCGGCGAGTCAGACTCTTATTAGTGCCAGACCCCCGACAAACCTACCCCCGACTGTCTCAAATCAATGGCTACAATTGTAGCCAGCGCTGTAAATGACGGATTTGGAAATTAAATTTATTTTTCTCTGACGAAGACGAAATTATTTTGCTTGTTTGTTTTCTCTCATATCGGCTGTTCTCAACTTCTCAATTATGAAAAAATTGAGTGAAGTTTTTGCGCTTGCAAAAATTTTCTTTTGCAATATTATTCATCCCTGCTGTCTCCGAAAACAAATGTTTTGGTGAAATTCAAAATGGAATCATGGAAATTTTTGGGTTACGTGGTGGATTAGGAGAGAGCGAGAGCCCAAACAATAAGCCATAATTAAGGTTCTGACGTGTTCATTGTTAAAATGGAAGAATACTTTTGATTCTGGGATGATTATCATCAAAGCCTTTTCTATTTTCTTTCTCTAGCCTTTACAGAGCATGGCTGCATGATATATCAAATCTCCGGGGAACCATACAGTATAACAAAACAAGCAACAACTGCAAGCCAGGGCAGCACGAAACAGTGAAATATTGCGCTTCTAGTGGCAAGTGAAACACCCAGATGTTGAGATTAAAACTGAACTCTACCAGCGAAGATTCCTCGTCGATTCCTTTGACAAGCGAATACCCATTAGCTGTGAGAAGTTTTGAAGAAGTGATCTTTGAAATTATCATAGGTTGTGTTTTGTGTCTGCTTGGCGTAACAGGGAACGGCTTAGTTTGTTATGTCATACACCGGAGCCGCTACACAAAATCTTCGATGTATTTCTTTATGGCACAGCTTGCTGTAGCAGACATCCTTGTCTCATCGATCTCAATACCTCTGACTTTGGTCTCTACGTATCCAAGACCGCTTCTTCTGCTTCAAGGCGATATTCCCTGCAAAATGGTTCGTTTCCTGCAGTACCTTCTTCCGCCTGCATCTGTAAACATCCTAACTGCCACTGCAGTCGATAGATTCCTCCTTATTTGTTACCCGCTGAAGTTTTTGTATCGAACGAAAGTCAAATTCCTCGCAATTTTCTGCTGGGTGTCCGCAGTAATTACTGCAATGCCAGTGCTGTATCTGGTAAATTCTCGTCCCGTTACGCTGAACAATGAGGTTTACAAGTTCTGTGCCATAAAGGAAACATCCTCATTTCCCAAACTTGGTTCAACTTATTTAACAGTTCGAGGAATTTTGGCATTTCTTTTTCCTCTTTTGATAATCGTACTACTTTATTACAACATTTTAAAAACAGTATGGAGGAAAAACACCATCAAGAGCCGAAAGCGACGAAATGTGATCAAGAGTTTGGGTTTGGTTGTTTGCGCGTTCTTTGTGAGTTGGGCTCCATTTTCAGTCATATCAAAATATTCGATCCTCGTAGAAAAGCGATACGACACAATTTCCAGAGCTGAATTAATAACATTTTGGATTGGTCTGTCAGCATCTGCGTACAACCCTGTTATCTATGCATTTTACAACAAAAATTTTCGAGACGCTTTTCGCGACGTTTTTCTTCGTAGAAAAGAGAGGAGAAAAACTCCAGTTACCTTTAACCCTAATGTGAAAGCTATGAAAGAAGTTGTGGAAGGTACTATTCCTGACTTGAAATCTGGTGCACCTATATTGCTTAAACACGTAAGGGTTGCTTAATAACTTCAAAAAATTCGAAACCAATGAAAAGCTTCAGTTTATTTCCTTTCTGAGAAGTACAACTCACGTTTGAAAAGTTGAGATTTTTAGGGTTTACAGCTAGGGACACAGGAAAGTTTAAATAAAAGGCGGTGAAAATTTGCCATGCTTCTAATGTTGTTAAAGCCGGGTATCTCTTCAATCACCTCAGTCGTCATCGTTTTTTAATCCGCCAAACACCTGCAACAAAAAAAAGCCTTCTAATGCAAAGGGCCCTCAAACAACACACATAACAACAGAACACGTCGCTGTGCAAAACACAGAGATTCTATATTTGGGGTTTTTATTGTAAATCAAAAGACACGACTCCAAGAACAGACAAAAGACAACGTCGTGCGTGATACTGGAAAAAATGAACTAATTAAGTGGATTGAAGCAGAGGATTTAATGGATGAATAGGTGGTCAACCCTGTTGACTAATGGTCAGGGTCATTGTGGCTGACAAAGGTAGTTAATGATGTCGAAATTATACGTCAAAACTTCATTTCATTAGACCACTTAAAGTTTGGCGGTGATCAACGGTAATCAACGCTTATCACCTCCTCATACGATCAATACGTGACCCGGTGGCAAACAATTAAGAGGAAAGACTAACTGGTCAACTTAAGGTGTTATAAGATTTCGACATAAAACAAAGCTCCCTTGGAAATATGTCGCGCTTTTGAAGGAGATGATTGCCACACAGATTGAAAGAATTTGAAACTAGGAGTTTACAGAATAAACCCTCGTGAACACCAACCTTGCTCGGTACCAACTGCTGTTCGACTTGAACTTCTGCAAAGGCAACAGTTATCACGAGGTGATAAGTTTCAACGATTAAGACTTATGACAAGACTTTCTAGTAATTCTTCGTTATTACTTCGCTAAATTTCTTCAATTTTTCCGTATCCTTCTGACAGCCTCGCCGCACTTTTTTGCGGATCCACAGCAAAGCGCCAGATGGCGCCCACAAAAAAGGCCGCTAAGCGTGTGAATCCATGGCCTGCAGACCGAGATCTCGGCAATCTGGCATCCATTATATAAGTTCTTCATAAAACGACGACGAAATCTATTTCCTTTAAAACTATTCAGCTAGCGCTCCCAAAAGAAGTGTTTTAAAACGTTGAGCCTGTATGCCTCTTTTAAGCATTCAGGATACCAAATTTGTATGGCGTGAGGTGAACTTGAACGTTACAGCCTGATCAATGTTCGCGACTGAAAACTGATTTACAAAATTGCAACGAGACTCTAAACGAGTCACAGCTCTTGTCTCGCCAATCAGCTCGCACAGTATTACAAGTGTGATAAACAGTGGATCCTCCATGATGTGGGCGACCTCAGGAGTTAAAAAGTCTTCCCTGTATAAACAGGTCCCTTCGATGAGGGCCGAACTTAAAAAGGTGATATAGGAGTATTTTTAAAGTTCGTGTCTTTCGTAGGAAGACGTCCTCTTGTTAGAGGTGCCTCATAAAGAGCCCCCCCCACGTGATTAAATTATAGAAACACCTTTACCCTCTTCATCTCTGTTCTCATCCTCGTCGTCGTCGTCATCATCATCATCAATGTCGATCTCTTCGGGGTTGGCAACTGGTTCATTGTTTTCATTATCGCCTTGACTTGTTTCAGCCCTGAAAGATACCAAAAAAGAACTACAGTGAGCCGACTTTATGGAACTCAAATCTTTGGCATTTGAATTCTAAATTAAGCATGGCATCATGATTATCAAACTCAATTTCACCCTCACCTAACAAACAAGACTTTCTCCTTCAACTTGGCGGCTACGTCTGTCTTAGCCTTAGCTGCTGCCACAGCCTGAGCCTGCTGTTCTAGTAGCTGCATGTCATCGGACACAGCCTCTTCTGTTCCTACTTAATCAGATGGAAAATAAATCGAATTTAGGGCAGAAAATGTGAGATCACCGAGAAAAACCATCAGAACAAGGACAAGAATTAACACTTGGAATCCAAGAGGAGTCGTTGATACAATTGAATATTTAGCATCAAACTTGGAAGCCTCACTTAAACAACATACCTGCCCCTGCAGATTTGCTAGCAGCCGCTGCCAACATTTGCGCAGACATGAAATTGACCTGCAAAAATAATTATAAGCAGTTGTTATCTGATCAGTCATTCGAAGGACTTAAGTACACAAATATCTCTTTTCGTAACTGGTTTTCATGTGACTGTGTCCCGTGTGAGTGATTCACTGAAGTGACAATAATAATGGCGTCGTTTAAAGAACCCACTGACCTGAGTATTAAACTGAGCCTGCACGCTCCTCTTAATACGTAACATTTCTCGGAAGGTATCTTCGTTTCCATGGCGAACCTCGAAGTCATGCCACACTTTCCAGAAAGTTGGAGTGGTCTGGAAACAAACGAAAATCATACTTTTAGTCTCAACTTTGATAAATAAAAAACACACTACAACGATATAAGAACAAACCCTTGGATCAGCCATTTGTGAAGAGTGCATGTAAATAGCTCTGGCTCGGTCAATTTCTCCCAGTTTGCGCTCAAGGTCGGCAAATCTGATGCACATCTCCCTGAAAAATTAACAAAACCGGATTGGCGGGCTTCTTAATCACTCGCTTCAGTGGGAATACGCTTGACTCCGGACAACTCCAGTGTATCTGAGCACAAACTAGGTATTCCAATAGGTTTCTAAACAAAACCTTGCAGTTAACTAGACCAGGCAATCAAAAGAAAAACTAGAATAAACCAAAAAATCTCCACCTGAAAACAAAATATGTAAACAAACTAACAATGTTTTGGCAATACTACTAAAACTTTAATAAAATGACAGATGAAGACAATTAACATTTTCTAATGTTAGCCATGGCTTGCGTTGGACATCTGACTCTGAAAAGGTGACTTGATATCTAATTTTACTCGTTCAAGGAAAACATTATGCTGGGTTCAAATCTGTTTAAAAGAAATTTACCTGGCTTGTTCGTCTGGTAGCACTTCAATCGCTTTTTCATAGATTTCACGCGTGTGGGTGACACCGAAAATCTCCGCAGCTTGCTTGATATACAAGTTGAACATCTACGATGACACAACAACGAAAAAATAAAAAATTGAAAGATTGCTTGTATTGGAAAAGTAGGTTCAAGAGACTATCCAATCTCCAAAATGGCGGCTAGGAGTAAAAATTCACCATGAAAAAAAAAGCAGTCTTAGTGGTAACAATGGATTGGTCTCAGCTGTAAGTATTTTTAGCCAGTGCAAACTTAGTAAGCTTGAAATAACACGACCTGGGGATAAAATATATCAGTCCTAAGAAGCTGTATTGTTTTCATATTCAAATTACTTTTTATGTGCTGACCCAATACCTTATCACCTTTCCAACTATTTTCCAGATGTCACATAATGCTTTTCGTTATGATTACATGTCCCAAATACTGGTTGCTGAGAGTTTCTTCGGTGCCTAGTTTTTAAAACTAAATGTGCTCAAACTCGAAAGTGTAATGAAAATTTCAACTTTGATTACAGAAAATAGCAATCTTCTTAATTCATACCTCAAACTGCTCCTCTGGCAACACTGCTTTGGTAGATCTCTCGTAGATTGACATAGCGTGACGGGCAAGACCATGATTCTCTTCGAGTTTAGCGTACAGTAAATAGAAAGCTGGAAAGGAAAATGTTCAAAACGTACAGAGGTTTGAGGGTAACGTTATAAGGGAATAAAAAAGTAATGGAATAAGACCGGAATAAATTCAATCTTACATTTAGCGAATTTGGCAGGACAGCCCTCAAGGACTTGTTCAAAGAGGTCTCGTGCACGCTCGAGTTTTGCGCCTCCCTTGGAAAAATGAAAAAAAAAAAATAAATGAGCAAAAGTTACCAAGTAACCAACAAACCAATACACAGAACTGGGGGATAAAATACGAGAGAGCAATTCAAGGAAATAATTGAGCCAAACCTTACCAATAATCTACTAATCAAAACAAACGATTGAACATTCAATCAAGTTAATAAATATTCCTGGTCTTTAAAATAGCTTAGCAACTAAAAGTGACCAAACAGGAGAGTAACATAAAAATTATTAACCCACTGAAGATACCAAACTTACATATCTTTGAATAAACTTTGTGAGGTAGGTATTCCAGATATCAAACACATTCGGCCACTTGAACATCGACACTCCCCGCTCATATATCTAACAATACAAAATATACACAAGTATTATTTTGTCGTATAATTTGCAAGATACTTGTACGTCGTTTATAATACGTGTGCCTGGACTGTTTCACTAAAATACTCAACACTAAAAAAAAAATACTCAAATACTCAACTCAAGGATTACGAGCGCGCTTATAGGATTTAGCGTATGAACTTACCCATTTAAAAAACTTCCCACAGCTATTCAAAGTTCCTATCTTAAAAGTTTGGAAAAATACCTTGCCGTGCAGGGAGTTAGAATTTATTGTAAACACAGATTTAAAAAAGACTACTACATGACGTATTCGCTGGCCAGCCTTCCTTTTAATTCTCATAACAGTTGTTTGTTCGATTCCAATTCTTTTTACCTCTTCGCACGAAACGGCAAAGAAATGTGACCAGTCCGTCGAGTTTTACTGACCTTGAAAGCTTCCTCAAAGTAGCGATGTTCCTCAAGAAACGTACCAAAGTTGATAATAATCTGAGGAGTTGCTATCCGCAGATCTAGAATGCGATTATACACAGCTTTGGTGGACTGAAAACATGTACAAATAATAAAAAAAAAGTTTGAGAAACGTAATAAAGCAGGCATCTTGAGACATCTCAAGCAAGCTTTCACATGAAAAAATAAAAAATAAAAAAAAAAGGTTTGAAAATCAAATGCACATGATAGTTGTTTGAATTGCTAACAACCTTTACGTATACAACTTTCTCGACACTGGTTAAAAAAGCGAATCGAATGAGTGAATGCGTAAGCTTGGTTGTCGAACGAGGAAATATTTGATTTTATTAGCTGCACGTGCGTTTGCATCAGCAGTTACACATACGTTTGTAATTGTATCGCATGCGTGATACGCTTTGCAACTTTATCTAACAAGATCGATAAAAACGAGACGTTGCCATGGTCACCTGAAATGTGCCTAGGCTCTCCTCCAAGTCTGCATACATGGACCACAATTTCAGTGACTTGTAGACTCGTTTTTGAACAGTTTCACTCTAGTAAATAACAAATAAAGAAATAACAAATTAGTTTTTATTGATAAAGTTTTACTGGCACATTACACTCTGACGTGCTGAGCCACTCACCTCATCATAGTAATCAGTTTTAGTAGAAGGCATGGCTGTAGCTCGTCTCATCAGATTAAGGGCTTGCTGATAATTTCTTCAAGTTGTTGTTAAAAACCAAAAGAAAAATGTGTTAGACTAAAACTAAAGAATAGACACTGTTAGCCAAATGTGGCAAGAAGAGGCTTTCAAACGAATGCCTTACAAAAGCATGACAGCAAGGCTGGACACTGGTAAATAACACGTTAGTCGTTAAAATATATTTAAAATCGCTACTTTATTGTTGTTACATTTTGAAAAATCTAACCTAACTTTGTCAGGTTCGATATTTAATCCAAAGTGTTCTATCCCATCCTCAACCATCTTTGTACTTTACTACTCCCTCTTTTGTGTTTTTTGTACGTTACCAATGAAACTAATAGTTTCCTTTGAGTTGTAGGCAGTCTTATACAAAGCACAAATATTGCGATGAACACAACCAATTTGTTATGTACTCAACAGTTTTCTTAAGGGGATACGCCGTTTTTCTTGAATGGAGCCCACAAAATTTGAATCCTTCTGGTATTTTCCCTCTAAGATGGCAACAATACCACGACCTTTTGGATTTCGAGGTTTATGCAAAGGCTGCCAGGAAAAACAATATTAGAATTCGGAATCCTGCCATCTTAAGGCTAAAAACTCCCTTAAAATAGAATCAATGGTCGTTTGTTTGTAATTGGTCTGCTTTATAATTAGTTGATGAGCTTATGTAAAACACATTTTTATTCACACAATTAACATAGCATCTAGTGCAAACTCTCCAAAGTTAAAATGTGTTGGAAGCAATTTCCAACCTCTTTTGAATATTTTTTCTATTTCCACTCTAAGGACCATACTTACTCATGTCTGATTTCCATCTCACTAAACTCACACCACACACTCGCCAAATCATCCACCTTGCGGTAATTCACTTTAGTAGCCTTGTCAAATATAACTCGTGCCTCAGCTAGTTGACCATGCTGCTCGTAGAACTTAGCAAACTCCACCCACAGGGTATGGGGCTTGCCGGATGCTAGCTTTGGCTCCACTGTCTGTACAGCCTCTGTGTATGTGTTGATGATCTCTTTGGGTTTTCCCTCATACAGTTTAACTCTTTTGTGCCACTCATGGACATTGTGAGGGTTTTGACGTAAAAGGACACTAAGACAAAGTTTAAAATGGGAAAATACTCAGAATGATAACCACAAAGAAAATACATCCATACAAACAATATACAGCCATACATTTGTATGTTTTACCATTCCAAGCAAATGTCACATGCGAGAGGGTTTGAAAAAGTCTTACAGTTCAAAGTGATGGGAAAATAAATTCCATGTTCTTCACAGGGAAGTTTTGCTAGTATTGATAGCAAATCAGGCTTTTTATCAATTAATCTTGCCTAAGAGTAACACACCAAAAGCTAAACTGTGAGAGAAAAATGCACATGATGCTCAAAAAAGAGAAAGACCAATTAGTTATGGATGATAATCACCGAAAAACTGTCAAAAATATCCATCAAAAAATACTGTTCGATCATCATGGAGAGAACTTCCAGACAAAACTTACTTTTTCTCTCAAAAATGCATGTTTGTGCACACTCAAGGTTACCTTTATCACATACCTGCTCAGTAACAGTGGCCTTCTGTCCATCAAATGTTCAAATCTTGCCATTCTAAGTTCCAAGTCAATGTCATCTGATTATGAAGACAAGGAGGCCATGATAATTTAAGGTAGAAATTAACTAGCAAGTATTAGCTACATGTTAATCTCACTTGCAGTAACAAATACCCTACACAATAACAATATCATTGTACCTTCTTCACTAGGACCCATCTCTGATGTTGTTTCCATCTTGGCACTGATCATACTTTCCTCAAACTGTGCATAGGCATCAAAAACCTAAACAATCAATAACTACATAAATCAAAAGTCAATCTCATTGGTCATCAGACCATCGTGGGGAATTAGGTCAAAAACAACTCTTTGACTATTCTCTCCAAAACATTCTACAAATATCCATGTGTAAGTGAAGAATGGAACATCAAATTCAGTCTACAGTACAAGTCACTATCTCCAACACATTTCAAGGGTGGAACAATGAAGTGAAAACAGGAGCTGAGCAGTGCTGTTGACAGAAAACTACAGGTTGGAATGATGTGCAGTACCTGACCAAAGTCTCTAACAGTCATAACTGTTTGAATAGCTTCCTCATAAACATCTCGCGCCTGAAAAAAAAAAGATATCCACATTACACTGTCAAATATCTTGACAGGTAGGTTTACAAAGTATATATTTTTAATTTAATGCTTTTATAAAAGAATTTGTGTAATAATCTAAATTGTTTTGTTAAACAATTTAAAATTTTTCACACTTGTTATATTGTAATTTCTTGTTTCCTTGTGTACTTGTTATCATGTAACAAATATAATGTTTTAACAAAATACATCACAAATTCTTGAAAAAAAAAAACCAATAGCAGAGGCTTCACCTTTTCAAAGTGTCCACTTCTTATAAAAAAATCAGCCAATGAATTCCAAAGCTGTCCCAAACTGTCAGAAAATCGCCGCAAACCTCCACGGATAATGTCAGTAACTTTGAGACTCTTTATCTAGAGATAAAATAGTAATCCATCCCAAGTGTTACAGAGAAGAGCCTGATCAGGTCATCCATGGGAGATTTCTTTCAAATCTGGTTACTTAAATTTCCTTACCTTATCAGGGTTCTTAGAGATAAGGTCGCAAAGTTCTTGCCAAAGCTGAAAAAGAAGTAAAAATCTCTGGAAACTATTGCAATTGAGAACTAAAACAAATGCTGTTTATGAAATTTTCTCCCAGCTTGTTATAGAGCAAAGGTCTTAAAGTTTGACAACTACCAAGATCACCAACAAACACCTAAGTAACCAATCCTATTACAAGAAACACACCACTAAATTCCATCTAAACTCTCTGTACTCTTTGCATAAGCACTGATTGGAAAAATTGAATTTTATTGGAATTATTTTCATTTTGATTGGTTACTTAAAGTTACTATAGTAACAGTCTATGGAGAGAAACTTGCTGATGTACTACCTTGTGGTTTGATTTTCCTTCCTTGGACACAAATTTTTCCTGAAAAATACAAGCAAATAAATATTAGTATAATCTATTAAAGGGGATAATTTCCTAAAGAAACTGTGGTATTGTGTTGGTGGTGGGTATTCGTGTTGGATCAAGTGGTTTTATCAATTAAGTTACTAATGTAAATTGGCCCACACAAAGAGTTTCTAAAGTTAATATTTAGAGCATCATCTCTTTCAAAATTAGTATAATGGGATTGTGCTATTCAACTACGCTGTATTGTTTTTGTGTCATAGGGTAACATAACTAGTAGCATTGACCAATACCTTGTTAACAATGAAAGCGAGTCGTGTTGCTGCTTCATCCAGCCATCCAACAGACTTCAAATAATCAATGTAATCTTCTGTGTTTTCTGGCTCCAACTTTTTTAAACAAAAATTTACAAAATAGATTTCCTCTTTATCTAATTTTAGACTGTCTCTTAACACCATACTATATTATAACCACGATCACAAGCAACAATCTACAGATCACAAGCTAGGAAATTCTAGGAAAGATTCACAGGAGCAACTCAATCTGAGCTAAACAAGAGGCAAATACATGTACATGTAGAGCAGAATTATAACTATTTTACTGTATTATCAACTTAAAGTGAAAATTTCCTCACATGATCTCTGCCATTTAGCTTTGACAACACAACATGATTTAAAGCAATACCAAGACAAATATCAATGAAACCTATGATTGATTTGAAATGAATATTTACTCTGTCCATCATTATTGACCACAGATATAAAATCTTTCTCTCAGTTGTATAATGTGCAATGTCTTCCTAATTGGCTTAGAAAATCTCATAATTGTTTGAAAGAAGTTGAGTGAACAAACCTTTAAGTATCTTCGGTAGACTCTGACTGCTGTCTCAGGAATGTGGTACTTGCGAACAAACTTAAGATACAAAGGCCAGATCCGACGGTGTTGTGTTATTGGCAGTGCCCTCAATGCTCTGTCAAATGTGCGCCTTGTTCTTGTCACTTTACACTGATCCACTAAAAACTGACAATAGTCTATCCAGATCCTTGGCATCTAGCAATTGTATAACTATCAGTAAGTATTGACAACACAGTTTCTCTTAGTAGAATTTAAAAGATTCCAGCATTAAAAAGCCACATGAAATAATAAAGGAGTAGGAAATGTCGTCATCTTGAAATTAAACGACTTTTATATTTTGAAATCTACTTGAAATAATAGACAGGAGTAGAAGCCTTGTGCTGGGGTCTGTTTTAATCATTGCATTTTAAATCATCAAAATTGAGCTTTCTACATTTTTCGCTGAAGTTGCTTGAGATTCAGCTCACCACACCTTATGCATGAAGACAAGAGATCTTTCAAATGCATTGTTTATGTCCTCATAAGCAGGGTCTGTAATAGGCCTGAGGAGAAAATTCAGATATTAAAGTGTTCAGCTTTTACTTTGCACACATATTTTGAATATATGTTCAATTTGAATGATTTATGGAACACACTTCAACAAGATTTACATCACAGTTTAATTTTCCTCTTGATATCAGTTTAAACAAACCATGTTTGACATGATGAGAATTACTCCTCGATTTCCATTATTTTATCAAAAATATAATTTAAAAAATATTATTACTCCTACGAACCTCCCTCTGACTTGTCTTCTTCTTTCTTTCAAATACAGATACCAGATCTTGTAGCTGAAATAATTTAGGCAAAAAATATGATATTTAATAATAAGCATATTTTACTTTGAAAGTCCCACTAACACATACTTACCACCCTTTTCACATCTCAAGAGCATCTGCTTGGAGAGCATCCACTATGATATTTTGTTTATCTTTTGATTTAACCACAAGTGGACTATACACACAAGCTCAACCGTACCTTCCAGGAAGTTCCTTAAGAGATCGCTCATAGAGCAGATTCAGTGCTGTATTGGAGCCCTTTTTGGCCTTGTGCTCAATGTACCTGATCCAGAACTTCACAGAATAAGGACTTCGAATTATTTCCTCCTCATAGGGGAGGTCCTCTTCTTCCTGAAGCATAATTTTATGAAAGCGTCAAGAACTACCCCTGGCCAGACATTTCACGTAAATTTTTTTTCGAAAGGAAAAAGTTACTTTTAAAAGAAACAAAGACCTAAACACTGATTCACCTGTCCCATGACAATGTTCGTTCTTAAATTAGTAGAAATTAGAAGAAAGCAATCGTAGACTGTTTGTCAAAGTATTCCCCGCGACCATATTTTCTGCTGATCATGAGTTCTCATTACGAAATGTTGTAGCAGGAAATTAGATCAAAGTAAAAGGAAACTATTCTCCACATCTCCAGCTCAGGCCATCGAAAGTTAGATGGAGAAGTCTCCGATGAACATCCTCTCTTGCCATAGATAAAAGTAACGTGTTACATGAAATTTGTGCAGCATTGCTTGTTATGACAAACGTGTTAGGATACTTACTATGATAAGGTTGTTGGATGTCACCGGCATTGTAGGTCTCGAGAATCAGTTATATCTTTACACGATGTTGATTCCCTAAAAATTTTAAATCATGTGGCCAGATCTACCCCACGGAACTGTCTTCAGTACACAACAAATTCTTCAAAGATCGTCGCCATTACGAACATTCTGAGCCAGTAGTGTCAAATACTAGCGGATGTATTGAAATCAACATGCGTCTCAGCTTCCAGCTCAGTGAAATCACTCGGTTACCAAGCGAAAGGTTCGGTTCAGATCCTAAAACGAATATTGCGGACAGAACGAAAGGGCTCTAAATTAGCGTTTAGAATGAGTGATTTACCACCTGGATGGGAAGAGAAAAAATCTAAGTCTACTGGAAAGACCTACTACTTCAACAGAGGAACAAACGAAAGTCAATGGGAGAAGCCAGCAGAAAGAGCGAGTAATCAAGTTCGCGCTTCGCACCTTCTTGTTAAACACACGGAGTCTAGAAGGCCGTCTTCTTGGAAGCAAGAAAGGATTACGCGCTCTAAAGACGAAGCTTTAGAAATAATTAAAGGTATCATAAAATAAAACTCGGTCCCCTTTCAAAATGGTCGTGACTCTGTCATTGCACGCCTCAAGCAAAGAATTCACAATCTCGATGGCCTCGATTTTCGGAGATGGCAGCGCCCATTCCCCACCCCACTCTGCCCCGTGGGCAAATGATGAGAAACTTCACGAAAAAATATGGTTGTGTTAAACAATTAAAACTGGAGAAATACATTTCAATCAAGCTGCTTTCAAGAACTCTCATTTTAGAGTGAGATTATATATACAGTACCAGGGCCAAGTAGAGTTGCATTTAAGAGCAAAGCAACGGACAAGATCCCTGGGACTAACAAGAGTAAATTCCTATTTTCTGTGCCCTTGCTCTCCTTTGAAATGCTTGTATAGTCCATCAAATTTGTGGTCCTAGAGTCAAATTTTCCATCATTGCATAAACAAACTTCTTTGGAAAACAATGGCTATATATCTACTCCCTTTTCTTTTTGCAAAATTTTGTAGTTTTGACAGCCTCATTGTAATGAACCCTTTACATCCTTAATTTTGTCCCTCTCATAAATTTTGTACTAGTGCACTGAACTTAGCAAAATTTTGTGATGCCTGAGTAGGCAAAACAGAGGATAACACTTCCATTCAACAACAATAATTGACAAGAATCAGCTTCGTGCCAATCAGCCCAATGAAGTTCATCAAAGGCTAAGATCAACATTGTTTAATCAACTTTTAGTAACCCTTTCCCCCCCCCTTCCCCCTCCATCTCAAATAAGCAAGCTATGGATGACTGTTACTGTTGGCTGCATCAATATGGTTTTGTATTCTGACTAAGGTGCAAGTTCTCTCTTTTGTGTGAGGTCACCTCAATATGGTAACCACTCCTTGTTATGTCTTACAGATTATCGTAAACGGATTACATCAGGAGAAACCACTCTTAAGGAGCTAGCAAGCACAGAGAGTGATTGTAGCAGTGCTAGAAAGGAAGGAGATTTGGGATTTTTTGGACCAGGACAAATGCAAAGTAAGACAATACTATTTTTCTCTCCTATAACTTTAATGTGTTCTCTCCCTTGATGAAATTACTGAGACTTCACATGGTTGGACATAAACACTTCACCAGAGAGAATTTGTTGTTATTATCATGTATTTGAGGTCTCCAATGATGACTTTGATAGAAAAAAAAGATACTATAGTTTGAAGCACATCTGCAGTAGTGAGTGAAATAAAGCATCCCTAAATACTATATTTCCTGGAATAAGTGCCTGGGTGCTTATTTAAAATTTCTGCTAAAGGAGGGCACTTAATTGAGGGGGGTGCTCTTTATACTCCTGAAATGATGCCATTGTAGTTCAAGCTTTAAGAGTCATATGTAGAATGGCAATAGAAACAGGTTTTTCTTGTATCTAAACTATTTAGAAAATGAGGGAGGATGGGGGGGGGGCACTTATTTGAGAGGGGCGCTTGTTTGACATCATGGCTTAAGTAGGGGTGCTTATTTGGGGGAGGGCACTTGTTAATGCATTGGCACTTATTCAAGGAAATATGGTTTGCGTATATTGGTAAGAATAGGATTTGATTTCATAATTGTCCCATGAAACCTGTGGGGTGGCACTCTAACCAATGAGGAGCTGGCCTGCAGGTGATTAAAAGCATATATGAATTTGTTGATTTGTTTATTTTTTTTATTACTGAGAGGTGGGTCTGTTTCTTTCCTTTCAGAACCATTTGAGGAAGCAACGTGAGTATTCTCACTCCTTTAATAAACACAGATTATTTTCAAATTTCTGAGAGAAAGATAAGAATGGCTGATGAGGAATGAAATCTTTCAATAATTCTCTTCTCACCAGTAGATGGTATTTCTTTGTGTCCAGGTTGAAAGCGATATTGTCAGACTTTCTCCTAGTTTATATACCTCTATCTAAGGTGTTGAGAGAATTCTGGAAAGTCATGCAAACCTGGTATGCACATAGATTTCTCTCAAAATTTTTTTTCTGTTGCTTTATTGCTCTATTGCTCATCTGAACACAACTACTGACTGGTGAGAGGGAGTTGCTCATCATCTCCAGTATTTTAGAAGGCTGATGTGAAGTCTGTCTAAAGATCCCAGATGGAAGATTTTAGCCTTCTAAGTCATTTGAATCTGGTTTGTTCTAAACTGGTATAGTTTCAAATATATAAAACCCTAGTTTTCAAATAACTTCTCCCTTTGAATGGCACCTCATCTGCACTGGTCAGTTTCAGTAAATGGCTATCTCAGAAAGTAATCTGTATATTTTAATTAAATCTTTCAATATTACTCAATCTTTTTTCTTTTTTGCAGGTTTGCCTTAGAAATCAATGAACTGAGTGAACCAGTTTTCACTGACTCAGGTATTCACTTGATTCTCAGGACGGGATAAAGCAATCACCAAGTCCAAGAACAAAGTTCATATTTAAATAATCATGTAGACTTGCTAATATTACAAGAAAATGCCTTAACTTTGAAGCTTTCATTTGGCTACTTTTACCTTACATCATAAGTATTGGTTGAAGTTGTGTATGAACTAAAACACAAACAACCAGTTTGGAAATCTGCAGTCTAGATGAATAAAAAAGGTAACCATAACATCCACAGGGATGAAAATATTTTGTAAATTATGTTTAAGGATAGTTCTCTTTTCTAAAACACAATTTGATGGTTGAACTTAACATGTCAAAATGATCACTTCTTCAAAGTATTTCTAGCTTTCATTATTATGTTTCAGAAGTGATCATCCTATAATTTTCCTTTTCACAAGGCAAAAATATAATAAGTAAACTTCCATTAAATTCTAGGTTGCTTTATACCGGTCCATCAGATATATTGAGGTTTTATGCTTACCAGTTCCCACAGTAGTGTGTAATTTCTGACAGTGGGCTTTTCAAACAAGTTTTGTCACCAAATTCAACCTAATAATAACAGCTAATCAGCACTTGGGTAGATATCATGCTAAGCCAGTTGAAACTGATGGTAAAACCAGGCAAACTGTGTCTAGTGGTGATTGGTTTTAGTTTTGTAATGGATTAGTCATGTGTATTGTCTAAGTTTTCTTCACAAATTATGGAGCAACATAAACCAAAGGCATGATGATCCTACATAACTTTTGACACCCAATGGGCAATTTTTTTATTGATCTCCTTGTTGTGACTAACTAACACTGTGACTACCGGTAACTAATTGATATTAAGCTGATAAAGTAAGTGAGAGGCAGAAGAAGTGTAGAATCTTTATTATTAGGAGGATGAATTAAATGAGCTTAAAATTACTTCTAGGTGTCAATGAAGTTTAAAATAAAAACTACAGTTATTTACATCAAAGTACATGAACTGTAAGGTCCATGGAAACGATCCACCTCTTGACCAATATGGAAACAGATATTGATTACGTCACTTTATGGTGATTGAGTGACACCATGAATTCAGTTTGTGGCAGATATTTTTTATTACCTTTAACACTTTTTTATTACCTTTTATTACCAGCTTAACAAAGCAGAGATGTGATAGTCTGTAATTGTTAGTAGAATACTAGAACTAGTTCAATAAGTGTAGCCTCAAGAATTCATATTCTAGAGTAACTCAGATGTTCTGTTCTAGTTTTTTTTCCTTTGCATGTTCAAAAAAGTGGGATTCTATTGGATACAAGTAAAACTGAGCCAACTAACACAGAAGAGATTCAAGCCATGCAAAAAACTATAAAAAAAGCCTTGCCATTAGTTTCTGGCCAAGTTGGTGCAAATTTCATGCAAGGGGGGAGATTCTACCCGAGGGGTAAGATTCCTACCTTAAAATAACCTACTATGCCTTGCCCCCCTCCCCTGATAGAAACAATACACAAGAGAATTTCTTGATGCTGGATTTTTACCACAAAATAATTCTTGACAGAAAAGTAGAGATGGTAAGTTTTGAGCTCGGTGAAGAATTAAGAAAGATGTGTTTTCGTCTTGTCATGAGCGTGGGACAAAGAAAAAATTCTGAGTCCCCATGAGGAATCGAACCTCAGACCTTTGGATTTGTGCTCCGCTGCTCTGCCACTGATAAAGGTAGAGCATCAGAGTGCAAATCCAAAGGTCTGAGGTTTGATTCCTCATGGGGACTCAGAATTTTTTTCTTTGTCCCACGCTTGTGACAAGACGAAAAAACATCTTTCTTAATTCTTCACCGAGCTCAAAACTTACCATCTCTACTTTTCTGTCAAAAAACATTACGCTATTGACATTGCTGATCCTAGCAGTATGCAGGATGCATGTCATTAGAACTTCGTAGGAGACCCTGCTCACCGAAGAGTCTTTGTGGCTCAGTGGTAGAGCATCAGAGCGCAAATCCGAAGGTCTGAGGTTCGATTCCTCATAGGGACTCGGAATTTTTTCTTTGTCCCATGCTTGTGACAAGACGAAGAAACATCTTTCTTTAAATCTTGTGGACCAAACTTATTATATAACTTGATTGGACTCTTATCTTTCTCCTTAAAAACACAATCCACCCAACTTGACCCAACAAACATCTTGGGATAGCTGGTAGGCCATGGGCAGGGTGGTTCTTTCAAGTATTCACTGCTAATAGTAAAAATCTCAAATAAGTGAAATTTGTGTCTAGGGAAGGAGGAAAGAGAGAAAAGAGAACTAAGACTTATTCTTGGCTAACTTAAAAATGTATTTTCACCTGAAGTGGTCTCACTTGCACTAGCCACAAATTTCATACTCTGAAGATATTGTAAAATTCCTTCACTGTTTCCATGACTCTTTAGACAACTTTCAGTCATGGCTACAGTCAAGAAGACTGTTTCAGAATATTGCAAACATTATCATTAAATAGCAGTGTGGCTGTATGTCTCCTTTGTCATTGTTACAGGGTTTTCATTGGGAAATGTCATGGCAGGAGAATAATGTAAAAGATCAGAATAATATACTACCCATCTGAATGAAAAGTAATGCAAGCCATCTAAATGAAGCTGCACAATTCAGAATGGCTGTGTACCTAGAACAATCCTTGGTTATTTTTTACTCTCTAAATGATCATTACTACCTATGGATCTTCTTCATTTTCTGTATCTTTATCTGCTCCTCCTGTTTTAGTTTCTTTCAATTTCTCCTTGTCATCAGATTCTGTTTTTTGACGTTTGGATTCTGGTTCTGGTTCAGATGCAGTATCACTCTTCTTTCGTTTTGATTCAGCTGCTGCTTCCTTTTTACCTTTTTGTTCCTTTCTGAACACTATAAGGCAAAAAACACAAACTCAGAAAACATCACAGGTAAAAATTTACACATTTCAAACAACTACAACACGAGTTGATAACAAGAGCAGGGAATTAATGGAAGACATTTATTATCATGACTGCCATCCAAGAGTAATACACAAATAAATTCATAAATCCTAGATTTTCATGGTTCACACAGACTGAAGAAAATTTACTCATAAAAAAGATAAGTAAACTTTTTATACAGCTCAAGCAGTTTGTCCACCAGAGTTAATCTCTGTTCCTGTGCAATAAATGGCTTTGAGACAATATCCTCCTCTGGATGAAGTGCTAGTCCACTATAGATTACCCCCACTGTTTAAAGAATTCCTTAGTAATACGGTATTCCAAATCTAGTTTAGATTTTCCTTTTTATGTCAATTGATGTTTAAACCAATGACATTTAATGTTAATAGCATTGCTTTTTTTTCTTTATTTTTGATAATTTTTCTCTCTTCACTTAAGCAAAGAAGCAACAAAGAAACATCCATAGCAGAAATCTTCCAATTCTCAGGTGTTTAAAATACAAATTAAAGAAGCACTCACAAGCTAAGCTTTCTTTAAGAGGTTTAATGAACTGCTCAAATTCCATTTCCTCTAAAGCTTCAAATACATCAGGTGCAGTTAATGTCTTCCTCTTCTGTTTTTGTGCAAAGTTATTTGCACTAAGATGAAACAGAAAAAAATCAGCATTAAAAAAAATGGTAGTTTTTAACCAAGCTTAGACTTTTTAACTCTTTGTATTATTGGTACATAGACCTCGCAGATATTCTCCATAAAGAAACATATGGCAAAAGTATTTATACAGGAGTGAAACTAATCACAGGCTGATACAAGTAATATTAAATGCACCAAACTAATCAGATTTGATCAGTGTTAGTTCTATACCAGTTTTCTGGAAGTTAACCTCATGATGAATTCTGCAAAGCTCTCAACCCTCCCACTTTCTTTTCTATGCCCTCAAAAAAATTTAGAATAACTTAGACTTATTACACACCATGATGTAGCATAGAGAACAAAGACGCTGGCAGCTTTTCCTATGGCAGTTCTGGCTTCTTTGGATATGTTAACATTTTCAGGGAGCTGGAACAGAGAGAAGTTCATTAGTTTGCAATCTAGGACAGTGCGATCACTCTCGCATCACTTTCAGCTATTTTCAGATTTTAGCAAAGTAGTTGCGACTGGAAATGTCCCACATTATAATGTTTAAGGTTAATAATCTTACAGCATCTTTTGCCAGGCGTGAAATAACTGCGTTAGGAAGATTCAAATCTTCTGGTTTTTCTGCCATTGTTCAAAGTTCTGAAAAAGAACACAATCGCGAGACATCAACAACGCTATCGTCTAATTAAGGGCTAGTCTAAAATTTACAGCTACTTGGATCAACAAATCTCATCCCTTTGACACCGTCAGAATCGTATGTATATTTTAACAAGTAACTCGACAGAAACTTGGTAATTCCGAAAAAAACTGATAAATTCAGGTATCATTAGTTCGGCTCAAAAAGGGTCACGAGCCTTGAATTTCCTTACAGATCAGAATCCCACTTGCAAATCCTTCTCTCTCTCTTCTTCGCTTTTCCCGCGAATCTTAAACCTCGAGACTGCAGCCACAAATTAATACTTGATCCCATTGGCTTAACTCGAACAGATCTGCCCAATGAAAATTCTTCTTATATATATAAGAGAGCCCGTGGCATCGTAATTTTGTCATCCAGCGGGTATTAAAACATGCTTGGAGTCTGCGCCAATTGAGCGTGTCCAATCCGTTCTCTTCCTTCCCTTCCCAGCTCCATCTCTATACAGTATTTGTGTCAATATTCACTTTAGAATCTGTCTTTTCTTGATGATAATCGGTGACGGCTGGTATTTTTGAGACCGGTGATAATTTAAATCTCCTCTAGGTAGGCAACCTCTTAAATTAGCTATGCCAAAAACTACTATTTATTATTTCATTTCTATAAAAATAGCGTCCCAAACTTGTTTTAATAGATCATCTCTAACATTTTCATCTTTCAGTATCTGGAATTAACTCAAGCATTCTCCTCGAACTTGAGCAACAGAGGAAATAATATGAGTAGCTCAGAAGAGGTGTCGTGGATTTCTTGGTTTTGTGGTCTTCGTGGTAACGAGTTTTTCTGCGAGGTACTAGCCTCAACTAGTGTCACATTTAATAAGCTTTTTTTATAATTACACCACAGGGAGACTTGAATCCGATGTAATTCGTCCGGAATAGGACATACTCTACAGCATATATTGTGCTTATTGTGCTTACTTGTTTGATTTTGTCACATCATTTGATTTAAAGCCTCAGTACTAATTTGTGAACAGCAATAAGAAATTTAAGCCATTGTGAGTTATTTCTTGTAACCTTTGTCTGTAAATCTGTCATTTATAATCTGCAGTTGATGTTTGTAATGAAACTACTTTACCTTGACTACCATCATGTGCAGAGATTTCCCTATAACCCCAAATTGTTCTGAAACAAACTGGTAGTCCCAAAGGCAATCTATTGTTTTCTATTATCCAACAACTGTTAACCTCAATGAAGGAAAAGTTTTAAACAGAAATCTTGCCCCATCAGGCCATCAGAATGTGGTGAGCAAAATATGAGGTGGTGGGATCAGCGATTTCATAAAATAGGAAAAGACTGCTGTCTTCCTAAAAAGTTGGTTGTATTTAACAGGTTTTCCCAAGGCAGTTACTAAACTAGATATTAGTGACACTATAAGTTTCTAAAATTAGAGGAAGGGATATTGATATTAACAAAGAAGAGTCATGTCTTACACAACTAAAACCTCATTTTAGAAAATTCTTGATATAATTTAAGGAAAATGTGTATAACATCCTTTACTTTACAAACATAACCAATGATCCATCCACAGTGCCCCAAGTTGCCATCATTTTGGCATCTAAATATACACTTATGATTGCAATTTTGCACCCTGTACCATATATAGTCTGGGTTTATCCCTTATCTCTGTTGTAGTACAAGTCATTTCATCACTGCCACACTCAGGTCATCAAATTAAGGACTTTTGCTTCAAATTTTGTTGCTAAATTTTGGTATATACTTGCTGTACCAACCTAAAACAGTTGCAGCTTGAGGAATTGTGTAAATTCTGGTTTTCAGTTAAGTTGGCATTCTCAGTAAAAATTTTTGTAACTACTAACAACTCCTCTTCCCTGATAATGACCTCCACTATGGTTGTCAAAGTGATTTTCTGATTGTTTATTGCACTGCTCCTATGTCATTGATTTTTAAAACCATTTACCGTCTTGCTTAGTACTGTGACGACTCTTTTTTATGCAAGGTTGACGAAGATTACATCCAGGACAAGTTTAATTTAACTGGATTAAATGAACAAGTGCCACATTACAGGCAGGCCTTGGACATGATATTGGACATGGAGCCAGGTTGGTGAAATTATTTTATCACCAACATGTACACTTTAGCTTTACCCTGATGGTGAAATTTGATCAGTCAATAGGGTTTACCGAAATTTCTGTTGTAAACAGTCTTAAAATTATTAATATAAATGTATATTATAAGGTCAGCTAACTCATTCTTGGAAAGGATGATTTTTGTAACTAAGAGCAAATCATCAAATTTTCCTGATGAACACTGCATCCCAATGACCAAGATGAATCTTGGAAAGTCTTACCTTCCCCACCTCTACAACTTGGGTGAAATTTTCTATGTGTATATGAACAAAACAAAATTGTACTGCCAAAAGATCCACCTGTAGAGTCAGGGCTCATATTAAGAGAGAATATAAACTAATCATGATGTGTTTTAAATTTTTTATTGTTTTGTCAACAGATGATGAATTAGAAGATAATCCAAATCAAAGTGATCTGATTGAACAGGCAGCAGAGATGTTATATGGTCTCATTCATGCTCGTTATATATTAACCAACAGGGGGCTTGCGCAAATGGTAAGTATTGTAAGTTGTGCTGGCCATCTAGTCTTACATAGTATTTTAAATAAAAAGATTGTGCTAAGTGCTTGGTTTAGTTTTTCCAGTATGATTACAATTTCAAGAATATTTCAAATGGTGGGTGCTTCTCATATATCAATTGTTTTTACATAAAAGTGTTTCCATGACTTGTTAGTACTTGAGATATAATATCTGTTTTTTAAAACATGTCATCATCTGAATGCAGGGAGATTGAAAACAAGTAGATTAGGCTCCTTGCATCATCTAATGAATTTCCACCAAAGGCAAAGTGAATATGGTCAAATAATCTCATTCGAGAAGTCAAGGGATTACATGTATACAAAAATATTTTCTGAACCTCAGGAGGATAATTTGTGCAAGTTCCAAGGTTATTTTACAGGCAGAAGTATTAGAAAAAAATGCATGAGTAATTTTTGTGTAAATTATGTCTCTGTATATAGATAAACTGTGTGTGGAGTGAGTATTATTAAGTTATGTAAGAAATGAGGTAAGCCAAGAGTTGTCAACAAAACCTTGTACATGTACCACCTGACCAAACCTGCTGGCCAGTCTGCCTTTCACCTCATTTTACTAAAAGTGCCATTGATGAATCATGCCATTATTGAAAAACAATCAATCAGAATTTGCAGAAAGGTTCATGTAAGCTTGGCAGAATGTTTTGGAATGAATAATATCTGACTTATGTACAGCCCTGTAATCTGCAACCAACCTTAACTCTTTCATAACTTGTGCTATTCTACTAGATCTTAATAAACCATATGTTTAATGTATTTTGGGTGCCTTGTAGGATTATCATCACAATCCTCCTTCTGACCACTCTGCAAATTGCTGTGAACATACTGAATGCCAACTTAACTTTGCATGTTCTTAAACACAGCTTGAAAAATACCAGAATGGTGATTTTGGACACTGCTGTCGAGTGTACTGTGAAAATCAGGCAGTCTTACCCATTGGTAAGTTCGCAAAGTTGAGGCTTGGGTATGTGTAGTATGTTATTTTTCTCATTTGCTTCAGTATGTTATCATGTTGTCAGAGCATTCTTTGCAAAGCTCACTTTCTTTTGTCATCCATAGGTTTGTCTGATGTTCCTGGGGAGGCAATGGTCAAACTTTACTGTCCAAAATGCATGGATGTTTACACACCAAAATCATCTCGACATCATCACACAGATGGAGCATACTTTGGGACAGGTTTCCCTCACATGCTGTTTATGGTACATCCTGAGTACAGACCAAAAAGACCAAACAACCAGTTTGTTCCAAGGTAAAGTGTTGTAATGAGTGTGCAAGACTGTTTAGATGAGTAACAATATTCAGAACCTTGAGGGAAAAAAGCAGTAACTACAAATTAAACTGTGTTTCACTTTGAAAAAACTAATAAACCAATCACATAAAATTTAAAAAATATTTTCTCAAGGAGAAGGGTAGGCTTTGTCAGTTTATTTTGGTTTTGTTCGAGTCAGTACTTCTTACCTTTTTTTTTTCTTTGTTTTTTTTTGTTAGGTTGTTTGGATTTAAAATTTCACCCATGGCTTACCAGATCCAGGAGAGAGCAGCAGCTCAGAGAGGACGGTCTGCATCAGCACGTCCAAGATCCACAAAACCTCATTACAAATAAGAACAAGTTATTTTCTATCCTACTCTTTCGTTTTAATATTTCCTAGTTTAATGCCATTTCAAGTTCTCAGATTTGAGGATAAATGTTTTAAAAATGGTTAATTTGTTAAAGTGCTCAATCTTCTTGTAACTAACAGTATATATAGTGTTCTCCCTTTTTTTAAGCATGACAGGTAAAACAAATTTTCAGACCAGTAGAGAAGTCCTTTTACCAGGTACATTTCAAGAATTCCAAGTGATTTTAGGCTGTAATAAGAGGTACTGCAGGCAGTAAATTTCACTGGTTACTACCTGAAAAGGAGAACAATTTATATACAGATGCTTGAAATTTTTATTTGGTCTCTTTCCCCCTTTTGTGTACTTTATAAATAGGTGTGGTACAGTTAAGAGGGTAAACTTAGGCTCAATTTTTATCTTGCTGAAAATAATTGCTGGTGTTTAATTCTGCAATTAATACTGTAGTAATACTTCCCCAGATAAAGTGAGACACTTCATTCATGCAGTTCTTGCCCAACAAAAAAGCCCCATCTATTGGATATATGTCCTGCTCTGTGATTTTTGTAAATCATATATGGAGATTGTATCTCTGCTATAAAACTTGGGGTTTGTGTTGTATTAGATTGTTCCCATCAGTTTCTGGTTTAGCATAACCCTCACAAACAGTTCTTTCTGTTTAGTGTTCAGAGTACATTTTTTAAAATTATGTTGTAGTGTTTTGGCTCCTCATTAACAATTTAGTTTCCATGCATGTGTGTACAGCTCTAAAGAAAAGTGATAAAACAGGCTGTCTCAGTCTATGTTATTTCAACTTACAGCTTTGTGTTTTTATGTCTTCTGTGAATGTAATGTACCATAAACAAAAATTAAAGTTCCTGTTGGGCTGATGATTTGTGTGAAATACTTGGAGTTGCTATAGTTTCAATTGTAAAACACATCCAAAAACGTAGGCCTGATTGGAAGGATGAACTTTGCTTGAGCCAAACTTAATAGCTTCTATTAAAAATGTGGAAAGACTGGGAATCAACGAAGAACAGCTTCTTAAATTTGGATTGCCTGGGAAGAACTTTGGCCCTGGAATGACTTTGAATTGGATGAAATAAGCTGAACCAATTTCATGAATTATCATGATGTATTTTTCAATATTGATTGGTTTTCTTGGAACTGGGAAGGGCTAATGAAGTTTGATGTCTGAATCAACAAGAGTACTGCTTTGAATTTGGGTGGGCCCAAATCTGAATTTAGTTCAGCTAATAAAAATGTCGACATCTTAGTGATTGGCTAAGTGATACCTTGAATGGCAGAGCATACCAAGGAGTTATTACTTTAGGGGGTCATATTAAGGCTCCTTGGTTCCCTAGTTTAGTTTGTTGCTAAAAACAAAATTTTATCTTTAGTCTGTGGGAAGGGATTTTTGAAGATCTGAAGTGGATAGCATAAACAGGGATACACATGGCCTCTTATCTCTTCTCACACTCACTTCCTTCACACTCATAGTCCCTGAAGTTATGGAGAAAGGGGGAACGTATCTAAATTAATGATCAAGCTAACTGAAAAATCAAACATGCTAATTGCCATCTAGTAAATGGATTTAAAGTTTAAAGTTTGAACAAACTGAACTGCAGATACCATCTGAATCATATCTGAGTCATTTACAAAACAGGCAGTCAACAGACTCATTAAGTACTAGAAAAAATGTTTATTGTTTTCTTGTCTGGTCTTCTGTCATTTCTGAGACACCTACTAACATACTGTTCCCTGGTTGTCATATTTGTAGTTGCTGACTGAAGAAAGTGACATCCTAATAGAATTTTGCTTTAACAAAATATAGGCAATGTCGCTTAATCCATTACAGTAACATTATGCTGTGTGAGTTCTTTGAACTGAGAATTAGTTTGCCATTCAAATCCATGTAAAAAGCACTTTTATGAGTTGTAGCAAACTAAAATGTCTCAAATCAGACCATTTTACAGTTGTGTGCTTAGTTGCCAAGCCTTTGACCTTGTTATGATACAAACCTTGCTGCTTTTCAAATGCAAATTACTTTGTTATCATGCTAACTAGATACTAGTCTCTATCATAACAAGGTCACCTTCAGCCTCACTCCAAATCAAAGGCTTGGCAACTAAGTACACAACTGTAAAATAGCCTATTATCAAATTCATGGGAATGAAAAATGTCTCTGCTTACAAAGCCTATAAATAATTTTACAGTTTTTTCATTTCAAGAGTTTCCTGTGTAGACTTTTTGTTAGTTCAGCTTGTTTTCAAGCTTTGTTTTGGGCTGCTTCCTTTCTCGTGGCATCTTGTAACAGTGATGTATCAACTTCTTCTGCCGGCAGTTGAACATACCTGACTACTGATCCTCTAATGAAGCAGTTTTTAACTGACAACTAAAAGGGGAAAACAAATTTAAGCTAAAGCTGTCATACCATCACCAGATAGTTATTAATTAATTTATTGATAAATAAACTGAAAAGCATGAAAAACTCTCATTGTTGAGATACTTGGTGACATGCTGAAATTCAAATTATAGACATGTTATAATATTTCATGGAATTGCTCGTTGTTCAGTACTGTGTATATTTTAATCATAATTGATGACTCCCTCTATTATTGTTTAGCAGAACTACCCAAAGAAAAACCAAGTCTTTGATCTAAGACTAAAACAATTGATAGAAACTATATATACATACCATATGAGGATACTTATCCGGGTCTGTCAGGCTTATATCTGTTAATTTGATGTTTAGAAACTGCAGTAAAAAGAGAATTAAATTATAAAAATTATTTCAGATTAGGCACTACAAGATATGCGAATTGATTTCAGTGGTAGAGCTAAACATTCTCTGTACAACTGCACCTTATCATACTCAAGACAATAAAATCATAAGGTTACCTGATCGACCGAGTCTAACGTTCCATGTACACTGTCAAAAAAAAAGAAGTGTAATGTTCATTTTCGAATCTCGTGTTCTGCAAATTGATTACTTTAGTTATAATGGTCCACCTACAGAATATGATGGAAATTGAAAATATCTCAATAATTGTATTGCAGCACGGCAACTGAAAGATTCTCGAACACATTTGCAGCTGCATTGTACCGCAATCCGGCCGCTATAGATCTGATGAGAGCTATTTTTTTTTACCAATAAGACAGATCAGAAGTCTTGTGCCATTCATTATATAGATTAAGGTCCTGAAACACCCGAAAATTCCTCATAAAAATGCCTCACGACTTCTAAATCTTACACTGACCTAAATTTGTTTTAAACAAACCTAAAGCACTCACGTGCGAAAGACTGTCAGTTAAACTTGTACATTATTAGCAACACCTTCCTATACCTGAGGTCATTCTTCAGTTCCACAATAACTTCTTTCCCAACCAAAGACTTGAAAAATGAGTAAAAAAGCTGAAAGAGAAGATAAAAAATGTGAGCATTTGTTCTCAAAAAACGTCCTCGAAACGACACTACTGCTCACCATTTTGGAAATTACTATGGAAGTGATGACTACGTTATGTACGGTATCATATAGTGTATTGCGACCGCTGTTCATAAGCAGGCTCAGGTTACAGAGAAGGATTGTGGGATACTGCGTGGCACAAAAACTGAGACTGAGTGATCGAGTTTTGTGAGGAAAATTATAACTATAAAAAAGAAAATTTCCCTCCTCCGTTTTCAGAGACTGGAAAAATGAATACAGAAAGACCTGTGCAACAATATTTTAGCCCCTACGCTTTTAACGGAGGGTAAGTAGATCGTGGATTATCGAAAATGTGACAAGGTTGAATTGGAAACTTATGATCTGAATGAGTCAGCAGCATCAAAGCTTCTATAGTTATGAAAATAAGTTTAATTGTACAAACTTCTTGACTTTCTTATGAGAAAAAAAATTCTCCAATGCAGCTTGGTTATTCCGTTTGTTCGCTAGAAAATCTGGTGTGATACAAACTTCTTTACAGCTTTCGCTCCTCGGTGAGCTTTGGTTAGGTTACATGTGAGCTATGATCATTTGTCGCAATTTTTTCCAGTGTCAATCAGGTAGACCCTTAGTATATTTTTTAACTTATTTGAAGTGTTTTGCAAGTTTCCATTAGTGCCTAAGACAGAGAATGGATGGATGGTGTCTGGTTAATTTACCAGCTCAACAAACACGCCAGCACCTAACTCACCACCACCGAGAGTCAAATCACCACTGGTAGCAATTTGACTCAGGCATCATGTGTAACGTGTTGTATGAAACTTACATCAAATGAGTATCCTAGGAGAGACTTAAAATAGTGCCAGAATCAAATTGCCACAGGTGGTGATTGACTCTCAGTGGTGGCAAGTTTTGTAGTGGGGAGTTTGTTGTGGTGGTGAATTGAGCATAAACTGAATGGACATGTATCTTGAGAAATCATGATAGGTGCACAAAGTTTTATTCTTAAATATTACATTAATTTCATATTTTATCTTGGTTTTCAACTTAGGACTGTACTTGCCATTGCTGGAGAGGATTTTTCTGTCATTGCATCAGACACAAGGTTAAGTCAGGGCTTTTCCATCCACACCAGGGATAGTCCAAAGACTTACAAACTGTAAGTTAAGTGTTGTAATAATTCCATTTTAATGTGCAGAACAATTGTCATTTAAAAGCTTATCACTGCTACCCTTTTATTATCTGCCAACAAAAATAGTGTGAAATCTGTATTTGCACTATATTTCTTCAAACAACACAGCCCTTTGGCTGGCAATTAGGTTTATTTTACTAACTTGGATTAGAAACATGATAATTCTGTTTCATTTTCATCTTCTAATCAGCACTCATATATACTTGTTATTTTTATGGGGAACAGGTGAGCAAAACCATCATTACTAGTGAAAGAATTGACACCTGATCAAACCACAGAAAATGCCTTGAGTAGTACTATAGTATGGTACACTATTTTGAAAAAAGTCAGTTAGATTTTAAGATTATTGTAACACTGTTATGGTATTAGAAATTTTAGTAAAGTAGGCAATCCTAAAATTGAACTTAACCTCTGCAACTCATCTCATACATCTTGTTTTTCTGGAACTCATTTTTGTACCTGTGGCTTAGAAACAGGAATGAAGAATTTCAAAATCTGATCCAAAGGAGCTGCATGTTCCTCATATGTAATATAAAAGGGGTTAATGCTATGCATGTTAACTGTGTTTGTTAATCATGTTTTTGTATGTTTAGTACCAATTCCACAGTTCTTGGCTGTGCTGGATTTCATGGTGATTGCCTTACACTGACCAAACTCATTACAGCAAGACTTCAGGTATGTTAACTTGATGTAGAGTTGTATGCTTGATTGTGTACATTGCACCGAAGCTTGTGTGAAAGGCAAATTACTCAATAATTGTTAGTAGAGATTGAGTGCTCCAGATTGAGCATATAAGGTCATATTGTAATTTTCTATTCCACTTTTCCCCCCTCGAGTGTTGAAATGTGTTTGTTCATCCAGAGTGATTTTTCCAAAGACAGTGAAAAAGACCTATTGTTTTGACAATGAAAATTCTAGTGTGCTGTGTCTCCTTTCTGTAGAAGAAAAAAATAAATACTTATCAAACTTGCACTAATGATTCTGTTTATTACCTTTAGATGTATGAACATGAGCATGGAAGTAAAATGAGGTATGTAAGGTAGTTTCAGTTTGGTTGAAAGAAGTTGTCAGACTAGCACTCTAAGCTGCAATCATTTTGGTCATAATGACATGTAGAAAAAATTTGGCATCTAAATGCTCATTTATGCTTGGCTTTGGCCTCTTTCTTCGTTTGTTAGTGTTAAGTCTTAACTACAGATGTCTTTTAAGTCTTTAATACAATTCTTGGTGACTCGGCTAAATTTGAATTTATTTTTGGCAACCATTTTTGTGTCTACTGGCCCCCTATAGGGGGAATAGTCTATATGATGAATTTTGGGGACCAACTTTGAAAAACCTTGAGCATCAGCACTGTTTGTGTGTATTTGTGAACTGTGGGGATGGATTAAGAGGGATTCTTAGTTAAGGATGGGTGCGTAAATAATATAAGATATATATTGATGTTAATTGTTTTCTTTTTTTATGCTCTCATACTTTAGTTGTCCAGCCATTGCTCAGATGTTATCAACTGTTTTGTACTACAGACGCTTTTTTCCATATTACACTTACAATATTCTGGCAGGATTGGACAATGAAGGTAAAGCATTACTGCCCATTGAAACAGCTTATTTTTTATCACTGATTATGGGAAAGGCTGTGTCCTAATTGGTACAGTGTTATGTCCTGTCTTACCTGTAATTATTACAGACTTGGTGAGTATTATACAGATCAAAGTATTGGTTTCTAAAATGACTTCCACTGGTCTTTGAGTTTTCCACGAAAAAATGAATGGAATGAAAGAAAATGTATGACTATGCTTAAATAGTTCTCCCTTCATACAAGAAAAAAGTTGCTGAGTAATCACGTGACATCACAGGTGTCATTTTTTGCAGCAAGTAGCAGATTTAGTTACAGAAAAAGTGTTCAATAAAAGCATCAAAATCCACTCTTTATTTTGGATGATGAAACATAGATTGATGATCATTATCTCTTTCTATCAGGTAAAGGTTGTGTTTTCAGTTTTGATCCAGTGGGTTCCTATGAAAGAGAAAGTTACAGAGCTGGAGGTTCTGCTTCAGCTCTTCTACAGCCATTACTTGACAATCAGGTAAAACTCTTTCTTCTCTTTGAGGATTTTCATTTTTTTTTTAATTCTCTACAAAGCAAGCAAAATTGTTTGCCATGTAATCAACAGTCTCTGCTGATTCATTAAATTAATGATTTATATTTATGCAGTTTCATTAGTTTTTAGTTTTACCATCTTTAATGTAGAATGGATCAAAATTTTCATGATTAAAAGTGACGTTTCATAAAAACAAAATTTTTTCTTAATTAATTTTAACTCATGTACAAGTTTGCAATTTTGTATATCTGTTTTTGCTATTGTTTTCATCAAGATTGGTTTCAAAAACCAGCAAGGAGTAGCTGAAGCTCCATTGAGCAAAGATAAAGCAGTTTTTCTAGTAAAGGATGTATTTACTGCTGCTGCTGAGAGAGATATCTACACTGGAGATGCAGTAATTATCAGTGTTATCACTAAAGATGGCGTAACACAAGAAGCCTTTCCACTGAGAAGAGATTAATGATTGTTGTAGTACACATTTTTTTGTGCGAGTCAGCTTGTGTCTAAAAGTGTACTGTAGATATGAGCATTTTATCTTTTCGGCTCTCTATATTACACTTGATTCAGTGCACTGGTAGATGCGCTTGTTGTGTGCTCTTAAATGCTAAAAGAAAAACATGGTATGATCTCACTATGTCCTAGGAATAGCTCGTTACTTATGGCAGACAAGGCTCAACCGTCTCCTCTGTGTATAGTTGGTGGACAATAAAATCACAACTTTTCTGCAAATTTCTTTACTTATTTTTTTCTCTAATTCGTGCGATTGTGTTTTTCCTCTCACTCAAATTTAGAAAAACGCCTCAGAGAATATAACTGTAGTGTTGCTTTGTGTAACTGTGGACAATTTCGGAGCAGACTTTCTACATGAAATCGCGAAAATGGGGGGCCAGATATGCAGATATCCAACTCAAAGGATATTCAAAGTTTCTCATGGGATCTTGCTGTTCTTAAAACTTGATATCAGGGTTGCTTTTGATCAGTGAAAAAACACTTTTGAGGGATTGACAACGTGAACATCATGATCATTAAAATGACTGCAACGAAAATGAGAATAACGTAGGAGATTAGCTTCTGCGAGTAATAATAGCAAATACGAATAAAATGTTTCCTAGGTTAACCACGTATAAACATTTAAATCCAACTGCGAATCTCGATTAATATATGTAATCACATGAGGCCAAGTACTATTAAGGATTAATTGCACGAGAGTTTTCAAAATTTTCCAAAATTGCCCGAATCGCGAAGCGACGAGGGCAATTTGGAAAATTTTGAAAACTCAAGTGCAATTAATCCTTAATAATATGAGGTCTCATGGGATTACTTGTTTATCAATAAAGGGCAAAATTTATACGAAGGAAAATCACGCGCGCAGTCTATTTTTATCTGGGAAGCCTGTTTAGCGCTACGGCAAATCATCAATCAAATTGAACTGACCAATCGATTCAATGAAATTTTATTCTCCAAAACTGTGTCGTGATACACTGCCAAAAGTCTAGAAAACAAAGCTCATTTCAACAGAGCGTTTCTGCCAACAGAAAAACAACAAAGTGCTTTTAACTGAACAAGGTAATCATGCCCTCTCTTGATTACTAAAAATGCCCTCGATTAAGAAAAAATGCCCTCTCTCTCAACCAATCAGCGCTCAGTAATTTTGCCCTTTATTGATAAGGATCGTTATTATGAATTGTAACCGCTTTTTCTATCGTAAGCAGTTTTCTGTGGATATGATATCCCTAGCTTACTTTGTTTAGTGTTCTTTTGCGCTACTATGATGCCATCAATGTACGTGAAAAAATCACCGCTTCTGGTTGGCCGAAAACGAGTGCATTCTCATGTAACACGAGTGCAAAATTGTAACGAGTGCAAATTAAAAATAGCGCACGCTTGCAAAATTTCGTCTATCTTGACTTTCTGTGATGTTCTTTAAATTTTTCAAAAACTATGGGTTCGTAAAATTTTATTGTCTTTGGAAAATTTACACGTGCTTCTTAACGCCAAATTGCAATCAAACCATGTTATGACTTGTACAAAACTACTAATTTCTCGCATCAGGTAGTTGACTATTGTTTTGTTGATAAGTTGCTTAGTTCACCTCGGGAGAATTTTTAGCCCTGATAGTGTACGAGTTTGCCGTATACTTGATACTGGCGGGCAAGTCTCATCAAAACACCTTTAATGGCTGACTGATTCTGAGACAACTTCCTCTGCTAAATCAAAATATAAAGACCTACACCATGATTTTCTTATCTAGCTCGCTAATGTGGACGTTAAAGCAAGATTAGGTTCAGCTGTTGTATCAAGTAAATTTCAGTCAATAAATCACATCGGTTCTTTCTGTCATACGCCAAATTAACAGGTGCTAGCTCCAGTTGTACTTCGGGGAAACGACTTGGCAGGGAGCATGGACGGGCAAGGGATGCCTTCTGGGTAATTACACCTTCTTTGTGAGTCACCCATAAACTCCCGGTTAGCGCCTTATCACACTAGTCAGGTACAAATGCAGATGCGACCAATTTGATTGGTCGAGGATTATCTGATATCCCTGTTTTATTTTTCGAAAATGTTTGGTTTAAGATTTACATTGCTTAGGGTTACTTAAGATCCAAAAGTAATAACAGTATCTATATGCTTCCTCCTGAATTCAATTTTGTTTTTTTTCGATCTGCTCCCTAAAATAATACATAGATACATAGTCAGCATACATTCGTATAAGTGTGATGATATTTCACTTCAAACTCAGTACAACAAATATGCCACTGTAAATCACAAACATCCTCTTCTCAGCTTGTATTGCTGTGTGGTTTCTTTTAATTAAACCTAACCAGGACTGTAAGGAAAAATTCAAAATGCTATTTTCTAAAATTCTTCCATTTGAAGGATAAATAATTGGACGGATTTTATACCTTGTTGACTGGCTGACAAAGAGTCTTAGATGATTTGTTTTTTCTACTTCCGACAGTTTTCGTTAGGTAAGCAGTTTTGGACTGCTTTTAAACTCATCCTCGTTTAATTTACGAAAATCAATCGCTAAAAAGATAAAATGACTTTCATGCAGGATGGTCCAGGCTTGTTGTCTTCTTCGGTATCGTTGACGAGGTCTTCCCAATACCACAGCCGATATTCTTGACCAGCGGTCACCACCAATGGAGAAGTAAATGTTAAGACCAGCTCAGAAGAGTTGCCTGTGAATCCAGGAAGCTCGTAATAATTAGCTATGTGATCTTCTGGGAAAACAACGTGGTCGTCCTTATCTGTTAGAATTGTGTCGATGAAGGAACCATAACCCCAGTTACTTTCATCTTCAGGTGTGCAGCTCACCTTACCAGAAATATGTACCAACCTGATAGAGTAGATTTTACCGGCCATTGGTGTGAAAAACACCCCTGGCTTATCGCCTTTCCCATACATGCAAACATCTCCCGGTATTTCGACAAGCCATTTCTCTATAGGAAGGAAAAATTGACGACAATATGGTTGATTGTTACCAACACAACAGCGTACCTCTAAAACGTAAGACGGCTCCTCATTGGTTGAGCTCCATGATGTAATTGATCAACATGTCACTTTGATACAGTTGCCATAGGAACGGTAAAACATTCGATTTTCGCTATATGAACCGTCACTATGGATACATACTCCCAAAAACAAGCAGTACGTTCAAGTCAGCGGGCTTCTCACTGTTATAGCTATGTAGTAATTATCATTTACACCATATCAGACAATTACATTCTATATCATTGAATTACAACGTACTAAATGTAAAAGCTTTGAACGGTGTGTTTAAAATCGTCCTAATTTCCTACCACTTTTAATATTTGAAATATATTTTGACGACTGGATGGTTTAGTGTTGTGGCTTCTACCGGCTTACTTAATCACACTTACCACAATATTTTCCAGAGTAATTTGCTTGACACTCACACCAGAAATCATTCAGTTGATACAAGGCTCGACAGCTGCTGTTATTCCAACAAGGTTTTGATAAACATGGACTCTGTGAGGGAGCATTTGACATTTTGTTATACTTTCATGTCCATAAGAATTAACACGAGAATATAGGAGTGGAAATAAACGATGCTTTATGATGTGAAACTTTTTTCCTTATACTTGAGGGTCTCAATCGGGTGATGGTTAAAGGTTAAGATTTAGCCAATTTTCGGCTAACGGTTGATATCTTTGAATTGTGGTCGCCATTAAAATTTTCACAGTTAATCTGTTTGCGATCAACGGTTAAAATTTGTCAATTTTAACGCCCAACAACTTCATTTTTGGCCGTTTTACGGCTAACGGTTAACCACTTTGAGACCCTCTTACATCAAATGCATTAATTATTTGGCAAACAAAACGCACAAGATCCAGAAACTGTGGCGGTTCGCTGGATCTGAACAAACAGTTTTTCAATTTTGAGTTTGAAAAACGTTGTCAATGATTAAATGGGCCACCTTCTACACCCTAACAAGGTTTCCTCCTCCCTTAAAAGAAGAAGTACATTTTGCAGAAATAATACAGTTTAGTATAGCTGTGTTTCAAAAGTATGTGTGTTGCGTTTGTGACTCCAATTCGAAACTATTCTTCAAATGTGCTAAAACGCCTTTTATTTCAAATCTTGTTCAAAAACCTGGCCGGCCTGTGACGTAGCAAGTCCCAGTCTTCATTTCGATCTTAGCTATATTTCTTCAGTAGCGATCTACTGATCTTATCACTCAAAGGCTAAACTTAAAGGCATTCTTCTCGCACTCAGATAACAAGGGCGGCAACTGTTTGTGAAACGGACTTGTTTTCGAAAGTGCGGCGTCTGCAATCGAAATTTAGCATATTCAAAGACAATTCTCGAACGGTTAAGTTAATCTTTAAGGGGGCAAAACACGATAGGTTGCAATTTATCCAAAATTAACATCTTTATGAATGCTAATTAGGAAAAATAAGAGGCCAAATTGTTTCATCCTTAAAATTGTAGCTTTCTAGAAAACACGATAACGCTAAGGTACAAAAACGTTTCTCAGACTTATTAATATTTCCATCAGTGGAAAATATGCGAGTCTTGAAAAGCACAAGACAAAAAATAATACTACGAAAGCCTCTTGTGTTCATGATAAACTTCCGTATAGATCGCATTTCAATTAAAGAGATTGACTTCTTTTGAAATGGAGGCACTGTATATATCTAAATTTCGAAATAATTCTTCATCACTTTCTTCCTTTCCTAATTGCAAAAAATAGTTGAAGAGTGTGGTGGGCGTAAGGAAACTTAACGTTGAAATGAATCTTCAGCGAAAGAGAGAAAGGAACACCTGCTGGATTGATGATTGTCTGATTAAACCACCGAAAACATAACCACTGTGGTACTGAGCATTCATTAGAAATAGTCTAGAGTTTAGTTATCAATATCAACTCAAATTCAAAATTCCTGTTTTTCAACTAAAACACTAAAAAAAACCTCTAACAGGACAAGGCGTGCGTTTCATGCTGAAAACTACCACCCCAAAAATTCAAATTCTTGAGGGTCTTTAGGCGCTGAAAAAGTTAGCAGGGAACTTTCCCCAAATTCCGTTCACCCACTCTCAATTTTTTGTCCCATTGTCCACGAGCACATTTAGTTTAGATAGTAATAAGCTTGCATTGTAAAGCCGTTACAAGCCTTCATTGAAATTGCAGGCTTTTCAACCAAAGAAGTAAATTCCATATATGGTATTCATTTTAGCTGAGCGAAAGTTCAGGAAACAAACAATAACCAACTTGGTGGTTTTTAATGAGCTTGTAATTCATGTAGGCTCCAGTTGGGAAGTCTTGGTGATTAAGCTCACCCTAGGGGCTAATTTATTACTCTCTTGTGTTACCCTTATTGTGTGGGAAAAATTTAGGCATAAGTAAATTTGTTGTTGAAATTAAAAACGGTTCTTGGAACAGGATAACCCAAGGCAATGAGGTCAAAGAAGGTATCCTTCTAACGGGCAAAAATAGTTTGCTGGGTTTGAGTAAAGAAGCAAAAGAATAAATACAATCACTTTTTGAGTTATTGAGGTCTAGACAAACAGTTTTGTTTCAGTCCCTGCTCTGTCGGTGTCGAGAGCCTTCTGCATAGCTCGGTCAATCAACTGGAGATATTGCGTAAGAAATAAAAAATAAATAGTACTATGTTAAATTCCGATTAAATCGCGGAAGTGATGTGGCTTGCCTCTGTAACCTGACTGGTGTCATCTTATATAGGGTAATTTATTATTATCAACCGCATGAGTTGATAACGTGAATTAGCTACCGTAAAGAGTTTAAAAGCTGACTTTTCGAGCGTTACCCCTTCGTCAGAGCGAATGGAACAATTGTGGGTTGTTAATGTGATTATTTGCAGAAAATGGAGCTACGCTATTGGTGGAATGTAGTGACGAGAAGTGAAACAAGAATAAATAAATTGAATGAAAAGCGCCCGTTGATACCGTGAGGATTAAGAGTGCTAATTTGAGGGATTAATTTTTGTTTTAAAGCTTTGCGGCTTTCCGAACTGCCGAGATGTAGGGAAAGGCCGCAAACTACCATATTCTGCTTAGAATGATAAGGGAGATTATAGTGTATAGCGAATGGTTTGGATGCGTCCTTGTCATTTCTTTCTACGTCGCGAAGGTGTTCTCAGAATCGGTCACCTAGTCGTCTTCCTGTCACCAATGTTTTACTTTTCGCAATAAGTGCAAGTTATGCAGTAAATGACATTGGCGGAGGTGTACATAAACTGATTAGTGATTTTAATGGATTTCTAAGGGTCCCGATTTTCTCTGCGTTATGCATGAAAGGACAAGTTTTGCATCCAATGAGCGAGCGCCTTTGAAAGTTCCGGGTTGATTATAGCAGTTTAAAACGAACCCCTGACCAAAAAGTTGCCTATGTTTTTGTCACATTTGAATGAAATTGGTGGAGGTTGCAAAAAGATAGTACCAATCTCTGAATAGTTTTGAAGTAATTAACATTTTCTAGGAATTATAGATTTAATTGCGTGGTGGTGAGGGTGAAATGTAAGAGTAAATGGAATGCGATCAGTATTTTCCTTCTCAGCCGTTTGTAGTGCTGCCCGTATGTCAATCAATTTGTTGGACGCGGTAGTGGCCCGCTTGAACGACAGAAACAGGATAGCAACGTTTATCGAAAAACTGATTTTTTCGAAAAATCAGAGTCGTCACTACATAAACGATGAAGGCTGAAAAACTGTGAAAAAGGTATGGAATTCTTGACGTGTGATGGATGCGAAGATGAATACAATAAGTAACTATGTGAATCTGTAGGTTTGTAGTAAACACTAGTGCATAAACCGTTACCACCAATTGAAATTTTGATGTCTAGAAAAGCCAAAGAAGCGTCAGAAATTCCCAGGTATATTTCAGAGCCGGGTTAAAGGAATATACGGAGGTTATAAATTGAGTGAGCTCCTCTCTGGCAGAGGAGGTAGCACCGATGCAGTCGTCAATGTAGCGACCGTAGAGTTCAGGTTTGGGCCGTGGCATTGACTAAAAAATTGGTGTTCGATAAAACCTACGAAAAGACTTGCGGAGCTGGGTCCCATTTTAGTACCCATTGCTACGCCATTAGTTTGTTTGTAGTATTTGCCACCGAATGAAATGCAATTGAGTGTAAGTATTTGTTCGGCTAGACGGAGAAGTGTTTCAGAGCTAGGTTCCTTGACAGTGCAGGTAATTTAGTGTTAACAACTGGGTTGAAAACGTAAATTAGCCACCGTAAAGGGTAAAAAAGCTGACGTTTCGAGCGTTAACCCTTCGTCAGAGCGATATCGCTCTGACGAAGGGCTAACGCTCGAAACGTCAGCTTTTTTACCCTTTACGGTGGCTAATTTACGTTTTCAACCCAGTTGTTAACACTAAATTACCTGCTATGCTCTCCCACCGATGCAGCACCACAGTTTCTTTAGAAACTTACCCCTTTATTCCTTGACAGTGCGTTGATCAAAAAAAAAAATGTTTAAGGGCCCGGAGACCTTCGTCATTGGGAATAGCAGTGCAAAGAGATGTAATATCCAAAGTGAAAATAAGTTTGTTTTGGCCAAGGAAATTAAAGTCACGAAAAAGGTGTAGTCTTACTTTAGAGATCAACCAAAACGATTTTAAGACTGCTTAAGTAAAATGCAGCTGTTAAGCAAACCATACCTTAACACTGTAGTGATGGAAATGTGGACTTGGTTTAAAGCTGTCAGAAGCGTTATACCTGTCTGTGGGAAGCAGCTCACAAACATAGTTACCAGTGATATCAGGTTTAGCAGCAAGGTTTGTTGAGAAACATCGCTGATCCTCTAAACATTGAAGCACACAATCTAATCGATCTCTGACAAGGCTGGATTCAAGCTCCACTATATCAAGAACGTGAAAAACATGGTCGATAAAAGAAGCGACACGAAACTTAGAATCACGTTGAAAACTTGTGGAGAATAAAGATTGTTTAAAAGGAAACACTATGTAAAGGAACAAAATATTCTGCAAAGTCAGCCTCGCCTGGAACATTGCGAATATGATTGCAGTTTGTTTAGTGAATTCCGAATATAAAGTTACATCTCTTTATTATGAACTCATAATGCCACCTGTGCTATCAGCTATTATTTCAACCAATTACAATGTTATTTTAGTAATTTTCGAAACTTCCGGTTTTGTATCGCGTATCGTATGGTATACACGAAGTGAAAAGTAACTCTTTATTTCGACTGTGAAGCCCCAATCAATTCGAAACTTCTACATTTACCCCGGGGAACCCACAGGTATCTGAATGACGTTCCTGCCCAGGGGGTGGGGAATTTGAAGCAGAACTGACAAGTCTTTCCAGCAGAATGCACATGTTTTATCGTTAAATGTGTAGGTGTTTAAAGGTAAAAAGTTTACTTTCGCAAGCAGATGGCTCAGAAGAAAGGTCTACGAGAAAGTTAGGGTCGTTAATCTTGCATTTTACAAAACAATTGACGATCGAATCCGGCGTTTGGGTGGAGAATTTAAGGATAATTTTGGCCGGGGGGGGGAAAATTTGAAAGATCCAATCTTAAAAAGTTCAAATGCCCAGGAGAGGGGGTGGGGTTGTTGAAGCTTCGAATTGATCGACGCAAACGGAGATTTCACGGAAAGTTAAGTGCTCGTTACGTGTTACATTATGGAATAAGTTTCCAGGTTTCGCTCATTCCGGCCTAGTCATTGGTTTTAAGTTGGCCACATATAGTTTGGCTGTTTGATGTTGATTACCGAGTTCTTGATCTATCACTCAATGTACTGAAATGTGGAAATTCAACATATAATAACGCAGAGAGTTTTGTTAATCGTGTTTTTTTTAAATAAATTATCTAGCTGCTTGAAATAAAGACTCCAGTGCATCTTCAAGCTAGAATAACAAAAAAATTTGTTTTCTTTTTGCTTATTAATTATTAACATAGACCAGCTCAACCTCTGTCCAGGGGACACTTGCGCTGGTCCCAACGGTGTCCCTATCAAAATTTTTTGAGATACCTAAATATATTCTTAGTACTTTACTGCTATGGGGGTCACTTAAACTAAAGAAACCAAACAATGATTGCAATTGTGCAACTCTGTGCTCAGCACCAAAACATGCAAAGGGAACAAATAATGTTTTTGAAATTCACTGGATTGGTCAGTTTTGTGAAAATGACCCCATGAAAAGTAGTTGCACTGAAGGCACAACTCTATTTTACACAGAGAAATCTGTTTTACACAGGTTTCTTTGGTATTTTTGGAGCAGGAACAAAGTTCATTCTTTGTCGCAGTTCATCTATAGGCTCTTCAAAGTGTTTTTCAAAATAAACATTTAGAAAGAACTTGGATTGATATCCGCAATAAACAGCCCAGGGAATGTAGTACTTCCTTAGTTCTGCCCTCTGTCTGTAAATGAACACAGAAAGGAAGACTATTGACAGCAGATAACGGATCAGAAAACACTGCATGTACGTGTATCAAAAATAAAGTGAAGCCAGAGAAATGGGTTACTTCCTAGATACAAGAAACATAGGCACAAAAGACTAAATTAAAAAAGGGAATAGTTAAAACATTCATGGCAGAATCACAACTTACCTCCCTGTAAGTCGAATTGGAGCTACAAATGAGCTGAGGGCACACATTGGGAGGCCTGTTTGAATCATCTCATACCACTTCACAGCTATTTCATGTGGTACACTGTTAGTTATAATAATTTAAAAAAATTGTTATTATTATTATTATTATTATTATTATAAAAATTTAGTGGTTTGAATGCAAAAGCAGTTCATCAAGAATAAAGATTGCTCTCCATGACAGTGACTGACATTTAGACAATAGCTATTGAAATATGGAATATTTTCATTGACTCTGATGACAACAATAGTTTGTTGAAACATCAGTCAGTTCTTTTAGGAGCAACTATCACCTGCTTGGATGATCAGAAAACAGGATCAGAGACAAAATCTATTCAAATTACAAATGGCTACATGTAAAGTGTTTTGGTCCAGTTGGTTTTTAGTCTAATTTTTCTTGCAGCCATGAAAATTATTATTTTTGTTCATGGCACATTCTTGCCACTTTGCAAGAAGAAATTTAGCATCTTTCATACACACCAAGGACACAAACCTTATGGACAAGCCAGCCAGTGTGTGAACAAAGTCATGAACTTCTCTATATCTTTGCATTACGTAGGCAAGATCTTTGTCATCAACATACTTCACCTGAAAGAATTAGAAGCAGAAGTTCTCATCTTATGACTAAGAAAACCACATGTATAAGAAAACCACATGGTGACATGTAAGAGAGACAATTTGACTTGTTTAAGGAGAGGAAAGTCTTAATCCATGCCACTGATCACAGGGACAAAGATTTCATTACAAATTTCCACTTGTATTGGATAAATTCAGCAGTTTAGCACCTGATAATTTTTGTATTATATGGCATAACACTTATCCAATAACATGAGCTGTGCACAACTTTCCTCAACTATCACTGACTTACAAGAGGCAACTTGATTACTGGTAACTTTTACTACAACAAGGCTTTGTTTTATTTGTTGAATGATTAAATTTCAGTGCTTACCTCATCTCTACTGTCAGCTGTAATTTTCTTTTGAATGGTCAAAAAGATGAAGAGAAGAACAATAAGTAAATTTTAGAGAAAAATGATGAGATTTCACAAATACTTAAATCAATACTAAATACATTGTTCACTGGCAAGCATGTTAGCTGGTGCATTTATTTCCCTTGGTGAGAAAACACTGATTGTATTTCATTATCTTTGAAAATGACATAAAATCCAGGGCATTCAAAAAGGTAGATAGGTGAGAATGTCCCCTCCTCTATTAATCATCCTCTCTTTCTTTCAGAAATAATTCAAGGGAACAATGCCAAGATTTTTGCTTTGTTCATTTGTTGTTTTATTTTTACCCCTGGCCAATTGAATTCATTGTAAAGTTGGAATATTGAAATACTTGAGACACAACATAAGTTTGGATTACAAAGGAAAAACTTTTAAACTTAGGCTAACTATGTGTAAATGAAGATGCACAACAGCTCACATGCTTTTCACAGAGTACTTTGTGCCATAATTAAAGAACAGACTCACATTAGTGTCCATATTTCTGGCATATTCTCTTCCAAATGATCCATCAGGAAGTTGTCGAAGCTTAGTCATGTCTATTATGGATGAGTTTATGCGAGGACGTTCTCTTTAAGTTAAACAAGACAAAACAAGTGTAATAAATAAATGCTCAAGTCAATCTGGATTGTGTGTACTCAACATACTGTAGCCTTAGTTGATCTAACATTTGAAATATCATCCAATACGTAGGTCAACTCATACATGGATCAATACCTAGCCAATAATAACTGGTAATGATATGCAAGTGAAGTTTAACTAATGTCTCTCGTCTCAATATGCCAATACTTAGCTGACACCTTGACTAAATCATAAGCTGACTATCAGTCAAGTTTCAGTCAATTGGTATTGCTCTAATAGTTTAGCATCTGGCAAATTTTAATTAACTAACAATGGTCCTCATGATCACTATATTACATGTGTATGGCTTGTCTATCCAATTATTTAATGAGAGAGGTTGTAAAATGTAATCAAAGGTGATAAACAGAAAGTGAGAAACAGAGACTGCAAAAAACCCCAGAAATTACTTCCTCAAATTTCTCTCAAATAGTTGCTCGGCTGGTTTTTACTTCTACCCAATCAACATGAATATAGGCAAGATATGGCACTCAACCAAGAGTATTTAAAGCAGCAATTAGTTTAACATATCCATAACAAGGTTGACATCAGAGGCCTACATTAAAAATAAATCTTGAATTATTTGACTCATGACACCATTTTCACCTACTGTAATATCTCTTGTCCAACTGGATCTGCTTGCATTTTTTTGTGCATGTTCTTAAGTGCTAAGAATCCTGTTGTCTCTCCTAGTGTTGCCACCATATCTACAATATCCACAAACATTTTATTGAAATTTTTTCACACATTCACTAAGGTATCTGAAAGTATGGAAAACCACTGACCAGTTTTCAAATGGCTCTTACACCTCCCCCCCCTCCTCCCCCTTAGCTGTCAGGAATATATGATTACCCCTTTCCCCTTAATCAAGCACCTTCTCCACACCCCTTATGATCAGAATTTACCAGCACATCCAAACAGCTGCTGTTATATCAACTTTAAAACATCAACCATCAAATTTTTGGATAAAACTGAATCAATTTTTACTAACCATTTTCTGGTTAGCTGACTCAACTGGGAGAATGCCAGGCAACCTTTCTGAGTAAAAAAATTTAGGAGAATGGGCTGTATTTTTTATACTTTCTGCAGATGAAGTCTTCTTAGATAAAGATTGCAGTGGGTGAAGAAACCTTACTGAAGAAAGCTGATTACTGTCATCAGTTTTTCTCATAAAGGGGTTTGTCATATCAGGATCCAAAGGTGACTGGGTAAGAAGTAGTTATCTTCAGTAGTCACAGGATGGAGATTTATACCATTACTACAAACAAACAATGTCCATTACCTGCTCTTGCTGGATTGTACAATGCCATCAGGGCAGACCCAGTTGTCAGTAGCACCTTCTGCATCATAGATGTGGGGATATGTGACTCATAAAGCTGAAATCCATCATGTGATTGGTTGCTTTCTTCCATATCATCCTCCCAACCAGGGATGCTGTTGCTAATGGCGTCATCAAACTCTAACCCTTTTGGACAAAATGTGAAATGGCTTAGTCTCCCCTCTACCTTACTAATACTTAATTTTACTAAATAAAGGACACGCAAACAAAAATTCTGGCAAAATTTTAAATTACAAAATTTAATCTTCTACAGAAAATTCAAATCACAGAAAAAAACAATGAATGTGTAAAAACAATAACATATACAAGATATTGATTTTGTATCCACACAAATTTTTTTTGCTGTTCTTACTGGTAAGTTCTGATTTGTATCCCCTGCTGTGAAATGATGCTGCTTTGCAAAGATTTCACAGAAGGATGAGAGAGTCTGGCTATCATCTTCACCTGAATGCCTAGATTTATACAAATTCCATATAATATCTTCTGTGCAGTCATTAAAAGTTAAGATATTTTGAAAGATAAAATAAAGTTAAGAATGCTTAAATCACAAAATGTAATCCTCTTTTTTCATTTTCTCCTATTGAAACACAGGTAGCCCAAGCTCCAGCTGCGAGATAATCATCTTGCAAAATAAGGCTCAAGGCAAAAAATATAAGAGTCTGTATGGGAATATTTATGACAGCTCTAGGGAAGTAAAAATACAGTCAAATTCTTAACAAATACCACACCTTACTTTCACAGTGCTTTGCTTGTTTTGTGACCACTTATTCAGGGGGGCCACACCATCACTTGGCATCAACAAATTGTTCTAGAACCATAAGTGCCAATTGATGGTGTGGTGCTCGGTGAGGCTCAGTTTGCAAAGGAGGCAGGGTAATAACAAGCTGGTTCGTAAGGAGAAATGAAATATTTTGTGCTACAGGCTTAAAAGAATCTCTCAATGAGCTAAGCTAGCTTGGTAATTTGTCTCGTCGATTGAGTCATCACAGTGGTAATATCTCTTGTTTCATCTAACAAAGACAAATTCTCCTAATAAATTGTAATAATCAAGGTTTACCTGCTGATACAAAACGTTTCCCCTTTAATATTCTCCAAGGATTATGAAAGTTTCTTGTGATATGACGGCTGCGATTTAGAACAGATATGGCCGCCATTTTAATTTAGTTTCAGTCCCAGACTTATATATTCCTGAAACAAACCAAGAGGCTGGGATCTAAGCAGCGTGGAAATCAAAGATGGCGGACGTACCTCAGTTAGTGAAGGACGCACTTCTCGCATCCAGTGAACCTATGCCGCCAGGCTCGGAAGAAGTGAGAGGTTATGACTTCAGTAATGGAGTGAATTACCACGCTTTACTCGAGTCGTACAGAACTACCGGATTTCAGGCCAGCAACTTTGGAAAAGCAGTGGTAGAAATTAACAACATGGTGAGTGGGACGGCGGTTAGATAAGGTATCTTGAAGGTTTCCTTGGATCAGGGAAGCGCTTCAGGGAGGATTTGGCCTCCACTTTCAGCCATAGGAAACATTTCACTAGACCCTTGAAGGAGCTTACTCAAACGGCATCTGCTTTTTCGCCGCTCCCTCCCCTTCCTCAGACGGATTTTTGTTTTTCCGTCTCCTTGAGTTATCACCCAACCGATGGCATGAGAGACACGATGGTTGCTATTGTTAAACTGGAATAGGAAGTCCAGGTTAAAGCCATGACCTGGGTCATTGTTTTCTGTTGAATGGATGAGACACTTAGTCTTTACACGTACAGTACCTCTCTACACTCAAGAGTATAATTTATTACTATACCCATGAAGAAATGCGATGGAATGGTGGATGTTGTCTTAGATCATGAATAAGCTTCCCATCAAGGGAGAGTTGCAATACTCCTGGAAGAATAGTTAAATTATGCATGTCAAGAGCTAATAGAGGACTGGGTTCAAACCATTAGGCCATATCTGATAGGTGAGTTGTGTCATATTGAGCAGGACACACAATCCTTTCTCCACTTAGGACCATAAGTGGGGCCTGTGACCAATGAGGGAAATATGATAAAGTGCTACATGATTGCAATTTTTTGTAGACTTATGTTTAACTCGAGAAGTAATGGCACCACTTGTCATTTCCTGATACAGAAACCAGCAAATCTCCATCTGCATAATCTGACCCTGATCTTCACTGAGTCATTTTAATGAAACCTTTATTGCATACATGTAAGCACAGCCTCTGGGAGTATTTAGGCCATAAATGACCTCCTTGTATTTGTAGTTTTTTTCCCTAAGTTTCTTTTGATTATTTAGATAAAAAGGAAGTTGGAATCTCTTCCAGCACCTGAAGATGGCCCATCAAACTGCGATTATCTTGATCCTGGTCAGCGCCCAATTGATAATTGCACAATCTTCCTTGGATTTACATCTAACATGATTTCAAGTGGTGTACGGGAAACAATTAAATACTTAGTCAAAAACAATATGGTAGGTATACACATTGTTGCTGCCTTAAATGGATTTTGTCACAAAACTTTAGCAATGAATCAGGGTCAATGTCTACTAGTCACCTTGGGTTAGGGCAGCACATATTAGAACTATGATGACTTCCAGCGACTGACAGTTCAGCAAACAGCAGTCCTTTTCAGGATAATGTGAACTGGCCATTGTAGAGAAGTTCTTAAACCAAAGGATTGGCTCTCATGAAGGGATAACACTCAAAATGTCAGCTTTAGAACCTCTCTATGGTGGCCAATCCACATAATCAACTTGGTAGATCAATCCAAATTATCATATACTACCCCTCGCTGATGCAGCACCACTGTTTCTTTTAATTAGAAACTTTTCAAGATAGCAAAAGGTAAAGGCCACTTTTTAGGATAATCTTTTATCGGACTTTGACAATGTTCCTCCAGGACTTAAAGTATATGCTATGATTTAATGAACTTGGACTCATTCTAATCAACATCAATGATGCTGCTTGTGCATTTTACTAAAGTTTGTTTATAATTTGATTTAGGTTGACTGTATAGTTACAACAGCTGGTGGTATAGAAGAAGATCTTATAAAATGTATGGCTCCATCATACCTTGGTGACTTCTCACTGCGAGGTGTTGAGCTGAGGAAAAAAGGCATAAACAGAATTGGGAATTTGCTTGTACCAAACAATAATTACTGTAGATTAGAGGAGTGGATTTTACCACTGTGGGATAAGATGCTTGAAGAACAAAAAACACAGGTATCTTAAATAAACATTTTTTTTCATCAATTATAATTTACCATTACAATATTCATTGGGTTTAAGTCTGTTCAGATGCTAATGGCAACATCATTATTAATTCTTAAGAAACTAAAGGAATTATGTAATTACGGAAAACTTTTAAAAGTGGATACAAGTTTTTTACCTGACTATGCTAATTGTAACTATTTCAGGACATCACAAAAAGTAAAAAAAAAAGTCAAATTGTAATGCACTTTGTTGAGAAGTCTGCTGTATGATATTTGTGATTCTTCTTGTACATTTAAATAAAGATGCTTTGAACAAAGTTTGGAAAAGGTTTGATTATAGATTAAGCATTCCTATTTGAGGATTATGAGCCTTAGAAACATTTTGGAGATATGCTAATCATCAGTTTGATGATTGTTTGAGTTATCCCCATGTTTAGGGTGCTTTTGGCATTGTCTAAGCAGTTCTTCAGAGTACCTCAAGGTCTAAGATTACAATATTTTCTTTTCAATAACTGCAGGGTGTAAAATGGACTCCATCAAAGGTTATTTCAAGATTAGGTAAAGAAATAAATCACCCAGATTCAGTCTGTTATTGGGCTTACAAGGTATGATGAACAAGATTAATTATTCAGTTGCAATAGCAACTTAGATAGTAAAAGAGGATTGACGTTTTGGATCAGTTGTGGAATGAACCTCTATTTGAGTAGAGGGTTTTTTTTTTTCCCTTTTTCAACAGAATAATATTCCAATTTTCAACCCAGCACTGACAGATGGAGCACTTGGAGATACACTGTATTTTCACTCTTACAAGAATCCTGGTTTAGTTATTGATATTGTGGAAGGTAAGGAGAACCTTGTTTGTCTTATTCTGTTGAAATTGGATCTTATCAAATGTTAAATGTGTTATAATAAGTACCAAATGGATGCTAATGAAAAATACAGCTCAAGTTAAACTAAAACTGAAAGAAATATCAGCCAATTTAAGATTTCTAACTGAAAATTCAGATGCTCAATTCAGATCATTGATTATTGAACTATAGACGAGTAGCTCCTTTATTACCAATTTATTTATTTTAACTATTTTTTTTTTTTTTCAGATATTAGGAAAATGAACAATATATCAGTATATGCCAAAAACACAGGAATGATAATTTTAGGAGGCGGTCTAATGAAGCATCACATATGCAACGCAAATCTAATGGTGAGTTACTTTCAACATCCTGCTCTAGTGCTGTGACATCTTCAATCCTTTACAGTTTATCGCTTTAATTTATTATTTCATTTAAATTTCCTCCTCTCCTCTGCATTTCCTGTGCTTATTCGGCTTCAGTAACGAAGAAGTGGTCACCAAGAGTGACGCTCATTTTGGTCTGAATTTGTTTTATTTGCTTACTTTTGTTTTAATCAAAGCTATTAAAAGTGGGGCTTGATCCACGTTCTGTAAGTTAGGCATTTCCTTGCGTCAGTTTGCAGAGGACAGAAAAGTACCTCCAAACACTTTATTTTAATAGCAGATGCCCAGGTTGTATAAATTTCCAAACGGTATTATGATTATAGGTAACTACCACAAATAAAAAAATATCGAGTGATCAGCTACCTTTAAAATTTGGCCGTTTCAGTTGGATAGAATAACATTTCCTTGCCTTAATAGGCTTTGCAGTGCGCCAACCGGTTGAAAAACGATTAAACCATTGAATGCTGATATCCACTTTCCCAACTGCCGAGGCCCATTTTATTCTGTTTAAAAATCCTTAGTTTAAAGTCCTCTTTTGCCTCCACGAGTTGAGATTTTTTCATTCCAAGCATTGTTTCAACAGCAATTCTAAGGTTTGGGAAGGGAGGGGGGTGGGGTGAGAGTCTGCCTTCAAAATAGCAGGTAATTTAGTGTTAACAACTGAGTTGAAAACGTAAATTGGCCTCCGTAAAGGGTAAAAAAGCTGACGTTTCGAGCGTTAGCCCTTCGTCAGAGCCCTTCGTCAATCGCTCTGACGAAGGGCTAACGCTCGAAACGTTAGCTTTTTTTACCCTTTACGGCGGCCAATTTACTTTTTCAACTCAGTTGTTAACGCTAAATTACCTGCTATACCCTCTTACCGACGCAGTACCACAGTTTCTTTAGAAACTTACTCCCTTTATGCCTTCAAAATAGCCTCGCATGCATGCAGTGACGAGAAGTAGTGCTACTCCTTTTGACCGACGTTTTTGTCTATCGCATTCGCCTCCCACCCCACCTTGCCCCCAAAATTTTGTTAGGTTTCCATTTTCGCTGCGGCGCGTGAGTTCCCAGTACATACCTACTCAGTTCATACCTCCAATTAAATTAAATTTTGAGAGATTTGTCGTAAACTTGTTAAGAAAGTTGTTTAATTCTCAGTTCGGTCTTTGAATAACGAAAAGTGTTATTAATTTTTCACAAGGTTGGGACGAAGGAGAAAATCAGAATTCTTGCGAATATTCGAACCACCGACCTCCAAAAACGCACTGTCGTGTTCTATTAGGTCTCGTTAATTAGCTAAGCTTCTACAAGGGTTAAGTATATTAGGTATTCAGCCTGCTGTTTGGATCAGCAAGAAATGTTAGGTATCTCCTTTTGTTTGACAAGATTATGTGACAGTTTGGTTTCCTTATTCAGCGTAATGGCGCCGACTTCTCTGTGTTCGTCAACACAGGCCAGGAGTTTGACGGAAGTGACTCAGGTGCCAGGCCTGATGAAGCTGTGTCCTGGGGAAAAATTAAGATGACAGCTTCGCCTGTAAAGGTGAAAAACAACTTCTTCTCATTATCTTTTGAAAAAAGAATTGTTGATAAGAGTGAAGGTAGTCAGGGAAACCGCATTAGCGAGTGAAATTTGCGTGAAAACTCGGTAAAATTTATAGTTGTGTTATAACATTTTTCTTTCGCCTTTGGCAGAGTTGGGAAGCGACCAACGGAAACGGAAAATAGACATTTTTGCCACTTTTTTGTTTTTTTGTTTTTTTTTTCTTTACATATACTGCTTAAACTAAGGCTTGCAATTAAAGCTACGAACAATGAGCACGATTATGTAGAGTTTATGGTGAGCTCTATAGCCCCATATTGTGGATGCTATCGTCGAATTTTATCCTTGATTCAGTAACATTTTGTTTTGTCAAACTCATTACATCAAACACTATCAGACCAAATGAAAGAAAAATGAATGAACGGAACAACTGCCACCGAATATTAGGGTGTTTCGTTAGAATAACTAATTGTGAAAACTTAAAAGCTGTCGCATTTATTAAAGTACTTCAGTTCGGTCTTTAATCCATGTGGAAACAAGACCAGTTGAGAATGGTGGCGATTTGTGGTTGTATTACAGATCAAATGTAGTTAAATGGAATACAGGTGGAAGAGTGAATGAGCTATTTCTTATTCCAGTGTTAATATATATGATAATTATTTCCTTTTAGGTTTATGCAGACGCTTCCTTGGTTTTTCCGCTCTTAGTGGCGGAGACCTTTGCCCGGAATTTTAAAATGGACAATTAGGATTGAAAGGGGGTAAGCGATAAGGTGAAGGAAAAAACTTCGCCAATGGAGACAAATTTTGAAACTTCCAGGATGCTTTGAGTGAGATTAAAAGACGGCGGACGTGGTCCAATACAGAAGATTCTCGACATTTTGTCACCGCAGTAATTGAATTTATTCAATGGAAAGTTCTGGCCTTTAATTGTAGTTTGCATAAACAATGGTTCAAATATTCGTAGGTCGTGGGAAGTAAATATAATGCCATGTCGTGAAGATTGCTTGGACTTTAATTCTTGCACACTTCGAAACTGTTGGCGCAGTTAACGATTAAGAACCCAAAGGAGTATTAAAAGATGAAAAATTGGAATTCACTCTTCAATGCGTCATTTTAGTTTGTGAGGAAACTTGATAACGAGTTGCGAAACAGGTTTTCTCGGGGAATTTGTGCCACCGCACAAGATGCTGTGAACTCTTTATTTAAACAATCTTGACGTAAAGAAGAGCGAAAGTCACGACACCTCTAAACCTCAATGGCGAAACTTTACTTTGTTTTCCTCGCCAACTTAATTGCTGTGCATCTAAACATCTAATTTTTTTAACATTTTTTCTCAGTTTTTCAAATAACTATTCCACTTGTCTCATCTGCGGAAGTTGTTATGAAGGAGTAAGCATGTCATCAAGAAATGATGGTGTCTTTTTATAAATTTTGTTCATTGAGAAGCAAACTGGGTTTGGAAGGGTTGAAAGAATCTAATTCATCGATTTGAAATGAATGAAAATTACCCAGTGCGAGGAGAAACAACAACTGTTACCGCCAAACTTTGTGTTTCGATTGTTTTGATAGCTTTCTTATTCTATCATTTAAGGAGGAAGTTACATCTTGCGATCTCGTATTTGCTTCTGTAATGAAATAGTTACCAGTTTGACATTTAATTTCTGTTGCTGTATATAATGTTGACAATTAATAATGAATGCGCTGCAAACCGAAGAAAAATAACCTTAATAGCTTATTCAGTAGGGAAGAGTTTTAAGCCACCAAAAATATTCATGACAGAATTTCAATGCTGCTTTCATTTTCCACAGAGCTTTTCAGAGGTTATATTTGTTCTAGCGTAATTACATGGTTCTGTTTCTTTGTGTGTGTTCAGTACTTTTAGGTTAGAGACGATCAACGTTTTATCCTTTTTCCTCGGTAAATATGTGTACCTGTGACGGTTAAACGGTGTTCCTGTATGTTAACTAGTGTCATAACTATTTTTGTTGATAACCATCGAAAGATCAGCTCTCGATGCTTTGATAGCGGGAACAAACGAGCATTACCGAAGCGCTCAAGCTTATTTTTTCACAATTCTTTCTATACAATCGCTTTACTGAGGTTAAGACAATGAATTTCTTGTTGGAGATGTCACGTTTCACAAAACTCTTCAAATTAGTAGGACGTGCTTATTTGAACACTTTGTTGCACCCAAACGAACACAAAATAAATTGCCATCTTTAATGGTAAGCTGCGTAAAACTCAACCCTTTTCATTGGTTTATATTCTGACAGCTTTAGAGCTTAAATATAATTGTATTTTCCAAACAATGTTTTATGCAGGTGACAATTGTCCGTTGGGTGTTGATATTTCAGTTGAGCTTTGTTCGTCAGTAGGTGACTATCACAATGAAAGGCTGAAGCTTAAGTGCAAGCACGCAGCGAATCTGCAGGAGTGATCAACAGGTAGTTTAAAACAAGATAGTTTATTTTAGCTTATTCTCGCTTAAACTGGCCTTGTTCGATTATTTCTAACCCAATTTTTCCTATCTTGAAATGGTAAAGTTTCCGTACAGCCCCCATACTATTGTAAAACAAATCTGTATTTCCAATGGAAATTTGTTGTTTTTATCATTGTTTTCTCTGTTCAAGAACTAAATGCATAATGTGGGATGGGGCTGTGCGGAAATTTTACCCTTGAAATTTGCGGCAAAGAGGAATTTCGGTCGCAAGCTGATACCGTGACCAACTTATAAATTCTACTGACAATGCAAGTCGAGAGAAGTGCAGAATGATGGATGTTTTCCATTATGTTATTAAGATGTAGCGATCCTCTTGTAGTTTTGCCGACAGAGACAATATTTCACAGTATTGTCTTTCATTTTCGGTCTGTGATTGGCTAGAAATGAAAGATGGACATCACAGCACTGAAATGGGTTCTTCCCGTACGTTTGAAAATTTTACCAGCTGTGTAGCTACAAATCCACCAAATAAGACACTGGACACTGAAATAAAAAGTACTTGGTGAAAACAAGGCACAGTATAATCGTTTTCTTACATCGATCGACCAAATTTGCCATCTTTTGCTTCGACGTCTGAAATAACTCTTAAAACAACTTCCCAGAAACATACACGTTGAATGCCGCATAATTTAGTTGGTACTCGGGCCTCAAGCTCATTATCAAGAAATTTGTGGTGAATTATTCGCTTTCAGATTAGCACTTTTTCAACATGAAACGCTGCTAAATGATCTCTCAAATAACACGCGATTGATCGAGATATTGTTGCCATGAAGGCGTTTAGCAAAACGTAGTTGAAATTTTGATAAGGTACCAGCAGACTGTGCGCAAAACTATGAAGAGCATAGGGAAATTTTTTTTTTGATGTTTGCGTCTAAAAACATAATTAGTGTTAAATGGCGATAATCCAACGATTTTTTCGAGGCTTTCAATAACCTGCATAAGTTATCTTGAGTTTTACATTACAAACGGATTCGATTGTGCGGAAAAACGCATTCCAACTTGTTATTCTATCGAAGCAGAGAAACGCGCATAAAAAAAATGATAATGAATTTGAAGCTCAACGAAGCTGCTTATTACATTTTTAAGTCAACTTGTGAGAGGACATAAAATTTTGAAGTCACTACAAACGTTCCTTTTGCATCGCACGTTAGGTTAAATTTAGAGACAATATTATATTGCCATTTGCGGCTTGGAAGTCCAGTTGTCTTAGATTCCGGAAGTTTTAACGGCTTTCCTCTGTGGAATATGGAGGGGCTGAACCGCCGTGAGGGCCCACAGTATCTTGAAATATTCTTTAAAGACCTTGAACTCTCTTATAGTTGTAAAAGAACTCTATTTTTAAAAGCATTCAAGAATCTTTTATTAAAACTAGTAAAGGCTCTTATCTTACATTTAACGTTTGTTAAAAATTCTACACAGTCATTAAAGGAAGAAACATATATTCATCTGTGCACGCTGTCAAGAGGAAAGAAAAAAGAAGCAGTTTTAATATATTGATATCGAGTAACAGATTAAGTTGCTAAATTAAATGGGTTTCCATGAAATGAAGGACTGGTGTTTATGCTTATCCTCGTCGACGGTATTCAGTTTTTACATGTGTCAACGGATGAACACGTATTTCCTTTCAAGAGTTGTTAATATTCCGGCGACGGAATCACTTCATCTGTAGTAGCGGCATACAAAGATGACTCCCTCTAGAATAACTGGAAGATAAAACAGAAGGAAGAAATAATTTTTTCCCATTTCAGACACCCTTAACTCTAATGATCGATATACGTTTTCTCGCCGAAACTTTGTAACAAAAGTAAACATCAATTTAACAAAATGTCAAAAATCGGCTCCTTTGTGACACCTAATATTCAAAACAACAAGAATCAACGCAATTATCTGGTAAACAGTCAAAATAAAATGAGTCATTGATCCATAAATAATCGCGTGTTATTGTCGAGATCATTGCGAAACATTTAACGATATTCAAATTTTGAGAAAGCCTCTTTGTTGATAGTTGCAATAGTTCTTTCGCCTCATTGAACTTTGAAGTGGCACGAGAGCTCACGAAAGTCTTAAATATTCTGATCTAACAATGTGATTTAAACCCTCTAAGGTGTCAGCTGAAGAAGACCAAAATGCCGTCCAGTAACTATACAAACATCACAAACTCAACCGAGCCCTCCTCTATTGGAGCAAATACTTGGGTCGAACAGTATGAAGAATCAAAAGCCCTTTACATTTTCCGTTTAACCCTGTTCTCCGTTATCATCTCGGCCAGTATAATCGGCAATTTGATGGTTTGTTATGCTGTGTGTACCATACCTTCCCGCAAGCCTCTCTCCTACTATCTCGTCGCTAACATGGCCTTCGCGGAAATTCTAAGCAGCGTTTGTTTGGCCGTCATGTTTGCAAGCTGGCAGAATCCAACTGACGTCGTTCTTCAAGAAGCCGCATGCATTTTGAATCCGTTCCAAGTAATTGCTCTTCTCGTTGTGATCTACTCACTGGCTGCCATCGCTTTTTATCGTTACAGATTCATTGTAAACCCTCTTCCACGCACACCATCATCAGTAAAGACAATAACAATTCTGACCATATCTGGGTTGTGGCTGTTGTCATTTGCAATCGCCTGCCCCTTTTTCTTTGGTCTCAGATTTGGAAATGGTGTATGCATGGAGCTGCCTGTCGTAAGTAATAGATCCTATGTAGCCATCAGATTCATCCTGAACTACGCTTTACCTTATGTGATAATGCTGGCATCTTACGGAGCGGTGGCGTGGAACTTAAGGAGACGAATTGTGCAGATTAAGAGAAGAAATCGAGATTCGATTGTTACTTCCTCTTGTGGTGTTGAAACTGAACTCCAAGAGTTACGAGATGGTGCGAGAATGGAGGAACGAAGAAGTGTTCTGCTCGAACAGAATAACCGAAGAGACAGCAAACCCGAAAACACAGACCCGGAGAAAGATTTACTTAAAATGATTTTTGTGCTTATTATCATTTATGTTGTTTGTTATTTTCCGTATCAAGCCCATTATGTGTGGGAAAGGGTTCGTAACATCACTGAGTATCAATTTAGATATCATCGACTCTTTATTGATTATAATTTTATTTTGATTTGCCTTCCCAGCGCCTTACATCCTTTGTGTTATGGAACAATGAACAGTTTCTTTGCTAAGGCGTTCTCCAAAATCATTCTCTGTAGATCTTGAAAACACAATGATGAATATGTTTCTCAAGTCGTAGAATGCTTTGTTCAAGTTCGAGCAAATTCTTAGTTCATTTTGCCTTGTTATGAGAGCCATTTCCGGATGAAAGTTTTTTCAACTTGAGTTGTTCCTCTTCGTCGTTTAGGACTGGTGAGTTTATCTCAAAATTGACTTGTTGACTGGGCCATTATTTCATATACAGACTTATCATGATGATAAATGTTTATGCAACCTGTGTATCTGCAGCAACAAAGGTAGTAGAAGATACTTTTGAGCAACTTTACAAATGTAAGTGATATGACAAGAGGAAAATGCTTATTGTTGAGAAGAAATTAAATTTGACTAGGGCCCTTTAGGTGCATGATAAAATATTATCTTTTTGTTGCTGATAACGAATTCCTGTTCAAATTTAAAATTACATTAAGTCGGCGAAATTGTAAAGAGATCCAAATTTAGAAACTGCTGCTATTTAGAGCGTGCGCCCGTAGCATGAAATTTTTCAATGACGAGATATCTTTTGCCGACCGACAAATGGTTTTCATGAAACTTTGGAATGCTAATTATTCCTAAGTTGTCAGTTGTTTTCATTGTTGGCTTATTTTTTGCGGTTTTTTGACATGTTGTTTGTAGGTGACAGGCACGTCACCTACTTTTCTCTGTTCACTAATCATGCGAACCATGAGCAATTTTCGATAGAATTTTGAAAACAATCTGGCGCTGCATTGATTATTCTTCAATGCGCTATAGGAATGATTCAGAGAACTCGCGCCATGGTCTTTATGCAGACTCTAGAATTGAAACCAATTGCAATTTCGTTCAATCCACTTTGCGCCTTTGAGGTCGTTGACTACTTGTGATGTCCACATTTTATCTGTTTGGCCGATGTTATCAAGTTGGTTTTGGTTTTACAAAACTCAATCGAAAATCTCTCTAATTAGGAAGCGTAGCAGACATTGATTTATGTTGTGTTAAGGTTAAGTTCGGATAGAACACGCGCTGTCATTGGTTGATAGAGCGTTCTACATTAGAGTGAAAAACACAGAGCTGAGCTAAAGCTGGTAATTTAGTGTTAACAACTGGGTTGAAAACGTAAATTAGCTACCGTAAAGAGTAAAAAAGCGTTCGAGCGTTAGCCCTTTGTCAGAGCGATTGGAGGAATTGTGGGTTGTGAGTGGGTTTATAGGCAGAAAGTGGAGCTACGCCATTGGTGGGAATATAGTGACGAGAAAACAGGAATAAATTAGTTGAAGGAAAAGCGCTCATTGATTCCGTGGGGATTAAGGGTGCCGATTTGGTAGATAAATTTTTGTTCTAGTGTTTTACGGCTTTCCGAACTGCCTAGATGTAAGGAAAGGCCGCAAACTGCCATATGCTGTTTAGAATGATTAGGAAGATTTAAGTGTCTAGCGACTGGTTTGGATGCGTCCTTGTCATTTCTTTCCACGTCGCGGAATCGGTCACCTAGTCGTCTTCCTGTTTCGCCGATGTATAACTTATTGCAATAAGTGCAAGTTATGCAGTAAATAACATTGGCGGAGGTACACGTAAAGTGATCAATGATCTTAATGGATCTCTTGGGTCCCGATATTTTCTCTACGTTATGAATGAAAGAACAAGTTTTGCATCGTGAGCGAGCGCATTTAAAAGTTCCAGATGGGTCATTGGTTTGAAATGAACTCCTGTCTAAAAAGTTGCCTATGTTTTTGTCACGTTTGAATGAAATAAGTGGGGGTTGCGAAAAGATAATGCCAGTCTCTGAATCGTTTTGGAGTAATTTAAAATTTTTAAGAATGATAGATTTAACTGCGTGGTTGTGAGGGTGAAATGTTAGAGTAAATGGAATGCGGTCAGTGTTTTCCTTCTCAGCCGTTTGTAGTGCTGACTGTAGATCGATTTTTTGGGCACGGTGGTGGCCCGCTTGAACGACAGAAACAGGATAGCCACGTTTATCGAAAAACTGGCACATTGCCTCTGATTTTTCGGAAAAAGATGATAATTGAAATAGTGCTGTAATGTCAATTTTGCATTGAATAAAAAAATATAAAAAAATGAATTAATTTGATGACTTGCGCATTTCTTTGCCTTTGTTAAAATCCTGAGGATAAATTTTTCGGCATATTAACATAAAAGAGCATCTCTGGTTTAACCCTAACCCTAAGCTTGAATCTCTCGAGATTTGCTGCATATCCTTATTTAGTGGTGTGACTAAAAAACAGGCAAATATTCTACGACTAATGTGAGTGTAAATTTGGTGTTCGAGTTATCCAAAGTGATTTGGCGCTCTTTAGTACGCTTCTAACGAGATGATCACGTGAAAATCGCAAAAAAGTAACATTTGGTCGAAAAATTGGGAACTTTAATATTTCGCCTAGATCCCCAAAACCGCTTCTGTGTTTTAAAAAAATTCACAAAAACTGGAACGAGTACCGGTAGCTGCTAAACGGCGGAAAGCATTACCTCGGTCCATGGAGGCAAATGATCTTTGCTCATGAAAGGCGCAAGAAGGTGTTGGGCATTCTCAGCCTTGTATAACACTATAGTTTATATGATAAAAAATTGTTATTCATCAGCATAGGCTGGTCTGTATTGGGAAAAAACTATGCCCTCTGTCTTGAGTATCGCCCGAGGCCAACGGCCTCAGCCGGTGCTCAAGACCTCGGGGACAGTTTTTCCCAACACGGACCTCCCGGCTGGCGAATGACTCTTACATATCATGCTCAACCTCGTCCCATAATTTCTTCTTATAATCCATCAAATATTTTTGCTCGCGTGCGATTGGTCTAAAAGCCACGTTACTGAATACTTCCCCAGCCAAAGCCGGAGAACATCTAAAGCACATATCGGTTAGTTCATAAAATCGTACCAGAGAACACTGAAAAGTGAACATCTCACGCAACAAACGGCAAGCTATTCGTAAACATTTTTTCACGTGCGTTAAAAAATGTTTGAAGGATAATAAACACAATAGCATCCATTTTGCACTAAAAATATCCTCGTAACTGTTTCCTTGGGCATAATCTGTTCCTCGAATCTCTCATTTCTCCTCGAGCTTCGCTCTTGAGAAACTGTATCCGTGCATTTTTTTGCCTCAAGTAGAGGTTATTGTTGATACAATGTTGTTTTGGAGGATATGAAAATTAGTTTGGGGCTTTTCATTTTGTGAAAATCGCAACATTGTCGTTTACATCACGACATAATCTTATTGGGCACTCTGTTGTTAAACCTGGAATTCAAAGCAAATCTTAGCATTCAGAACCGTACTCGATCACAAAACCAACTGAATCCAACCTCGCAAAGATGACAATGGCCATTTTGGTGGTTAACCTTGCTTTCGTTTTAAATTTCCATCTGTTTCCTGTGGCGTAGGTGTTTATCTGATAACACATTCCTCAACGGTGCAGTAGGCGTCTGTTTTTCTTCACATATTCGAAGACATTTAAGTTTTCAGAAATTTTTAGAATAAAAGTGAGCTTCATTGTGGACTTGTTAGAGATAATTCAATCATGAATACTTGCAGGTCAATAGTTCTTTGCCGAAGACGAGACGAGCAGCAAGCTCTCAAGAGTTTGTAACACAAGGCTAAACGTATTACCATTACGGCAAATTTTTATTGTGCTCGGATGATAGAATTTAATACAACATATTGCCGAACCTGAGTTAAGCGGCACCTTATTAAGGGATTACCTATTAATAAGCGGTCGCTTGTCAAAGTTCCGAAACTTTTTTCCCTCAAGTATTTTAATTTTTACTTCTTTATGCGCCACCTTTATTAAGCGGTCGTGGTCACCCTTGACTGAGTCCCAATGGCTTCTTTGTATTGTTTTCCACTTGTATTGAACGGTCACCTAAAGCGGAAACACCAAGAAAAAACCAATAATAATCTCTCAAGTCAAATTTTCCATGTTTATCTCCCGAACCAATGTTAGCACTTTGAGTTCAAATGTCTTTCTTTCGAGGACTGTTAAGTCAAAATGGTGTTTTTTTTTGCATCGCGTTTAGCAAGCGGTCAACCTGTGTTAAGCAGCCACCCCGCCAATCCCCATGGGTAACCCGTTAATACAGGGTTCGATTGCCAATGATATCCATTTGACGAGAATCAGTTTCGCATTTGATCCAGGCCGATTAATGTAACAAAGAGAAATGACTAAATACTCCTTAACATGGTTAAAGCTTTCATTATAATTTTTTTGCAATGCTTTTGAGTATGGAGTTGACGACTCTATGATAAACAGATTAGCTTAGAAAAAAGTTGTTAGCCAGAGCTGTCAAGTGCAAAACCAACCTTTCAAATTCTGATCCGCAATGACGGCTGAAACTCTACGCCTAGGCTCAGTTCCTACTTCCACAACCGTGTTTGTCAACATGTAGAGCCTTCAAGCCTCTATTAAACAGATTTAAATGAGGAAAAGTTGTCAGCAAGAGCTGTTGGGTGAAAAATCAACCTTTCTAAATGTTATCCGTAATGACAGCTAAGAGGCACGGTGGACATTGAATTACAACTTCCCATGCCATACTATTAAATAAGAAAAACTTTCTTAAAGAAAGTTATTAAGACTGGAAACTCATGCATTACTTTAATTTCTGTACATTTAGTAACAAAGATGAGCGGATGAGAGATTGAGTCTTATAGAGGTTCAAATATATCTCAGAGAGGTTCAAATATTTCTTTAGCTTGATTTTCTTGTCAGAAGGACCTTCGGTTGCCTATCATATTCTGTGACAGTTCTTCGAGTTTAGGTGGTTGTGTTCTGATAAGCAGTTAGAAGGTTCTTGCGTCATCTTTACGTGATTGAATATACGTTGTTTTGAAACATCACAGTTTACAATGATCACTGTTAAAATAGGATTGGTGTGATGAAATTTTGTGAGCTTGATTTGAAACAACTTCCAAGCCAAGAAACTAATTAAGAATCAGACGTCTGAGAACCAAATGTGTTTTCCTTTTCGTTTAAGCATGGCTAACAACGCTGAGAAGACACTAGTTGTCCCGCCTTGCGCGTTTTAGCGGCGCTATCGGACTGCTTAAGACCAGGGTTTAAGGAAATTGAAAGATTAATGTGCCATCGAACATGAATGTTCTCTCAGTCAGCAAATACGAAACATTCCTTTGATTCAATTGCAAATTTTCCGTCAAGTTCTGACATGAACTACTTAGACTTTAATTCTACATACTGCTCCTGAGTTGTCAATGAGGAGATGGTATCTATTTTTTATCATCGATTTCTTTCGATTCAAAAGACAGGAATTAGATCATGCTGATCAAACCTCGCAAGTAACCGTTAGGCACGAAGTTGTGCCGATCAATTTTGATCAAATGTGCAGTAGAGGTTCCTAGCGTACGCGCGCGGCAACAAAAGAACATCAGTGTTAGCTATGAGTGAACAGTGTGGGTGACGAGAAGAAAGACCGAGGTGCTGCTATTTTTTTTTTAACAGGTTGACGTCTTGTGCTCTCATCAAATTATCAAATGTTTGGTTAAAAAGTAGTTTCATATTTTCTGGTCTGAGTTGTGTCTGTAGTATAAATCTTTGTTTACTTTTAAAAAAATTCATATGCTGATTGAAAAGGAAATTGCTATTTGCAAACCTGTCCGAAGTGAATTTTGCTAAAAGCTGTAGCTACGTCATAATCGATATGTGGCGTGAGTTTTTCCCCATACAAAACTAAATGAAAAGCTGTACATAGATTCTAGTGATAACTGAAGTGAGCTTCATCTCTGTCTATCGGTGGGATATCTTCAATAATTTACCTCGATAACTTCCTCTTATGATACGATGGCATACTTTAACCACACAGAATGTTTACAAGGTTATTTAAAGCGAATCTCTGGCAGTTGCGATGTTTGTGTGATCTTAAACTGTTGCAATGATTATAGCTCTGTACCAGCTGTGTTTTTAGTATACCAAGTACACTCACGCCGTTCTTGGAGCGATCTTTGACGAGGCCGGCATTTACAATTTATCACTGATTCGTCATTCATTTGTCGCTCACGGACTGAAAATTTGGTGTCATTTGTGTCAGTCAATACTCAACAAAGCATTCATTGGGGAAAATGTTTAAAAGCCTTTAAAAGTGTAATTCTGGTGATTATCATCAGCAAATGTATATCGAGATACAAGATACGAGAACAGCTATGATAACTTTAATTATGATTAAAATCAATATCAAATTCGTCACTTATGATTGACAGGTTTAAAATTCGAAGCCATTCTTTACGTTGACTATCAACATAACAGTGGAGAGGAAGACGGCCGGAAAGTCTTTGAGAAAACGGCTTCGCACTACAGTATCTGTTGTATACTTATCTCTCTCACAGTAAAGGTGTTAACAAAGAGGACAAGATCAACGACAAGAGCAGGAGGACGAAAAAAAAAATGGAGTTTATCAACAATACGAACGTCACAAACTCAACCGAGCCTTCCACGGTGGAATCTGTTTCCTGGATAGAACAGTATAAAGAACCAAAGGCTCTTTACATTTTCCGTTTAACACTCTTCTCCGTGATCATCTCGGCCAGTTTAATCGGCAACTCGATGGTTTGTTATGCTGTGTGTACCATACCTTCGAACCGCAAGCCTCTGTCCTACCATCTCGTCGCTAACATGGCCTTCGCAGAAATTCTAAGCAGCGTTTGTTTGACCGTCATGTTTGCAAGCTGGCAGAATCCAACTGACGCCGTTCTTCAAGAGGCCGCATGCATTTTGAATCCGTTGCAAGTAGTTGCTCTCCTCGTTGTGGTCTACTCACTGGCTGCCATCGCTTTTTATCGTTACAGATTCATTGTAAACCCTCTTCTACGCGAACCATCCATTAAGAAGATTACAATTTTGACCATATCCGGGCTGTGGCTGATGTCACTTGCAATCGCCTGCCCCTTTTTCTTTGGTCTCAGATTTAGAAATGGTGTATGCATGGAGCTGTCTGTCGTAAATAATAGATCCTATGTAGCCATCAGATTCATCCTGAATTACGCTTTACCTTATGTAATAATGGTGGTATCTTACGGAGCCGTGGCGTGGAACGTGAAGATGCGAATTGTACAGATTAACGAAAGAAATCGGACCTCGACTGCCGAATCGTCTTGTGTTGTCCAAATCGAAGATCAAATAGAGCTACAAGATATGGGAGAGGACACAAGAATGGAGGAACGAAAGAGTGTCGTGGTCGATCAGAATAACCGAAGAGACAGCAAACCCGAAAACAAAGACCCGGAGAAAGATTTGTTTAAGATGATTTTTACGCTTATTATCATTTATGTCGTTTGTTATTTTCCATATCAAGCCCATTATGTGTGGGAAAGGGTTTGTAACATCACTGCGTATCAATTTAGATATCATCAACTCTTTATTGATTATAATTTTATTTTGATTTGCCTTCCCAGCGCCTTACATCCTTTGTGTTATGGAACAATAAACAGTTTCTTTGCTAAGGCGTTCTCCAAAATCATTCTTTGTAGATCTTGAAAACACAATAACGAATATGTTTCTCAAGTCGTATAGTGCCTTATTCAAGCTCGAGCAAATTCTTAGGTTCATTTTGCCTGGTTATCAAGCCGTTTCCGTTTTACATACAGACTTATCATGATGATAAATGTTTAAGCAGCTTGCGTATCTGCGGCAACAACGATAGCAGAAGATACTTTTGAGCAACTTTACAAATGTAAGTGATATGACGGAAAATGCTTACTTGTTCAAAAGAAATAAAATTTGACTAGGTCCCTTTATGTGCATGATGATATATTATCTTTTTGTTGCTGATAACGAATCCCTGTTCAAATTTAAAATTACATCAAGTCGGCGAAATTGTGAAGAGATCCAAATTTAGAAACTGCTGCTATTTAGAGCGTACGCACGTAACATGAAATTTTTCAATGACGAGATATCTTTTGCCGACCGACAAATGGTATTCATGAAACTTTGGAAGGCTAATGGGCCATTTATTCCTAAGTTGTCAGTTTTGCTGCTGCTTTTGTTTTTATTCCTAAGTTGCGGTTTTTTGACATGTTGTTCGTAAATGACAGGCACGTCACCTACTTTTCTCTGTTCACTGATCATGCTAACCATGAGCAATTTTCGTTGGAGTTTTGAAAACAATCCAGCACTGCATTAGTTACTCTTCAATGCGCCTTATGATTGACTTAGAGAACTCGCCCCATGGTCTTTATGCAGACTCTAAAATTGAAACCAATTGCAATTTCGTTCAATCCACTTTGCGCCTTTGAGGTCGTTGACAACTTATGATGTCAACGTTTTATCTGTTTGGCTGATGTTATGAAGTTGGTTTTGGTTTTACATAACTCAATCGAAAATCTCTCTAATTAGGAAGCGTGGCAGACATTGATTTATGTTGTGTTAAGGTAAAGTTCGGATAGAACACGCGCTGTGATTGGTTGATAGAGCGTTCTACATTAGAGTGAAAAACACAGAGCTGAGCTAAAGCTGTCACGCCATTTTCAAATTTTTACCATGTCCGACCATTTCCCGAACTTCCTTCTCGCTTTTTTTCGTAAATTGAAACCAATTGCAATTTCGTTTAATCCACTTTGCGCCTTTGAGGTTGTTGACTACTTATGATGTCAACGTTTTATCTGTTTGGCCGATGTTGTCAGTTTGGTTTTGGTTTTGCAAAACTCAATCGAACAGCTCTCTAGTTAGGAAGCGTAGCTGTCATTGGTTGATAGAGCGTGCTGTATCAGAGTACAAAACGCGGAGCTGAGCTAAAGCTGTCACGCCATTTGTCAATTTGTACCATGTCCGACCATTTCCCGGACCTCTCTCTCCCTTTTTTCCGTTAATTAAAAGTGAAATTTCGGAATAAGCCAGCCGGCAAGTAGCAACAGATGAACCAAACAAAGGTTTGTAATCCTCAAGTTGTACAACATGATAAATGTTGTATAATGATACATGATAAGTTTGGGATAATCTTTAAGTTGGCTGTTTCCACTATTTTACTCTAAGAATGAAGTAATTTCTATGAAAGAGGACGACTATTGTTTCGTAGGGGGGGACTGAAAATAAGAAACTCGAATATAACGTTCTGAAATCAAAGATATATTAAATTAGCAAAATGAAAGTAACAAATAAATTAATTGACCGGGCAATTGTTCTTGTGGGACTGCAGAAAAAGCCAAATTCTACCCAGGACAAAGTATTTGAAGCCAGAATTGTTATGAATTACAAAACTAAAAGCATAACTATTAAGACAGGTTTCTTGAAGAGGAAGTAGATACTTTCCCCAATTAATTAAGTGCATGATGATGGGAAAAAAGTGGTTTGGTGCTCGAAGCTTAAGGAAAGCTTGACATGATGTTAAATAGGACTGAGCCGAAAGGTAAAAGATTATTAGTTTATAATATCTTGCTGAAGGGTGAATAAATATATGTACTGCAAATATGATCTTGCAAGTATGATTTTAAGGAAAGTGGTTAACATTTTGGGAGTTTTTTTTTTTTTTGCTTTTTAATAGAAATGTAAAAGGTGATAATTGAAATGGTGCTGCAATGTCAATTTTGCATTGAATAAAAAAATATAAAAATGAATTAATTTGATGACTTGCGTATTTCTTCGCCTATGTTAAAACCCTCAGGATAAATTTTTTGGCATATTAAAATAAAAGAACATCTCTGGTTTAACCCGAACCCTAAGCTTGAATCTCTCGAGATTTGCTGCATATCCTTATTTAGTGGTGTGACTAAAAAACAGGCAAATATTCTACGACTAATGTGAGCGTAAATTTGGTGTTCGAGTTATCCAAAGTGATTTGGCGCTCTTTAGTACGCTTCTAACGAGATGACCGCGTGAAAATAGCAAAAAATTAACATTTGGTCGAAAAATTAGGAACTTAAATATATCGCCCAGATCCCCAAAACCGCTTCCGTGTTTTAAAAAATTCACAAAAACTGGACCGAGTACCGGTAGCTGCAAAACGGCGGAAAGCATTACCCTGGTCTGTGGAGGCAAATGAACTTTGCTCATGAAAGGCGCAAAAAGGTGTCGGGGGTTCTCAGGGCTAAAAATCCTATAACACTATATTCACCAGCGTAGGTCGGTATTGGAAAAAACTATGTCCTCTGTCTTGAGGCCGTTGGCCTCGGGCGGTGCTCAAGACCTCGGGCACAGTTTTTCCCAACACGGACCTCCCGGCTGGCGAATAACACTTACATATCATGCTCAACCTCGTCCCATCATTTCTTCTTATAATCCATCAAATATTTTTTCTCGTGCGCGATTGGTCTAAAAGTATCACCTTACCGAATACTTCTCCAGCCAAAGCTGGAAAACATGGAAAGCACATGTCTGTTAGTTCATAAAATCGTCCCAGAGAACACTAAAAAATGAACATCTCACGCAACAAACGGCAAGCTATTCGTAAACATTTTTTCACGTGCGTTAAAAAATGTGTGAAGGATAATAAACACAATAGACTCCATTTTGCACTAAAAAATATCCTCGTAAGTGTGTCCTTGGGCATAATCTGTTCCTCAAAGTTCCGAAACTTTTTTCTCGCAAGTATTTTAATTTTTACTTCTTTATGCGCCACCTTTATTAAGCGGTCGTGGTCACCCTTGACTGAGTCCCAATGGCTTCTTTGTATTGTTTTCCACTTGTGTTGAACGGTCACCTTTCCATGTTTATCTCCCGAACCAATGTTAGCACTTTGAGTTCAAATGTCTTTCTTTCGAGGACTGTTAAGTCAAAATGGTGTTTTTTTTTGCATCGCGTTTAGCAAGCGGTCAACCTGTGTTAAGCAGCCACCCCGCCAATCCCCATGGGTAACCCGTTAATACAGGGTTCGATTGCCAATGATATCCATTTGACGAGAATCAGTTTCGCATTTGATCCAGGCCGATTAATGTAACAAAGAGAAATGACTAAATACTCCTTAACATGGTTAAAGCTTTCATTATAATTTTTTTGCAATGCTTTTGAGTATGGAGTTGACGACTCTATGATAAACAGATTAGCTTAGAAAAAAGTTGTTAGCCAGAGCTGTCAAGTGCAAAACCAACCTTTCAAATTCTGATCCGCAATGACGGCTGAAACTCTACGCCTAGGCTCAGTTCCTACTTCCACAACCGTGTTTGTCAACATGTAGAGCCTTCAAGCCTCTATTAAACAGATTTAAATGAGGAAAAGTTGTCAGCAAGAGCTGTTGGGTGAAAAATCAACCTTTCTAAAAGTTATCCGTAATGACAGCTAAGAGGCACGGTGGACATTGAATTACAACTTCCCATGCCATACTATTAAATAAGAAAAACTTTCTTAAAGAAAGTTACAAAGACTGGAAACTCATGCATTACTTTAATTTCTGTACATTTAGTAACAAAGATGAGCGGATGAGAGATTGAGTCTTATAGAGGTTCAAATATATCTCAGAGAGGTTCAAATATTTCTTTAGCTTGATTTTCTTGTCAGAAGGACCTTCGGTTGCCTATCATATTCTGTGACAGTTCTTCGAGTTTAGGTGGTTGTGTTCTGATAAGCAGTTAGAAGGTTCTTGCGTCATCTTTACGTGATTGAATATACGTTGTTTTGAAACATCACAGTTTACAATGATCACTGTTAAAATAGGATTGGTGTGATGAAATTTTGTGAGCTTGATTTGAAACAACTTCCAAGCCAAGAAACTAATTAAGAATCAGACGTCTGAGAACCAAATGTGTTTTCCTTTTCGTTTAAGCATGGCTAACAACGCTGAGAAGACACTAGTTGTCCCGCCTTGCGCGTTTTAGCGGCGCTATCGGACTGCTTAAGACCAGGGTTTAAGGAAATTGAAAGATTAATGTGCCATCGAACATGAATGTTCTCTCAGTCAGCAAATACGAAACATTCCTTTGATTCAATTGCAAATTTTCCGTCAAGTTCTGACATGAACTACTTAGACTTTAATTCTACATACTGCTCCTGAGTTGTCAATAAGGAGATGGTATCTATTTTTTATCATCGATTTCTTTCGATTCAAAAGACAGGAATTAGATCATGCTGATCAAACCTCGCAAGTAACCGTTAGGCACGAAGTTGTGCCGATCAATTTTGATCAAATGTGCAGTAGAGGTTCCTAGCGTACGCGCGCGGCAACAAAAGAACATCAGTGTTAGCTATGAGTGAACAGTGTGGGTGACGAGAAGAAAGACCGAGGTGCTGCTATTTTTTTTTTAACAGGTTGACGTCTTGTGCTCTCATCAAACTATCAAATGTTTGGTTAAAAGCAGTTTCATATTTTCTGGTCTGAGTTGTCTCTGTAGTATAAATCTTTGTTTACTTTTAAAAAAATTCATATGCTGATTGAAAAGGAAATTGCTTTTTGCAAACCTGTCCAAAGTGAATTTAGCTAAAAGCTGTAGCTACGTCATAATCGATAATGATTAAAATCAATATCAAATTCGTCACTTATGATTGACAGGTTTAAAATTCGAAGCCATTCGTTACGTTGACTATCAACAAAACAGTCGGGAGGAAGACGGCGGGAAAGTCTCTGAGAAAACGGCTTCGCACTACAGTATCTGTTGTCTACTTATCTCTCTCACAGTAAAGGTGTTAACAAAGAGGACAAGACCAAGGACAAGAACAGGAGGACGAAAAAAAAGATGGAGTTTATCAACAATACGAACATCACAAACTCAACCGAGCCCTCCACGGTGGAATCTGTTTCCTGGATAGAACAATATGAAGAACCAGAAGCTCTTTACATCTTCCGTTTAACCCTGTTCTCCGTGATCATCTCGGCCAGTTTAATCGGCAACTCGATGGTTTGTTATGCTGTGTGTACCATACCTTCGAACCGCAAGCCTCTGTCTTACCATCTCGTCGCTAACATGGCCTTCGCAGAAATTCTAAGCAGCGTTTGTTTGGCCGTCATGTTTGCAAGCTGGCAGAATCCAACTGACGTCGTTTTTCAAGAAGCCGCATGCATTTTGAATCCGTTCCAAGTACTTGCTCTTCTCGTTGTAATCTACTCACTGGCTGCCATCGCTTTTTATCGTTACAGATTCACTGTAAACCCTCTTCCACGCGAACCATCCGTTAAGAAGATTACACTTCTGACCATATCTGGGTTGTGGCTGATGTCATTTGCAATCGCCTGCCCCTTTTTCTTCGGTCTCAGATTTAGAAATGGTGTATGCATGGAGCTGTCTGTCGTAAATAATAGATCCTATGTAGCCATCAGATTCATCCTGAATTACGCTTTACCTTATGTAATAATGGTGGTATCTTACGGAGCAGTGGCGTGGAACGTGAAGATGCGAATTGTACAGATTAACGAAAGAAATCGGACCTCGACTGCCGAATCGTCTTGTGTTGTCCAAATCGAAGATCAAATAGAGCTACAAGATATGGGAGAGGACACGAGAATGGAGGAACGAAAGAGTGTCGTGGTCGATCAGAATAACCGAAGAGACAGCAAACCCGAAAACAAAGACCCGGAGAAAGATTTGTTTAAGATGATTTTTATGCTTATTATCATTTATGTCGTTTGTTATTTTCCATATCAAGCCCATTATGTGTGGGAAAGGGTTTGTAACATCACTGCGTATCAATTTAGATATCATCGACTCTTTATTGATTATAATTTTATTTTGATTTGCCTTCCCAGCGCCTTACATCCTTTGTGTTATGGAACAATGAACAGTTTCTTTGCTAAGGCGTTCTCCAAAATCATTCTTTGTAGATCTTATGAATAATATGTATCTCAAGTCGTAAGCGGAACTTGGAATTAACCTTTACCAAGCTGCGAAACTGACTCATTTTTTAAATCGAGCTCAGCAAAAGTTCTGAGCTCCCAATATGGTATCTTTAAATATCTTGCAGCCATCTTGGATACGAAAGGGAAGTTCTCCAGTCAAGAGTTCCAGAGTTTAAATAGCGCAAAAATTTGTTTGCGGAAAACTGTTTGTTTTTGAACAACTTTGAAAAAAAATATACCTCTTATAACGATGCAAGCTTGGTAGAGGTTGATGTGTAAGAGTATGTTTATTTTAAAAATATACAATTTACGTCAGCGAGGGCACTCGCGTCAATAGACTCCTTTGTGTTAATTACAGGAACACTGTGAAACGGATACCTTCAATAACGTATTGAAAATTGAGTTATGCTGGGGATCGTTTTCAGCAAGATCAGATTAATGCAAACCAGACTTTCAATTTGCCGTCGTAAATAACGACTTCCTGCCGCCACATGTATTGTGTACAAAAACTCTTGAGAATTACATATCAATGGCTTTGCTTGTAAATATGCTCATCTCTCACAAGGGAAATTACTAAGACTAGAAGCTCATCGATTATTTTCTGATCATTCAGTTCCTTGAGCAAAATTTGCCAGATATCATATAGTTTCAACTATTGTATGTAGAAATATAGGCTTCCGGTGATTTAATGAGACGAAGCTGATTAAAGGATTTTAAAATGTGATCAATAACTGTAAAAGTTCTCTGAAATACTTAAGGAAATCTGGATATGTGTTTATTTGCAAAGATGGGAGAGTATTCTTGTTAACTTAAAATATGCCTGAAAAGAACTGATTCTGTAGGCACAAGAAATATATTTGACTCCTGATAAATCGAACTTATAGGGAAAGGGAAAGAGCTTCAAGTAATCGGGTGATCGGGTTATCGGGCGAAGGGAACAAGTGACCAGAAATATGAAACAGATGGTGTTTTTTGTATTTTTATTAATACATTGCACGTTTTAATAACATTAACCTACGAGATGTCGGTTTGAATAAAAATTTCAGCAAGCAGTCAAATCAGCGTTAGGTTCGAGTCCGCAAATGTTCCAGTTATTAGAGATGTACATGTGTTGAACAGCAGGGGGAGAAACTTCGCGAACAATCTTGTAAAACCGTATCACAAGCGTGTCCTCGTTGCGTGATTTTTTGCTCAGGAAGGGAGAAACACCTACACTTGATGGATAGTCTTAATAAAGAAATAACCCTGATGTAATTACAATTAACGCTGAGTGTGAGTCGATTTGTTTTAAACAGCCCCAGGTCTCCAGACAAGGTGACGATCAGAAGTCAAAACATCCTGCAATTTAATTTTTTGTCAAGAAACTCCAAGTTGTCTACAGCTAATAGAGCTAAAGAATATTATAGATCTCATAAGGTAGATGAAAGAAGGAAACGGGAAAATCTACCTTTAAACATCTCTCAGATGTTCCTTCAGTCGGTAAACATAACATGTTCGCCGGAATTAATTGCAAATTTCAGTCTGTACCTTAAACGTTAAAGTACAGACTGCACATAAATAATAACTATATATAAAAGTTCTATGAAATAACGGAATTGAGTTGTCAGTCATAAGATAGACCTAAGTATTTGTTCTCTTAATTTCAAGTGATCATTGGTTCTTTTCAAAGAAAATGACAGAAGTATAGACGCATTGATCTCAACAATAATATGATAACCGTCTTTAAAACGTGCTGTTCAATTTGAATTAAAATGTGTGGAGGATTTTTCTGGAATACGTGCGTGGTTGAAAGGCCTCACTGACACTGAAGGCCGATTTACACGACAGAAAATTTTTGGCACGGCTCGGATGAAATTGGTACGCGTACCAGAAACATTGGTTCGGCACGGATGAATTTAGTCGTGTAAACAACTTTGCCTCATCCGTGCCGACCGATGTTTCTGGCACCCGAACCAAAATTTTATCCGTGCTCGGACCTACTCGCGAGGTAGTCCGAGCACGGATAAAATTGGTACGCGTTCCAAAAACTCTAGCCCGGGTCGGATAAAGTGCGTAGTGTAAACGATAAGCCGTGCCAAACCAACATTTTCCGAGTGAGCCTTTATGCGATTAGTCAGCACCATTTGTTGGGAGCATGTGCAGAAAGTTCACTTCACGTTTCAACATGGCGGAAGCAAACTCCAAAGGAAAGTCGCCCAAAAAATCGCGTGGATACTCATGGAAAGAGGAAGATGTAAAGGAATTAATTCAAATAATGCAAGAAGAGACAGTTATGTTTAGTCTGGATAATGCGAAGACGCCAAAGGAGAAAAGGGCCGCTTACAAAACTGTTCAAGTACAGATGCAAAAGAAAGGTAAGCTGATCGATGTTTATGCCCCAGGGGTTTATGCGAAAGGTTTTCAATGAAAAACTAGTTAGATCGAAATTAGTACTTTCCATTTGTAACAGGGACTCTTCAAATTTCATCGTGATGCTAGTTAAGGTACTGGATGTTATTTTCGCTCGCCATTTCGTATGTCAGATAATGCAAGCCTTGATGAAGAGAAGTGTTTGTTGTAGAATACCTGGCAACTTAGCCTCTTTGTTTTGTAGGTATTAATATCAGTTTAGATGCCATCATTAACAAATGGAAAAAGCTGAGACAGCAGTACAAACAACATCACGATAAGCAAAAAAGAAGTGGCACTGAACGTCAGAAAAAATGGAAGTTTTTTGATGAGATGGATCAAGCATGTGGTCACAGGGACACATCTTCGCCTGCATGCCTTATTGATTCAAGTGCACCTGCTGAAAGTACAGGTTTGTTTCATCATCATCATCATCATCATCATCATCATCATCATGTTCGCCAGTCACTACAGCCTGAAGTAACATCATCATTTACCAAAATTAACAAGATTTTGATTTGTAATGCTGACAGAAGTGGTAGCTCAGTATGTTACTGTCTTACAAACTTTTACTAAATGCAACTTTGGAATCACATAATTTTCTTGTACTTCCCCTGTTTACCTTACCTTCTCTGTGTTCGTAATTGTTTTGTTCCCCTGTTAAGATTTGGATAGCGGAACAGAAGGGAACATTGAGGACGAAACCAACGTCGAATCTGGTGATGAAGCTGACAATGAAGAGTTGAGCTCAAATTCAAAAGGCAGTGTTGAGGGAAGCAGTGGGGCAAGAGAGGAAAGACTAAGTGGGGCAAAAAAACCCAAATTGGAGATGGAAGCGGAAGCAAAAACTGATACGAAAAAAAACAAAGTTGTCAAGAAAGGCAAAATGACCAGATTTGAGAAATCGTTTGCAGTGTTAACCGAGAGCTTCAAAACTGCCGCTGAACAGGAGATGGACATGCTTGTAAAGCTTGAGAACATGCGCCAAAAAGAAATGTTGGTGCACGAAATACGGCTGAAAGAATTAGAGAATGAGCGTCGCAGGGAGGAGCGACAACATGAGCTGATGTTGGTTAATCTTTTAAGCCAAAATAGAAATTCATTTCAAAGAATGGATTTCTATGAAGGAAGCAACCCTGTCCACAGTGGCAGTGAGAGCAGCTTTTATGAAATGTAAAGACTTATAGTTTTCAGAGGTTGCCGTTGGTTGTTGTTGATGTGGAGACAATTTGTGAAAAGGCTTTTTTCCCTCTGTTTTGTAACCATCTGGTTCACATCTTTCATACGGAAATAGTTTTACGTGACTGTTTATTGTCCTTGAGACCAAATTATTTGGTCATTTTAAAGAAGGTTAAAATCAGCAAGGGAATATATTGTTCTGTACACTATTGATGCATTGTGTTTTAGAAAACATGGGTAAGAACCAGAATTAAAGACTTTTTTAAGTGTAAGAAATTTTGGCGTTGTTTAAGCTGACATCTTACTGATATGAAGCTGGAATAGAAGTTAAAAGTTATGTTCATCAGGACTAACAAGTTTCTGTTACAAATTTATTATATTGTTAGTTTAAGAACCACTTGTGGAACAAATTTGTTACTATCATTGTTAATATTTCTCTGAAAACCACTTTCAAATAAAGTTGCTGTTTGAACTGTTTTTATTGTGATCATCATTGGTTTATTTATAATTTACATGAGAAACTCAACAGACTAATTACTTTTTTTTTCAATTGATGTTAAAACCTCGCACAAGCAGAGATACAACTTTTTGATTGCAAAATTAAACAAAACCTCCCACAAAAAAGTGCAAGATGTCATTGATACAACAATTCATATGATAAACTCAGGATCCATGGCAGCAACTGTCTAACTGTAATGAATGTGAAAGTGTTTTGTGACTGTGAAATTATTCACCACCCCTTCCAATATGTCGGCCCTCTGGTGTCCTAAAGAATAGTGCAAGGGCATCTCGAATGTTGGCGGCATCTGTTTCAGTCTGTCTTTCGATAATTGCCAATGGGATGATGTCGGGCTGTTCAACAGCATTCTGTATATCCTCGAGCCATTCTTCTAAAAAGGCATCCCTCTTTAATTCACAGATGTTATGAAAGATGCATGAAGCAACCACAAGGTAACATGTGGAGTCAACAGCCATATCAACACGCTTAAGAACTCGTCGAAAACGTCCTTTCCATCTACCAAATGTGTCCTCTACAGTCATACGTGCTCTGCTAAGCCTATAATTAAAGTGCCTCTGCCAGTTGGGTGTGTTTTGATTTTCTGGGTAAGCTTTTATTAGCCAGTCCAAGAGAGGGTAAGCAGGGTCGCCAAGAATAACAGGAGCAATATCAATACCGAGTATTGTTTCTTTGATATTGGGATCAAAAAGATCTCCGTTACATCCACGATTATAAATTTCTGAATTAGAAAGCACTCTTGCGTCATGGACGCTGCCTGGCCAACCAATGACCACATCTCGAAATAAGTACTTTGAGTCCACCATTGCCTGCAGCACTATACTGTGATAAGATTTCCTATTTATATAATCAGTACGATTTTCCAGAGGAGCTTGTATTGGAATGTGGGTGCCATCTATAGCACCTGCACATGAGGGAAATCCCCATTTCTCCTTGTAGAGCTTCATGACTTCACTCAAATCTACTCCCTTTGGTATTGACAAGAAATCTTTTTTCAGCTTTTTTGTTATTGCTTTGCAAACATCTTTTATGCAAAGACAAACAAACGACTTTGATACCCCAAATAAGTTTGCTATTGTCCGGTATTCCGCTGTGGAGCTCATGTAATAAAGTGTTATGGCTGTTCTCTTCCTTGGGGAGATGGCTTTACGCATTGAAGTATCCTGACGACCAATTTCGTCTTCAATCTGTGAAACAATGTATTCAAATGTTGTTTTGGAAACACGAAAGTTATCGTACCACTCCTTGTCGGTGAATGCGGTTTCCACGATCTGAAACCATTGATCTGTGCGTGCCAATGTCCAGAATCTTCGCTCTATAGTATTACAAGCTAGCACGGATGCAATTATCAACAATTTGTATATTCTTCTTCTTTTTCTGTTCTTCTGGAAAGATAAAGACGAAAAGCTTGACTTCGTAATTCCTTTCGAAAAGACGCTAGATCTTTTTAGCAGGAGAAACTCAAGATACTTTTCGTCCGCCATGATGTTCTTACTTAGCAAGCCGCATGCGTACGAAGCGAGAATTGCGAACGCTGGCCAAGATGTTGAGCCTTTTACCCGAACCAAGACGTTAATTCCAACCGCTTAGCACGGCAGAAAAAAGGACGTGTAAACAAGCACCAGTGCTACTTTTTTTTGGTACGCGAACCGTTTTTACCCGAGCCGTACCAAAAATTTTCTTCCGTGTAAATCGGCCTTGAGTGAATTGTCCGAGTGATGAGTTAAAATGCGGCTTCGAATATGTTATGCAGTTGAGGTTGTAGTTGAGGGGTTTCTCGGTGAAAATCCAAGATGTAAAGGAAAATCGCGGCCCTCAAACGCCCAAAACATTAAGCAGGATTTCCACTGTTGCTTTTATCCATGCGCGTAAACGTGCGTTTAAAAAAATTACATACTTTGGTACGTTGAGATGAACGTTTACGTGCGTCGACAAAACGTTATCATATTTCTACTTCCTCGTTTTTTTTTCTGGAGGTTTACGTACTACGTGCGTTTTACGCACGTTGCAATCGTAAGAGTGCAAGTTAAGTTGCACACGGCTTCAACTTCTACGCACAGGCCAACATTTTCCTCACGTTAAAAGGCATGGCAGTCATTTTTACGTGGCGGTGGAAATTGTTCGCATGCGTTTTCTTTACGCACGTTTTACGAACAGAAAAACTCATGCGACACTGGAAGCCGTGAATACACATTTACATGGGCAGCAACTGGACGGCTCATGAGGAACCAAAAAAATTTGTTAAAAGCCCTTGCTACGTCACAATCGACATTTCGCGTGCTTTTCCCCCTAAACAAACCCAAATGAAAATCTGCTTGCAAATCCAGCGAGAATTGAGCGGCGGTCAGTTTAGTCTATCGCTATATCTTAAATTATTCAGAACGATTTCAAATTCCTCTTATAATACAACGGCATCTTCAAGGTACAGATCTGTTTGAAAGAAAAAGATTACCGAAAAAAAAATATCGGCACTTGCGGAAGGTTTGGATTCTAAGTTTTTTGTTGTTGTGTCGACAAGCTGTGTTTGCGCTAATCACAGTGAAATTTTCCCGCGCAGTCGTTCGTCATGAGCAGCTTTTTAAAATAACTTTTTTGTGTCCTTTGATTGCCGTCGCCATTTTCATACTCTCAACAAAGTCGCAGACGGGAATATTTTGTAAATGAGAGAACCTTTTCTCAACGGTTCATTACAAACGTTTTCGCGTACACGGTTCCTATTTAAGCTAAAATTTAATGCTTTTCAAAGCAGTCTTAAACTGCCATATTAGGAACAGGTTTTGATATCTTCTTGTCAAGCTTTCGCAAAGAATGATTTGATAAAGGAGATAGCATCCTCATAAGAAACAAGTGCCGTAAAATGAATGAAATCTTATCAATCGGGCTACCTTAGCTGCTCGACGATATTAACATTTTTCTACGATCACATTTCTGCCTATAAGTGTCTGTATATCTATCTTGCTAGGGTAGTAGCAGAAATTTCTCCACAGCACAATATCCGAGAAATAAAAACTAGGTAGCTTCTTGGAAGCATTGTTAACGTCTTGTTCAGCTCATTTAAAGATAAAAATTGAAATACAATTTGTGGGAATGATTCGAGGAAAGGTCGAAATCAAGTTATGCCGACTGTACAGCACGCCATACTAACCTGATCAATAATTCACTACCGAAATAAGATGGAGCGTCATTTGATTGAATTCATAAAAGAAATTTCGACTGTCAGCAAGATAAACATCCCATGGAGACAAAGAGAGCGCGGCAAAACTCGTGTGACTAAGAGGCGGTGCAAATTTTCTAAACCAATCCCAGTCATAAAGCATCGTGATGTAACACCAATTAACTTCATCTTTAAAAAATAATCTACCAGCAGTACACCGTATCTTCTTGATTCAAAGGTGGGAATCCAAGTTAGAATCGTTATAATAAAAACTTTTGTTGCTGCGAGCATCAGCGAGCAGCAAAACTATTCCTGACTTTCCGTGTGAGGCCTGGGCTCTAAATGTATGCGTTCAACACTCGATCCATTGAATTGTGACTTCGTTCGTTCGGTGGTGATGATTTTGAAGATGCAGTATGAAGATCAGCGGCGGTAGTTTTTAATTGTGCGTGTGCAGCCCACATGGTCCAATGTTCCTGCCATCAAGCCCTGGGGAGTTCATTAGTCGACCAGCAAGTAAGTTTTTTATTGCTCTTTTTGAACTGATCTATCATGTCAGGTGCAATTCTATCAATCGCTGGAACTATTTATCAAGGTCACCGACGATTTGGTGACATTTCCAGGTGAAGAAAGTGCTTTCTTATGAGTTTTTCAGCGCTGTCGTGTGCACAATCATGTCCAGTGCGACACTTGGATACTGCTGACGGGGATTGTCGATCCTTTTATTTTCATTTATTAATCAAGTCGACTTTTGGGCTATTGTGTTTATGTAATAAACAAAATAATAGATGGTTATTTTCAGATATAAAATTTCTCTTCTCGTATTTGTTCTAGAGTTTTGCGGCTTTCCGAATTGCTTAGATAGAGGGAAATGCCGCAAACTGCTATATACTGCTCAGAGTAATTCGGGAAATTGCAGTGTCTAGCGACTGGTTTGGATGCGTCCTTTTCATTTCTTTCTACGTCACGAAATTGTTCTCGGAATCGGTCACCTAGTCGTCTTCCTGTTTCACTAATGTATAACTTTTTGTATCAAATGCTAGTTACGCAATAGATGACATTGGCGGAGGTGCACGTGAAGTGATCGGTAATCTTAATGGATCTCTCGGGTTCCGACATTTTCTCTACGTTGTAAATGAAAGGACAAGTTTTGCATCGAGAGCGAGCGCATTTGCTTAGTTCCGTTGGTCTCATATCTTGAACTTTTGACCAAGAAGTTGCTTATGTTTTTGTTACGTTGGAACGAAATTAGTGGAGGTTGCGTAAAGGTAGTACCGGTCTCTGAATCGTTTTGAAGTAATTTAAAGTTTTTAACATTTGTAACGTTGCTCAAGAGTATCTTCCACTATCTTTGTTGCCGCAGATGTGCAGGCCGCATAAACATTTATCATCGTGATAAGTCTGTATATGTTAAAAAGCCAATTTTGAGATAAACTCACCACTCCTGAACGGCGTAAAATGCTGAGGAACAAGTTGACAAAACTTTCATCCGGAAACTGCTTTAATAACAATGCAAAACAAACCTGAGAATTTGCTCGAACTTGAGCAAAGCATTCTACGACTTGAGATACATATTTATTCTTGTGTTTTCAAGATCTACAAAGAATGATTTTGGAGAACGCCTTAGCAAAGAAACTGTTCATTGTCCCATAACACAAAGGATGTAAGGCGCTGGGAAGGCAAATCAAAATAAAATTATAATCAATAAAGAGTTGATGATATCTAAATTGATGCCTAGTGATGTTACAAACCCTTTCCCACACATAGTGGGCTTGATACGGGAAATAACAAACAACAAAAATAATGATAAGCATAAAAATCATTTTAAGTAAATCTTTTTCTGGGTCTGTGTTTTCGGGTTTACTGTCTCTTCGGTTATTCTGATCGAGCAGAACACTTCTTCGTTCCTCCATTCTCGCGCCATCTCGCAACTCATGGAGTTTAGTTTCAACAATGCAAGAGGGTGCAACATTCAAATCCCGATTCCTTTTCTTTATCTGTGCGATTCGCCTCCTTAAGTTCCACGCCACTGTTCCGTAAGATGCTAGCATTATCATATATGGTAAAGCGTAATTCAGGATGAATCTGATAGCTACATAGGATCTATTACTTACGACAGACAGCTCCTCACACTCACCATTTCTAAACCTGAGACCAAAGAAATAGGGGAAGGCGATTGCAAATGACAACAGCCACAGCCCAGATATGGTCAGAATTGTAATCTTCTTAGCGGATGATCCGCGTGGAAGAGGGTTTACAATGAATCTGTAACGATAAAAAGCGATGGCAGCCAGTGAGTAGATCACAACGAGAAGAGCAATTACTTGGAACGGATTCAAAATGCATGCGGCCTCTTGAAGAACGACGTCAGTTGGATTCTGCCAGCTCGCAAACATGACGGTCAAACAAACACTGCTTAGAATTTCTGCGAAGGCCATGTTAGCGACGAGATGGTAGGACAGAGGCTTGCGGGAAGGTATGGTAGACACAGCATAACAAACCATCGAGTTGCCGATTAAACTGGCCGAGATGATCACGGAGAAGAGGGTTAAACGGAAAATGTACAGAGCTTTTGGTTCTTCATATTGTTCAATTGTGCTCTCGGTGGAGGTATTGGTTCCATTTATGGTAGTGTTGGTAAATAACGACATTTCTGTGTTCCTTCGATGGAGAACTCTTAAGGGCTGAAAAAGAACGTTACATAGAATCGTCTATCTCAGGTGACTTGCTCTACTGCTACTAAAAGAGATATACAGAAACTTAATCCATGGTAGCTAATTTACATATCACTGCACTCTTACCTTTAAGAATCAATTAAACGTTTTTTATGCCATTGGATGTCGACAGTTAGATTTTGGTGCTTTCTGAAATTCCACATTTATGGCGAATTTACGGAAGTTATAGAAAATTGATAGCATTCCAAAACTTCCAGAGCCGCGACGAATTGTCTTTCAATCATTCTTTGTCCATCCTCAAGTGTTTGTAACAACTTAAGAGAGTGTCTCTGTAAGAGCGGTCTGGTCGATTTTGCTTGAGAGACGGATTTCGCTCGTTTCTCGTGTGTTGTAAGACATTCATGTACCTATACTAAAACCACAATCAGTTTGATCGGATCTCTTTATTTTTCAGAGTTTAACGGAAATTAAATTTCACTCGAGCGAAGGCTTGTTGTGACACTTTTCAAGACTTTAATTTCATACAACTTTAGAGGACAATTTACAAAAAACTACGAAACTCAGCAAAAAAAAAATACCACAGTCATGTATATTAACTCTATCTTATCTATCGAGGCGACTTTCGTAAACATCACGTGTCAATCAAGGAAACAGGAAGACTTGAATGACACCTTATCGGTTCGCCTAAATCAAACACGCCAAAACCGATCAAATTCAAGGTAAATTTTTGAAAAAGTGAGGAGTTCTTAACTGATCTAACTAACATAGCTAGGAAGTAGGTGCCATAGAAAAGATAACTACAGAAAAAAACTTTGCGGCCCGACCTTTACGAGAACTTTATAACTCCGTGAACTTACCTAATTTTCGGCAATCTCCAAGTTTGGCCGCCATTTTGAGGGACTTGTCAACATGAAGCGTAACCGATATAAATAGGGCAGGTTAATCTAAAACCGTCAGAAATATATAAGAAAGCAATTCAAATGAACTTTACTTTCAATTCAAGCGGCAAAATTTGAAATTGTTTGTTAAACTTACCATCCCCATGCGACCATTTATTCCGACAATACAAACACTACAACTTTCTGAATTCCCCTCGTCGATTCCACCGCAAGAAATAACCTGTGCCACCCAAGCTTCGACTCGAATGTGAAGTACGAATCAAATAACATAACTGCTTCATCTTCGCGACAATATCACGCTGGTATTTTGATTTTCCGATCGACAAGAACGGTGATCGAGAATCGATCGGTTTGTTTACCTCGTAAACGTGACCGCTGACCAGCTGCTGAGTGAAAACAGTACGGTTCAGTGGCGAGGGGCGGGGTGAGGGGTGGATTATCAGAAGGTTTTTGGGAACATTCGATAAACATTAGGATTCTCAGTCTTGTCTTTGCCCAACTCTGAGAGCGTGGAGCGGCGAAGACGCGAGATACGAGTCTCGCGTCTCGCGGATTCACCATGCTCACAGGATACGCGTGACCTCACTATCTTTAAGAAAAATAAGAGACTGCTCGAAGTCTGTATTCCGTTCAACCATTTTATAAGAGTGACGCGAGTCTTTCAATTGAATGAGAAAGTCACGAATTACAGTAGGCTTCTCCTTTGACACGGAAATTGAAATCGTATCGAATATACAAAGTTATAATGAGTTCCTTTAGATCTCCCGAACTTGTATCGCGTTGGAAACAATTACAAGTACAGGAAGAAGTCGTTCACAAGCGAGACGTTCATTATGTCTCAGGACTGCTTTTTGAATAGCAAAGATGGAAAAAACTTTGGTTCATCGTGTGGCTTAAGTGGTTTGGTACGACTGTCTGAATACAATGACGAAGTCAATGACGAAACATCATTTGATAAGCTGCCACCTGTCTAAAGAGGTTTTTAAGTGAAAATGAGCTAATCTTGGCAAGGATTGGCCTATTTCACCTCGCTCAGGAGGATAAACAAAAAAATGTGGATTTGCTATAGGCATCGCTACACTCTGGGGAAGTTTTGGAGAAGTGCAAAGGTAACACGTCAGTACCCTGATCATGATGGTGTCAGGAAGCGTATCCAAGGCAGAGATGTAATTACCTTGCATATGTCTCAGGACGTTTAAAAGCTGTTTAGAGTTATTATTCCAGTTGAATCAGGTGGTCTTCAGTAACATTTTCTGTTATCTATTTTTGTCACGTGACATATCTGCTCGAAAAGAGAAGAAATTCTTTATTAGATGAAGGGTACTTAAGTACACATCACGTTGAAAAAAAATAGATCTATGTGTAAGTGCTTTTCATCACAGATGGAAATATGTACAAAGTTGCTCGGTTGATAATCAATAATGTTTTTGTAGAAGATCAAATCACCTGACAACGCAATCTACTTACTCATGCGTACGGTTCACAATTATTTGCGGTCAGTTTTCCTCACTTTGTATGATTCTCATTAACCGATATGATTAAATTTGCAGACTAAAACACTCCTTATTTGATTAAGAATAATAAAAGTAAACAGTGCATGTCGGTTTTTAATTCCTGATGGATGCTACTGGGCATTACTTTAACTGAGAAATTTGCAATCGCTTACCTCAGCTCACTGTGTCCCATGCCGTAAGAAGCACAAGAAAAAAGTTGATGATAGTGAGTCTTGGCTAAGACAAGAAGAATCAGAGAAGAATCTACGGTCCCCAGAAACGCCACTTTTAAATACGAGACAACTAAGGTAAATTGAATGAATTGTTATTTGTTTTATTTAAAACTATCGTTCAGATTACAAGATACGCGAAAAACTCTCCCCACCGATTTTTTCCTACATTCTGTTAATCAAAAGTTTCAATAATTATAAAGGCTTTCTTGTTGATCGTCTTAATAGTAACAGTTTCCAGGATCCAAGGGGAGCAAAAGAGAGAACAATTTTCTGTGTAGCTAGGTAAGGCGACATGCCGGCTTTATACTTCTTCCGGCGTGATAACGATAATGATGACAACAATAGGAAAAAAGCACCGTCCGCTAATGATGACGATTATCATAGTTATTAACAATTCTCAGTTATAGTCCTGAAAAAAATCTCAAGGGGTCCTTTGAACCATCCTCTTAATCTCGCCAGAAGTCAAAGTTGCCTAAACTCATTCTAAGGTTCGTGCGATTTTACGACGAATTTTCAATTCCGGTGTGTTGCACGCGCGACTTTTGATAGAAAAAACCTGCACGCGCCATAACTTAAAAGAACGTGTCAGCGGAATGAATCAAATCTCTATCACTTTGCATACATTCTTGGGAACAGAAAAAATACTTAGAGCAAACATTCGAAGTATAGTGTTCATTCCGTGCAATGGGGCATAAATAAAAAGTTCTGGTGGAAAAGACATTTTATTTTATACCACTGATGACAAGCAAAAAGGTTATATGGGTGCCCCGGTTAAAAATATATTGATAACTCTATTAATTAATACCAGTTCTAATTTAAAGGAGAAAGTTATGAGAATAAAATAAAAATTGTCTGTACCTCGAAGCATGCCTTCACTGTTTAGACTGATAGTCCTAAAGCTTTTTGAGCATGCATTCGACTATCTTATGACGATAAGCCCGCCAACCACCCCACCCCGCGCTATGCTATTTTCACTTAGCGGCTGGTCAGAGGTCACGTTTACGAGGTAAACAAACCGATCTATTCCTGATCACCGTTCTTGTCGATCGGAAAATCAAAATACCAGTGTGATATTGCCGCGAAGATGAAGCAGTTAAGTTACTTGATTCGTACTTCATATTCGAGTCGAAGCTTGGGTGGCACAGGTTATTTCTTGCGGTTGAATCGACGAGGGGAATTCGAACACTAGTTGTAGTGTTTGAATTGTTGAAAGAAATGGTCGCATGAGGATTGTAAGTTTAACGAACAATTTCAAATTTTGCCGCTTGAATTGAAAGTAAAGTTTATTTGAATTGCTTTCGTATGTATTTCTGACGGGTTTAGATTTACCTGCTTGATTTATATCGGTTACGCTTCATGTTGACAAGTCCCTCAAAATGGCGGCCAAACTTGGAGATTGCCGAAAATTAGGTAAGTTCACGGAGTTATAAAGTTCTCGTAAAGGTCGGGCCGCAAAGTTTTTTTCTGTAGTTATCTTTTCTATGGCACCTACTTCCTAGCTATGTTAGTTGGATCAGTTAAGAACGCCTCACTTTTTCAAAAATTTACCTTGAATTTGATCGGTTTTGGCGTGTTTGATTTAGGCGAACCGATAAGGTGTCATTCAAGTCTTCCTGTTTCCTTGATTGACACGTGATGTTTACGAAAGTCGCCTTGATAGATAAGATAGAGTTAATATACATGACTGTGGTATTTGTTTTTCGCTGAGTTACGTAGTTTTTTGTAAATTGTCCTCTAAAGTTGTATGAAATTAAAGTCTTGAAAAGTGTCACAACAAGCCTTCGCTCGAGTGAAATTTAATTTCCGTAAAACTCTGAAAAATAAAGATATCCGATCAAACTGATTGTGGTTTTAGTATAGGTACATGAATGTCTTACAACACACGAGAAACGAGCGAAATCCGTGTCCCAAGCAAAATCGACCAGACCACTCTTACAGAGACACTCTCTTAAATATCAGGAACAATGAGCTAATGCATCGAAGACAAATAATGGCCTTGATAGCAATTATTTACTTTAGTGGAAGGAAGGAAGTACTCATAATTTTTATCATGGAAGAATAACCCTTCGGATGGATAGATATAAATTTTCAAAACTGTCGGCTGAAGGAGTTAATGAGCCGACACAACGGGGTTTTTGTTTTCATAATTTGAAGGTAGTTTTTGAATTCGTCTTGTCACATATAGACTTAACTTAAAACTCATATTGCCGTGGCGCGTTGGTGAGCTGTGGTTTCCTGATTTGCAATGTTTGTTCCGTATTCTTATACATTCCGAGCTTGACTTTTCATTGCCAGCAAAACTCACTTTGTAGGCTGATGGACAAAAAAAAACCTATTTCCTTGCATCAAGTTTATGGTGTTTTGCAGTTCAGTCAATACAACCCGATTCAAAATTACCTTTTCGCGGTTCGCGTCAAACATTCCATACCTAGCTGGAGTGCACCTACTACGGTAAAGCGGCATTCGAAATTCTATAAAACTATAATAACATAAATAGATGGCAAAGTTCCCTTGCTTTTAATAAATTTGCCGTTTTTATGATAGATATTGGTTGTTCTCTGTCACCACACGTACTATTTGTACAGAGGGAACTTTGCTCATTTGCGACAGTCTATGAAAACAGAACAATAGCTTAATTCACGATGCGTTGCCCTCAGCGCCATTCGGACTTTCATAAAAAATTATATTTTTTGGTGCAGCAAATATAACGGAACCAAAATACTGAGTTTTATTGGGGCCCACCGACCGCAAGAATAAAAAATCAGAATCTTGTGCCTTGTTTGTTTTGCAAGTTAAGCGAATTGAATAATACGTTTTTAGGCTTTTTCTTCCCAATCAGAAAAATACTATTAGTAAATAAAACTGAAAAATCCGTGGATTGTTGTATTGAAAATGCCATTTGGTTCCGTTTAACATTTTAAGTTCGCTAATTATTCCCCTCGATCAAAAATAAATTTCGGTTGCAGAAAAAGAAAATTCAATACGCACGAAAACAAATAAGATAAATGATTACAGTCTATTTTAATTTGAATTTCATTTGCTTGCAAAGTAGAATTTTTGTCAGATGATTCAGCTCTCTTTGGACTCTCAAGAACAACAGACTTTGGGAATGAATACCTAGGTGATCACAAATCCATAGAAGCTTTATTTTGTTATCACTCCGGGAGTAGAAAAGCTTATAACTAGGGAATGTGAAGACAGCCTAGGAAGGACGCTTGTTTCTCCGCCCGCAGGAAGATTTGAGACGATTAAAGACAGGAAACCTAATTGAAAAAGGTTCCGCGATTGATTTGAATTTCTAAATTACATGCTAGCGTAATATAAACGTTCTTCTTTCACCGGTTTTATCAGTTCGCTGGTTTTATAATGTATATACGTAACTTAGCCACTGTAGAAATTTTCTAAAGCTGACGTTTCGAGCGTCAGTTCTTTGTCAGTGCGAATCACAACAATTTACAATTTGGTTTTCTCTACGGAGGCCAATTTACATTATAATAACATTTGACAATGCCGAAAAACCTTGTATTACCCTTCCACCAACGCAGCATCACAGTTTCTATAGAAATTTACGCAATAAGAAAGTCTTGTTTCAAATTCATACTTTGATCAATACTTGGATGAATGATACGGAAACCAGTTCTCCCGTACACAGAGCTTATTGCGTCAAGGTGGCAGCCGGCCTCGTACACAAAAATGGACCAGCGCTGCAAGTGCCAGTCTTCAACAGAACAAACCCACGCGGGACTTAAAGATTACTCATTTCCTGACAAAAAATTAACTTTTAAGGAGCAGATATTTTGTGGGTCAGCTGGATAGAAGTTGATATTTTGCACGAGCTGTGGTACAGTAAAGCTTCTTTGATGAACGGATGATGAACATCATAAATAAAAAAGCATTTATAAAAAAATTTATAGTTTTAATCGAGTATTCTAAATTTCATCAAGCGAATGCTACAAATTTTCGAAAGTGAGACTTCTTTTTTCTTCACAAAATAATATATCAATTTAAAAACGACCCACCTCTTCCGAGTATTTCCCTTTTTTTCTTCTTTTATCATTATTTTTATTTATGATTACGTAGCATACCATGTATAGGCATGATTCGAAACATATTATGGAAGCGTGGATCGAACGAGCACGACGAACTTTGATGCCCAATGCAGTCCAGGAACAGAAGATTTTAAGGATCCTCAGAAACATATTTGAAGTTAAGCTTCTCCCCTTTCCCTATCATGCAAGCCCTTCAGTTTGTCACGATTGAATCATGAATTAAAATATTCCATTACCTGAAAGACCTCACTGTGTTTGCTAAGTCCTCCTTTGGAAATATATAGGTTGACCGGCTTCACAAAACTGTACGGGAAGTAGTGAAAAATTGCGTGAGTGCGATGTGACAATTTTCAGCCCAGCTAGCAAAATCTTCTCTGCGTGAAATTATCGGCTTAATACCGCACCAAGCTCATAGAAACAAAGCAGCTGTTTTTTGTCGAAGAAAATTCCCTATATGCTTATTATCCTTCTTCACTTACAATTGATTGATTAAATTTTTTCCCTTAAAGAACATTTTTTATCACCATTAAACCATTTACTGCAACATTTGCTTCCGTAGAAAGTAAAATTAAATGACAAACAGATGAACAACTGTTTACCGAACGAAAACCTTTCAGAAATCTTTTTTTCTCGTAGGTAAACGGATGAATTATTCAACACAAATATCTTTTTATTTAAGGAAAAATTTTACGTGATGGTTAGTTTAAAATCTACTCTCCATTTTATCAATTGATTTCATCATAGGATTTCCCTGGATGGAGTGACAGACTGACAAGGAAATTGATTCCTACGTGTTAATTTTTATTACACTCAAACCGCAGTTTTTAAAGACCATCTTGAATACGAAGTGAGAGAAAATGTTGAATAAAACTTGTAAGAAGGAAATAGATGATTTAAGACCTCATTTGATATATGATAATTATTTCCTTTTAGGTTTATGCAGACGCTTCCTTGGTTTTTCCGCTATTGGTGGCGGAGACCTTTGCCCGGAATTTTAAAATGGACGACTGGGATTGAAAGGGGGTAAGCGATTTGGTGAAAAAAAAAAAACTTCGCCAACGCCAATGGAGACAAATTTTGAAGCTTCCAGGAGGCTTTCAGTGAAATTAAAAGACGGCGGACGTGGTCCAAATACAGAAGATTCTCGACATTTTGTAACAGCAGTAATTGAATTTATTTAATGAAAAGCTCGGGCCTTTAATTGTAGTTTGCATAAACCATGGTTCAAATATTCGTAGATTGTAGAAAGTAAATATAATGCAATGTCTTGAAGACTGCGTGGACTTCAATTCTTACTCACTTCAAAATATTGGCGCAATTAACATTAAGAACCCAAAGGAGTATTAAAAGATGGAAAATTGAAATTCGTTCTTCAATGCGAAATTTAAGTTTGTGAGGAAACTTTATACCGAGTTGCGAAAGGTTTTCTCGGGGAATTTGTGCCACCGCGCAAGATGCTGTGAACTCTTTATTTAAACAATCTTCACGTAGGGAAGAGTAAAAGTCAACACAAAACTAAACCTCAATGGCGAAACTTTACTTTGTTTTCTTCGTTACCTTAATTGCTTTGCATCTTTTCCTAAACACTAAAAAGGTAACCAAATCATCCAATGCGAGGAGTCTCTCGCCTCGAGTCAGAGCTCGCTTCCGATTTTTTCTCAGTTTTTCAAATAATGATTCCACTTGTCCCATCTGCTGAAGTTGTTATTAAAGAGTAAAGTTGTCAACAAGAAATGATGGTGTCTTTTTTTTTAAAACCGGGTTTGGAAAGGTTGAAAGAATTTAATTCATCGATTTGAAATCAATGAAAAGAACTCAGTGCGAGGAAAAACAACTGTCATCGCAGAACTTTGTGTTTCGATTGTTTTGATAGCTTTCTTATTCTAACATGTAAGGAGGAAGTTGTTAAACGGTGACAGCTTGCGATCTCGTATTTGTTTCTGTAATGAATTCGAAATAGTTACCAGTTTGACATTTAATTTCCGTTGTTGGATATAATGTTGGCATATAATAATGAACGCGTTTCAAACTGAAGAAAAAAAAAGCTTATTCATGTAGGGAAGAGTTTTAAGCCACTAAAAACATTCATGACAGAATTTCAATGCTGCTTTTATTTTCCACAGAGCTTTTCAGAAGTTACATTTGATCTGGCGTAATTACATGATTTTGTTTTTTTGTGTGTTCAGTACTATTAGATTAGAGGCGATCGACTTTGTATCCTTTTTCCTTGGTAAACATGTGTACATATGACGGTTAAACAATGTTCCTGTACGTTAACAAGTGTCATAACTATTTTTGTTGATGACCATCGAAAGATCAGCTTTCAATACTTTGATAGTGGAAACAAACGAGCATATTTTTTTCACAAATTGTTTCTTCATACTCGCTTTACTGAAGGTGAGACAATGAATTTCTTATTAGAAATATCACGTTCAACAAAACTCTTCAAATTAGTAGGACGTGCTTAATTAAACACTTTGCTGCACCCGAACGAACTCAAAATTAACTGTCATTTTTAATGGTAAGCTGCGTAAAACTCAGCCCTTTTCATTGGTTTATATCCTGACAGCTTTAGAGCTTAAATGTAATTGCATTTTCCAAACAATTTTTTATGCAGGTGACAATTGTCCGTTGGGTGTTAATATTTCTGTTGAGCTTTGTTCGTCAGTAGGCGACTATCACAATGAAAGGCTGAAGCTTAAGTGCAAGCACGCAGCGAATCTGCAGGAGTGATCGACAGGTATTTTAATACAAGATAGTCTATTTTAGCTTATTCTCCCTTAAACTGGCTTGTATGATTGTTTCTGCCCCATTTTTCTTCTCTTGAAATTTGCGGCGAAGGGGAATTTCGGTCGTAAGCTGATACCGTTACCAACTTGTAAATTGTAATGACTATACATGTCCTGAGAAGTGCAGAATGATGTATGTTTTCCTGTAAGTTATGATGCGGCGATCTTCTTGTAGTTTTACCGACTAAAACAATATTTCACAGTATTGTCTTTCATGTTCGGTCTGTGGGTGGCTCGAAATGAAAGATGGACATCACAGCACTGAAATGGGTTGTGCAGTTACAAACCCACCAAAACAGAAGAAAATCGCCATGCGCTGGATAGTGCTTTCACGGCAAAGTTTAATCATATTTCAAGGTACTTCTTTGTTATAATAACATTCAAAGTGGCAAATTTAGGACGATCTTTTTTTCCTTCCGCCTCAACAACAAACTCGTACGATGTACGAAAAAGCCTAACCATAAGTAAGTTTGAGAGAACTTAAAAAACTATCGACAACAAGAAATAACGATAACAAAGAAGATAAAGATGCAAGTTACGATTTTAAATACTTTTTATTGTGCTACTGAGTGATTTCCTTCAACTTTTGGCGAATATGTTGATTCTCATGTTCAGATTGTGGATCTTGTAAAACGCTTTGCACTTTAACTTCGACAGTCCAGCTGCCGTTTCCTTGCACTTTTTCACCCATTAAAAAAACAATTACGGAGACAAACAGTTTTGGCGACTCTGGCAAAATTTCGACTTAGACATTTACCTCAGAATAAGAGCGAACCTGATTCAGTTTCTGGACACTGAACTGAAAAGTACTTGGTGAAAACAAGGAAAAGTATACTCGTTTCTATTCATCGAACGACCAAATTTGCCATCTTTTGCTTCGAGATCTGAAATAACTCTTAAAACAACTTCCCAGAAACATACAAGTTGAATGCTGCATTATTTAATTGCTACTTGGGCCTCAAGCTCCATATTAAAAGATTTGTGGTGAATTCTTTGCTTTCAGATTGGCTCTTTTTCAACATGAAGCGCTACTAAATGATCTCTCAAATACCGCGCGATTAATCGAGATATTGTTGTCATAAAGGCATTTAGCAAGAAAAAGTAATTGAAATTTTAATTAGGTACCAAAACTATTGAAAGTGTAGAGAAATATATTTTATGATGTTTGCGTCTAAAAATACAATTAGTGTTAAATGGCGATAATTCAACAATTGTTTCGAGGCTTTCAATTAGCTGCATAAGTTATCTTGAGTTTTACATTATAAACGGATTCGATTGTGCGGAGAAACGCATTACAACTTGATACTCTATCGAAGCCGAGAAACGCGCATAAAAAAAATTATAATGGATTTGAAGCTCAACGAAGCTCCTTATTACATTTGTAAGTCACATGTTCATTCCCCTGGTTCAGTTACTCTAAAACTTGTGAAAGGACATAACATTTTCAAGTCACTACAAACGTTCCTTTTGCATCATACATTGGTTAAATTTAGAGACAATATTATAATGACATTTTCGATTTGGAAGTTGTCCAAGAAACAGTCACGATAGCTGCAAAGATCCTCATAGATTCCGGAAGTTTTAACGGCTTTCCTCTCTGGAATATGGAGGGGCTGAACCGCCGTGAGGGCCCACAGTATCTTGAAATATTCTTTAAAGACCTCGAACTCTCTTATAGTTGTAAAAGAACTCTATTTTTAAAAGTATTCAAAAGTCTTTCATCAAAATAAATAAAGGCTCTTAACTTCCATTTAATGATTGTTAAAAATTCTACGCAGTAATTAAAGGAAGAAACATATATTCATCCGTGGAGACTGTCAAGAGGAAATAAAAAGAAAGGCAGTTTTAATTTAATGATAAAGAAAAACAGATTAAGTTGCTAAATTAAATGGGTTTCCATGAAATGAAGGACTGTTCTTTACGTTTATCCTTAACATGGCCTTCGCAGAAATTCTAAGCAGCGTTTGTTTGGCCGTCAATGATGTTTTGCGAACGGGAAGAATCGAACTGACGTCGTTCTGCAAGAGGCTGCATGCACTGTGAATCCGTTGCAAGTAGTTGCTCTTCTCGTTGTGATCTACTCACTGGCTGCCATCTCTTTTTATCGTTACAGATTCATTGTAAACCCTCTTCCACGCACACCATCATCAGTAAAGACAATTACAATTCTGACCATATCTGGGTTGTGGCTGTTGTCATTTGCAATCGCCTGTCCCTATTTCTTTGGTCTCAGGTTTAGAAATGGTAACTGTGAGGAGTTGTCTTTCGTAAACAATAGGTCCTATGTAGCTATCAGATTCATCCTAACTACGCTTTACCTTATGTGATAATACTGGCATCTTACGGAGCAGTGGCGTGGAACTTAAGGAGGCGAATTGTACAGATTAACGAAAGAAATCGGGATTTGAATGTTTCATCCTCTTGTGTTGTTGAAACTGAACTCCGAGAGTTTCGAGATGGCGCGAGAATGAGGAACGAAGAAATGTTCTGCTCGAACAGAATAACCGAAGAGACAGTAAACCCGAAAACACAGACCCGGTGAAAGATTTACTTAAGATGAATTTTATGCTTATTATCATTTACGTCGTTTGTTATTTTCCGTATCAAGCCCATTACGTGTGGGAGAGGGTCTGTAACATCACTGTGCGTCAATTTAGATATCATCAACTCTGTATGGATTATAATTTTATTTTGATTTGCGTTCCCATCGCCCTACATCCTTTGTGTTATGGAGCAATGAACAGTTTCTTTGCTAAGGCGTTCTCTAAAATCATTCTTCGTTTATTAAACAATGATGAATGTGTTTCTCAAGTCGTAGAGTGCCTTTTTCAAGTTCGAGCAAATTCTTAAGTTCATTTTGCCTTGTTATTAGAGCCGTTTCCGAATGAAAGATTTTTCAACTTGAGTTGTTCCTCCTCGCCGTTTAGGACTGGTGAGTTTGTCTCGAAATTGACTTGTTGACTAGGCCATTATTTCATACACAGACTTATCATAATGATAATGTTTATGCAGCTTGCGTATCTGCGGCAACAACGATAGTAGAATATACTTTTGAGCTACGTTACAAATGTAAGTGATATGACAAAAGGAAAATGCTTACTTGTTGAGAAGAAATTAAATTTGACTAAGGCCCTTTAAGTGCATGATAAAATATTATCTTCTTGTTGTTGATAGCGAATTCCTGTTTAAATTGAAAACGAGACTTACCTGTAAGTTGAATCCATCAGG